TATGCTCGCCAGCGTTGCTAACCTGCCCAGGTCAGCCCGTGGTCAGCCTCCTCATGACGCCTTGCGGTACACCGGCAGGTCAGCACGCCGGAAGGCTTATGACGTCCTTGGGTCTTTCTTGGCCAACGATCGACTGGCTGAGTATGAACTGATGAGACGTCATCGGGCGTAGGTAGAACAAAGTGTTGAGGATGATTGGCTACGAGAGAGGCTGACAGGGGCTTGGGGTTGCAGCATTCGTGTTCTATGCCAACGTGCTGCTCGAGGCTGAGCGCTGACCACTCGATACTGGTGGCATGGCGCGTGCCGTTTCTGCACCAAGAACGCGGCCGTCAAGAGGAAGTTGGGGGTGGAAAGGCGCGTTATGTTAGACAAGCTCTGTTGGTCCAGGTAACGTGACCGCGTTTGTGCTATGGCCGTGAATTGTGGATGTTCACATTTGGACGATGTGTGTTGCACGAGAGAAATCTACATGTGAAGCCCGTTTGCATTGCGGCGACATGCATGACATTCGAACATTCGAGATGGTAGCTAGGGTGTGAGGACGACATCTTGCGCATCTGAGGTTCCCCCCACATGACGCCCTTGGAAGCGAACGTGTGCGAGAACACTACCACAGGAATGTATGCGTCAGGAATCCTAGTCAAGATCCCCTCTTTCAGGAACAGAGCCACCCACCTTACACGGAACCCAGCAGCGAATACCACTGGGCTTCCCTTGCCTTGGGTCGTCCGACGGAGAAGCGCGAGGCCGTACAGACCAGAACTGAAACCGCGTCTCAATGGGATCCTGGCCAGTTGCGTTGTAGTAATCGTGACTTCTCGCGCGCCGGAAACATTTGAACACAATGCGCAATGAAGTCCTTATTAACAGAGCAAAAGGACTTGATACTGCTGAGGACTTTCCATCGAGAATCCGGGATGCTATAGTTTATACAGGGCCAAGAACATACACACATGAGCACGAATTCACTACAACGGCCATCACCGATCATGTAGGTGAATGTTTGCATCATGACTTCGGTGGGCAGAGCGACATGGATGAGAGTGGCCGAATTATATATGGACTGCAAGATGCGTAGGTAAACTTTGGCAGGTCTCCAGCCTAGAGTCTATCACGTCTTGCAATTTCAACGGAGAGGAGGCGCCCTGAAGAACAACGATGTTTCACGCGGTAGTCCTGTCCAGAGGTCTGGGATGGGATGGTCGTGAACAGCTGTAGAGCCTGACATCACGGACAGCGTCACGGACAGGTTCTAGTCAGGAGGCTCTCAACGCGCACATGCAGAGGGGAGCATCTTCAGGAGGTGAAGAAATCCGACAAGGGTATGGGACCTGTGCGATACTGTTGTTCGTGTGCCGAGACCAATGAACGGCGAATGGTACGACGCAGACTCCTTCGAGACTGTGACGCCAACGCTCGTCGGTGAATACCAGAGGCAAAACGTGTCCGATTGATAGACAGAAGGCGAAGGTAATGTGAGATGCTGTGGTGTGTCGAGCTGAAGTGGCGACCTGAGGAACAAAGGTGTGGGCGAAGGCGAGAGGCAGATCTGCTGGAAATGCTCGATCCGGTAGACATGCCGCTGCACATGTGGGCGTCTCTGGATGGTTGGGCGTGTCGACACTGGCACGCCTCTGCCATCCACCATGCCCCGCTCTCACCTTCTTTCGTCCTCCAACCTACGGATTCCCATATTGCCATCACCGGGTCCTTAAAGGCGAGACTTGGTACTATCGCACGACTATCCGGATGTCGGAACAGCATAGGGCTTCCGAGGCCATCTACCATCCCATCCCGCAAGCACCGGTAGCCTCGAATGTGGTTCCGACGGCCTCTCCGGACCTCGACTTGGACGAAGAGGTGGTACTAGCGGAAGTTCCTGCAGTGTTCAGTCACAACCTGGCTGATACAAGAATACGCTGGATTCACTTCCTGCTCGGTTGCGCAGTGCTTCTACCATGGAATGGTACGTGCATCCATCGACTAATGTGCGGGAACCTCTCAACGAAGCTCAATGCATACTCCAGCTCTCATCACCGCGACCCCATATTTTCAGTCGCGAGTCGCGGGCACATCGTTAAAGAGCGTCTTCTCATCATACCTTTCCACAACATTCACCGCAGCCAATTTCCTCTTCCTGGCCCATGCTACCGTGACTGCAAAGAAGGTTCGTGCCTCCATTTCTTTGTGATTGTACTATTCTCACAAGTGCGCAGGCATCAAACACACGTCGAGTGTTGTACTCCTTGACAGCCCTGGCAGCATTATGCTTCCTCCTTACGTTCAGCACGTATACACACCCAGCTCCAGGGGGCTTCTTCGCATTCGTCCTGCTCAACGCAATCGGTCAAGCAGCAGCAGGTTCTTACCTTCAAACGGCCGTGGTCGCCGTCGCGTCACTGTTTGGTCCCTCCGCTATGCAAGCCTTGATGTCTGGCCAGGCTGCCGTTGCCGTTGTGATTAGTGGCGTACAGGTCCTCAGCGCTCTTGCTTCCGTGGGCAGCTCCAAACCGGAAATGATCGTCGCTTCGTCGGAACCGGAGGAGCAGTCTGCATTCGTGTTCTTCGGTCTGTCTACCGTGTTCCTCCTTGTCTGCGTCGGAGTGTATACTTGGCTGGTTTCGTTGCCTGCGTACAAGGCGGTAACCTCGCAAAGGTCTGCACGTCGACCATCAACGGCGGAAGGGGCCTCGCTCCTCCACGAGGAAAACGGCATAGACACTGTGCACGAGCTCCGGAAGCCGGAGCAGAAGAACTATGCGGTACGTCTGGCGAAGACCAATGGTACATTCAACCTCGCGGTCGCGTACGTCTTCATTGTCACCTTAGTGCGTCACTCTCTGGCAAGCAATGTATGCCGGGTTCGTGTTGACTGATCTCTCGGACATACTAGGCTGTCTTTCCGCCCATCACGATCTCTGTTACGTCGACGAATCCGTCCGTACACCCGCTCGTGTTCAGCGCCATTCACTTCCTCATGTTCAACGTCGGCGACTTCACCGGCCGCACCCTGTGCTCTCTCCCCAGCCTGCACGTCTGGTCCGCGCGCCGCCTGTTGACGCTGTCCCTCCTCCGCACGCTCTTCATCCCGCTTTTCCTCATGTGCAACATCCAGTGGAGCTCCTCCCAGTCCTCGAGCGGGCCGATCATCGGCTCCGACGCGCTGTTCATGCTGCTTATGGTCGCCTTCGGGCTCACGAACGGCTACGTGTCGAGCATGTGCATGATGGCCGCGCCGTCGCTCGCGCACAACCCGCGCCTGCAGGGCCGAGCGGAGGACGTGGATGTGGCGGCGACCGTCGCAAGCTTCTGCTTGGTCGGTGGGCTCGCGGTGGGCAGTATACTGAGCTTCGCGGTCCGGGCGGCGGTTTGCGATTGCAATCCATTTACGGAGTAACAGGGTGGGGCTTTACAGACTTTACCTCCGGGACATTTGGTGAGAAACTGGGAGGGCTTCGCTGTATCATACCTATCCTTGTACTCGGCTCTGATCACATCTAGCTTCTTATGTATGGGAGAGGAAGCGTTGCTCCTATCGTCCTGGAGATAGTAGCTATTCCCTTTAATGTGAGCTTGGCTTGTAAGCTCGTCCTGATCGCATATTCAGTTCAACCCTTCCGAGATGTACCGAGTAGTGCGACGTGCGACGGTCGCTCAAGGATCCGTGTTCAAACGAAGCGTTGCGGAACTCTGCATTTCTATGTAAGCAGACCACAGCCTTACTCAGCGATCATCCGACCATCCAGGTGATACAGTGAACGTTCATGACGTAGCGATCCATTCCGTGGACTCAAACGTACAGCAGAAGATTCTGAACGAGATGAAGAACATGACAGAGTATGGGTGTAGCAGGACATGTGAGACCCAATATCGAGACAAAGCTCCGAACCGGAGGTCAGAGCGAGTCATGGGAGAGGCGTAGCCGGAGCACCGGGAAATCGAGGAGCCAGCTCCTTGGCCTGTGCGGCTTGCCTGCGTCTGCGATGCTCTGCCAGACGCAGCGCGAAGATGTCGCGATGCAATGTGTATCGTTGGTGCGTCGGCGTGGTGTGCGGAGGGCTCGCACTCGAGGAAGGAGGGGACTTCGTCCCAGGCGTGCTGCTCTTCTCGCCCTTACTCTCGTCCTTCTCGCCCTCCTTGTTGTCCTTTCCCTTTTCTTCGTCTTTCTCCTTTTCCTTAGCCTTCTCGGCCTTCTTCTTCTGGCGCTCCTCGTACTCCGCCTTTACTTTCGCGATTTCCTCCGGGCTTAGGCCCATCTTCTTCGCGCCACCCGCACCCACGCCGTCATTGGTGATGCCCACCTGACTCGCGAAGCCCGGATCTGAGAGGTGGGCATCGCAGGTATACAAGAAGTCCACGGTGTTGATCGTGGCCAGCACGGTCGTAGTGGGCTTATTGCAGATGTAGCATGGCTTGGCGGTGCCCACAGCCTGCAGAACGCCAGTTGGAGACACGTACGAGACCGTGCACGACCGATAACTCACGCGTTTGTAGTACAAGTTCGTGAAGGCGGATGCCATAGCGGGATGTATATGGATACGGATGGAGTAGAACAGAGATACGCCCGAGAACAGAGGAGGCACGGGAAGCAGCAGATGACCAACGCTTGTCCCACAGCGGCGGCCACCGCGTCGCCCAAAGCTTCCGCCTCCCCCCGTAAGTCCCGCGGACCACTTCGCGCACGTTCCGGAGCCCTTCCCACCCACCGACCCGTCCCATGGGCAATGGCACAATTCCCTGGGCCATCCCGGGCTTGATTGAGTGAGATTTGGATCGATCAAGCGATAGTCCGGAGCCCCGGGAGCGCCGCGAGTATATATCTACATCCTCCCGATGACGACGATTCGTTCTTCTCCAGAACCCGCACGCCGCTCTCTTCCTCTTCCTTACCACCATGTCTGAGACCGCTGGAAAGCCCATTACGTGCAAGGCCGCCGTCTGCTGGGCCGCAGGCGAGGAGCTCAAAATCGAAGACGTCGAGGTCGCGCCCCCGCGCGCGCACGAGGTCCGCATCCACATCCTCTGGACCGGTGAGTGTTCCATGCGTGCCGTCACCCCTAGGAGCTTCGGTGTATTTAAACGTCAATCGCGCCTAGGTATCTGCCACACTGACGAGTACACTCGCAGCGGCAAGGACCCTGAGGTGAGGATCTGCGCATAGTATAGTCAGGTTGGATAGCCGAGATGAACGCCTTCGATAGGGTCTCTTCCCCGTCATTCTCGGACACGAGGGCGGTGGCATTGTGAGTTACGTCACTCCATTAGGCGCAATGTGATCCCTGAAGCTGGCTGTGTTAGGTTGAGTCTGTTGGCGAAGGTGTGACCAGCGTGTCTGTGGTACGTATGCTATCTTCCCGGTCCCACCAGTCGGGTTGGTTAACCGGAAGTAGGGCGACCATGTCATTCCCCTCTACACTGCTGGTAGTCCCAGTCTTCCTTAAAGCCCAGCGAACGTCGATCTCATGAGTACTTAGAGTGTCGCGAGTGCAAGTTCTGCAAGAGCGGCAAGACCAACCTTTGTGGCTCCGTTCGCGCAACTCAAGGACAGGGCCTGATGCCTGACAAGAGCGTTCGCTTCACAGTCAGGGGCCAACCCATTCACCACTTCGTAAGCAGTACATGCACATTGATGCCGTGCTCGTACTCACCGGCAATGCAGATGGGCACTTCGACCTTCTCGCAGTACACGGTCGTGGCGGATGTCTCGGTAGTGGCCGTCAATCCCAAGGCTCCGCTCGACCGTGTCTGCCTGCTTGGTTGCGGTATCACGACTGCATGGGGCGCTGTAGTCAAGCAGCCCGGCATCAGTACGCAGCTTTCTTTCAGGTGCTATCTGTGAAATGCTCACTATAGGACCTCACTCTCAGAGGGTTCCACCGTCGCGGTCTTCGGTGTTGGTGCTATCGGTCTTGGCTTGATTGCGACTTCTGCCCTCGTCGGCGCATCCCGCATCATCGCAGTCGACACGAACCCGAAGAAGGAGTCGTGGGCATGCAAGTTCGGTGCGACTGAATTCGTCAATCCCGCTGACCTGCCGGAAGGCAAGCGCATCCAGGACTACTTGATCGAGATCACCGATGGAGGTCTCGACTACACCTTCGATGCCACTGGTAATGTGCGTATATGATGGCTTAGACCTGTGATTAGGAATCTCACCAATGGGGACACCAGGTTCACGTGATGCGCGCCGCTCTCGAGGCATGTCACAAGGGTTGGGGTGTCAGCACAATTATCGGCGTCGCGGCTGCTGGCCAGGAGATCTCTACTCGACCGTAAGGAACACAGCAGTGAGTCGGGATTCAGTCTCTGACAGTCTCTCTAGGTTCCAGCTCGTTACTGGCCGTACCTGGCGCGGCTCTGCTTTTGGTGGTGTTAAGGGACGTACCGAGCTTCCTGGTCTCGTTGAGGGTATGTCGCTGAAATATCGAGGAATGCTGCCCGGCTTACACTGCGGATTCTCAGACTACCTTCAAGGCAAGGTTAAGGTCGACGAGTACGTCACCCACCGTCGCACTCTCCCAGAAATCAATGCAGGCTTCCACGACATGCACGTGAGTCCTAATTCATATGCTCCTCCAAGTACGCGTATTTGACGTCCAATTTCCAGAGCGGCGATTGCATCCGTTGCGTGGTTGATATGCAATAGATGGCTAAGGACAATGTGTACATGTTCAGGTGTCGGCGCATAAGAGAACGAAGTCCAAGTAGGTATACCGTGTATCATGGAGGAAATCAAGAACCACTCGAAGTGTATTTCTATCGTGTTCCCGCTGTGCAATCGGCATTGTCCAGGTTCTTCATCTATGGCGAGTCATATACTCTATCGGCAGGAAAGCAGACGATCGTCGTAGCAACATCCTCAATGGGATCAGTAGCGTCTGCGGCAGTGCGCATACCGTGATTTCTACTAGGTCGATAAAATCCCTCATAATGGCAGCCGGTCAAGGAGGAAACAAAATAGGAAGCCTACGCGATCCAGTCTCTCTACGCTCGTACCATGGTCCAGAGGTGACGGGAGACAGGAGAGTAGCTTGACATCGAGCGCTGGACGCACCCAGTCTACACAGACATGCAAATTCAGATCAATCACCTAATACAGGACTCGAACATTAACGGCGCGTTCCTTGACCCTGGATGTTGCTCAAGCTCAAGGAATCGCTCCGCACTCGTGTGCACCGAGCGGGACGAGGGCTGACTCCGATTATCATGGCATATCTCTAGTGTGAGGATGTCATGAATCTCTAGAGAAGGGGCAGTGGTAGGGCGGAACGTCTATTGAAACGTCGTGGACCACAGTGTGCGAGGGCATAGCAATGCGTACGAGAAAAACGGGCGGGGATTTCGGGAGGTGCAGTCACCATGATAGCATGTGTGGCTGAGACCGGCCTCCATATCAAGTGGTGCGTCTGACATATATCGAGATTCTGATGCCCTTACATATACTCCAGGAACCTACAAACTCATATATTCCAATTAGATACATTGTGCCTAGTCCGTATAGATACGCACGTTAGCAATGCCAATCAATCTGGCGTCATTGCGCACCCGCATGAATGAAGCCGCAGGTATGGCGCGAATTCTCCAGATGGATATTGTCTGGCCAAGGGAGCAGAGCTGTTCAGATCGCGCATGATCATGTCAGTCACATATGTGTCATTGAGAGCCATTCAGCTCACCGCGCTGCAACTTTTTCCGAAGGCGAACAGATCGAGTCTCCCATAATCCTCTGTAGGATTTCAAGAACGCCGGGCTCATGGTCTTGGTCCGGACACGAAAAATCTCCCCTTGACGGTACTTGCTGGCATTGGGGATGTCAATGAATATCTCTGCTCCCGTCCGCGTCGCCCACAGGGCTCCCGTGTCGAGTAGGGCATCGGGATCGCGAAGTTTAGGACGATACGTGTCAACGTCTTCCCATGCTGGATCTCCGTCATCCAGGATTATAGCACCATCGTCTTCTCGCCTGCACACAGAACGATGTATGAACCAGTGCTACTAGGTTTGATCTCGGTCAATGCATGGGCTCAAGAAGGCTATCGTGACGCCCACCTTCTCCTGACATTCTGCGCTACAGTAGTGGGGCTTCTGTTCCGGGGGACAGCGACCGCCACACCTTCGCAGCGCTCCTTTATTCATGGCGTTGATCCCACAACCGTCTGCGGCACAACGATATTGGTTCGGGGCTTTCGCGACTTTCGCAAGGCGCCTTTGCTCACGCGCGTATTGATTTTGCAAGTGAACATCGTACGCCTTCCAGAAGTCCTGTGCGTCACGGGACTCCTCGTTCATACGGCGTGCGTCTAGCTTTCTGTGGCGTATATGCACACTAGAGAGCCAACTGGCAAACCGCAAGAAAATCGGGGGCAAAAAGTCAGCCCGCGCGAGGTGGTCTCCACAGGACAAACACTGCTTGATGATGACGCAAGAACTGACGAGCTCAAAGGACTGAGGATGAGGAGACCAGAGATATTGCCGGAACGAGATCCATGTCAGTGCCGCCAATGCACGGCACTGGAGCACGGGGTTGGTGCTGTAGATGTGGGTGGTCTGGCCGTTCCGCTCACGAATGCCGGCCAGGGCTCGGAGGTACTGGATAATATCCATGGCGCCTACGGGGCAGTCCATGTCGTTTGGTAGCGCCTCAGCAAGGCTCCTGTGCGCAGTTCAGGAGGTTGTGAGCACCCGCTACAGGAAGATGCGACTCCCCCATATTCAGACGCGCGAGGGCTCACCTTAAGCATAGCTCGAAAACCAACGGCCCCAGCTTCAAGTCCAGACCACGTTTCAACTTCTGCGGCGTAATGCTCTGGAAGGCCTTCTCGGCATTATCGTAAAGCACGCGATAGGACGGCTGGCGACGATGATCGTAGCATATTTCTTGTGTTAGAAGAATGTAGACTTCAATTCTTGCATCTTTTGCACTTAATTTCGTTTGACGAGGTGAGTGGTCAAAGGAAACGTCGTGAATGACGGTCGGGAGCATGATGGTGGTGATCAGAGAGGTGGTGAGCGGTAGGCGAGGGAAAGAGGTCGCGGTAACATGTCGGTCACGTGTCACGCGACGCGTCCAAGTCGCAGGTTCCTTTTTCGCTCTGGAGACTTTGTCCAACGTAGACCCTCACAACACCACACTCTGGAAAGATAAGAGCGGGAACACTGTAGTCGAGCCTTAACCTCTAGATGCAACTTCGCGTCGCTACGGACTGCCCGACCGCGGTGCGCACTGATGAGCCTACGCATACCGCACAAAGGGACAGTTCATTTCATTTCGGCACAAGATATTACATGAGCATAACAAACCAAACTACACCCCACGCTCTATCAAGTGTCGCGGGGCTGGGTGCCCCGCGATCGCTCTCCACAATCCACGGAGCGCAGCAGACACCTCCTTCCTCCGCACCCCGCTCTTGTGCCAGCCAACCTTGAACAATGCAAGGATGCACAGGACAAAGGAGATGTCGAGGAACAATCTCCGAATCACAACGAACGTAGGCGAGCGGTTCTCGCTGTTCGCGAGGAACGCCATGAGTTGCCTGAACAGCCTGAAGGCGCGCGCCGTGGGGCGCAGGACGAGCGACCACATCCCCATATCGTCGATGTCCCAACGTACGACGTCCCCTCCATGTCCAAACGGGCTTCCACGCCCTGCAGCGTGCCCAGGAGAGCGCACGCCCGATGTGGTGAGAGACAACGATGAGTGATGTAATAGCCCTTCCAGAGTCTCTAGCCGCTCGGTAATCGCGGCGAGATGCGCCTGCACGCTTTCAACCGCGCGCTCGAGCATGGGAACGGAACCCGGCCGCTGCTGGCCGCCTGCTTGAAGCGCGTATTGACGGAAAGGAGTCTGCGATTGTGGATGAAAACCTGCACGGGAGGGATAGCCATGTGCGGGACCGATCAACTCTCTTGATGGCGGCCGGCCTTGTTCGGGATACGACACGGATGTGGTGGGATATACAGAAGAGGGTACCGAGGCCGCAGACTCAGCAAAAGCGGACTGAGTCTGGAAGCCTGGGTGCGGTTGGGTCGTTGGGACGTTCACGGGCGGTGGTGAACGGACGAGCATAGTGCTGGCCATAGGTGTCCGATAGGGTCGTGATGAGAGAGATGACTGAGGACGATTGAGCTGGCTAGCAGGTCCGTGCGGAGTGGGGATAGTTGCGGGAACGGTGTCGATCGCCTCGTCATCCTCGTCTGATGTCTCATCTTCTGTCTCGGATTCCAGCGGTTGGCCCAATTCCGCAGGCTGAACCGGGATGCCGTGCGCATGAGACTGGAGGTATTCAGCGGGGCGTTGCGAGGATGATGGAAGTGGTCCTGCCGCTGAGGATCCCGAAGAGCTGGACCCGGAAGAGCGAGCGGATACCCCTATAAACACGTGTTTGGGACATAAGTAGCTTCTTGGACACACATACTGACTTACCGCTCATGACGAGGTTGGCGGGATCGCCGGCGTAGGACTCCAATTCCCGCACTAAGTCCCTCGCCACCGTTTTGTCCGAGTATTTCCTGAGTACCTGCAGCGCGGCGCGATGGGACGCGGCTTGCAATGACGTTTATGGATGCACATACCTTTAACAAAGCATCGACATACAGCCATTTGGCTTCGTAGGGGTCGAGATCCTTATGCTTCGCCCAAGCATCCCTAGTGGCTGTTAGCATGTGATTATGTTGGTACAGAGCAAGACTGCCTCTGTGCGCACCATTTGGCCCTCCCTAGCATATCCCAGACCGCTGGACGGTTACCTTGAACATTCCCAACAGTAGCTGTGCGACACGGAGCGGATAGGTTAGTAAGAAACACGAGTTCTGCAGGAAGGAGAGGCTGCTGAGGCGAATACCTTGCTTGTATAAGCTTCAAGTTGCGTCAGACTTTAACCATACAGTAACTGAAGGACCGAACGAACCTGTACATGTCGAGCTTCTCCTCATAACCAGTCTGGATAGGACCTGTCTTGGGCAAACTCTGGACTATCTCGACTGCCCGGTCAAATTGTGCGTCAATGAGCTGGCGGGAGTCGACGTCCATGGTGGCGGCGGGCATGAACAGTGATCGTGCAGGAATACAGCCCTCTTCAATCGCGGCCAAGCACTGAAACACGAGGGACGACCCAGAGATGCCGGACGGCCGGAGGATGTATGTAAAGCAATGACGGCGGGAGGGGACAAGCCACCACGGATCGGTTGCCGCATTCGGCGGCGTTTCTCACGTGTCAGACGACGTGCGCCGAGTGCGAAATCAATCGGTCTACCGCAAAGCTTCCGCTCAATCCCTCAGGAATATCCATGCAGGAGCAAGTACTTCGATGGCGATAGCGAGAGGGTGATTCACAATGAGCTGTCAACATCAGGAGACAAGAGACGACCCTCCTTCACAGATCGGCATATCGAGACGCGACCACTACGAGCAGACGGTGCATACAAGAAGTTGTGCCAGGGAGTCAATTATAAGAAGCATACAAAAAGAGGGCAGATACATGGCGACAAGCGAGGTCATGACTTCCGGGGCGAGGGCGATGTTCTGGGAAGAGGTTGGAAACTAGGACCAGGGTCCGACTTGCCGACCATCCATTTATACTTCAGTCCTCCACGAATCTCCGTGTCGCGTGCGTTGATACGCTTGCCTATGGGCGGGGAGAAGGAGAGTCAGTAATCTGGGTTTCCAGTGCAGACAAATTATAGCTTACCTTTCCACACCAAATGACCCCATGCTTTCCCGTGCTTTCCTTCGCACTTCAGGCTCGTTCGCGTGATTTCCCAGTAGCTTCCCGCAATGCCCTTAGCACTCCACCGCGTCTGGTGCACCTTTTGACCAACGCCATCTTTGGGGAACCTTGCAAGGACTTCGTAGAGGTTTCCGGGACGAGGTGACAGCGAAGGCGGTAGTTGTGAGGGTAACGGAAGGAGTTTGCGTAGTGCAACCTGCACTGGGGTCGCCATGGGCGCAGTCAAGCGCAAAAGGCGGAACGCTCGAGGCTTTTGGGTAGGGTCAAGGGAAAGGAACACGGGGAGCGAGACGCTGTCTGGTGGAGCAAGGGCTTCGGTGGTGGTGGACGCGGACAGACTGGCGTTTCCCGATTGGGAAAATTAGCATCCTTTCACCCGAACTCCCATGCTCAGGCTGTCGCGATGATCTCTCTCTCTCGGCACTTTATATCGTCGCTGGCCTCTAGGCAGTTTGTGACGCGGTCAAAGTCTACTCTAGTAGAGGTCGACTCAGTTGGGATTCCATTGAAGCCGACATGGTCTGTTAACGAACTTTTATCATCTTACCCGCGCCCGGCCGTCTCCCCATCTGAGCTGAAGCGGCTCCACGAACTGTCCGCACTCATTCCTCCTGCCGACGGCACGTCAGAACATACGAAGCTGGCGCAGGAGATGGAGGAGCTAGTTAAGCTGGTCGAAGCGGTCAAGCTCGTGGACGTTGGCGAGGTCGTCGAGGAAGGCGCCGTACCAGACGGGAGGATTTGGGCTTCCGGGCAAGGCGTTAGCCTGGACGCCGAGGCGTTCGCTGCTTCGGAGGACGCAGATGCTGTTAGTGGACGTGCTTTACTTGCGCACGCGTCACGGACCATGGAGGGCCTGTATGTTGTCGAAACAGACAAGCCTCGGGGTTGAAGGCGCACGCGTCGGTAAGTCTACGCTGCGGTCTCCTGCTTTGAGTGTTGATGAACCTGTCGTGTGACAGATTTCTGTGCCGCATCGTGCCACGAGGCTTCCGGAACGAGCTCATTTACAGGAGGCCACTTCGCACCAAGTATGCGCACCCGCTGGGATGGGCTCATGCGTAATTATTGGCAGGTAGAATCCAACAAAAAGGCGACCTCCGCTTGCTAACCATGTATTCCGTGCTCATAGCTGCTATCCAGCTGCTTGGAGGATGCTACTTTTGAGTGGAGGCGGCATGCAACAATGTATTGGCCGGTCGTACTTATCCCTGTTCACTCGTTATATCTTCCTCTCAGATATCGGCTGGGTAACATCATTAGGCCTCTGGTGAGTCGTATGAGGATCTTTCATGATCACAGTAGCTCATAACAATCTCTCCGATGCAGATCAATGTCTTCAAGTATAACTCGCATACTCTACCAGCGACCCTTGGGGCTCGCTCTGATACTCTCCCTCAAGCTCCCCACCGATAGCGTTGGGAATGCGTTGACCTTATTTTCACGACCTCTAAGCTGACGCAACCCAGTCGATCCACGTCAGTACAGTACTTACTGACATGGGGTGTACATGGTTCACTGCTGTCCGTATGACCCAGATTGTTCCTGACTCTGGGCACATCGCCCACATGCCTGGCCAGTTACTTTCTCCGCTGTCATGCGAAGACCAGCAGTGGGTGCTTTAGCAGCGTTGACGTTCTTGAGGTCATTCTTGGTTGGATGATAAGGCCCACGAGACCAGTGGCAAAAAGGTTCGAGAAGAGTAACGGCCTTCAAATCACACCGCGATCAACCTATGGTTGAGGACGGGTAATGTTTGAAGGTGCGCCTTCCCGCTATTCACTCATCGTTGCTTAGCGCTGAGAAATGACGCGGGGGCGATCAACCGCCGGCATTTTCGCTCTTGGCATCATGGACTGGCAACCCCATCTGCCGCCTTCCTCGATGCCGAGCTCAAGATAAACTATTCACTCCGGCTGTATCGAAGTCTTTCCGCCCTGGGCGGTATGTTCTTGACTGTGGTCCACATGGTGAACTTGCCTTTGAACGCTGAGATCCCCATCGTGTGGTTCGCTCCTGCTCGAATATTGCCTCTCTTGTCCTTCACAGCCGTCGTCGACCCACCTGCTGCGTGTTATCAGTTCCACCTGGGTTGCGTCGTTGCATGCGTCGTTGCCGTGATAACTCCAATGATACGTGGCGAGAGCGGTGCTGTGCTCTCGGAAACCGTCGCGGAGGCTTGAGCATCGTCGAGGTATAAAACAATAGTACATTGAACGGTGCTCTTCCAACGACACCGTCCTCTCAAGGTTCGTCAGCGCCAGCTTCAGAGCCCGCACACTCTCGGTCACCATGTTCAAGTCCGTTGTTCTCGCTCTCTTCGTCTCTGTGTCGGCCGTCATCGCCACACCCGCAGCGTTGAGTGGTGGGGCCATCACTGAGAGGAAGTGCGGGACCACCATCTCTGATGAGAAGCTGGCTGCCAACGAGGCGCACTACCTCGCGAACTTCGTCCCCAAGTCCGCATCCAAAGTGACCGCCGAGGCCGCTGCTGCTCCGACGGTAAAAGTCTACTGGCATGTCATCAGCAAGGACTCCACCGCCTCCGGCGGCAACATTCCGTGAGTCTCTTCTCTGTCCGCAGACCGTTCGCACGAGTGCTCACGAGGGCGGTGACAGTGCTTCACAGATTAGTGACCAGATCGACGTCCTCAACGAGGATTACTCGTCCCTGGGCCTGACCTTCAAGCTTGCGAACACGACTCGTACCGTCAACTCAGAGTGGTTCAACGAGGTTGGCCCCGACTCGTCGCTCCAGACGACTATGAAAAAGCAGCTCCGCCAGGGCGGCAAGGCAGACCTCAATGTCTACACTGTCGGCTTCGTCTCTGGCTCCGGGGAGGGCCTACTTGGCTACTCGACCTTCCCCTCGGACTACAGCGGGAACCCCAAGGATGACGGCGTCGTCATCCTCTTCTCTTCCCTTCCTGGAGGCAGCACCACCAATTACAACGAGGGCAAGGTGCGCGACATCCAGCTATCTCCTCTGCCGAAGGACCGAGATGACTGACAAGATATGCTTGCGTACAGACTCTAACTCATGAGGCAGGTCACTGGGTTGGTCTCTACCACACCTTCCAGGGTGGCTGCAGCGGCTCCGGCGACCATGTCTCTGACACCCCCGCTGAGGCTTCCGCCGCTTCTGGGTGCCCTACCAACCGTGATACTTGTTCGTCTGCCGGCGTCGACCCGATCCACAACTACATGGACTACTCCTACGACAGGTACGCGTCTATGGAATGAGTTTGTACTTACCGGGAAGCTGACGACTGCCTTGTGAAAGCTGCATGACGGAATTCACTCCTGGTCAGGCTACCCGTGCTTCTGGCCAGCTCCGCACGTACCGCGGTATCTCGGTCTGAGCGATGATGGACTTAGCAGTAACATGGCTCGTACATATGTGATATGATGACTTGCACGGTCTATAACGCACATGTACTACTTTGCTGTCGAATTCCTATCGAGTGCACATTATTGAGACCTTGATGCAGATTCGAAACTGACGTCGTTTGCTTGCCATACGCGCATGTCCTCGTCTCTCAAGCAGTAAGGGTCTTTGTTATATGATAGTTGGGTTTGTCGTCGATAGACACACGGGATTCTACGTGTCGTCATTAACACATCGGATCGACCGTGAGGTCGATCCGACGGGCAATCAACGACACCCGCTTGCTGCACTCCCAGAAGAGCACTGTATCTACCAGAACTCCGACTGGTGCCATGTTTGAGATGCCACACCCGACAACCAAAGGTGGCTCAACCGCCTATTCGGCGGTTATAGTAGACAAATACATTCAAATATGGACCGCCACGTAGGTCACACGCTTTCTCTCCTAAGTCGGCGCTAGGATATTTGGACTGGGCCCCATCGACGGCCAGGGACTGTCTCATGGGTTCTCTCCGTCGCGAGGGTGCTATCGCGGGTATTCGAGCTGAGCGCCCAATCCAAATACCCACTATGTATTCCTTCCGCCCGCCGGTCCACGCAGTAATTCTTAGGCACTGTACCGACGTTGCGTGTGACGTGAGGAGTCGGACATAACTGCAATGGTATAGGTAGGCGATGTATGACCTCTGAAATCGCGAGATTCTTTGCTAAGTCCTCTTCTCCATACGATCGCAACCCTGGTTACGAAAACACTTATAAGGAGCCCCAGTCCCAGCCCATCTACCGAACAAACATTACAAGCCTTTCACCCCAACGTACAACATCATCAACCCACATTTTCGCGATGTCCAACACTTTCCACCTCGGCGACTCCATCATAGGCGCATCAATCTCTCGCAGGGAGGGCTCCAGCAGATTCTTCTCTGCTATGTCGCGCACTTGCTCCGCCGCACGGGTCGACTTGTCCTCCTTCGGTACTTTGTCCTCCGAAGAGGAATACTTCAGCGTTGACTCCGGCGGGGAGGTCGACTCGAATCTCAGCGACTCCGTTATGGGAGACGGAGAGAGCAATGCTGCTCACGCTTGCGATTCCCTACGGTTGCAGAGGCAAGTCCCGCTCAATCAGACGTGCCAACCACAAACTGACCCCGTTTCCAGCCATGAAACCGGCATGCTCCGCGACCGCGGTTCCGCACACTACAAGCCGTCATGGGCGTCGAGCACGTCCTCGACAAGTGAGGAGGAGGTCGAGAAAGGCTACGAGGCCGACTCCGACGCGGCTGTGAACTCCAATCATGATCTGGGCCAAACCAACGGCAAACCTCGCCACCTCCGTCGCCGCTCCCGCATGCACTTCCTCGTCCAGCGCGTGGAACCTGCCGAAGAGCTTGCCCACCGACAGGCTACCACCGACATCCCCACTGTGCCTTTGGCTCTCTGGGCTTCCAAGTCGCCTAAGGGGACATCGGCGGGTCCGTCCAACGCCGGCTCCTCGGCCTCAGAGTCCAGCCCAGAGGGCACAGACTGCCTCGTCGAGCACGTCCAATCCATCGTCTCTACCGTCGACGTTCCCCCGCCGCTTTCCCCTGCCAGGGCCAGCTCCGGGCTCGCGCCTTCCTCTTCCCCCGACTCGGGCACATTCGAGGAGATCGACCTGAACGGCGACGTCTGCCCTCCGTCCGCGGTCCTCAGTCAGCCGAGCCCCGGCCGTGACATTCTTCCGGGGCAAGCATCGGTGTCTGCGGAGCCCGCTCCCATCTCGCCTATTACCCCAGTCGCGCTGCGTCCGTTGGTTGTGGGTGCACCTAGGCCTCGACTCACGCGCATGCCCGCGTTCCCTTCTCCCATCCCTGTCGCGCTGCGGTCGTCGGTTGTGGGTCCGCCTAGGCCTCGCCTCACGCGCATGCCCGCGTTTCCTCCCATCCTGCTTGTTACCCCGGTCACGCGGCAGCCGTTGGCTATCAGTGCGCCCAGGCCCAGGCTCACGCGCATGCCCAAATTCCCCGCTACTGTCCAGCTTGTAGCGATGAAGCCGGGCATGGTTGTTTGAGGACTCAGGACTGGGATAGCGCTTTTGTACGGCAACAGATGGGACATCATTTATGGACAATTTCCGTTGCGATCTGTTCTTCTCGCTTTAGTTTAGGCTCCGAAGCAGTGTGTCAGAATCAATACACGTGAATCCAGACTCGAAAACACATTCGAACATCGGGTCGAGGATCATTGTGGTTTCGACTGCTCGACGGGACATCTTGCGTGAGGCTAATACCCTTCAGGAAGGACGCCTAAGACTGAGAGCGCGTTTGCACGTATAAACTCCGAAAGCGCTTTGCTTATTCTCGGCCGGCATTCATCGATTGCGCAGTACATTGCGTCGAGGCTAGATGGTATGGTACAAGAAAGCAGCGACAAGATAGCAGGGATACAGCAGACGCTGCTTTTCACAATGCGGTATGGCCGCCGGTGGACCCGAAGCCCCCTGCTCCTCGGAGGGTCTCGTCGAGATCCTATTATGCTGAAGTCAATCATCGAGGTACAGCTACGAGGGCGAATAAGGCTGCTTACCTGGACCTCCACGACGTCTGGCGTCACGATGCGTTCTAGTATGAGCTGCGCGATGCGGTCGCCCTCATTCACTGCAGAGTGCGACATAAGTAGAGATCGCGAGGGGCACATAGACTCCCTGGCTGACCTGTGAAGTCTTGGTCGGAGAGGTTGAAGAGCAGGACGAACACGACGCCCCGGTAGTCCGCGTCGATGACGCCCGCCCCGGTGTCGATCATGAATTTTGATGCTGCATGGGAACCCGTTGAGTTGCTGGCTTGATATGTAGGGAGCTGCAGAACGTACCGAGGCCGCTTCGGGGAGCGACGCGTCCATAGGTGCCTGCGGGCACGGCGACGGAGATCTGAGTGTCGACAAGTGCCTTTCCTCGGGCAGGGATCACCGTCGTCTCAGCACTGTGTGCAGTTCAGCCCCGCGTCTTGCAAACCTAGACTCGCGTGGAACACGCACCTATACAAGTCGTAGCCTGCCGCGAGTGGGGACCCGCGGGTGGGCAGCCGTGCCTTGTCGGAGTGGCGCTTGATGAGGAGGCCGGCGACGGGGGCGAGGTCGGACTTGTTTTCTTCCGGACTGGGCGTCATCTTGCGTTTCTTTTGTTGCGGGACGTCGAGGTCGGACATGTAAGACAGAGAGGGAAGCGTTTGTAGGGCGAGAGGGGAGACACGTAGCGGACGCAGAGGAAGACGCGCGGACGCAGAGGAAGACGCGCGGGCAGCACCCAAAGACGCGCGGGCAGCACCCAAAAGACGCGTCGGCGGAGTCTGGAAGCGTGCCCACTCCGCTCGACCACGGTCACGGGTCTTCCGGGCCTGCCCTCAGGCTGACCGCCGTGCTGCGCTTGCCTGTGTACACAGCGTGGGTCTCTGCCCATTAATGCTCATGCCGCTCTCTGTGGGAGGAGGCCAGCTACCGGTCTCCGCGTTCTTTGGTTCCTCTGCCAACCGTTCCGCGAAGCCTCAGCTCAAGCGCAGGCACTCTTCACCTCGCCAGCAGGCTGTACCTCCCAAGAAGCGCAAGCAGAAGGAGAACCTCACTCCCTCTGGCAGCCGGAATATTGGCCATGTCGTGGCCAAAACCACGGGGCACGACGTCGGCAGCTCGCAGCCGCGCCCCCGACGCAGCACTGGTACAGCGAATGAGGTCGACATGGGCACAGCGCGCGTCGAGAAAGAGAAGCCTACGCTGGAGAATGGTCTCAATGGACCACCGTCGAAAGCAGATTCAGGATGCGCCGTCATTGACCTCACTGACGATCGTCCTGGAGACATCGTTCCCCAGCCGAGACCCGTGTACCGACTCGAGACTCCCCCTCTGACGCCCGAAGGTCGGGGTCGTCGTCGAGACCTTGGCAGCATCGTCTCGCTTCCTTCCCCGCCACTTACCGCTCACGATGCCAGGAAGCTGAGGAAAAGGGGCAACGATAGCGAGAAGCAAGAGGAGAATGTCCAGAAGCTGCCCCACGCTCTTGTCGACCATGATGCAAGTCCTGGTGCGGCTGGCGTGAAAGCGTCAATGCAAGGTGCGTTCACTCACTACTGTTAGCTCGATCCTGTCTAATTATATCCAAAAGCCTCGCAGTCAAGCGGCACTCCTCTGCAGGACCAGACAATCGAGCACAAAGACCCTTGTTCTCTAACACGCCCTACAAATGACCGAGATTTAATGCCACCGCCTCCGTTGCCCTTCAAGGCACTCCTGCACTCTTCGCCAGCTTCGTCTCTCACCATGCCCACTTTGAGCTCTTCTCCGGCGTACAGACCCCATCCTTCGTCCCCGATTAGGTGGGTGCCTTCCTCTCAGACGCAAGAGCTCTCTATCCCTCGCATCACGGGCCTACCGGACAGGCACTCGTCCGACGAGACACGCCGGGGTCGCCGGAGATCGGCGACGCAAGTCGTGCCCAGCTCGCAGCCCGACGAGAGGGAGCTCGAGCTTCCTAGCGGCTCCTCCGATCACTGCGACGTCCACCAACTACGTGCCTGCGAGGCCCGCCCTGGCCCCAACCCCCTACAGGCGAGCGATACAGACGAGGGCCACGCACACGACACATCCCCAGGCGAGTTGATCGAGAGCTCCCAGAGTCAATTCGAGGTAGAGATCACTCCAGCCTGGGCGGAGCGCATCGCCACCAGAAGGGCGGAACTGTGTGGGTGCGTGTCCTTGTCGTCGTCGTGCCCGCGCCTTTGTCGTTTCGGCCGAGAGCTGTCCTGATTGATCCTTACGTTGCAGGTCCAAACAAGAGCAGCAGGCCGGCGGCTCCAGCTTGTCGCCGTCCTCCCCCCCGCGCGCGGCCGAGACCCAGGACTACGACGCGGAGTCCGAGTACTCCTCGTCCGTGGACGAGGTCTCGCAGTCCTCTGTGTCCGGCCAGTCGGGACCCAGGTCCAGCACGCCCTCGCAATACAGGCGCTTCTGCGAGATGTTCGAGGGCCGGGACGACGACGGGAACGAGCTGCCTCGCGAAGAGACCGCCTCTGCGCGTCGCTCGCGCTCTGCCTCTCCGACGTGGGACCGCGGACGCGATGCGTGTGAACGCGCATGCTCGCCGTTGCCATCGTCGTCGCCTTCTGCGCGTTCTGATCGTCACATCCCCCGCGAGGAGGCGACTGCCTCTCCGCAGGCAGAGTGTGCCGTCGACGGGGAATCATCTTACGGCTCGTCGTACTCCGAGACGACGCCCACCGCCTTCCGCGAGTACTGGGAGATGTTCTCGGACTCGCAGATTCAAGACGCGCCTGAATACCCGCCTTCGCAGGTGCAGGACGACGAGGGCGGCGTCGAGGGCTTCTGATGGACTTGCTCTGTGCTGTGCTATGCTTTGCCGCTCTGGTTGTATACAGTCTTGGATGGAATTCGTGTATCTAGTAGGTTCTCTGCTCGTACTTCATTAGCTTACTGCGTCCGCGTCATAATTACAGGGTTATTGCACTGTGACACGGTCATGTGAGGGTGGTCACACCACCGACCATTCGAGGATCGTAACTCAGACGCGGCTGACGGGCACGAACAGAGCACGGGAAATGTGGTCAGTACGAAACCCAGGCCGGCTGTCTAGACCTATGCTCTCAGACCAGGGGGGTGACGAGCCGTCCTGTCAGCCTCCGACTTGGAGTGGCTAAAAGCCTTCGTCCGACCACGCTGATTTCGACAGCCGCGCTCACCTCCCCGCCTCTTCTGCGTATTTCATCTCGTTCCCTGCTCTGCATCAGCTATGGGCGCCTCTGCTTCCTCGTCCTCTCTCGCCTCCTCATCCTCCGGCATCCTGACCGACAAGGAGGTGAGGAAGCTCGAGAAGATCTTGGCCCGCGAGGCGGACGCCGAGCAGAAGCTCATCGACGCCGCCATGAAGGACGTGAAGGAGGCCGAGCAGGCGCTCAGCAAGAGCACCAAGGTGGGCCTCTCGCTGTGCTCGTGTGCAATTTCCCCCGTGCATGAGCTCAGAACTTTCCAATCTGCGTACAGAACACCCAGCAGGCGCAGAAGCTGGTCGCGAAAACGAAGGAGCGGGAGATCGCGGCGCAGAAGGGGGTCGCGAAGGCGCAGACCAGGCTCGCGAGCGTGCAGGAGAAGGGGCGCCAGGCGCAGGAAGCCGTCACCGTGCGTTTCTGCGTCTCTCAGCTCAGCTGCTGATTGACGGGATTTCGGGGTGCGATGCGTGCGTGATGTACATAGGCGAAGGAGCAACGCGAAGCTGGGGCGGACCGCGCCGTGCAGCAGGGGTATGCGGACTTTGAGGATTGCCACAGGACGGCGGAGGCGAACGCGGTGCGTGTCGTCAGCTTTCGGAAAGATTCGTCGACTTCGGAAGACTGATATCAAGCGGCGTGGTGCGCAGAGGGACCGCACGATGAGGCTGTCCCAAATTCGTGCTCAGCACGGTATGGACGCCACCGCGCCTGCCGGTAGCCCGCAGCCGTGACGGCTAGGATATCTCCCGCTGGGTCCCAGCGTCCTAGCTGTGCATGGATTGTGGATTTGGTTTGCTTTGGTCGTCACTTCTTTGGGTATTATGTTGTTGACTTCGCCTGGGTTGGCGGTTTCCCACCGCCGTCGTGATTGTCTCCGTGTTGGGTCGTGCTCGTTGGGGGCGATAACCGTGGGAATGATACCGCCTTTCGATAATAGCGCTTCATCATCTGTTGTAGCTTTTACATTGGAAACATTGCCATCTTCTGCACCGTCCGCGAGGTCATCGAAGAGCAGCCTGATCGAGCTACACCGAGCCAGAAGGGGAGAGACTTGAGTGTCCGCCTCCAGTATCTCTCGCACTTGGAGTTGTGCACGATGGAAGGGAGCTCTCTTCGCTACGTCACATTTCCACGACCAACGCAGCCTACAATGTCTTCCTCTTAGCCGCGTTCTCGGTGCAGAAGTGGCACGCGCCCTTCACATGCTAGATCAGCCTGGAGCAGCACGATGCTTCGTAGCTATGCTGCAACTTGGAGCCCCTGTCAGCCTCTCTCGCAGCCAATCATCCTGTTCTGCCAACGCTCGATGACGTCTCATGAGTTCATCCTGAGGCAGTCGATCGTTGTCCGAAAAAGACACAAGGACGTCATAAGCCTTCCGGCGTGCTGACCTGCCGGTGTACCGCAAGGCGTCATGAGGAGGCTGACCACGGGCTGACCTGGGCAGGTTAGCAACGCTGGCGAGCATATAACCCCGAGGCGAGCACAGAATGCTCTCAGTTTCGGACCTCCAGGTACGTGGTTTCTTCCTGGTGGTGGCCCAACCAAGGTGCGTGGTTTCTTTTCGGTGGTGGGACTCGGGCTCGGCTACAAGGTACGTGGTTTCTTCCTGGTCGTAGCGGTTTCCGCTTCAAGGTGCGTCGTTTCTTTTTCGGTGGTGGCCCAAAGGTAGGTGATTTCTTCCCGGTGGTGGCGGTTTCGGAAGCAAGGTGCGTGGGTTTCTCCCTACCGGCCTCTGGCCGCTCCAAGGTGCGTGGTTTCTTTTCCCGAGGGAGGGACTCCGGTCCTGGCGCATACCTTTCCGTGGTCCTCGGGATAAGTACCTTCCTGCTCGCCGCCTCTGGCCGCTCGGCCTGAGGCGGGGAGCAGGTTGGGAAACCAAAATGCGCGGTTTTGTCTTCTCGTCAATTGTACATTCTGACGCTTGTTCTGGACGAGCTACACCGAGCTCTCTGGACTGGGCGCTGGCAACACGGTCGTGTGTTACTGTTCAGTCCGCTGTGTATCAATGATTCTTCTCCACGGAGGCGAGACGGTAGAGTTTCTAGCGTTGACAGCTTTGTACAAATCGGACGCCATTCCTGTAGCGGCCAAAAAGCGCGTCATATGTCGACATGATATGTTGCTGTGAGTAACGTGACCGTGTTTGTGCCGCGAGAAAGCGCAATCTGGACTCCCCCCCTTTCATGCCGATGCTCGGCGGTAGCGCGAGACCGTCTTGATTCCGGAGTAATCCTGGACTTGTTACGCAGGATGGTCGGCTGTGTGGCTCGATCTTGTGTATGGATGAGGAGAGGTAGAGAACTCTGAAAGCTATTTGCATGGTGGTCGACCTTGCATGTTCGACAGCGTAAAAATACGGAGAGGGTATAATTGCGTAATATAGGCGCACCTTCTGCTGCAGTCCTCAGATGAGTAGCTGCATGATCAGGGGGGAGGGTACGACCGTAACGACCATGTGACATGCTGTCAGAGTCGACCGAGCAAGAGCCCGCCTTGAAGAGAGAAAACAAGCGTGATGAGTCGCGGTAACGAACCATGATATTGAGCCATCCTTGAACGCAATCCCTCCTGCTCACAAGATTTACGCTGGAATGGTCTTGTCCACTTCCTCGACTTGACTTTGGTAAACCCCTTGGAGTGGCGGCACTCTTGTGGGATGCTGAGATAATTCGTAGTGGGACATGACTTCTCGTCAACAACCGTCTCCAATGGTCGATCTTATATAAGTCAGAGGCGAGGCGAGACGAATCTGGTCTTGTCAGGGAAACAGGGTCGAGAAGCGCTGCTGCAGGGGAAAAGTATTCCATCAAGCACAGCCACCGGGATTTGTTTGGCCTTGTTGCTGAGAACAGGTTCTCCTTGAGACCGCAGCTGTTCATGAGAGATGCCCATCACAGACCCTCGCTTTGCTGCTTTTGCAGATCCCGATTCCGTTGAAGAATCTCATGGCGAGCCTTCTGGATCGCGCTCACACGATGAGGATGAGGACCAAGACCCGCCCACGGATACTGACGGAAACGCTGGTTCAGGGTCGGACGACGAAGAGGACGACGAAGCTGAGGAGAGGGGCCTAGGGAAGGGGATGCTCCGCGATGGTTTCGCTGGCCCCTCGGAGAAGACCGTGAAACCTCTTACGCCTGAAGCACTCGCTGCGTTCAAGGCTGCGCAGGAGAAAACCGGCGTGGTGTACATCTCGCGCATACCGCCCGGGATGCGACCAACGAAGGTGCGACATCTCATGAGCGCGTACGGGGAGGTTGGAAGAGTGTATCTGCAGCAGGAAGGTTCGTTCGCGTTTGGCTTACCGTTACTCGCGTCGGGGGTTGACGTTATGAATCGATATGATTGATGCATTCAGACGCCAAACGTGCATACCTTCGCCGAAAATACACTGCGACCAAGAAGGTACACTACACCGAGGGCTGGGTTGAATTCAAGGACAAACGTGTGGCCAGGTCCGTCGCGGTGATGCTGAACGCCCAGCCCATCGGAGGGAAGAAGGGTTCGAGATGGAGGGATGACGTATGGACCATGAAGTATCTGCCCAAGTTCAAGTGGAATATGTTGACGGAGCAGATCGGTAAGTGCAGCTGGGCTCCCACCACAGTAACAATCCTTCTCACCCGTTTCCACAGCGCATGAAGCTGCTGTGCATGCTGCGCAGCTCCGAGTCGAGCTTTCTCAGTCGAGGAAGGAGCAGAGGGAGTACCTGAAGAACGTCGAGCTAGCTCGCGTTCTAGACAAGCGTGCGAAGCTGAAGGCAGTGGGCAATGACGGCTCAAGGGGCGCTGACGGCGAGGAGACTAGGCCACAGAAGGTGTCGAAGAAGGAACATGGGGACGTGTCTCCCAAGACAGCGCCTCGAGAGAAGCGCAGAAAACCCAAGCAGACTGAACCAAAACCAGATGCGGAGGCGCAACTGGACTCTGTGTTGGGTAGCATATTCTAGTTGACTTTCACGTAGAGAAATATACGTGTCAATGACATGGACCTTGCGTACTGCTGTACATGCGAGCACCATTAGAGTACAACATGTACATAGTACTATTCTCGTCGGCCGGTAAGTATGACAAATGGCGAAGTCTTTCGGTCGGAGCTTGAACCGGTCCCATAGACGAAGGCGGGATGACGCCCGTCTGTTGGACAGCGCGAACACACTGAGCTAGGCCTCAGCGAGCAGCGTGAACCCGGTGCTCGTAGTTGTGTCGCGATCCGAAGAGGTCTGTGCTTCCACCATGCTGGACTCCTCTCTCTTACACGCATTCATGACCAGTCTTTGCTTAACTGTTTCTCTTTTCTCTCCCTCTTCAGTTCTCATTCTGTAACCATGTCGTCTTGGACCTCTGCTTATCCTCATCCTCCTCCCCCTCGTGGTCGCTCGCGTTCTCGGTCTCCTTACCGTGGGGACGCGTACCCTCCGCGCCCCCCGTACCCGGAGCAGTACCCCCAAGATCCCTACCGCGCAGATTGGGAGGCGTATGACAGGGACAGGGCATGGGCCACTTATGAGCGAGAGAGACAGGCGTATGATTACTCCAGGCGTGGAAGGAGTCGCAGCCCACCGCCCCCTGACGAAGGTGAGTGTCTCTCGAGTTGATATATCGACCAACCGTTGAGGTGTCGTGGCCTTGTTCTAGCCGGTCGGAAGCGCCGGCGTTCATTATCGCCCTGGGAGCGGTCGCGGTATGAACCTAGACCCCGCTACAACGATGACTATGGTATGTTTTCCGTCACTTCTGGGGGCAAAAGTAGTGCTCTTATGTGGAACCAAGATGCTCATTCACGGGGAGGTTACGGATATGAACGTGGTCCGTATCCACCACCTCCGTACCCGGCTGGGCGAAGGGGTCCTCCGGACCCGCACACGTTCGACTATCCTGCGACGTTGAAGCAGTACGCGGAGTGGTTCCGTTACTACTATCCTCAGCAGGCCATGGAAGAGGACAGCGCCGACAAGGCTGCAGAACAAGAGGCCGGCGACGGCAGCAAACCTCGCAATGGAATCCGGTCGCGCTGGGAGAAGTATAAAAAAGAGTTTGCGGCCCAACAGGTTCGCCCTTCCCGTATGTCTGGTGGTTGTCTACGCCTCGGTACTCACGCCTTTATAAACGATCACCCAGCTTCAGCGCATGTTCGATCACCACAGGAAATCGCCGTGGTTTTCCGAGAAATACGATCCCGCTCCCGAGTTTCAGGCGATGCGCACGCGTGTTAGGAAGATTGGCTGGAAAGGGAGGATGGACACTTTCATCTTGGATCTCGAGTCCGGGAAGTTTGATCCCGACCTGAGCGAGCCTGTACCAGAGAGCACTTCGTCTACGAAGGAGAATGCCAACGGCGACTCCTCAGCGACGAACGGTGCTGGTGGGGATGTGAACAACGACGACACCAAGCCTTCCGGTGATGATGAGATGCAGTTCAATGTAGAGCCTGAGGAAGACAATGGTGGCGACGACGCGAATCGCCTCGGCGGGAATAAGAACAAGGCCGGTGCGAACCGCGGAGAAGAGGTCGCTGTGCCTCCGGAAGGCAATCAGGTTATGATTCGCACTATTCCCCCAGATATTGGCCGTGCGAAGTTGGAGGAAGTAAGCGCCTCCCTTGTACGCTCATACCTCCTTCCTGCTGACGTGTGGATTAGTCCATTAGCAAGCTTCCTGGTTTCGTCTACCTCGCCCTCGGCGATCCTCTTCAGAAGCGAAACTACTACCGAGCTGGTTGGATCAAGTTCACCGAGGATGTTGACATGCCGAACCTCATGACGGAGCTGTCGGAGAAGAAGGTGATCATTCTTTCGTTACCTTGCATGTTGAATGCTCATTTAGCTTTCGGCAGATCGAGGGTTTCAAGTTGCACGTTGCGCACATTACGAAGCCTTTTGTGACCCGGACACGCTTCACGCCTGAGGTCGCGAGCAAGCCGGACCGCCTTGTCAAAGATCTCGAGAATGCCAAGAGGCTTGCCTCCATCCTGGAGGAGGAATACCTGAACCTCCGTAGGGCGAAGATCGAGGGGAGGCCCCAGAACGGAGACGCCCCAGCGGGCGCCAACGGCGAGCGTGCCGAGGGTCCTCATGAGGACTCCACCATGACGGACGCGGAGGACGACCCAGAGCCTCGGGAGATGGGGAGCGAGGCTGTCGAGAGGCGCATCGAGAAGGTCATGGCAGACCTTCAAGAACAGGGTGCGGTGGACACCAGCGACGAGAAGGCTTTGGAAGCGAAGAGGGTATGATCCCTTTGCTTTGGCTCTCTTCCTGGGCTTGTCGACTAATCTCGTTTCTGCACGTTCACAGACGGTGATAGCTTTGGATCTGTATCTCGCCTATCTGCGAGCTGCTTTCAACACGTGCTACTACTGCGCAGTTATCACAGACCATGTAGAAGAATTGCAGCGGAAGTGTGTTAAGCACTTGAGAAAGCCCATGTCGAAGATGTTGCTGCAAGAAGTTCAGGCTGCTGAGGCTTCGAAGGCTGAGAAAGACCTTAAGGTTGATGAGGGCGCGGACGCTGCGAGGGAGAAGGATGCGTCGAACGCGAAGGAGAAATCAGAGAATCGAGACTGGAAGCGTAATGGTGCGTCTCTTGTTCAAGCAAGTCATGATATCACTCTGACGTGAGTCAGACGAGCGCTGGCTTGAATGGCTCGATTCCAAGATCGCGCTGCTCATTGACCGCAACGGAGTCGATCCTCGAGATTATGGTGGCAAGAGCTATGAAGAGTACATCCATTCTGTTGCGACCGTGCCGTGTCATCCTTACTGACTGTGATGCAGAGAGCTATCGCGAGCCTGCGAGCCTTACATTAAGCAGGAAGACGAAGGCAAGTTCCGCTGTAAGACTTGTCAGAAGTTGTTCAAGGCTACGTCTTTCGTCGAGAAACATATTGCGAACAAGCACGCAGACCTCGTGAAGAATCTTGAAGAGGTATACACCCTTCTGCATTTGGCAGCATGAGCTGTTCATTAACTCCTTTCTGCAGATACCGTACTTCAACAACTTCGCATTGGACCCACATCGGATCCAGCCTTTCACGCACCCTCCTCAGACAATGGGCTCCAGCCAACCTCCGCCCCCTCAGGCGTACGGCCTCCAAGCAACTGCGGCTTATCCCCCACCAGCAGCTTACGACGCTCGCCCACCTCCTTACAATCCTTACGTAGCTGGCGGCTACCCGCCATACCCTGGTCCCGCCTACTGGGACCCATACGCATATCCATACGGCGGCCCGTATCCTCCTCCACCCCGTCGAGATGATGGAGCTGTGCCGAGGCGGCTTAGTGACCGCATTAGTGGGATTGCCCCGAATCTCGATCTGCCGCTTGAGTCGATACCGGTGCCCGCGTCCGCAGGGCTGCCAGCAAAGCCTGCAGTAAGCTTGGAACCAGGTCCCGGTGCGCGTCGGGGGCGCGGTGGCGCCAACGGCCCGTCTCCCCCGCCTCCGCCAGATGCGAAGGAGGATCCCAGGGCGCAGGCAGGCAAGAAGGTTAGCTATGTTGACGTAGACCGTGTTGCTGAGGGCGATGTGGAGTTGTCGTACTAGTTCTTGTAATAATGTCGTATGGATGTCTGGTCTGGCTTCTGTCGTTCTGTTTCTGTCGAATTTCCGTGCAGGCTGCACGCCAAGAACCTCGTGTTCATTTCCATACACGTTGCAATGGACACGCCACCCCGCTCGTGGTTTTGAATTCTTCGCATGCCTTCAGGCTAGACTCCGCTTTCCGTTGGGTCCGGTGTGATCTCCGAACGCGTGTCCTTCTGTGCAAGTTCAGGGTGTGGGTAGAGGGGCACGGAGAGGATCTGCAGGGGTGTAGGCTCCGAGTAGGCTTCTCGCGAGGGAGTATTGTATACAGACCGCGCGGGTGTGCGGCCGAGTGTCCCTCAATGTATCAGACATCGGGGACTGCCAGTGCCCGCGCACTGGGCGTCGTGTTCCAGGAAGGGGAGCGTCAGCGGAGAGTATTGGTCGGATGCGCGCCACCGGGACGAGTGTTTTGGGGTGTTCGTGACGCGGACTGTGAACGAGCACGGTCACGACCCTGGTCACTTCGGTCGCCAAGTCTCGCCCCGATATTTTGTGGCCTTGTCGCCAACCTCCTCCTCCTCCTCTCTCCTCCGCCCTCTCCTCTTCCGTTCCCGCCACCATCTGACCCTGCTCTTTGACGGCCGCCTCTCTCGTCTTTCTCGGTGCTTGCTGGTCGGGTCCGCCTTTCTCGTGGCCATCCACTATGTCTGGCCCGAGGTTACCTTCAGTCCGTCTTCCGGCAATTGTCGCAGGGTCATCGGGAGACGAGGAGGAGGCCGTCGTCGTAGAGCTGCCTTCTTCCAGCAGGTTTGGCATCGCGTGGCCCGTCGAACTCACGCCTCCCCTTCCTGTCCCCGCGGAGCGTCCGGTTGGCGTCTCGCTTAGCTCGTCGGAAGGCGAGACTGACATCTCCGAGGAGGAACCCAGCGCACCGACGAGGCGTTCACGGCGCACCGAGGAGTACGTTGAATCCGAGTATGTCACGCCGACGAATCACCTTCACGCAGACCGGGACCCCATGGAGCAGGCAGGGCAACCGACCACCGTGCCCCGAATATCGAGGGCATTCTCCATGCCTCTCCCCTCCCAACTCGGGCCATTTCAGAACCCCCGGCGGGTTTCCTCTTCCCCAGACTCGCCTCCCGGGGCTGACCCCTCTGAGGAGCCTGTTCATTTGCAGGAGCTGTCTTTGGAGCTGGCAGACTCTGTGCAACTGGTCATTCAAACGCTTCTGCAGCTATCACCTCCACAGGTTTTGGATCCAGCCAAGGAGCAGTTCTCGGCGTGTTCCCTATCTATCCCCACACCTTCGGTCTCCGCCATGTTCACGTCCATGAAGAACCTCAACTATATGTCGGCCAACATGTCAACATTCTGCGCGGAAGGCTCCTCGCTCTCTCCGGCTCCCGTACCTGGCCGATCTAGGTCCGACACAGGGACGAACAACCACGTCGACTTCGACGTCGGAGAGATGCTACAGAGCGTGGGGGATGTTCTCAGCGGTATAGCCGCGCAGGCAGGGGTGGATCTGGTTTTGTTCCATGATGATCTAGCCATGCGACACGTTGCAGTGAAGGGTGACGAGAGTGGATTATCCTACACTCTATCCCATGTGAGTCCTCTTCTCTGTTCAACACTGATCCGCAAGGCGCCTGAACCTCCGGTCTAGATCCTTCGACAGGTCATCAGCGTCGCGAAGCGAGGGGACAGCATAGACATCGGGCTCTTCATTGAGTCGGCGATGGCTACTGGTCGGTCTCCGTCACCTGGCGAGATGCAGAGGTCTGGATCACCACAATTGGGTTCGGACGAACCGCTTCGTTGTTCCTTCCGTATCACGCACAGGTTCTCGAGCCAAGGACCGCAAACAGCTTCTACTCCTGAAGCTGGCGACATCGCTGGGGAATCCATGCCATCCTCTCCCCTCCCTACCCGAGGCCACCCCTCCTTTCAGACTCTGATCCTTCGTCGCTTACTTCACCACATGGATGCAGTCCTACAGTCTGACATGCCGTCGAAGGGGACATTCGCGGGGCGTTGCTGCACTCTAAGCATTACCCTTGACCGTGGCTCTCCTTCGGTCGTTGACCCCACTGTTCACTTATCACCTGAAGATGCTACCTACCTCGGCTACCCTGTTGAAATGCGGATAGCTTCTGAGCCGACTCTGAATCAATTAACGCAATTTGCGGAAAACCTCAGAGGTCGCAAGGTCACCCTTTTCGCTCATTCGAAGGGCTCCTTCGCACAGCACCTAACGAGCTACCTCACTTCCTGGGGTCTGGACGTCAGTCATGTATCAACGGAACCTGAGGCCGATCCCGTTCCAGAGGTTAGTGAGAAACCCGCCGAGGAGGATCTTTCCGCACCGCGCGAGGGGGCTGTTCCCGCTGGTACTCCTGACCAGCCTCCCGCTGCAGTGCCCTCGCCTCCTGGATCACAAGCAGCTGGTGAACCGATCATCCTCATCGATGACGACGTCAACGCTCTGCGGGCTAGGCTGCAAAAAATCCGCGCGGAACAGGCTTATCCTCTCAACCTTCACGCTCGCAAACGCCCATCACTTGCAAACAATCATAGGCCGCGCTCGTCGCCTCAGGTGGCGCGAGTAATGGGTTTCACTGCGGCCTCCGCCCAGCTCCCGCAGGCGACGCCGCCCGTTGTCATCGTGCACTACACGTCGCTGGCGAACTTCAAGTTGGTTAAGGACGCTATTCAGTCCATGATGTCCCCTGGTAATATGTGGACTCGCCTGCCAGAAGTTATCGTCGTTCCTAAACCCGCTGGACCACGCCGTATCTTGACCGCGTTGCATACGGCGGTCACGAAGCCTATCGTTGACCCGTTCTTCGCACCCATCGCCACTTCTCCCGTCAGTCCTGGCTTCCATCCTCTGTCACCACTCTGGTCTGCGAACAGCGCACAGCGGTCCCCGGGTGGACGATCTACTGCAAGTTGGCGCACTACTTCCGATCGATCGGCGAAGTCACCGAAAGAGGGAGCCGACACCGCTAGTTATCCTCCTTCGTCTCCTTTGGGCATCTCGGACAACATGGAGTACTTCTCTGACGCGGCATCGGCCACGAAGCTCGGATCGTCTCCCTCGTCAGGGCTGGTTATCCAAAGTCCAGACGGCTCACCGGCCGGCATCTTCTTTCATCCCAAGGCGAAGGGTAAGAGCACTCCTTGTTGTGACCGACTAATTGCTCACGCTGCCTCAGGAGAGCCTGTGTCACGGTCCCGTGGGCAGTCCTTCCGTCGTATCTCGGACGGCGACGACGGCAGGAAGGGCCCTTCCTCCTCCCAAGTAGATAGCCAGCGGCGCGGCTCACGGTCGTCCTACACTCAGGATAAGCCTCTTTCTTTGGAGGTGCCTCATGATGCAGGCACCCCCACGACGTCGTCAAAAGGCAAATCACGGCAGCCGTCGACAACGGAAATCGTGTCGACTGAGCCGGAGAGTGGTCCCATCCCTCCCGAGCCTGCGTTGCCTGCCGCGCCGAAAATACCGAGAAGATCAAGCCAGGATCCCCGTCATAGTCCTCCCTTGTCACCACAGGCACCTCGAACGCCGGTTGGTCCTACGACGACCCGACGACCCGCTAAGCGACCTACTGCGGAGACTTCAGCTTCCGCGCCTACTGTGATCCCAAAGAAAGGTGCTCGTAATGGGGAGCCAAACATCGTGCCGCCCATAAGTGTCCTCATTGTGGATGGTGCGTCTCTACGCAATTTTCGGCCTTGTCATTCAACCTCAGACGCTGTTTGCTAGATAACCCCATCAATCAAACGATTCTGTCGACGTTTATGAAGAAGAAAAAGATCAAGTACGATGTCGCCAAGAACGGAGAGGAAGCCGTCCAGAAGTGGCATTCGGGTGGCTTCCATCTCATCTTGGTATGTGTACTGCTCTGATTTGGCGCATCCATGTGCTCACTGTAAGCTACCAAGATGGATATACAGATGCCCGTCATGGACGGTATACAGGCCACCAAGGAGATTCGGAGATTGGAAAAAGTGAACGGCGTGGGAGGTTTCCCGTCTACCCCTCAGTCGGAAGGTCAGCAGACGCCTTCAGAAGCCTCGACTGCCTCAGACTCCAGGTCTACGATCACACCATCGTATCGTTCATCGGTGATTATCGTCGCGCTCACCGCGTCGTCGCTGCAAAGTGACCGTGTCGCCGCTCTTGCAGCTGGGTGCAATGACTTCCTCACGAAGCCCGTCTCGCTTCACTGGCTGAATAACAAGATTATCGAATGGGGTTCTATTAAGGCGCTGCAGATGTGGGCTGACATCCGGCCTGAAGTGGTGAGGAGCATAACGACTGGACAGGTGGCCCAGGCCCGGGATGTGGCGAGCAAGCTTCACGTTCCGGAGGGACGGGCCACCCCAGTCGCGCCGCGAAGTCGGTCCCCGTCGACGTTGCAGAAGCCACTATATCTGGACGCCGCGAAGGCAGCCGCTACTACGCTTTCCAAGGCAGACAGAGCTCCAGCCGCTGGTGCCCTTTCCGATGGTCATAGGTCGTCAGAAACGTCACCGGAGCCGCCCTCTAGGGCTGGATCGGCCGATACCGCAGGTATGTCAACCGTGCAGTCCATCCTCGAGTCAACGCTGAGTTGCGGTCTTTCCTTAGCTCCTATCTCCATTCGACGACGTGACGCAATTCCCCATGTATCGTCGTCAGACCTTGTCCAGAGTCCTCGTACGTTGCCGACCCTTGGTTAACCTAGTAGGCTTTGCTAACTCCAATTTCCGCATATCCAGCTTCACAAGGAGATGCGACTCCCTTGGCGCCAGAGCCTCCTGCCGCGGAATCGTCGGCTGATGGGGCTGCTGGGAACATGCCCGAAAGCCCAGCGGCATCCGATCCCCCTCCTCCGACTGCCCCTGACGATCGGCCTAGTGAGAAGGACGCTCCCGCCCTTTCCGATAACGCTGCCCCCGATAACGACCACGATCGACCGCCGCCGGCGGACCCGCAATGACGGTGCGGGGCGACCTTTGGGGTGTTTGCATGGTTTGCACTCCCACTTGTGATACCTTTCCTGCCAAAGGTCGCCGGGTATCTTCGTAAATTCTTCTGATGTCGCTTCATCCCCCTTGTGCCCCATGGATAGGACGGTTCGTGGGCTGTGGTACATCTCGTGTTCTGGCGCCAGTTCTTTCTTTGGGTCTCAGGTGGCCGTGTTATGGTGTGATTTCTGTTTCTATCTTGGGTTATAGCTGATTATGTCTGGGCTCTCGTGTCGTGACGTACTGTGCTCCCCCTAGTATCATGTCCTCTCCTCGTCCGATTTGCATTCTCCCGTATACCTCGCATCTGCTTCTCTGATGGCATACATGACCTGCTCCACATGCTCCTGTTTCATACTCGATTTCTGGCCCTATAGTGATCCGAATGGTGGCGTCCTCGCGCTTCTCTTCCATGCATCTTGTCTCTTCCCCCGTCCACTTCGCACCCCTGCTCACCATCATCTCAACCCCCCCTGTCTATCCGTCCATCATTTGCTTGCTGCTGTTCACTATTGTGCTGTATCATACGAAATCACTTACATAGCATATTCACGCATACTAGACACATATATCCATACACGATGGTATATCATTATCCCTTTTTGCACTCGACGCATCCACTGTAGGCAGAGGACGATGTAGAAACACGTACATAACGAGACACGAAACACGACTGTGGCTCGCGATCTGCCGCGGTGTCAAGGATGGGCCGGTATAGCGAGGAAGGGGAGGCGATAGACGTAAGAGCGGAGGTCCGCGGGGAGCGAGGTGGTAAGCTAAAGAGTACAGTAGAGGACAAGGTTCGCCCTGAGGGAAATCGAGAAGGGGAGGATGAGTTCTACACGCGGGCGGGGATGGTAAGGCTGCCTGACAAGCGAAGATCAGGAGAGGAGGGATGGGGAAAAGCCTGAGTCAATGAGAATGACAGTGCGGGAGGTTCAACCCTCGCGGGAACCGAAGCATGCCCTGCCGAGGGCGCGCCGCATCCGTCGCGTGGCTATCACGGCCGTCGACGGCTGTGCTGCGTGGGGTCTCGTGCGCCCCCGAGAAGAAACGGACTGCCTATCGCGGCCGGCAGCTCATATGTATCCGCTCCCCCTCTGCGCGAGCCCCCGGCCAAGGACATCAGAGTGCACTAGCGCGAGAAGGGTGCTCGCGGCGAGCGCGACGTGGAGAGCGAGGTGAGAAAATCCGGACAAGGCGTGGGTATGTCCGTACTTCGCGGGATGAGGGCGCCCTCTTACGAGAGGCCGCGCGCGTGGATGACGCTCGGGGGTAGGCCTGCGCTTCTGGATGGGATTGCGCAGATTGCTCCCGCGTCTAGGGTCTGTAGGTAACGTGAACTCGGACGAGTGGGCCGGCGGATCGAGAGCGAGCGCCAGCCGGCGATGCGTGCTGTAAGAGGCCGCGCATGAGGGCGGGCCCGCCGGGACTGCCGCCGAGGGGAGTCGGTGGGGCGGCCGGGGAGGGCGAGGGAACGTTCGCGGATGGGGCGGACAAGCGCGCGAGGGGGAATTGGAGGTTCGCGGAGGGATGGGAGCTCGCCGGGGGAGCGCCGGGCCACTGGGCGGAGTCGGAGATCGTATCTGATCTGAGGGAGAGGGAAAGGGGCCCTCGCGTGTTGTGACGTGCTTGCCTTTTCGGGGATGGCAATCTGGCGGGGCCGGCTCATCAGCCAGAAGCCAGAGCCTGAAGGCCACTCGCGTCCCTCCCTCCTCCTCTGTCCTCCCCTCCAATCCCTCCCTCCTCCCTCTTCCTCCCCACCCGGCCAGGCGACGCTCTACGTGCCTCGACATCGCCATGAACTCGATGCACGACCCCCACGTCCACAACAAGCGCACCTCCATCAACGAGCTCCTCAACCCCGTATCCGCGACGTCCTCCTCCCTCGGCCAGCCCTACGGCCGCCAGCAGCTCCCTAGTCTCTCTGCGGCACTACAGTACTCCCAACACCATCATCTTCCGCCGCCTTCCCAGTACTCCCAACACCCCCCTCCCCAGTTAAACCCTGGGCCGCAATTCAGCCTGCGCGCCGCCAACTGGGAGTCCTCCAAAGATGAACTTGGCCCTGCTGGCCGATCTGAGTCTGATGTCGCACCCTGTCGCTACTCTTCTTCGTCATCTGCCCCATCGCATCCCATGTATGCAGACACTTATCCGAGACACGCCAGGCCGGTCGAGGACACGCCTCATTACAGCATGGAGGCGACCCAATCGTGGCCTTCTTCTCACGAAACGCCTAGCGCGTCTTATGGGGCACCGATGATGTCGCAGGTCTACTCAGATGAGCGGGCAGGTAAGCTCTTCCTGTCATCGACGTCTCGGATCAGCCCCTCAACCTCGTCCTTTGTCCCAGCGGCGTCAGGAGAAGACATGTCCAGAGGTGAGTCTTCGATTGGATCCCACCGTGTGTCCCGTCAAACCGCCGACGCAGGGGCACCATACCCCCCACCGCAAGCGCCTCCGCAATCGCACCCGCAATATGAGCAAGAGATGCCCCCTCCGCCGCATCCACAGCCGCACCCGCACGCGTCTTACATCACCAACGCGTATCTCTCCTACTACACACACGCGCCTCCAACACGTGAATATTCATCAACTGTCGCTTGCGCTCTTCCACGCTGAATGAGACTTCTCTTGGCTTCGCAGCACGCGGTGGCCCTCCATCCATGGCAGTACACCCGCAGAATCACGGGCCCACGTCGCCGCAGGCTTATTACCCTGCGCCGGTAAACATGGCGTTTGCCGCCATTCCCATCGCTGCGCCGCCGCCAGCAATGCTCCAGCAACATCCAAAGAGGGCTCCAGAACCGTTGGAGGAGGAGCAGGTTGGACCGAGAGCCAAAAAGGCTAAGGCGACAAAATCCAAGGCACCTGAGTCGTCTGGTTAGTCAACGCGTCGTAGATGTGGGCGCGATTTACGTGCTCATTGCGTTTAGTATCATCCCGCCGAGCGTACAACCAGAAGAAACGCAATGAGGCAGCCCAAGGCTCTGCTCAAAATGGTAAGTCTTAATGTCGCTTCGTTGCCGTTTCAGGCGACGGGCCGATGCACCTTGTCTTCTAGCTCCAGTGATGCTGTATGCTCACGCATCTGACGGTGCAGGCAAAGAGAAAGCATCCGGTTCCAACGGTACAGTGGATTTTTACGTGTTATCATTCCATCGCTCATATCGCCGCAGCTCCATCCTACGGCGCCATGCGGATTGTAGCGGAGGATGCCAACAGCAACCCCGACACGGCTGGTCCTCTGCAGCCCGAGCTTCAGTTCGCCCGTTGCATGTCCAACCGTTACCGCTCGGAAGAATTCCCCCGTTGCGTGTCGTGTACGCGACGATGGGCTGGGGATACCTGCAGGTTCCAGGGTATCCGGTTCTTCCTCAAGAATCAGAACAGGGATATCGTAGGCATCAGCTTCGTGGAGAGTCAGAAACCTGACGCCCCGACGATGAACTTCCCGAACAAGTGGAACATCAACCTCGAGATGGATCACATATATCGCGTCAAGGTTGGCTGTATGCACAACTAGCGGCTAACTTCGGCTAACACTTTCACTGTAGCGAACGGTCGCGGTTGCGCTTTTGCCTATCCTGAAACAGGAGATGCAGCACCTCAGCTTGCCCGAAATTATTCGTCGGCCGCGCGAGAGCGAAGTACGTGCAACGTGCGGTGGGTGGTCTCGAACCCCTGACCCGTGACAGGTCCCTGATAGCTATAACAGACACTTGTATGACGTCCATCTTCTCCAGTAGTTGGATGTGCCGTCTCTGTGGGCGCGAGGCTTGCGCGGAGTGCTTCGAGCAGGTCAAGGAGCTAACCACCGATAGAATCGGCGCGCCAGAGGCCGAAATTGCGGCGCTCCAGGCTCGCCGGGAGAAGCACGCGCACGTTAACCCCTTCTTCCTCTCGTGCACGCGTAGAAACGAGCACCAGGCCAAAGATTTCTCACCTATGTCGCGCTTCTGCAAGACGGAACTGACTCAAGCTATCGAAGAGATGGAGGCGCTGGTCAAGCGCCCTCCGGCAGCCGACCAGGAGTCGAGCGATGAATCGCAGTTCAGGATGGTCAAGTCGCCCCCCAAGACTCCCAGGGACGTCTGGGGCAACGCGAGCCCGAGCTCCTCGTCGTCTTCGGCGGTGGGCGACGTCGTGAAAGTGACGGAATCGTCGTCGTTCGTCAGCGCTTCGGCATCGTCGGCATCCTCTGCGTCGAGCGGCTCGAGCATCCCTTCGCACGAAACGATAACGTTCGCAGACGCCGAGCTCACAGACGAGAAGTTCCGCCGTGCATGGGAAAAGGGCCTGCCCCTGGTCGTCAACGGACTCCTCTCGAAGTTCCACCTGCAGTGGACGCCGGAGTACTTCAGCAGCAAGTACGGCACGCAGAGCTGCTTGATCCTGGAGTGCCAGACGGAGCAGAACAAGCGGGTCACCGTCGCCGAATTCTTCTCCCTCTTTGGCAAGTACGAGGGCCGGCGGGATTGCTGGAAGCTCAAGGTGCGGCTCGGCGCGCTTCCACCGCTATCTTGCCGCTGATTCTCCGTCAACGGTTTCCTTACTTTCTTTGCAGGACTGGCCGCCGTCGACTGATTTCAAGACAGCGTTCCCGGAGCTCTTTGACGACTTCAGCCGTGCGACGCCGGTTCCTAACTATGTCCGTCGCGATGGCGTCTTGAACATCGCGTCGCACTTCCCAAGCAACGCGATTGCGCCCGACCTCGGTAAGCCGCTCAATCCCCACGCCGCGTGCCCATTCATCTCTCCCCGCTGACGTATTCACGATGTGCCTAGGCCCAAAGATGTACAACGCAATGGCTTCCTTCGAGTCTCAGGGCAGTAAGGGATCGACTAGGCTGCATATGGACATGGCGGACGCGATCAACATCATGGCCTACGCCTCACCCACGCCGGACGGTCGTCCCGGATGTGCGGCGTGGGACATCTTCAGGGCGGAAGACACGCCTAAACTGCGCAAGTTCTTGCGGAAGAAGTTTAAGGGCCAGTATCAGCATGACCCCATCCACTCGCAGCAATTCTACCTCGACTCCACGCTCAGGCAGGAACTGTACAAGGACTACGGCGTCCACAGCCACCGCATCTACCAGCGGCCTGGGGAGGCGGTCCTCGTCCCTGCCGGGTGCGCCCATCAGGTTCGTACCGTGCTTGCTGCCCGTGACCGCTAAGCGGTTGCGCGTGGTGGTTGGGAAGTGACGGAAGCTGGCGTCGGCTAACTTACTGTACACAGGTGTGCAACCTCGCGGACTGCATCAAGGTCGCGTGCGACTTCGTGAGCCCGGAGAACATCGCGCGGTGCGAGATCCTCACGCGGGAGTTCCGCGAGCAGAACCAGTCGATGGCGTGGAAGGAGGACGTGCTCCAGCTGCGCACGATGATGTGGTTCGCCTGGCTCTCGTGCGCGCGCCAGGAAAAGGAGATGCTGGAGGGGTAAGGTCGCCTCGAAGGGCCGCTGGTCGTCGCCGATGAAGGACGCTTTGTTCGTTGTCGCCGGAACGTTGTGTTTCCTATTTCTCTTCACAGCTATCGCCGCCCAATTCCCCCACTTTCCCCACTCTCATCTCGATCGCCGCCACATGTCGTCGTCCCCCAGCCTATCCTCGTCGCCGTCCCATTCTATATGTACTATATCCTCTCACGCGAATCGTCTCCTTGTTTACGTGCTTCCACCGTGCTTTGTAGTGTCCGTCTGATCTGCTGCGCGTCGTCACCTCTTCTCCTTCTCTGTCCTATCCACGAGTCGCTGTTCCTCCGTTATGATATTACGTCAATCCACATATGCTTCTCAGTGACTCATAGCAATTTGTCGATAGTTATATTGTGTCAGACTCTCAATCGAATGAACTGTGTCAAGGTTCTCTCGTCCGCTGCCGATCTTCTCGGTCTGCTGTGCGTTATCCGTGCGGTCTGTTCTTCTGTCCGCATTGCCTATCGTCTGGTGTGAAGCATAGTCTATTGGTAAAGACGTTCATTTCGTATAGAACACAGTCCGGGTAGATCGCGCTGCGATCTGCTGTGGCGTACCCCACATTCGCCAACGTGTTTGCGGTTGGTAGCATGCCTCGCGCACGCCAAGTGGGCGGCCTTCGGGCGTACCCCCTGGAATGCCACGCATGGTATTCGGAATGCGAAGCAGGTGCAGATACAAGGCGATACTGGCGAGCCAACTCGCTGGGCCCCATCGATCATATCTCCGGTCCATGCTAACCATTGAAAGTCAGCTTCGACGCTCATGCCACCGTGCCGACAATCAGTCCCAACGACGACACAGCGCGCTGGAGACGTCGCTGACAGTTGGCGGACCGTGTGCGACGATTGCGACCAGATGACGATTGCGACCAGATTACACGTAAGTAAATCTGGCCTCTTGCAGGTGCTCACCGCCGGCGGGAAGCAGCCCCGCAAAGCCGGGCGACGGCACACGCGGGCGGTCTGAGTTTTCGCGGCGAGACGGCAGGGGCAGGGGGGCTTCTCCCGAGTGCCGGTCCTAGAACAAAGGGAGAAGGTGCAGAGCGTACCGCACGCGTCTGAAATTCCCGCGTGACCTACTAGCAAGAGTAAGACGGGCTGGATGCGCGGTCGGCTCGGGTGCATGAAACCAGCCTTTTAGGCATGGATGTTTTGTGATCTGCCAGGGGTTGGAGCCACGCCGGGAGGAGCTGGAATGCGGCAGGTACCTCATTCGTACCCCAATTCTGCTGACGTCTTACGGGCGAAGCGTTGCTGCGCGCTCGACTAGAAGCCGCGGCCAAGGTTTGGGCGAGAACCTGTGAGCGGCGCGGATAGGACGCGCCTGTGTTTAGAAGTGTGGAAGGGCGCAAACCTTGGCCGTTCATTCTCGTCTCATCTCCCTGCCGCCGAGCGTGTGGGCTCCTGCCGCGTTCTGTGCTTCTTGTTCGTCGTTCTCTGCGTAGACTCGAGGGAACCGGCTACATGTCAGGGTGTCCCCTCTGGGAAAGGACTAATTGCCCGTCACATGGGCCTTCCCGCGATAGCTTGCGCAGGGTTGAGAACCCTGCGTTGGGATTCTGCGGCGAGACTTCCGCGTGGAACCGTAGCTCGGCGGCAGGCCGCGGCACGATCTCTTGGCAAACTCGACGGAGGCAATTTGGTCGGAAGACGGTGTTCGTGTCTGGTGCGGAAGTCAGAAGGCTCTTGCCCCCAATGAAAGAGCGTTCCTACAGGGGTCGAACGCACCTCTGTACGACGTGACAATAGCATCCAGGCTCTGGCGGAACGGCTGCCTGCGGGGTTCTTCAAATGGGCGGTATCGACGGCGCTATGAAGTCGGGTTTGGACCGGGAATTAGGCAAGCAGGGACTTCTTCGCAGCACGCCTGCATAAATAAGCGCAGAACGTTAATTCAGTACTGCCCCCCTTTGTCAGTCTCGTTTGGTCAGCGAAAAGTGGAGACGATCAACAATCCTGGGGCGTGGGGCACTGTGCGAGCACGCCGCTGGACAGTCCAGCGGCTAGATACCTATGAGAAACCAAGGGCCTGGCGCGATTCGACGGCCTATCATCATTACGAAAGACCATGATCATAACTCCGCGATGGATATTGTCCCGCGGTCGCATTTCAGCATCAAGCGCGGGTTGCAGCATACTGGGCCGCCAATGTGTCAATCGCAACAGTTTTCGGAGGTAGCTCGTATAAATCTAACGCTTCAACAGTATTGTGGCGTGGGCTAGAGCGATTGCGGGATCGCCGGCTGGATTCACCCGATGCTGAAGACAGGGACCTGAAACCCAGGAATGGTGTCAGCATCCTCTCGTTAGCCCCCTAACTGGGGTAGGCTGATCCTCGGCCTCCAAGCACTTCTTTAGAAAGGAATCCTCCGGCTCATTGAGTGTACCGAAGTGTCGCAGGAAGCGGTTTCGAAGCGGGTATCGTCAGCATGGATACAAAGGACACATGTGCTTTGGGTGGTTGTTGGACCAAAACGGCAGGGCCTCCAGCAGTGCATAGAATCCTGGATCGCTGCAGGCTATTTGTGACAACGGCATTCACCTATCCGAGGTTGACGACGGTCAGTTCTATTGACGCGAAGAATGGCACAGAAGTCAGCTGGGAAAACGCTCACTGGTTGCCTCAGTATATAGGCGGTAGCCACGGTCGTTCGAGCCTGAGACTCGTGACGGACTATTTTACTAAGCCTTTCCTGATGTTCGGAGCGACTTCGAAGATGAACGCCACATAATGGAGCCGGAGGCTTCAGCTACCAGCAGCGCAGTAAGTAATCAAGTAATCAAGTTCAACAGTCACAGTAAGGTTCGATCAAAGCGATGGAAGCGTGCCCCAATTTGTTTGATGCGCCGGCTCCCAAAGCAAGCGCTCTGGGCGCTCCACGCACGATCGTCGGGATTACGCGCCTATACGTGACAACATCCATTCTTGACTAAACATGAGAGGAAAGTCGCGTAGAGTTGTGCGTTGGCAGCATGGCACTCTCGGTAACGCTGACGCGGTCGATATTGCCGTAGCTTCAGGCATGCTGTATATTCGTGGACTCACACTCCGAGACATAGTGATTTATCTACAACACAGGCCGACTTGACGTAAATCTTGCAGACACGGAGATTGACGGAGACCTACATGTACCAGCTGGAGCTGTACCTGAAGGGGGAATGAACTCCGAAATTGTGAGATCCACCGCCGAGGATTCCCTCATGTGCCGTCTCAGAATATATGAATATTGCTATCCGTTTCCAAGCCGCCACGCGGGTTGACTACTGTACAAGCAGAGGAATGAGAGTAGCAACCCGAAAAGACCTGGGTCGAGAGGCGTTTCACAGGTCCTGCACGACCATCCTGGACGCACCGCCATCAGCTGTGACGCGCCGTCTGGTTCTTACATGCAGGTATCGACGCCCAAAGTGCTGCAGCCCCGGTGCACCGACGCATGTCCTAGACGGAAAAACGCCGAGACCGGACGGTGCGAGAATTATAGCCTCTCCTGTCTGCGCACATGACACTTGGTAAGAACGCAGAGCAGCATGGTGAAGCACAGGACACTGGCCTTCAACTTCACGACGTGATCGAACGCATCCTCATCGGAGAAGTCAGCTGAGACACGTTTGATAATGGCGTCCCACCAGGCTGGCGAGGAGAAGCGATGAAGAATGGCTATGCTGCATAAGTCGATGAGAACCGGAGGGAGCACCGTCGGTTCTAGTAAGAACGGCGTGAACGTGGATTAGTCCTGCAACTTCAGTCCACCGACGCATATGCAAACTCTAGGCTACCTTGCGTGCTGATGATGACTCTCATAGCGAGGTGTCGTTGTTGCCTCGTCAACTCAGTCAGAGCCTTGGTGAGGCCGGTGAAGCTCCTATTCGATGACAAGTACTACAAAGACAGCGCGTCAGTTCATTCGTGTGGGAGGTCAATTCTAGACAAATCAGCCTTCACCTTGTGTGCTTCGTCAACGACGAGAACCTTACCAGTACCGACATCGGCGCGCACGAAAAGACGAGTAACGATCTCAAACAGGGCACACGCCATTGGTGGGTCAATGAATGGATCTGACAGGTCTATGATGGTCAGCTGGCCAGGACCAAACCGCGTCTTGGACTTGGCCGCTGAACCATCGACGTATGTCTTGAGGAGAACCAGACGTTGATCCAGCGCGTTTGTCTGCATGGCGTTCATCTCTTTCTTCGCAATTTCTATCTGCTTCAAGAATTGTGCATAGGTGAACCGTTCTCCAAGGTCGCGCAAGATGGACTGGAACGCCCTGTTAGCACCTATCATTCGACTATTCCAAGTTTTAGTACTAGACTCACCAAGACTCGATGCATATACAAAGGCGCGGATTCGGATGTGCCAATCGCCATCATAGAGAGAATTGCCTGAGCATCTAGCTCACTTTCGGAGAATTGGAGAGGCTCTAGCGACACATTGTCGCCCAATACGGAGTAAACTCGACGCATGGTGTGGATAGAGGACCGCGAGACATAGACATTGACCTTCGGTGGACATGCGCCCTCAATCCGGCTTTGCCCAATGAATGCAGCTTCGCAAGGAAGCGAGCCGGAGCCGCCCTCTCCGAAGTGAAGGACGAGGCCGCTGAGAGTCTTGTGCGAGTTACCAATGGCGGCGCATCCAGAGACCAGCATGTTTTCTAGAAGGACCGATACGGTATGCGACTTCCCAGAGCCCTGCACTCCACAGACGATCGCTGAAAATGGAGCGTTCTGTCACGATGCGTGTGAGAGCTGAGGGGTGGAGCAGAGGCGCTCTGGTAACACTTACGGTGTTCACGTACAGGCGCGGGTCGTGAGGTTTGTAGCTGCCGCCTTTCTCACTATCCACACTTCAGCATGTTGAGCTGTCTCACGAGAGACAATGCTCACCAAATAGCGCTAACGCTTCCGAGGACGCCATACTGGGACTTCTTGAGAGCCATCCCGGCTGCTTCGTATGCTCCTCTGGTAAGCAGTGGTGCTGTGATCACCTCGTGCTCGTCCGTGGCGTCTTCGATTGAAGGTTCGAGGTTCAAGAGTTGCATCTCCTGAGCATGAGGATCAGCAGTGACCAAGCATGGTCCCTCTCGTTGTCAATTCTAACCTCTTCAGATCCAAAGAGGGACTTTTGAAGGTTGTTAGTCTCTTGTGCTGGAATACGGGTGTATCGCAGTACTCACGGTGGCAGAGGTGGAAGCAGAATGGGGTGACGAGCTCCGTGTGGTATTCCCGCTACCCTAATGTATTGCCGTTAGCAGTAAGCCTGATTGAAACTTGACAATTTGCGACTACCTGGGAAGCAGTCGAGCGAGAGTCTAAGGGCGACGACGGTGGAGCCATAATTTGGACTGTGTATGATCGTGGGAGGTGACGAATACAGTGCCAACAGCTGAGATTAAACTGAGGCAGATGGAGAGGATAGATCCACAACAAGGAGAGACCGAGGTTGTCTTAAGAGCTTGGATGCAGCGTGTTGACTGCATCGTGCTGCGGCAACGGCGCGTATGAGGGTCTTGTAGCATCAGCTTTGTGCACGTTCCATAGGCCTGTATGAAGTCAAAAAGAGGCGAGAATCGAACGAAGGACGCAGTAAAACGATCAGACGTCACTTACAAAAAACGTGCCCATGCCGAACTGGTACGAGGGACTCTCTATTATGGCAAGCGCTCGTAGAGGGGGTGTAAGAGTTAGGCCGATCACTCAAAAAGGCCTGAGGATGGGTAGCAACAGCGATTGCTTTACGCCGAGTCGTCGTGCTCCGCAATTTCTCCTCCTGAAGATGGGACATGATCAAGCGGAGAGAGCTAAGGAAGAACTTCACGAAACTTACCGCAGCCCCAGCGCCTTGCCAGGATAAGCGCTGATTAACACACATCGCCTGCGAAGCAGGGGGATCAGTACTGCAAACAGCCGGACCGAGAGTCCAAGGAGTCTCCAAGCTCTTCAAAAAGTTCCATACTGCGTCAAGCTGGGGTGTCTATCGGAGGATATAGAAGATATACTAGTACGAAGAACAAAAGGAGGGGGGAGCAAAGTCTCCATCAGATCCTCACAGGGTGATTCACCCATTCAGCGCCATAATGGATGCTCCGCCGTCAACTGTAATCTTACGCCGTGTCTTCATAAGCATATAGCGCTGCCCAAAGTGAGCGACCTGTGGCTTCCCATGCACCACGGCTCCCGACGGGGTCCTCCTCGTGGTGGTGAAGAGGCCGAGACCGCTGGGGCACAACACGAGTGCTTGGCCTGTCTGTTCGAGTGGCGTGAGCCGGTCGTCGGCATACGCAAACTGTAGAAGGAACACCCCAGAAATGATACTCACCTTGAGCTTTACTACTTGCTCGAACCCCTGAGCGGCGGAGACGTCGGCGCATACACGCTTCGCGACGGCTTCCCACCAGGCTGGTGATGAGAACCGATGGAATATGGCAATGCTGACCAGATCCATAAGTACTGGAGGTACTGCGGTCGGCTCTAGGGTGCATACACGTCAATAGAAGGTGATGGTGGGAGTTATGAAGACTCTACCTTGGGTACTGATGACGACGCGCATAGCAAGGTGACGCTGCTGACGGACGAGAGACGTCAGAGCCTTCGTCAGGGCGGTATCCCCGCGATTGGCAGAAAGATACTGAGACTCAATTAGTGAAGGCACTACGTTTGCGCCTCGACTAGCTGACCTTGTGAGCTTCGTCCACAACGAGAAACTTCCCGGCGTTCGTTTTAGATCGCACAAAAAGACGCGTCACAATCTCGAACAGTGAACATGCACTTGTGGGGTCGATGAAGGGGTCGGAGAGGTCAACAACTGTCAACTGCCCATTCCGGAACAACGACTTTTTGCGTCCCTGCTCTGGCAGAACAAAAGAGTCCAAAAGCGCAAGCCTCTGACTGAGCATGGCTTTCTGAGCCGGGTTCATGTCTTTCTTCGCTTTATCGATCTCAGATAGGAACCCCCTGTATGTAAATCCTTCGCCAAGCTCGCGAAGGATCGACTGATGTGCATTTATCAGCAGATGCATCCATGTCATAACGGAGACATACCAGGATAGAATGCATATACAAGGGTGCGGATTCCGACGAACCCAGAGCCATCATAGACAGAATCGCCTGGGCATCCAATTCCGTCTCTAGGAAGTGCAGCGGGCTGACCTCTACGTTTGCGAGAGGAGCATACACTTGCTTCATAGTGGCGTAGGAAGAATGCGATACATAGACATGGACGGGTGGTGAATTAACGTCTTCTCCTTTGGGGCAGCCGATCCAGGCCGCCTCGCAAGGCTGCGCACCGGAACCGCCTTCGCTGAAGTGCAGTACGAGTCCTGAAAGTGCCTCTTTACAAGAGCCGATGCTAGAGCAACCCGAGTATAGCATGTTCTCCAGCATTACCGAGACTGTATGTGACTTTCCCGAGCCTTGGACGCCACAAACTAAAGCCGAGAACGGGGCATTCTACCATACGTATTGGGATGTGAGTGGCTTGTACTCGTACGCTGCAAATACATCGCACCGTATTGACATAGAGACGAGATTCTGCTGGCTTTTGCGAGCCTGATGATTGGCTACGGGAGTGTGTGGTCATGGACACAAAGAAGCAACATCCAGACGCTATACGCACTGGATAGATATAATACGTCCTAGCACACCGTACTGGCTGTGCTCGTCGGCCAAACCAGCTTGGAGAAATGCGTCTCTAGTGAAGAGAGGAGCCGTCTTCACTTCGTGTTCCTCTATTACTTCATCAAGGGTTAAATCGTCCGACAACAGAGTCAATTCCTGCTAACGTGTCAGCCCAACCGACCGACTCTGAAGTCCCTAGAGTACTCACTTCAACTGCGTTATCTTCATTCTAGGTCATTATCGATCGTCAGAGAACGCGGTGATAAATAGGCGCAGCACAATCACTAGCTCAGCTAATTTCGACATCTTGCGTGTGACCACTCCACCTCGGGATGTAGGCGGTTGCACCGAAGCAGACCTCCTTTGAACCTTTTCTTTCATTGACACAAAGTTACGGCGCTATCCACAGGTAGAATGAGTAGATCGTGAACTCGTGTATGCAGATCGTGGCAACTGTAGTAGATGGTGGTCTGAGGAAAGCACCGCGCGTCAGGCAGGCGCTTGCCAGCCAACGCGTCGCGTCGTGCAAGTCACATGATCCTAACAGAATCTTTCGCTGCCTGCGCAGGATTCGACTCGTGCACTACGCTTTACCTCATCACTCTCACTACATTCGTCTGCCCGAGTCATGGCTCTATTCGAAGTCCCGGGATGGAGCGTACCATCCGCGCCGGTTACTCAGGTCAGCAAGAAACGCAAACGACCTACAACGAAGGCTTCCACCGATGATGTCGACGACGTGGAGCGAATGAATTCAGCGCAGAAGAACATTGAGAAGCTTATGAGGACTCTCGGTGCAGGAATGGGCGCACTAGAGGCTGACAGCGAAGTACTCCCAGTAAAGAAGAAGCGCGAGGGTAAGGAGAAGAAGGCAAACGGGGCAGAGCAGGTCCAGGAGCAGGATGCAGGAAGAGGGCGCAAGGCGAACAAGGAAAAAAAGAAGGCCGGATCGAGGCCAAGCAATAGCAAGGAGCGGCAGACGAAAGATAGCAAAAAGATCGACGGAGCAGCCCTTGACAAACTCAGTCCGTCTCCCGCAAAAAGCAAGAAGCAAAAACAGAAGAAGAAACGCGCTCTGTCTGCAGATGCCCGCTTCGATGCAGATTCTGCTCATGACGACATCACGGGTCCACCGGTTATGCCTGTGTCTAAGGATGGTGCACAGACTCCAGGGAAGAAAGCAAACATCGGCAAAGACAAGCAGACGCAGGAGGGGCTGACGGCCCTTCAGGCTAAGATGAAGAACAGTTTAGATGGCGCTCGCTTCAGGTACGTCTTGCTCACAGGGACATTGCAGCCTTCGATGTCATAACGAGTGCGTAGATGGATCAATGAGATGCTCTACAAGTCTGACAGCAAGAAGGCGCATGAATTGATGAGCCAGGATCCTGCCGTCTTTGCAGACGTAAGCTCGTCGCCATGAGTTTCATTCAATCCGCACTCACCTGCCTACTGTACAGTATCATACGGGATTCCGCCATCAAGTCGAGTCATGGCCTACTAATCCGGTATCCCACTACATCTCCACGCTGTCTTCTTATCCAGCAAAGACGGTCATCGCAGACCTCGGTTGCGGCGACGCAGCCCTCGCACGCGCTCTCGTCCCGAAGGGCATGTCTGTACTTTCCTTCGATCTCCGTTCAGACGACGCGTATGTCATCGAAGCAGATATATGTTCGCGTATACCCCTGCCCGGGTCGGAACCAAGCGCTGAAGGAGAAGGCGAGGCTCAAGTTGTCGATGTAGTCGTTTGCGCGCTTAGCCTGATGGGTACAAACTGGCCTGTTTGCATCCGTGAAGCGTGGAGGATCTTAAGACTAGAGTACGTTGCCGCAATTTCAATGTCTACACACGTCGTTCTTAACTTTTCTTGCAGAGGCGAATTGAAGATTGCAGAAGTGACGAGTCGCTTCGCGAGCGTGAATGATTTCACGTCCTTCGTTGCATCCTTTGGATTCAAGCTCAAGTCAAAGGTGAGGACTCACGAACCATGCGACTCGTCTTCGGTGCTGACTGATGTCAGGACGAGCGCAACACGCATTTTGCCCTATTCGAGTTCAAGAAGGTACCGCGGAAGCCAAAAGTTGAGAAGGACTGGGAGAAGCTTTTGTCACGCGGGGGCATTCTCAAGCCTTGCGAATACAAGCGACGGTAATTCATGTTGATAGACTCTCAGCTTGTTGCAGCGAGCCTGGCGTTGTGTCACGTTCGTGCTCGCCTCGCACCTTCGTTTGCTGATGGCCAATACGATGCGCGATTTCAACCATTCCGACCTCCCCGACGTGGAGTGCGACGTCGTTCACGAACTGGTGCATGCCTCCCTACATAAGTATAATCGTATCGCCCACCATTAACTATCTTCCCTCCACGACTATAGTCGAACGCGATCCGCTGCAGCATCCGCCCGCTCTGCCCCCATGAGGTGATCTGGATCCTGACGTTATATTGTTGTTCTGACCAAAGTCTTGTAGAGAAACTGGCTCCGAAAGATCACTCGCTGGGTACAATACAGCGAAGCAACGCGCTCTCCCTTCCATGCAAGCTTCAGCGTTCTGATTCAGTCCGACGATCGCCGTTCTCATCGGCGAACATACGTTTGCCTTCGTATTTGATGCTCCGAGCACGAGCGGATAAGATAATCAGTACAAGTGGCTACGCGTGGTGCATCTCTGCCAGCACTGGCGCCGGGTTGCGCTGCGAGTGGGCCGCAGCACTTCGTGGGCGTTTCTCGTCTTCGAGGAGTTTCGCTTCCCAGAGAAATGGTTCAGAACGTGCATCGGGCGTGCGTCTCCGTGTCCCCTAGTCATCGTCTACTACCAGGCGTCGCAGCTCCGAGTTCGTGGACAAGTCTGGACTCCGACGCATCAGGGAGCACTTAGCCCCGCATCCGCGACCTTACCGTCATCGTTGAGTCTGACTATGCCACGGATATGCTCTGGAAGACATTGCGCAAGCCTGCCCCCGGTGACGCAACTCCATCTTATCTCCCCCGTTACGGCGTGTTCATCTAAAATATCCTGATCTAGAGGCCCCAACGATGGACTTCGTGGACTTCACCGCTTCCTTCACTCCATACATGACCTCCCGATCAAAGTGCCTGGGGCCGCAGGCCACGTTCCTTCTGTCTCACCTGGCCTTTGCCCGAGCATACGTCGATATTACTCAATCGGTACACAGGCGACGCCCACGAGATTTCCTCCCTGAGCGCAGCGCTTTTCGGGCTCGTCAAATTCGGACCCTTCTGCATCACTTGGAACGCTCCTCCGCCAGATTTCTTCGGAGAGGAAACGACGTATACTCTCCTAGCTGGGCAGGCGCGATCATATGCGTCATGCGTCTATGGGAATATATCCCCCCGTGCCTGGCCCTGAACATCAGCAATGGCACGGACCCAATACACGAGGTCGTCCAGAAAGTCCCGGTCCCTCTCCGTCCAAGAAGCAATGTACCGTCGGAGCGGCGCGCGGGAATCCTCGGCACTAATCTGCACTACACGCTCTCTCTGTTAAGACCGAGTCTGTGGATGACATCCGAGACTCAGAAGTCGAAGGTGCGGCGAGAGTTGTGATCCCTCGGTTGTAAATGTCAAGCTCGTTGAATTCCCGTTCCCTCCTCCCCGCTACCTGAACGGTTCTCAGGGTTCTGAACGCTGCTGTAGCGAACGGTGCGAGCTCAGAGATGGGCGAAGGAGCAAGCGAGGCATCGAAGTGAGGAATTCGTGGGAGGTTCTCATAGACGTCGTTAGTTGCCAGTGGGTGTCATGGATTGGATTGGGACGGTCGAATGCGTCAATCGCGAGCACATGAAAACCCCAGGCATCTGAGGCCGCTTCGAGCATCGCGCCTATGGTGGTTTCGGATGGTACTATCGTGTCGAGAGACCCCTACGAGGTGAAAATCCACGCTATCGCCCTTGGAGGAGTCTGCGAACTCTTGGGTGCTTCTCGAAGTCCCGGTTGGTTGCTCGTCCCGGGGCAGTCCGTGTACGTTGACGCCTCTTTCTCCGCTATGCATGGGAGCAATGCTCGCATGTGACCGCGGTCTCATGCTCACATTGAGCAATGCACAAGGAGCCCCAGAAGGAGTATGATAGTGCGTCGAATCAGTCCCAGCCTGTCGTCTGCATGATATGTTCTCTGACATGTGTGGCGCCCATATTCTCGTAAGACGTACGCATCAGCGGCCTCTTCGACCCTTTTGGCGACGAGCATTCATGCGTCATTGCTTCCATGACACCTGAACGTTTATGAACCCTAACTTACCGTCTACGGCAGCATTCAGTGGCAGACGCGCGCTTCCGCTGCACTTATCTGCCTTGCGCCCTACCCGACGAAGGGGAACGACAATCAAGCCTCTCCTTCTGCCACTATGTCCACAGCGGGCGTGCTCCCCAATCCTGCATCCGTTTCGAGGTGAGCACTGGCCTTGACTTCCGCTGGTCAGCTCATACATGTGAGCTGACATGCATCTAGCGTACGCTATCACGGTAGTGTTGTCCTCGAGAGGGGCACTCCCCCGCTGACCGGGTTCACGCAACCTCCGTGTATAAAACTTCCTCCGGAAATCCTGTCGAAGGTCTTCCTCATCCACTTGGCGCGTCTCCGCGACGAGCATCTTCACAACCTCTTGGACCCGTGGCGCGATGGTCCGACCTCGCGATACTACAAATGGATTCTTGTCACACACGTGTGTCGCTATTGGCGGGATGTCGCCCACAACTACGCGAAGTTGTGGACCTTCGTGGCGCTGCAACCCCGCACTGTTCCCGGGGTCCTCCATCCCGATGTTCTGCAGCGGGCAGGTAGACTCAACCTCTCCATCGTCTACCACCAGACCCGGAGTCCTACCCGCGAGGGCAAGGCATGGCGTACTCCCGCTGTTGCGCAGATCCGCCATCTGCTGCCCAGGATCCGGGACCTTTACCTCGTCCTCGACGACACCGATTGCACTGCGGGCGAGCTCTGCGGTGCCTTAAAGCGACCGGCGGAAAATCTCAGATCCCTCCATATTGCTTTCGGTTCTGAAGCACCATGCCAGATCGTCGCGCAAAACCGCGAAATCCCGCCGGTCCTCTTCGATTACCAGCTACCCATGCTCCATACACTCACAATCTCAAACGGGGACTTCGCGTGGAACAACTCGCTCTTCCGTCCCTCCATTCGGCACCTCGAGATCATCCATCGCAAGCGTCTGGAGCCTGCTGCCGTGGGAATACGGATGTTCCTCGAGATGTTGACCACCTTGCCGCTTCTCGAGACTCTCATCACCGACTCGGTACCCGAATACAGCCCTGTAGACATCATTGTCGACCTTCCCAATCTGCGCTTACTCGACATCCGAGGAGCCATGAGGAAGACGGGAGCCTTACTCTCCCAGCTGCGCTTCCCGTCATCCACCACGATATCAGTCGGTATTTTGTCCTATGAGACAGGCGAGATTCGCAGCAGCGAACTCGAGCCCCTGACGCACGCCCTGCGCGCGGTCCTCCTCGACGAACCACTTCACACGATCAACTATGCCGTCGTGGCTCCTGGCAGTAGTACTCCGGTGCCTGAGACTTGTCGTGCTTGGGCCGGTGAGCCGGCAGCCGTAGAGGGACTCAACCCTGATAGTCCCCCACGGCTCGTCTTGACCGGAGACGGCGTTCACACCTTACCTCCCGTCCTGCGCAGTCTCGATCTCTCGCATTTACGGAATGTCCGCATTTCGGGCCTCGCGCCGTCTACCACTCCCTGGTCTACCTGGTTGGAGGGAGTCCCAAAAGGTGTGCATCTTCGCCTTGAGGAACGCGCCTCATCAGCTGGGATCGTCGCCCTCGATGATGTCCTCGGAGGGGGTCATCAACGACGCTATCCCGCCAGAAACCCGCCGATCTCAAACGGTGTAGCGTCCGCGCCTCAGGCACTCGAGTTCAAGTGGCCCGAGGAGCTATCAAAAAAGCCACGGGACGCGTCGAGGATGCGGCTATCGAGCCTCCTGAACCCGCTCTCGGGCGATCCGAAACCTGCATCCTATGAATGGACTTTGCCCCCGGTACAGATCGAGGGTGACGTTCACCGTGCAGCGCGGCTTGAGGTCCCAGTGGGTGGCAGATGCCACACCTGCGGTGTCGCTGCTGAACCGAGTTCCAGCAAAAGTCTCCCCTTTCCCCCAGGCGACACAAGAGAGATTCACGAGTTTTTCTGAGCGGACCGCTCTTTACGAAGACGCGGTCCATGTAATGTTTGAGTTCCTGTGTAGCGCGTCACTGTCCACTGTATTCTGTAGTACTAGTACACTAGCTTGCATTGCTTGTCAATAATCAGCACCACTTGACAGTTTTGAATGTACCTGTGCAAGATTGTCTGTGAATCTGATCATGAACATGAACCCGCCCTGCTCATCGTAGTGGCGTTGCAGACTCTAATGCACGTGACCGTGTTAGATAGAATGTGTACATGCAGCAAGGGCGCTTGGATACGTGTGGAATGGACGCAACATCCATTCAAGCCGTGACTCCGACAGTGCGCATCTTGTTTCAAAGAGCCTGCTGATCTCTTCTCAATTTCTCCCACAGGAACAGAACGATATACTAACGCGGTAAGGCGCAGAACACCAACCCGGCTACAATGCAAGACACAGTATCGACTGACCTGTATGTACTTGAATCGTTCGCGTGGCTCGCCGCACTGAGAATCTCATACGGTGGTGTAAATTTTCAGAATATCTCCCGGGCCGCAGACGCTTATGGAAGAGATAACATCTCTGGAAGCTCGGCTCAGCCAGCTCAAGGGAGAACACAATGCACAGGCTTCGATCTCCAAGCTCCCACCAGAAATCCTCAGCGAGATTTTCCTTCAACACGCGGCCAGCATTCGCGAGAAGCAACTCATATCTGCGCTACGTGAATGCGACGAGGACACCCTCGTACACAAATCCTTATATGCCTGGCTCAACGTGACGCACGTTTGTAGGCACTGGCGAGATGTCTCTCTGAGCTGCGTGCGCCTATGGACCTGGTTCGCCTTCGAGCCACGAATCGGGAACGACATCATCGAAACCCTGCTTCCTCGTGCGCAGAGCATGCCGTTCACCTTCGTCATCCCTCTGTTCAGCCCCAACTCCTATTGCAATGGGTGTCTTCGCCTTGATCGGCTCCTCGACCGCTACGCTCGCATGATACATCACCTCAAGCCACTCGTCCCCAGGCTCCGGGAGCTCATACTTTTGCTCGACTGGGAAGAGTGCGAAACTATATGGGAAGCGCTTGCAGGCCCTGCTGATTCTATCGAGTCTGTCCGGATTGAGGCAGTAGGGGAATCCCGACTAGCCAGACATTCGGTCCCTTTCGTCCCAACCCACATATTCGGCGGGGCCATCTTGCCACGTCTACGCTCTGTTGTCCTGTCAGGCGTTGTCATCCAAATGCCAAACTCCCTTCTAGGCCCTTCCCTTCTACATCTCGACATCTCCTGCTGCGATATTGGCGAGAACGACAGCATCTGGAATCTCATTCTCGTGTTACGCTCGCTACCCCAACTCGAGACCCTTCGCGCTAGCTGGCGAAGTTCCCATATTGTGGCCCCGAACTTTCAGCCACAACTTCCCCCCATTTCCCGCGAACCCATCATCGCGTTCTTACATCACCTCAAATACATCGACCTCTCCGGCAAGAACCAGGAGATCGCCACCGTCCTCATGCATACCCGCTGGCCGTTCGAGACGCGTATGCGCTTCCACGTCGTCAACGCCGTCAACCGCGCCAACAGAGAATACTTCCAGCTCGCCTTCCGCAACCTTTTCTCTAAGGAGACTATCCGCGAGGCCACGTGTATCACGAGCGACTCGGGTGTCCTGCACAGCGTCTCGATGTGGTCTATCGACGGCGAGCCTCAGGAAGAATCTCACCAGTTCGGCGACTTTGGCTGGACGGGGGAGGACGCCCGTCCCCGGCTTCAGATCGGCACCCAGCACGGGTTCGGGTACAACGCCGTCGTCACAGTCCTCGAAGCAGTCGACCTCACGCACCTACGTGCGCTCTCTGTGTCCGGCACCCAAACCGGGCGCCAGTGGGCGAGCACGTTCCAGCGCGCAAAGCGGCTCGCCGCCCTCCGCGTCAACGGCGCGTCCGCCTTCGGGCTTCCGGCCCTGCTGGCAGAGAACACCGGCGTGCTCGACCCGCAGGACGTCGCCCTTGCGATCCGTGCGGGGACGGACCAGTGGCATTGGCTCGCGTTCAACAAGGACGCCAGGCAGGAGGCCGCACACGACTCCCCCGAGGACGCGCAGGCACGACAAGACATGGAGCTCAGCGTGCGCGCTTCCGAGGCCCTTGACGACGCGATGGACGATGATGTCCCGAGCCAGGCCGATGTGAGCGCGAGCGCGTCCAGGACGGGGGCGACGGTCAGGCCCAATCACGAACTGCCTCGCGTCCTGTTCCCCCAATTGCGCGTACTGCAGATCACCAGAATTGACATCGCCTCGGAGGACGCAGGGGGCTCTCATCTGAAGGGCAGGCACGAGTCGACCTCTGATTCGATGTTGTACCAGACGAAGGGGATCCAGTACGGGCTAGACATCGTCGCGCTCGGGCGGTGTTTGCAGATGCGTCGCCAGCAAGGGGCCTCGGGCATGTCGTTGGAATTTGATGACTGCCACCTTGAGGACGTGGGGAATCTACAAGTGTTAGACGGGCTCGGAGTGGATTTACGCTGGGATGGGCAGCTCGTGATCCCGACGAGTTGGGACTGATTGGTTATAATAGTACAGTACTAGTACACTCATCTTAGATATCACATTCACACTTGCTTATCTTCGTTGAGCAGTGCGTAGCCCACTATTCGAAATTCGGAGCGGGCCGTTTTCTTTCTTGGTTTCCTTTCCTGATCCTCTTCATTGCCTCGCGAGGCCATGACTCATGGTGATGCTTGAATGCATGTTGTTAGTAGTCGATGAATGTATGACGATTGCTAGTAAGATGAGAACAGGACGCTTAGTCGAACCCGTATACTAACATCAACAATCATCTAAGCATCATCCGTGCTCTTGCTCCCGCTTCGCGCTCTGCGTCGCGACATCAACTGCCATGGCATACAGATACATTTTGGATAAAATAGGATACAGATTTCAAACTTCACCTGGTGGTATCGTCACGCTCCCCTCTGAAAGCGATCTCTCGGGGCCCTTCACTGACGCGGAGGGACAGGCAGTGTGCGCTCCTCAGCAGCACTCTTGTACGCCAGCTCGATCAGCTCGATGACTTCCGCGGACTCCTCCCACTTGACCGACTGTTCGGCGCCGTCCCTGATGACCGCCGCGACGTTCTCGAACAGCTTCACATACTGTCCGCGCTCGGTGGATGGCCATCTGCGCCCATGTCAGACCACGTACACGTGCACTGGCAGGGCTATAGGACGCCTGGAGACTTACACAGATTTGACCACCTCGCCCCCCTCGCCCAGGCTCTCGACGGTCCCGTATATCTCCTCGGGCTCGACGCCGTACGACTCGCTCTGTACGATGCCCGCGGGGCTCGGGATGACCTTGAGCTGGTCCTCCTGGACGTCGACGCCGTACTTTAGGTACGTGCCGTGCGTTCCGCGCACGACGTACCGCACCTGTGGCGAGCGCACGGAGAGGATGTGGCCGCGAAGGATCGCGGTGAACGACGTCGGCTGGACGTGGCCCGGGGCCGCGGGCCGGGGCGGGTAGTGGAGGAAGATCGTGAACTGCGCTCGTGATCCGTCAATTCTGGTCCTTGAGGAAAGAGGGGGAGAGGGAAGTGCTTACAGCATCATCGACGTCTTTGCTGCCGATGCCGCGGATGTTCTCCCTGAAGGCGGTGAGCTTGGTCGGGCGGCCGAAGAGGACGAGGACCTGGTCGATGGTGTGCGCGGCGAGGTCGTACACAAGACCGTTGGCCTCGAGAGGGAGGTCCTTCCACGTTCCTTTGAGTTCCACCCGGAAGCGATCGAACCTGTAGGCATAGCATGTAAACTACGGTCCAGAGACTCCGCCCGTCGGAGGCGATGTACTTTGGGGAGGATGTACGTACCGAGACTCGAACTCGTAGAGCGTCCCGAGAGACTGCGGATGGTCGGCGGGGAGGTCGAGCAGTTTCCTGAGGGCAAGGAAATCCGAGTCCCAGCGGCGGTTTTGGAACGGATAGAGGACGAGGTTCTTAGACTTGGCGAGCGCGCCGAGCTCCTGCGCCTGCGAGAAGTGCGCAGTCACAGGCTTGTCGACGAGGACTGCGTGCGCTGTCAGCTCCATCTCTGATTGCACTGAGGCGTCGAGGAACGTACCATGTTTTCCAGCCTCGAGCGCCTTCTTCGCGAACTCGTAGTGGGTCTCGCTCGGGGTGCTGATCACCACCAGCTCGACATCGGGGTCCGCGAGGACAGCATCGTAGGTACGATGGATCGTGACGCCCTTGGCTGCTTCTTCTCCGAAGCGGGCTTGCAATTTACCCCCAGGAGTAGCCGGATTGCGTTCCATCACGGCATGGAGGGTGAATAGATGCGGAAGAGCGAGTACGAAGGGGGCATGGAAGGTGAGGCCGCCAAGGCCGACGCCAATAACGCAGGTCTTGATAGGTGCCATCGGGATACTATGCCTCGAGCTCAAGATGGAGGAGACAAAGTGCTGGCATGCATCCTCCGCCACCAGTTCTTATATGGGGTCACGGCGGGCCCGACATCGATTGTGGTGGAAGAGCGGGACGTCGGGCCGAGCCGGATGAGTCGAACTGGAGCGTGCGCTGGGTGGTTAAGGTGTCTTGCCAAGCGTTGGGGGAGTCAAGAGCATCGCAGTCAATGAGAGTCCGGAAAATATGCTGCAGTTGAACCCCACGAGGTCAGACATAGTACTCATATATGGTGTCGACTTCGAGGAGGACAGTCGAGGACATGCACAGCCTCCATCCTTCCAGTCATACAAGGCAGGTGACATGCCTGATATGGAAATACGGGCACGCCACGCCAATTAATGAGCTCATCCTCGTTCTCGGCTAAAACACGACGCCCTTGTGGCCCCGGACACTTGCCCCCCCCTCTTTCCCTTCCTCATCCTTCCCTCATCACCCGATGTGGCTCGCGTCTGTGTTGTCGCCATGTCTGCTTACGCTCCCTCTAGTTCATGCCCAGCTTCCTCTCCCTTCCCAGCCATGGCTGCCTCCTAATGCTTCCGTCGGGACACAATCCTCCAATGGCACTTCGCCTAATCAGCAATGGTCCAATGTCGTCGGCAACCTGCTCTACTTCTACGAAGAGCAACGCAGTGGGAAGCTACCCCCAAATAAGCGAGTCCTCTGGCGCAATGACAGCGCTCTTGACGATGGCAAGGATGCGGGTCTCGATCTCACCGGGGGTTACTACGATGCAGGAGGTGCGCGTGATGCCATGCTTTGTGGTTCCCCATCTCATACTTCTGTTTTCTAGACTATGTCAAGTTCACGTTCCCTATGGTATGCGTTCCTCCTAGCGACCTCAAGCACGTCGCTGAGACTTTACCGTCCAACAGTCATTCTCTATGATGTCTATTTGCTTCGGTGCCCTCACATCTGGCCGAGGTAAGCATCAACGCATATCATTCATTTACCTGTGAAGCATAGTGCTCATTGTGCTCGCTACAAGGATACGACCTTGCTAATCAAACTGCATACCTCGACGACGCTCTCCGCTGGGGATTGGACTGGCTCATGAAGGTGGGATCTATTACGGGACAGGACACCCGTCTTCAATAATTTGACACGTTGGTCATGCAGGCTCATCCCTCCCCAAATACATTCTACGTCGAAGTCGGCGACCCCAACGTGGACAACAATTACTGGGGAGGAGATCAAGGCATACCTACTCCCCGGCCCTCGTTCCAGATCAACAGCACAAGGTCCGCCCGACGTTCCAATCCATGCCCAGCGACACTGACATCGGAAACCTTATACGACGTAGCCCTGGCACGGACGCTGCAGCTCAAGGCGCAGCGGCGTTTGCCGCTTGCTCAGCCCTATACAATAACCGCACGCTCTCGGCGTCCAGCTCTACCTCCACCCTCCAGAACGCGACCTATGCTGCGCTGCTTCAGGGGCATGCGCGCGATCTCTACGCCTTCGCCACAAACTCGCCCATGCAGCTGTACCAAAAAGCAGTTCCGGCCGCCGGAGACGGGTACGCGTCTTTAGACTACAAGGACGAGCTCGCGATTGCCGCCATGTTCCTCGCGCTATCGGAGACGGGCTCGAACGCGTCTACGTACTATAACGACGCCATCAAGTGGTATTACTCCGGAAACCTTGCGTTTTCCTTGCAGGCGGGCGAGGAGGCCGTGTTCAACTGGGACTCCAAGACGCCTGCTGTGCCGCTCCTTGGCGCTGCCATTGCAAATGCGTATCCGAACGTCGTCTCTGGCAGCAATGTCACCTTGAACTTGTGGCAGAGCGCTGTCGAACAGTACTTCAACGTCTTCATCAACAAGAACGGGCGATCGTACTTGACGAACGGTGAGCAAATCAGCCTGGTATCCCGGTAGACGGTTGTTCAGTAGGCTTTTGGTGCAGGCGGGTTACTATACTTCCCCGGCGACTCGGACGAGGCGTCTCTGAACCCTGCTCTCAACACGGCCATGCTCATGATGATCTATGCCGCAACGGGCATCAGCAGCAGCCAGATGGACGAGTACCGCGCATACGCACAGGGGCAAATCGACTACGTGATGGGCAAGAATCCAATGAACGGTACGTTCTCTGCTTTCCTGCATTGCACAACACCCTCACGACGATCTGCAGTCCCTTACGTCGTCGGCGTACACCCCGACTCCCCTGTGAACCCTCATTCTGCGATCTCGACCGGCTGGGTGTCCCCCGACCCCTCCGTTCTCGCACCCTCTGATTTCGCCAACGACCCGCCACAGGAGGCGTACATCCTCTACGGTGGCGTCGTCGGCGGCCCGAGCCCGAAGGACCTGTTCTACGACCTCCGGAGCGATTGGGTCGAGAACGAGGTCGCGCTCGACTACAACGCGCCCCTGCTAACGCTCGCCGCGAACGCGCTCGTCGTGGGCTCGGGCGATCCGTGGTACACGCAGGTCCAGCCGGGCTCGTACGCCGCCGTGAAGCCGAGCGGGTCCCCGTGCGACGCGGCCGTGAGCACTGGCTGCAAGCACGGCCCGGGCCATCTCAGCACTGGGGCGAAGATCGCTATTGGGGTCGTGGTCAGCGTGGTGGGCCTGGCGATCATTGCGCTCGCTGGGTACTGGTGGTGGACCTCGAAGACGCACGGGCGAGGGAGGAGGTACTAACTCTTTGTGCGGTCTACCGGTTATGAGCCGACTCCCCTTCGGTAACTGTAGCTTGTGGGCGAGGTACTTTGCACGGACTGAACTTGCGGCTTTGTACGGACGCGCGTGGACTCTTGACAGCATCGTTGGACACTACTACTTTACTACTCATCAACTACATATCTGCCAATTGCATGATGATTGCAGAGGTATCTAGTGTTGTATAAATGCATGTACATCTCAGTAGATATCTTCTGACATCGGGTACCCAAGACTCAATCATCCTCGGTCCTTTTAGTAGACCTCGAGGACATACCGCTCCTCCTCCTTAAGCCCCTCCAAGAACGCGCCCGCCTTCTCCCGATCGAGCTCCGCGTACGACCCCAGCGCCTCCACAAGCGCCTCGTACACGTCCGGCACAGGCCACGTCGGCCCACACAAGTAGAACACGCCCTTCTCGGCCCAGAGCATGCGCGCGAGATCCGCGCTGTCCTCGCGCATCTTGTGCTGGATGTACACCTTGCGCGGGCCGTCGCGCGAGAAGGCGAGCCCGGCCCGCGTGATCGTCCCATCGAGGATGAACGCCTCGATCTCCTCGCCGTACAGGTACTCCTGGGACTGGTGGCGCGAGCCGAAGTAGTAGTACGTGGGCCCGACGGGGAGCCCCTGCGAGGCGAGGTGCGCGCGGTACTGGAGGAAGGCGCGGAAGGGCGCCGCGCCGGTGCCGAGGCCGGCCATGATGAGCGGCTGCGTGTTGTCTGGAGGGAGCTGTGCGCAGGGGTAGGATGTCAGCATGTATGGCTAGGGAGGAGGGGCGGATGGGGCGCGCGCACCTTCATGACGCTGGGCTTGATCGAGACGGTCACCTTCTGGCCGACCTTGAGGCCCGCGAGGTACCGTGTGCACTGGCCGTAGCGGGGAGAGCCTGCGCGGAGAGGACGGTCAGCATTGGCCTGCAGACAGACGGACAGACGCTCCGCTCACCACTCGGCGTCACCCACTCGACGCTGACGACGAGCAGGTCCACCCGGTCGCCCACGACGGCCTGCGCGCTCGCGATGCTGTAATGCCGCGGCTTGATGTCCCCCACGAGCTCGCACAGGACCTCGATGCCCGGGCGCGCGCTCCCGTACCGCCGCAGCACGTCCGCGAACGTCACCGTGTCCTTCTCGCCCAGCTTCTTGAACGTCGCCGCGCCCTCGGGGCTCCCGATGAACCGCAGCGCGTACCGGTCCGCGACGTCCGCGGCGTGCTCCGCGAGCTCCGTGTAGAACGTCTTCGTCGGCTTCCCGAACAGGTCCACCTGCTGCTGCAGCGCCTGAAACACCGTGCGCGTGTGCACCCGCGCGCTCCCCTCGCCTTCTGCGCCCGACCCCGGGACGGGGAGCGTGATGAGCTTGGCGGGGTCGACCCCATACCACCGGCAGAACTCGAGCACCTCCCCGCCGTCGTTCCACCCGTGCACGCCGAGCGCCTCCCCGATCTCGTACGTGAGCCCCGTCCCGCGCGTGTCGAACTCGAGGTGGAACACGTTCCGGTCGTACTCGAGCGGCGTGAGCCGCCGGTTCACCGTGCACGTCACGAGGAACGTGCGCTCCGGCAGCTCCGGGCGCAGCGCGGGGTTCTGCCCCTGCGACGAAGAAGAGGGAGAGGAGAAGGAGAGGGCGTCAGGGGGGGTGAAGGCGGAGGGGAAAAGGATGTGCTTGGCGGCGTCGTGCCAGGAGCCGAGGCGCGCGCCGTTGACAACAGTGTCGCCCTCGGCGGTCTCGACGGCGATCGCGTTGAACTCGAAGTGCTTGAGCGGGGTCGACGACGCTGGCTGCTCGGAGTCCGGGGGTGAAGAGAGGTCGATCTCGACGAGGCCGGTCCACGCCTGGTGGACGAGCTTCGTGAGCTCGACGCCCTGGACGAGCTCGCCGAGGTCCGCCGCGGCGACTTTGCGGACCAGATCCTCTGTGGCCGCCGCCGCGAGGTACAGGCGGAGGAACGCGAGGAGGACGATGACGTTCTCGAGGACCTTGTGGACGTGCTTGTTGCTTGGGGCGAGCTCGGCGGCGAGCTTCTTCGCGTCGAGCGTGCAGAGGTGGAGGTTTCGCTCCTGGATGAGCGCAACCGTTTCCTTTTGCAAGGTCGTCGCGAGCTCTGCCGGCGTCCAATCCGTGACAACGAGCACCGGGGAGCCCGGCGCGGCATGGCTGAGGACCTCGTGGGACTTGAGGAGGGACTGGTCGAGCACCGCGACAAAGTTCGCTACTCCGGTACTCTCGTATGAGATCGGCAAGATGGCCGAGAGCGGGACGAAAGGCTGGGTGTCGCCCTTGGGCGAGAGCACTATCCTGTCAGCGGTGACGCCCCCGGGCTTGGAGAAGACATCGTGGTCGGTTAGCAAGCGCGAGGTGAGCGATTTGTGGGCCAGGAAGGTCGTCTCGACCATGCGGGGAAGGGGAGACAGCGATGAACCGGGGGTGCTGAAGAACAGCAGCTTCTTGAGAGTGGGAGCATCGGACGGAAGAACAGGAGTTCGGGAAGGGAGCAACTCCGAGACGTAGCTGGCGAAGCTCGCAGGGCTGTTGATAAACTCTTGAGTGCGCGCAGGGACGATGCGGTGGGACTTCACGATGGGACCCGCCTTCAGGGGGTCCAGGAGCGTAGAGAAGACGTCCAGATACAGCGAGCCCTGAGTGCTCTCGGTGGGAACGTCATCGAAGACGTGCACGCGCCTGGCGGATGCAGGCAGAACGCTACGAAGAGTGTCCTCGTTCCAAGGGCGAAGGGCGCGGACGATGAGTACCCCCAAGCCAGGGACGCGGCTCGCAAGTGCCTTCGCGGTGAGCGCGAGAGGACCGTTGAGCAGGACGATCACAGCTTCGGCATCCTGGCTGCCTGCGTATTCGAGAGTAGCATATCCGGCAGCCTTGAGGCCATCCTCGAGGGTCAGACCAGGCTCCGGTACGACGGTCAGAGGGCTGGAGGTATGGCCAGTCTCGCGAGCGGAGCTGTGGTGGTCGAAAAGATGTACGACATGCGTACCCGTCAACTTGTAGGCAAGTGCAGCGAGCGCAACCGTCTCCTGCGGGGTTGCCGAGAGGAGCACGGTGAAGCCCTCCGGGAGGAGGGTCAGCGCGGGGGTAAAGGGCGCGAGGGTGGGCGAGAGAGTAAAGTGCTCTCCCACGGGCGTCACGGTCGGGACCTGGATGACCAACCTACTCGTCGGGGTCGCTGGGGGAAGGTAGGACAACGACTGGACCATGGCGGCCAGCCCAGAAGGGGTGGTGTAGGCGGTGAGGACGGCACTTTTTGCGGCATCCTTGCTAGAGCCTTGGGAGAGACGGCCGACCAAGCTGAGACCTGCTCCTGCGCGAGTCTGGAGGCTGACGACGGGCGCAGTAGCTTCTCCGGCCTCGGACCATGACTTTGTGAGCGTGCCAAAGCCAGCCTGTTCTGCGAGATCGTAAACGAAGACGGAGGAGCTGGAGGTGTTACGCGAAGCGATATACTCGACAAGCGTGGAGGCGGTTATAGCGCCGGCGTCTGCAATCCTCTGGAGGTCATTGGCCGCTTCCTTGAGCTTCGGAGTGGAAGGTGCCGAGAGCGTCGTTGTAGTTGAGAACGGCGTTGATGCGCCCGACTGCTCAGGTGAGGGCATGACTGCAGTTCAGAGGATGAAGAGAGAGACGTCGGGGAGCGTGAGCGACGGAGGCCCGCACGATTATTGCGCCGATTTATTCGCAGACGGATTCGGAATGCGGGCGCAAGTTTCGTCGTGAGCCGGGCAGCGTTTTCCCGCCGGCCATGGTGCAAACCGTGCAAACGATGGCGTTATGCCCCTCTTCCACGTGATCGCGTCTCTACATCCAACGCGTCGCGTCGCGCCCTCGATTCAAGTACTCAACGTCGTTGCCAAACTTGCGATGCATTTCAAAGATACGATGCCACGGGGCTCAGCTCTTTGTACAGCTACCGTTATCCTACAATCCCTCATTATCCTTCAACGTGTTGTACAGACGGTCGCCCTGATTCACCGCGATTGGTGAGCACGTCCCACATTGTCAGGAGATGCTGATAAACAACTCACGGTATCGCCCAGTCCAGGAGAAACGAGACCATTCGGTGTCAACTCTGGATCAACTGCTGCTGCCCAGATCTACAGCCTTTTCAGAGATTATACAAAACGACGCCTAGGTAGGGCTCACCTCCACCTCGGGGTACTCTGCCTGGACGCGCTTCAATCCTGCCTGGGATGCGAGAACGCACAATAGTTTGATCTTGTTCACTAGCACGGTTTTCTACGCGTCAGCGATTGACTTCGTGATATATTCCAAAAACTCACCTGGGATGCCCCATTCAAGGATCATGTTCATCGCCGCGCACGCAGTACCGCCAGTGGCGATGAGAGGGTCGAGGAGGAAAACTTGGTCAACGGTCGGGTTCGGGGGCAGCTTCGAGTAGTCTTGCATACGCCATACCACCATTAGTCTCCAGATGACCGAAAACGTAGGAACAAAGCCGACGACGACTCACATTCCACCGGCTGCAGCGACACCTTCTCCCTGAAGATCCCGAGGTGGTACACGCGCGCCGCACTGCATTGCACGGACACGTATGGCAGGTCAACATCAGCCCGGCTGAGTGGCACGCGAAGGGACGGACGTACGGGAACAGGTTCAGCAGCGCGTCCGTCATGCCCATCCCCGCCCGCAACACCGGCGTAAGGCCGATATGGGGCTTGATCACGGAGCCCGTAAAGGGCCCTATTGGCGTTTGCTGTCCAAACGTGCCGTCAATGCCCGGTGCTGGGGGTAACGCTTGTACGGATCGGAACATACCCCGCTGAACGTCTCTTCCTCCAGGTCCCGGCTCGCTTCGATGCCCAGGATCAAGCTGATATCATGTATGCCCTGGGTGCAGACAAACTTAGAGGCGCTGCACGATTGAGTACATCACGAACGGGGCCTACCTCGCGGAACTCCTTCGCCGAAGTGGTCGTCTGGCGTAGCTTCGAGAGACGCGCGTTCACGACTGGGTGCTGGAGGACGTGGAGCTTCGACATCGTCAGGTGCGTAGTACTGCGACAGCAAATGTTGGCCTGTTCTTAAGAAAGCCAGGCGCACGACAGACAAGGAAGGTAGGGACAGATGGTGGTGCACGGAATGGATGCGTTCGGAACGAGGCTTAGGTGCAGCTCGAAGAGCCCGCTGCCGCGAGCCCCGGGTCGTGCAGTCCGAGCCTCCTGACTGGTTACCGTGCCGTGATTAGGTCACTTATCGTGCGGTTTGACGGGAGGCCTTGCTGCGTGTATATACGCGATAGCGGCGCGCAGATAGACGATTTGTGGTACCCATTGGTCGATATCGAACTGTAAATGGCAGATAGAGTAGAGAACCAGAAGGATTAGCCGAGCCACAAGCTCGAACTGTTGGCGTCTGTCTGTGATAAGCGATTGGATATAATCGTCCCTAAACCATTTGACAACTCATGCAGAGGTGGGTGAACGGTTGTAGAAACAGCTTTCCATCTACACAGGAGACGCATGCAAATACATAGCCTAATGGTCACGATCTCGTCCCTAGGACCTCGATGAGCGTGCGCCAGCGCACTACGGATATGGAGCATCTTTTCTTTGACGCATTCAAGACTGCGCCGCCTCCACATCGGCAACGAACGACTCGATGTCGGCGGGCAGAGTGTCGTAAGGGTTCGCGCCGTTTGCTTGAGTATCGTCGGTCACCCAGAACGCGCCGACCTTGTCCGTCGTGATCAGCTGTGAGACCAGGTCCGCCGGAGGGGTGGACGGCCCGTCTGTCAGGACTATCGCCTGTTTGGATGCGGGCGTGCTCGGGCCAAGAGAAAGCTGATTCGGGCTGTGATCGTCGCACAGAACATGAGAGGCTTGTACACACTGCCGAAAGTCAGCAGGACGCGCACCTGAAATCGGCATAGAAGTCCTCCGCTGTCAGCAGGATGTCCGCTAGGCTGTAGTAGTCGGTGTCCTCAGGAGCCGCCCCGGGGTTCAGAGCGATCTACGTACGTCGCGCGAGTCAATATCATGTCATATATGCTCAGAGGATTCAGGGCACTTACGAAGTCGAACGACTTCTGCGCCTCACCTGTATAGTTCTGGTACGTGGCGAAGTCTGCCGTCGCTCCTGAGACCTCGTCGAAGAAAATACCCTGGACTCCGTATGGCGAGTTCCATTCGGCGTACGTGTGCACGTCCTGGAGGACGCGTGCCGTCTGGGAGGGGTCGGCGTAAGACGTGTGGACGTACCCGAGCACGGTGACGCTGCTGGACGCTGACTTCAGGATGGGGATGCACTGCTGGTACTCGAGCCCCGGTTGTGTGTTGGCGTCGCCTGGCCCGCTGTTTGGGTTAATGACGGCGTAGTAGGGCACAGCAGGGTGAGCTGTTATGCTTCGTAGGTGAAGTCCGTTCAGCAACAGCAAACACCACCAAGGGTGAGCGTTCTAGGATTGCTACTCACGTGCTGAGAAGAGAAGCCCATCCTGAGCAGTCCGGTCCTCCAACTGGATCGATATATAGCGGAATCAGAACGCCGGACGAAAGGGCGGAGGCTGAGGCAGCACGAGCAAGTTGCATGTTGTCTACTGCGGCAATGACAAATGTGAGTCAATACCTAATAAGTATCCAATTGCAGTGATCCAAACAGGCTCCTAACCTTGCTAGACTCGTGCGTCGTAGTGGGCACTACGACTTCACACTCAAATACTTTATGAACACCAGCTGCAGCCTCCGTGCTTGGCTCAGCCTCGGCACGCGTCCATGGTACCTACATAGTAACCCGCAAGCAGATCGCATCCCATCACAGATCGCAGTCTCATATTGTGCGTAAGATGGCGACCGGGGCTCCCCCTGAGTTCTGGACACCTGCTTGAGTAGTGCAGAGCGCTTTGGGCGAACTTGCATACGGTCCAGTGCGGCCCAGGCAGTATGGGCTGTCATCAAGTCGTTGAGCGGACTCTGTTGGAAGAGGTCTTCGGCGAGTTCGCTGCACAGATTCGCTAGTGAACTTCCGATAGTCCTTACCAGACATCCGGCTGCCGTAGAGGAATACGACGTCATACATGGGAGGTGTTATGCGCAGGACACGCGGAGAGGCAAAACCGCAACCCATCAAAAACTCCGATCGTTGACTCCTCAGGGACATTTCAAGAGCAAACGCGATCGTGATCTCAAGTCGCCGCGCCCGACGTGGCACCATGCCTTAGGAACTGGGGAGCACGTACGGCATTAGCCACTGCGACGGATGTGTTCATGAATAATGGATGAGGTAGTCCCATGGAGGTGGTATAAACTCTCATCGCGGATTAGTAGCATTTGTCCATAACCTTCCAGCTCAGTACATCCACAATATACAATCCAACACGGCGATCAATATATATCCTACACCTAGACCACGATCAGCGTCCCACCACTCGGCCCATCCTCACTGACTTACCATGAAGCCAACACCGCTCTACGCGTCGTCGACCCACTCCGTGTACTGCACCCGCTGGACGTACTCCTTCAACCACGCCGGCTTCCTCTCATGTCGCGCGACCAGCCGCTCCCTCTGACGTGCCCTCACCTCCTCCTCTCTCCTCTGTTGCTCCTGTTGCTGCTGCTGTTGCTCCCCATCTTGGCCACCCGCGCTCGTGTTCACAGCTGGTTCACTCTCGTGAATGGCTGCCTCGCGCGCGTTCGCCTCAGTGCGGATGCGCCCTTCCCTCCGACGGAGGGCGTTCCGCCTACGGTCCCAGGCAGACGGCCAGAGGGTCACGAAGAACAGCGCGAAGAACATCTTCGCCTTCTGCACCGGCCCAGGCTCAGGGACGGGGGCGTCTGCATCGAGGATCGCGTCCTCCGTGGCGAGGTTGAGCGTCGACAGCCAGTCGAGGATTGCGCCAGAAGTCGATCTGGTTCCTGCCGCGTTGTTCGCCGGTGCATCTCCGTTAGGGACCGCACCTCCCGCCGGGGCTGCAGGTTGGCCTGCACCTGCCGCCCCGGGGTTGGCTGCACCCCGACCCGCACGATCATTTCCATCGTTGAGGACAAGGCGCATCGCGTTCCACGCCTCATACAGGATCCAGACGCTCAAGAGCACGCCGAACAGAGGACGCTTCGACGGCGAGAAGAAGTACAGCAACAGAAGGGTGCGGAACGCCAGCATCACTAGCGGGATAACCAGTGCCCTGACAGGGATCGCACGGATCTCTGCGCCGGGAGCGCCTGGTGCGGCAAGAGGATTGTTGGCGTCGTGAGGATTCGGGTTCGCGCCCTGAGCATGGGCGAGGCGCAGCTGCGGGAAGCCTAAGTGGTGCAAGTGCTGGTTCACGTTTGTCGCCGTGGCGTACGGTGAAGGGTAATGCGCCGACGCCGGGACGTAGAGCATGGGGTCATTTGCCATGGAGAGGATAGAGAATGTATGCGAGAGGACACGGAGGGCGTGGAGTTGGGCGGGAGTAGGCGTTGCGTTCGGATCCGTGAGCCGCAAGTACGGGAGACCCCTGCGGACGATTATGAGTTATGTAAGGAGATGAGTATGAGGCTCTACTTACTCCAACGTGACCGCTTCGTATACAGCGCCTCCTTGTGAGTTACCAGAAGGGAAGGGCTGTTCGAAGACGTCGGGCCACGTCCAACCTTGAGCATGATACAGATCCCTCGCTGCTATGCGCCATGTCTCGATATCATTGATTGCAGGGGGTGCAGGAAGCGTGATGCCACCAGCAGATAGGACACCTAAGGCGGTGTTATGCAGGTGCTGGATGTAGGCGACAGGCGAGAACGATGAGGGGAGATGAAAGAAAGGATAAGGCTGAGATAAGGGTGCCTGCCAGGATGCAGGCGTCGGGGTAGGCTGTCCAGCAGAGGTTCGAGATCTTGGAGTGTTAGTAAAGGAAGCGGCGTGTGTAGAGCTGGGTGCTGCAGCAGCGGAAGGAAGAGGCGGCGGGGCTGAGGACCAGGCTGATGGGTGGACGGCCAGATGAACGACCCTAGAGTCCTCCGGAGACTGATGGGAAGGAGTATGGGTTAACGAACTCATAGGGACAAAGGCGTGATCAAGACCTACCTTCCAGACGTCCTCGACCTTTTCCTCGTCGCTCAGAAAGCGGCCTCTCCAGACGAGCCGCTGGCCCTCGGGACTGGGTGAACCAGGGCAGACCTTGGCTATCTCGTGCTTGACATCACGGACGGTCGCCGAGGGAGTAACCTGTACTTGAAACGAATGGGAATACGCCGGGAGCTCGACTCGGAGTGTGGAAGCAGACATAAAGCCAGAGGAGAGACAAAGCAATGAAGCTTGCCGAGCGCAGTGTGAGTGAGCTGAAGAGAAGAGGTGCCGAGAGTGCGGTGGGGATACCCAGCTGCAGCGAGAGGTGACGCGACTGCAGGCGCCGGCTAACGTGGAGGCTCGGTCATCGCGTGACACCCAATTGTGCATTGTCACAGAGTGTGTCACAGGCTTCCCGTCCAATTACGGCTCAAACGACGCCCAGAGGAGAACAAGCCATTCGCAGATTCGGGAGGAGGTTCGCTCAAATCATTCATACAGCCTGTGTGCCATCTGCCAGCTCATCCCATGCACCGGTAGGACAGCCAATGCCCATCTTTGCTTGATAGTTGCCCGTAAGAGCCACCTCCGATCTCGCCTCCAACAAAGCTTATTTCCTCCTAGACAACAACCCCACGCACCGGCCCACAGACAACCCCATTGTCTCCGTTCTGGAGATAACTCGGCGCGCAGGCATGTCCGACATGTCCACCTTCGACCTGCTCGTCTCAGAGCTCACTCGCGACGCGCAACGAGTTCAGCCCAAAGACGCCCTCCAGTTCTGCGCCAAGTGGTTTCAGTCCCGTCTCGAGGAGCAACGTGCTCGCACCCGCGACGCACTTGCCCGACATCCCTCGTTCGCCGTAGCCCTACCACAGGACCACTACATGGATACCCTGCTCTCTCCCACGGCCGGATCTCCCGGCGGTCCCACCAGTATATCCCCCTTCTCCCACTCCTTCCCTCAGCAGCGCTCCTCCCTCCAGAACTCCATGTCCAACAACAGCCCCTTTGGAACACTGAATGTCCCGGGGAACGCCCTGCTGGACAACGGCTCCCGTACTCTTACCCCAGTGAGCCCCCCTAGCTTCCAGCTCGAGGGCGAGGACATCACCCCAGCCACCCCCATATCCAATCCGAATCCCTTCGCTTCCTTTGCAAACGGTTCCATCTCCCCGAGCCCTGGCGAATTCCTCCACCCTCCTACTGCTACAATTCTTGCGCGCCGCACCTCTGTCAGCGCTGAGTCCATCCCAGTCGACAGCGAGACGCACGAACCCCTGCCCGTCTTCCCGAAGACCGAGGACCAGCTCCAGCGCATCCGCGCCTCGATCGCGGCCAACTTCATCTTCCGCGACCTCGACGAGGAGCAGGAGACCGGCGTGCTCAACGCGATGCAAGAGTGCAAGGTCGTGACCGACGACGTCGTCATCCGCCAAGGGGACGTCGGCGACTACTTCTACGTCGTGGAGAGCGGGCTGCTGCACTGCTACATCCGCCCCGAGCCACTGCCTTCCAACTGGTTCACCGGGAACGTGCCCGCGTCGGATAAGTTCAACCAGTCCGGCTACCACCCCGTTTTCGGACGGAAGGTTGCAGAGTGCCGGGAGGGCAGTTCGTTCGGCGAGCTCGCGCTCATGTATGGGCACCCTCGTGCGGCGACGGTGCTCGCGATCGAGCCGTGCACGCTGTGGTCGCTCGACCGCATCACGTTCCGCACGATCATCCTCAAGGCGGCCCACAGGCGGCGGACAATGTACGAGCAGTTCCTCTCCTCGGTCGACCTGCTCGCGTCGCTCGAACCCGAGGAACGCAGCAAGGTCGCGGACGCGCTCGTCAGCCGCGTGTACGAGGACGGCGAGGCGGTGGTGCGGCAAGGCGAGATGGGTGACACGTTCTTCTTTGTGGAGGAAGGGAACGCTGTCGTGACAAAAGTTCGGAACGGTGGACCAGAGGTAGTCGGCCACCTCAAGAAGGGCGACTACTTCGGCGGTACGTGTTCATTATGCCCCTTTCCGGACACATCCACTCATCCATCCGTTCAGAGCTGTCGTTGCTTCGGCTCGAACCACGCGCTGCGACGGTGAGTGCAGTGGTGCGGGCGGATCCGGGCGCACCTCGGTTGAAGGTAGCTGCGTTGGACGCGCATGCGTTCACCCGTTTGCTTGGGCCTCTGCGGGAGATCATGGAACGGAATGCTGGACGGAGCTACGGAATCCATTGAAGATACCCCTGCGAACTCTCTACTGTCTTGTTATCGCGTGTCGAGTGTACTACTGCAGGTTATGTTGTGTGTTCTGCTTGCTCTGTAGCTTATGTATGTACATAGATGCATGGGGGTCTCGCGAGTACGGGGCGCCTAATGAGATTATCTTGTGATTGATTGCGAGCGATGGGAACAAGTGTACTGACCGCGGAGCGCCGTCGTCGTCGGTGTGCAGCGCTGCGGTCGTTGTACGTGTGGCCGAAGCCGACGATCCGCGAAACGCATGGATGGCAGACGGCAAATCATATGATGGCCAGTCCGGGGCGATGAACTAAGAGCGTTTCGATGGTTACGGGGAGGAGCGCGGTGCGCACGCCGGCCTGCTGGAATGGACAATAGCTCCACCGTCCTGGTGGGGTGCATCATAGCCGGTCTATCACCACCGTTCTCAAAGCGTTCGTCACTCTGCGGTTCGTATCTTCAGGTTGAGCGCTTTTTATTGCCTTGTCTACGGTGGTCCTTACAAGAGGCATGTCTGGTAGACGTACTAGGCAACGCTAATGACCAAATCAGGTGAAATTCCCCCGAAACAGCCATGTTGCAGGGGATTTAAACCCCGCAGATTTGAGCACCAACCCGAGGAGGAAATGCGTTTACGCACATTCCCAGAGCCTCGGGTGCAGCCGTGCTCTGGAAATAGTGTGGGACTCCTCCGGCGCGAACCAACCGGCCATACCCACTAAAACCCCCTAGCGGTAAGCGGGAAGGCTAATTCCCGGGGACGGTCTCGAACCCAGTGCTTTCTGCACTTCTGGACACTGGGTTTTATCGAGTTGCTCGATGGTACCGCTACGCCACCGCGCCCCCCGCGGTTCGTATCTTTGTCTCCGCCTTTTGTCTCTCCCTCACACCTCTTTGTGCCTCCACCCTCTACAGACTGGCTGTCCGCATCCCTTCTTCATCCAAGACAACCTCAATCTGTGGTCGCTGGCAGGCCACCGAGGTAATACCCCTGCGGTCGACGTCCACGCTCCTTACCAGCAAAAAACTGTACAAACCCCCTCCACACTACATCCGCGTCTGCCATGACTATTCCGAAGTCTAGTGGATTCCGTGTCGTCCATACCGGCGTGCAGCCTCGGGCTAACAACGATGGCCGTGAGTACTTGCTTGGCAAGCTGGATGGCGAATGTGAACGCGGAAGTTGACTTAAAATGTTTGCGGAAGTCTTGGGCGGACTTGATGGTGGACTGGGTGGTGGACTGGGTGGTGGAACTTTGTGAGTACGCGCCCTCAGACCACAGTCTCTCCCGTCTCATCAGACGTCGCAGCCCCACCCTCTCCATCCCGGGAATTGGAGGGTTAACCAGCATCCTCGGTCTGCCCGGTCCTGACACCTCGACGACCAGCTCAGCAACGACGACGTCAGTCCAGACTACGACCACCTCCAACACCATATCGCTGACCGCTTCTAGCAGTACTACGTCGTCCGATACCCTGTAGGCTATCTCTCCCCATTTTACCCTCGCGTGCGGGGTTAACCTTGTATCTAGGACGACGGCCTCGAGTTCACCCACGACCTCAAGTACTACTACTACCTCCTCAATTACAACAACCTCTTCAACCTCCACCAGCACCAGCACCAGCAACATTGCTACAGCCACTCCTCCGTCGTCCAGCACTGCGGAGACATCGACCAACACAGTGACGCAGATTGTCGGCCCAAGCACCTCTTCGTCGACCTCGTCCGCGACCCCATCGCCCCAAGCGGACGCCGCGCCCAAGTCCTTCCTCCAGAACAAGGCCTTATCCGTCGGTGTCATCACCGCAGCGTCGCTCGTCGGTCTCGTCCTGATCATCGCGCTCGCGACGTGGGCCATCCGCAAGCGCCGTCACGACCGTCTGCACGAAGACATCCTCGACTTCTCCACCGCGAACCTCGTCGGCGAGTCCCACGACGCGGAGAAGGGCGCGGGCGCAGGTGCGGGCAGCGCTGACACTTCGAGCTCGGGACACGGCAGCTCGTTTGGTCACGGCGGCTCGCTCCCGCCCGCCGTCCAGCCGCGCCAGGCGTACCAGCTGCAGGATCCGGGTGCAGGTTACGGAGCGGCGGCAGCGGCATATGGCGTCCCCCAGCGTGAGCCTAGCCGTGCTGCTCAGCCGTACGGTGCTCAGGCTGCGTACGGAGGTGCTTACGGCGCGTACCAGCAGCCGAATAACACGTACGACAATTGGAATTACGGCTACGGTGCAGCTACACCCCCATCCCAGCATGCGTACGATCAGGCTTACGGCGGTATGGAGGACCCTTATGGTGGCGTATACGGTAACATGCAATACGATAATACGGGAATGATGGCGGGCGTCGGTGCAGGTGCGCAGCAGCAAGCCCCGGCGAACCCTCCCCAGCGTCGCCCATCGGCACAGCGCAAGCCCGCCCCACCGCTGAACATTCCGACGGAGAACCCCATCGCCCAGCCTGGCAATGTCGTCAGTCCCGAGTCAGCTATGTCGCTGAACAACCCGCCGCTTCAGGCCGCTGCGAGCTCTAACAGTGCGAACCCTCCGCGCCAGCGACGCACCTCCCTGCTGGACCCGCCTGCTACAGGTAGCGCAGAGAGCGGCAGTGGAAGGGCGTACCCAAATCTGCCTCCTCCCGCCCCGTTACCTGACCAATTCGGCGCTTCAATCGGTTCTCCGACTGAGATCGAGGAGCCTCGCCGCCTCATCGTAAGTTTTACATAATGTTCGTTATCCCGTCGTGTGGAGCGATGCTGATGGTCGTTTCTGGCTACCGCTTACGCAGGTTCGCAACGAGTAAGTGTGCTTCGACTATGGCCGGCCACCTGACGATGGCCCCCGCTACCGGCCGGGACAAAGCCCGACGATACCATGTCCATGTCCTCAACCTCCCCACACCGCTGTAGCATGCCTTCGCACTTCACCACTGCCTGTTTCCAGTCTCCCCTTCGGCTTCCTGCACATACCACGCACGCATGCACCCCGCGCATCGCATTGTCTCGACCCTTCCGTGTATCATCCGTCGGCTGCCGCCCCGTTCTGCTGTCGCTCGCTATCTCTCTTGCTTTTGGCCCGAGCCTGACATTGAGATGCCGCTCGTCGTCGTCCCAGGATGCGCTCTGCCCCGTCCTGCCACGACGTTTCGCTCGCTTCTGACATGCCGGACACTCAGAGCTCAGGTCCTTGGGAGCTTGGGTAGAGCCGAGGCATTTCGAGGGCCGCGCGTCGCTTCTTTCTCTCCCCGCACTGCACTGTACTGTTTTCACCTTGTCGTTGTCGCCTACGGCTGTTTATCCATTGACTGCTTCAGCACACCGTGACATTAGTCCCGCGTACCTTATTCGCCCGTGCACGTCTGTATCATTAGTTTAGCCCTGTGCTTGTCCTCGTTCTACCTACTGATCTCACGCACGAGTCCGGCTGCCCATGCCTTGCTGTGGCATCTAGATCTCTGCTTTCTCAGTCTCCCCCTCTTAACAAAGTAGGATTATACGTATTAGCTAGATAGCTAGACCGGTATCAGTTACCTACTAATGCTAGTGGCGCGGTTGGTCGCCATCGTCGAAACCGTAATGGGGCTGTGGTTGTGTAGATTTGTGGATTGTGTGCCATGCCAAAGGACCCCCGATTATTCTCCCAAAGGAATGATGCCTGATCCGGACAAAATTGGCCACCCAAAAAGGCCTATGCCTGATCCAATCCGGCCAAATCGACGTCCAAATTCTGGATGGCCTGGTGCCAAAGTCCGGACAAAACTGGTCCAACCAGGCAGAGGCCTGATCCCCGTCCGCCCTTGGGCGGCCCGGTGTTGGATGATAGCTACCAGGTCCTGACCAACAGTATCGCTCATTGATCACCAAGGCTTGCAAACCGGTGTCGCTATCTCTTTTTCCTTGTATCCCGGAACGTAAAAGGACGTTTCTGCATTTCCGGCGGTGAATAGAGAAATTGCGCAAGAAGCGCTGGAGGGCAAGAGGTAGGGCAGCCTGCTGAGTGACAGAATGTCTTGCCTCTCCATTTGCAAGATGACCCCTAGCATATTCTATGTTGTCCAGATTGCCGTAGATCTCTCAAAGAAACAATATGGACGTTCCCTGAGCGAAAATTCAGCCTCTGGGCGCCTGATCTGCCCAATCCGGACAACATCATGCCGCCAGATGGCCTGATCTATAGTCCGGCCAAATTTGAGCACAAATCCGGAAGGCCTGGTCGAATCCGGACAGATTTGGCTCCCGGAAAGGCCTGATCCTTCGGACATTTATGGCAAGATTTTGGAAAATCGGATCATTCCTCTGAGTGAATAACCGGGGGTCCTCATGCCAATCGGTATAAAGGAAAGCTGTGCTCGCCGCAATTAGTACGATGGGCGGCTTACGCTTGCCATATGCCCTATACCATGAACGCGCTATTCGGGGTAGGCCTGAACCTCTTGATTATACTATCAGACACTAACACTCTTTGACACAGAAATTGCCGTGCACTATGTTCTTCATGCACACGTTCCATTGCTACAAAAAGTGATTGTATAGCGCGAAATCGAGCATCTGAGCGTAATTCATATGGTATGTGGCACAGCATGGATCCAATGTCATCGCGCTACTCTCTCGACAGAATGGATCACAGTGACGTGTACAACGGAATGGAACTGCGCATCGTGCTTGGCATAGTTGGAGTTTGAAAGCTGGTATTTGCTTGGGCCCTAACAAGAGAACGTTCAGCATCGTTGACAACCATCCGGCTCAGAGTGTCTCCCATCCCACAGCGCTCACCTTGGTGTTGAAAGAGATGGAGCTGCTGCTGAATCCCCGTTTCATCGCCCTTGTCCAGCGCTTCAACAGGTCTTTGTGCTTCCCGACCTCCACCCCCTCCGGCGTGACGCACGTCCCCGCGATGTCGACCACAACAAATCCACCGTCAAGGCCCTCCGTGTCGACGAGCGGTTGGCCGGCCACATCGTCGCCCCGCGCCACAGTTTCCAACAACGCAACCGTTGGACAGGTGTGCGCGTAGAGGGGATAGCCTAGGTCTTGCACGCCGAACCCTGTGTCCACTAGAGGATCCGTCACGACGGGTGTCTTCAACCTCGGCTCGCCGTCGTTCCGGTTACTCGGGCTCTTTGGAAGTTCGAGCCGGTTCTTGGGGTCATCCTCGTCTTCGAAGTCGCTCTCCTCCTCGACCACGGTGTCGCAGTATCTCTGGATGGGGGTGGCTAAGGCGTCGATCTCCGCCCGAATCTGTTCGGGTGACTCGGTCTTGCCCTTGGTACTCGCGCCGCTGTCTTGTTCGGCCCCCGTCTTGGTCGGCGCCTTGAACAGGGCAACGGACTTCCCGTCTGCGAAGAGCTCCTGCTCCACTTCGTCCGCCCAGTCGCTCCCAGGAGGCGGGCTCACAGAGGCATCTGCTACTCCAGATGCCCAAGTGTCAAGTACTCGTGAGTCAACCCAATTGAGGGTGGGATGCAGACATTGCACTTACCAGGCCCGCCGCTTCGCCAGGACTTGTTCCCTTCGGGTGAGTCCAAACTCAAGGAAACGAAGGACTCCGAGTCATCGTCCCAGATGAAGAGTGGGGCGTTCTCCGTAGCCATCCAGGAGTTCATCGAGGGCAAACCAAGAGCAGGGCTATCACGGAAAGACGACATGACGAAAGAATGTGTGTGCTAATGTGCGGGGTGTGCAAGCAATACGAGGACTGGCCAGCAGCGACGTGTGGGGCCCAAGTGCGCGGTGTGCGGATATCTGCGTCGAGCAGAGTGGAGTTGGGTGGGATGGTACAGTTGCACTCGGAGAGCCGCATACTTCAGCCGCAGTGAGGCTGACAACCATTCTCTTGACTGGAAACGGGAGCCCGGTCTCGTTTGAGAACAGCTGCATACTGGGAAGGCGCATGCTCAAATTCTCCCGATACTAGTACTTAGACTGCTTGCAGGTTTTTCCCGTCGTGCGAAGGACGTCTTGCCCTTTTGCTGCGCCTGAGCGAGATTGGCGAGTGGTTACTTTGGAAGATATGGCATCGCAGAAGGTCTATTTTACAAACGAAATGTATGCTACATTCAGAAATAAAAGACGTTTGCGCTTCGCTCCGTACATCAAACTCACCACCTTTCGCTATTGGGCCACGCTTTTCTCATCATCCTTACTTGTTGCCCTTTTTCTCATCCGCTCCCTCGCCCGGAATCTCTTCCTCTGCGCCATCTTCCCCCGCATCGATCTGCCTCGCCTTCCCGCGTTTCTCCCTCCGCTCCAAATACCAGACCAACCACGTCACGAGCAGCGTCGCGACACTCGTCCCGATCATCGCCCACATGCCTTTCGTGAACCGCGGCGCGTCCGTCGCGGGGTAGAACACGAGCGGCCACCACGCGTTCACGACGTTGTTCCACATGTTCATGGACGCGAGCACGACGCCCCGCGCCGCGTGGTCGTCCGCACAGATCTGGTTCGCCCACGCGAACGTCGTCGCCTGCCCCGCGTAGCTCGCGCCCGCGAGGTACCACGCGAAGAACTTGAGGCCCATGGGGGAGGACCAGACGAGAAGGATGATGGACGCGGTGGTGGTGCAGGTGGCCATGTAGACGAGGACGGGCCAGCGCGCGCGGGACTTGGTCGCGTCGGTCCAGGTCGCGCAGACGAGGGTGGAGACGATCCCAAAGGCTGTTACGCCGGACGGATAGTTGTCTTAGACGATGCGTGAGTTGTGGTCATGGTTGCGATTCCATGGTGAGGGCAGGGTCGTACCTATTTGCGGTACGGTGAAACCACCGATGGCCTTCATCCACTGGCCCATGAGGTTGTTAGAGCCAAAGCTCTCCGTCTCACCGGAAATCGCGAACTGTTCGTCGCAAAATCAAGCAATGGTCTAGGTAACATTGTCCTCAAGATAGGACTAACCAAGAGACTACATCCATACCAACGCCAGTTGCCTAGAAGCCGCCTGACGAGGTTCCAGTTCAGATGTCCGTGATCGATATCCTTCTCTTTGTCCGACTCGAGCCGTTCGCAAGAAAGCAGACGTTCCTGTATGGCGGTGTAAGCTTGAGTGTGGGCGTCATCAGGTGACGAGACTCGCACCTCTTCAGACAGATAGAAGGCCCTCGTCGTCGTCGGGACATCGGGGAACATGAGGAAGCCGTAAAGAGCAATGGGCAGGGTGATGATCCCGTCTATGATGAAGCTGAAGCAGTACTTGAGTGAGATGAATTACACGGGACATGGGCTTGTTCTTACAGCCAACGCCATCCGCTTCGACCTGCTCTGCCGTTCAGGTGGCTGTATGAAGGCTATGCGTCAATCACGAAGAGTGATTGTAAGTGGGACAACCTTACGTGTAGACAGCAGCTTGCAGGATTCCAGAAAAGCTAACGAGCCACGATTCGGTACTTCAAGGCGTAGCAATGTGAGTAGACATATTGCAGATACTCACAGTGTGCCTACAAGACCCGAGGACGTAAATATGCCGGAGCGCTTCCCTAGTTCACCGGATTTATACCATCTATGCTCTGCGTCAGAAACAAGACAAAGTGGTGGGAGGCAAGAGATGTCACCTACGAGCCAAGGATGTAGTGCGTGCCTACAAATGTGGATGATTCGGCGATGCCCTGAAAGAAGCGAATCGCGTATATCTGTTCAGCATGGTCAGTTCACCATAGCGTTCGTGCCTATCCGAAGCAACCCACCTGTTCGACGCTAGACACCGCACTTGTACTACCAGACAGTGTTCAGTCCAGTCCGAGCTAGATGATGCTGAATCCGTTCGTTGCATCTCACCAAAATGTTAGCACACCCCAAAGGATTTGCATCATGGGAAACCAAATTCGAGGGGGGACGATTTGTAGCATCAGGTTATCTATAAACGCACGCATGAACCTCGTCAGCGCTTGTGCGGAAATGTCTTGTGGCTCCGCAACATACTTGGTATCATCCCCACGATATATCCGCAGGTGAAAATGGTATTGATTTGCTGTAAGTTGCCCGGACGTCAGCTCACATCCTCCCAGGTTCGTCACCCAAACAAGCGCCTACATTGAATTGCGTCCCATGCATGTGGAGTTCTTCCTTCATGCCTGAAACATATGCGTTGGACAGATTGCTTCGATCGAGATCTATCCCGGTCCACGTGTTCGTACATGAGCAGTTGTCCATGAGAAGACACGCTGCACCTACAGTTGCAGAAGTACTGAGCACCGGCACATGAGCAGAATTTCGCAAGTCAGCATAGCAAAGCACGCACCATTAGACAACAATACGACAAGATAAACCAGTCTATTTTGAACAGAAGATTGCGCTCCGTCTTTGATTCGGGTATCTCGCCCCATACGAAATGGCGTATCTTTCGTAACGCGACCATGCCGGGCTCTTCAAGGCGAATTATGAGGGACACAGACACGGGGGTTGTCTGAACGACAAGGCAAAGCCAGCGAAAAAGAGCGCGGACACTTCGGATCGCGAGAGGATGGAAGTCCGGTGCAATCCAAGGACCTTGTATCGTACGATGTTTCTTAGTGGCCTATGAATACGCGATGATAACAATCGTAGAAATGTGTTGGAGAGTGGTCTGCATGAGAGTCGTGAGTATAAACCCGAGCGTCGTGTGATACCCCGTGGCCGGGCGTTGGACGAACTCCACTGGAACAGGCGTTCTAACTTCTGCAAGAGTGGACTCGGTGAACCGCCGAGACGCCGACTTTGCAATCACGTGCCCACACTGTCAATGTCTCCCAGCTGCGTGCGTGTCACCTTAGCTGGCTGTTCCAGACGATCGTCATACCACCTGCTCTTCCACCTTAACATGGCGGTGATTGTTCTGTGACCAATCTGCATGACGGCTCATCGAGCTTGGCTCAAGTTTTTGTCAGGGTGTATAGTCAGGACTACACTATCACCGATCTCTAGCTGCATACCCTATCTTCTGGGTCTTCTACTATTGGTCTCTACAGAGTGAGCTCATTGAAAATCCGGAGCGCATTCTTGCGACGAGATGCCTTGCATTGCCTCTATGATGAACTTCGTAGTGGCTTGCATGGAATTCGGGCTCACCGCAGCAACGACCACTCACGTACAACTCTACAATGTAGGTCAGGTAGTTGCTAAAGGTTCTTTCTTTCGCTGAAAATGGGTAGATCGTATTCGTTTATAGAGGGCTTTTGTAGACCTTCACGAGTGTGTACGTATTCATGAGTACAATACTGAACATGTGCCGTCTGACTTCGTCACCTTGGCATCCCGCAGGTTATGCGTTGTGATCACTCCCCGTATATTCCTCAAGCTGCGCGATCCGGAGCTACACGGCAAGGTGTTCCCCTCGTCGTCGGGATATGCCTGACACCCGGCACGCCACACGGGGATACAGCTCACTCTGAGATGTTCCCCAAAGTACTCGCAGCGATGACAACGCAATGCACAGAGGACGAATGGGCCGACGGTGTCTATCGAATCGCGTGTCCCACTAATGCATTCGCCTTGATCTATGGAAGGTGGGCTCGGGTGTATCATTCTGGATGAGCCGCACGCGGATTAGGACCTCGCTGGCTCTGGACTGCAAGTACGATCACCCATTCTTCCTTCTCCCTCGATCTTCAGCTTATTGCATCCCAGACATCCCGGTCGCCTGTTTTCACTCTACTTGCGTTGCAAGCAGTCGCACTTAACTTTGTCCGTACCATGTTCTCAATCAACACTCCTTTGAGTGGCCCGTTGCCATGAGCGTCGGACTTCGCGAAGCAACCTGAGCCATGGCCCGGGTGCGTCATCGTCAGACCATGGATTGGGCTGACAAATAATCTCGATATACCGCTGACCAGCTGCTAGAAGCACGTTGGTGGAGGATTCGACTTCGAGCCTGACGACCATGCGCGACCCGTGGGCAAGTGCTAATCTCGTTGGCTACGATAGCGCCAGCGCTCAAGCCCTGTGCAATCACCAAATGAGTCATTTGCACTGTGACACAGCGATGGATGTCTTCCACTCAACTGACTCGAGAGCTCATCTCCCAGGTCTTCTCCGTAGGATACAAGGTACGGACATGACCCTCCAGGATGACCGTCCTCTGCGGGATTTCAACTACCAATTTCCATAGCGTGGAATCCCTGAGAATGTCGGACCGCGATCGTGTATCCGGATGCCTTGAGTCGCGGTGAGCATGGAAATTAGAACTTTCCTCGCAAATCTCATCATTTCTAAAGATTACGGGGACCACCGCCGCGAGCATATATCGCCATGATGTTCTGCGTGATTCCGATATCCTGAAATCAGCCTTCCGTCGATGATCCTCCTCGCCAGCCATGTCCTCCGAGGCATCGTACGCATACACTGTAACATTGTGAGTCTCAAGCTCACAGCCATTGACCTCTCGACTCTTGGCAGCTAATCATACGCTCGACTAAGGGCTCATTCAATTCGTGCCCATAACTATCTGGCCATGGTTGCGCTCAGTTGGGTAAATTTCCCTTTGTCGCATACTAAGGTCTGCTCACGTTCCCTTTAGCAATACTCTACTATGATTATGTGCTGACGCTGCCAAGAGAGATTGAGCATTTCTGGAAAAGAGCCAAATTTTCGCTAGCAGCGTCTCTCTTTGTACTCAATCGCTACCTCGGCCTCTTCGGGACTGTGCTAGTCGTGATAGAATATTTCCTGAATCTGGCGCCGCATGTGAGTTCTCCTTCATCGACTATATGAGTGTCCCTCCCGGGTCCTCACGACGCCTTTGCAGCGGTTCGTATGATGGCTGATCCTTACAAGGCATAATTACTTGACACGAATTCCACTAGCTGCAGGCAGCTACAGACGTATCACGCATATTATACAGTAATAAGCCAAGTTGTCATCGGAAGTATGTTAAGCAGCTCTTTCGCTCTTCTCGCATGCTAACGGGTTTCAGTGCTATTGATGATTCGCACCTATGCGCTTTACAATCGGAGTAGACGGCTAGTGATCGGCTTCGTCATCCTGGGTGTAGTATTGTTTTCAGTGGGTATTCGGTCGCTCTCCGTCAACTTTACTTACTGAAACATGTATTGATTCAAGGCTACGCTCCTTGCGGTGAGCGTCGAGACTCCGGCCGACCCTTCCACGCTGTCAATGCGAAGTTCGCTCGGCTGTGACCTTTCAATGAGTGAACCACTGTAATGTGTCTATCTGCGTTCCTCTGTAATGAACCGCTCTCATACCTTCGACATATTCAGGGGGTTGAGTGAGTTCTACCAATGCTGAGTCGTGGCAAAACCCACCAGATTGTAACAGGGACTGCTGTGGGCTGGATAGCGATGATCTGCGTTGATACAACGATCTTCATCCTCACCATGCTCAAAGCTATCAGGATGGCACCGTTTCTGCACCATCGGGTCTTCGCCGTCTTGTTCCGAGACGGTGAGCAGTTTAAGTGCTACTGCTGCCTTCGGCAGAGTGGTATCAGTCCACTGACTCCTTCTTTCGTTTAGGTGCGGTGTACTACATGTTCGTCAAAGTACCGTTCAATGAATTATATGTGCTAATACTACGGTTTTCAGGATCATGGCGCTGGTGAATCTGGGAAACCTGCTCAACCTTGTGGTAAGCTGTCCGCACGGGATATTCCCATACGTATCACTGTCAATCAATAATGCCTTATGTTCAGCTCCCAAATGTAGGTCAAGCAGCCACAGCAAGTTTCTCTAGCTGACAAAATATAGATTGGAGATGCGAATAGAGGATTTCTGACGACTTTCACAAATGCGTACGTGATCTTCAGTTAGATACGGAACCTTGTTGTGTGACTTCATCGCCTTGTCATCCCGTAGGCTTTGCACTACGATAACCTCTCGTATCTTGCTCAATTTGCGCGATCCGGAGCTGCAAGGCGGTACTCTTGCCATTGGAAGATGGTCCATACCTGGAACGTCGCTCATGGCTGTGACCCGCTCTATGGCGTTCACCGAATCCACAACAGTGACAACGCAACGCACAGAAGACGACTGCGCTCTCGTTCCTGACCATGTCACCATTTCCGTCGAATCGCGGGTCCCACCAACCTCTTCGCCGTCCTAGGGTATTGCGCATGTTGTTTTGAGTGGGCCGTGCACGGAGAGGGGCTAGCTGGCGCTAGTCTGTGAGTACCCCACCACTCTTCTCTCCTTCTTTCAATATTCAAGCCTATGTCGTATGCCCCGGTCACGTCATTTCACAGTCTGTGTTGCAGCAGGTTTCTTTGTCTTTGCCCATACCCTGTACCACATCGTCAATCGTACCATCCTTCATGCGAAAGAAGCCACAGTACTAGCGCTATAAGAAAGGCACGGCGAGGTTCAATTCATCTGAACTGAGAGGTCGAAGTCGCCGGGTCAGTCCATTGGGCCTCAAGCGTGCACTCACGGTTTCCTTGGAGCCCCTATGCAACAGGCATTCAATTTGGTTGCGATGCCTAGGTACCAACTGGCAACCCGAATCGACTGAGCGCTTCCTTCTGTTCGTGAGAAATGGGGGGCCGACGAGTCGGTGACGCGGCTAGTCTCGATGTCGATCAAGCCCGTTCGCGTGCATCCCGTGCGTGGGGTTTGTGTTGGTTTGTGTCGGACTCCAGGCTAGCGGCGCGGTGGGGCTCAAGGAGTCAAAACAGTTGTGTAGTGACTAAGAACCGCAAACGGACTTTGCCTTTCGCGAAGAACTTGAAGGATAATTACCCCCGCTTTATCGAGATTGGGGGACGCCTAGACGGTTTGTATATAAATTCGCTAAGAGTCCTAACGACTTGCATATGCTGCGGAGTGGTTATTGCAATGTTCTCCTCCCATAAACGACAAAACTGGCAAATGTGCATACTAGCGAGTCCACTATCGCCACTGCGCCGATGAGGCGTGTCCTTTGGTGCTCCGCAAACCACTATGCTCATAATCCAGGAAGGTTTCAACATGAATTTCCGGCTTTCCGACCATCACGCGTCACGTCCGAGTCCGGTGACACGCTGTTCAAACCACCAAAATCCGTATTGCTTCATGCTTGCGGTATTCCCAGCGTCTTACTCCCTGAGAACGTACCGTGAATGCAAGTAAAATACGGCAAGCTGTCCGATACCAGCAGAATCGGGGGATCAGGAAGCAATTGAGAAGGACAGAAACTAGTTTTGGATAACGGCTGACCAGAGCGTCACAGTGGTCGACAGGGCTTTTGGAAACCGTCGTCCCTGTAGAGGCGCCTACCTTCCTTCCCCTCGAACTCTTGGTACGCCGCATGCCAGCCGCCACGCCCTGGCCACGACGCTGACGTAGGCGCGAAGGCCGAAACTCGTGTCCATCCAGTATCGTAGGTTATGCCATTCGCACTATGGCCGGGCTTCAACCGAAACGATCACGCCGGAGACGCCACAGTTTACCCCTTTTGAAGGGGGGGGGTCTCAGATTATAGCAGGAGTGTGGCGCTAGACATACCTGGCCAGACGTGGCTTGCCTGTACTCGCCCGAACCAGGCCGGGCGTCCGTGCATCCCATATGACCGAGAAGACGGTTCAATGAGGAGCGCACGGTTGGTCAGGATTGATTGCGGAGCCTCTTGCGACTGAACCCTGCTCTAGCGGCTGCTGTACTTGTGCTCTTCATTACTGTCCGTCCGGGAGTCTATCTGGAAATGGAATTGGGATGAGCGGCACCGCGTTATAGAACAAGGCACGCGTCGGATGAACGTGAAATGCGAGGTGATGTCGACATACGCCCGAACATCCGTGACGACATCGCCATGGCTCGTCTTCAGCAAGTCGACTGGAACGGTCCACGGCCCAAAGGCATGGGATGCTCGCCCCGTCCAGACCACTGAACATTCTACGAGTGTCTTGGTCAACCACGACCGGATGTGGAATTGCCAATAAGACGTAGTAATACTGCTTACATTGGGCGTCCGAGCGTCCGAGAACCACGCTCCCAGCCGCTCGACGGGAGCGTCGGGAAGACTAGGGGTTGTGTGATTGCGCCATCAAAAGTCTAGCGCGAAAGGGTGCGAGCCTAGCGGCTGCGATAGCCTCATTGTGGCGCAGATGGTCAGAACCGCTCACAGTCGTCTGCTCCCACGATGCTTGGCACGGCAGATTCAGATCGCTGATCGCCGTCTTGCCCCCAGATCCAAGGGGAGTTGACCTGGTCGACACCGCTCCGCGTCGGCCACACACCATTTTGCCGCCTAGACCGGAGAGAGCTGCGCTGTGACCCCTCGGCCAAGCCGATAGCATCCGGGCGGCAGTCATACACAGTCACGCTATACGGCGGATGACGAACGGCTGACAAACTGAAAGCGCTCAGCCGCGGCGCGTCCAACTGCGGCGAGACCACCGGCCGAGAATGATTGGGCCGTTCGTCTGGAACGCCACGGTGGCCCGGGGGTTCTACCGAATGACTCCGAAAGCTCACCTCAAGAAGCACGCACCGGGCGCATGCAGCCCACATGATGGGAGATGATGGGGTAGGATTATACACGGGGCCGTTTAGGTTTGCGCGAACCTTCTGGGGTCGTGAGAACAGCGCCTACGGATGTGTGGAAACGTTGCGGAATGAACCATAACCTCGGTCAAAGTGGTCAAGGAAGGAGGACAGGTGGTACGGAACGCATTCAGTCAGAAAACTGACCTTGAGAAATGTGCTTCGCTCAACACGACGTGTGTCATGAAAGGTAAGACATTGAAATTGCTCCAATATGAAAATGGCCTATTGTTTCAATATAACGCATCTGTGGTCAACTGCGCAACATTCGGATCAGCTCTTCGCCTACCCATTAGCATGGACACGTTGTGTCGGCCGAACGTCATCAACAATTTGGAACGCTGCGTGAGAAATGGGCAATCTGGGGTCGTCAGGACACAGTGTATGAATCTCGCCGTCCGGAGCAGCTTGTGGGCCGCACTACGGCCAAGAGTCCGGCATCGGGCGGCACATAGGCGCGGCACATAGAGTTACCATTTCTGTCTGATCGAGTGATGGGCTGGTGACATAGGATCGATGGTTTGTAACTGCTCGAGCGACGGTCCTGTGTTATTCTAAGAGTTGTGTCTTCGGAGCATGCGACAGCGTCTCGTAGGGAGAGTGGGTGCTCACGGGGTGCGCCTCATGAAGAAAGGGAACGCGGAGACAGAGGGGAAAACCATGTATACTGCGATTAGTCATCACGATCTCGATAATTGCCGACGGTGGGACGGAACGGACTGAGGGCTGCAGTGGCAAACAAGTCCGAGTCCGGATGCACACTCTTGTCGCCTTACTCAACTCATTCGAGAGCCTTCGACCGTCCGATTCCTGCCGCTGCCAGCCGTCTCTCCGATCTGCACAATTTTCCATATAACCCACCGACCAGGCTGACATGACAACTCTACGCCCCCCTGCCCATCCAGTCCGCCATGCGCATACACCGCGTCCATTCCGTCGCCCTCCTTATCCCTGCCTTGGCTGCGGCGCTCGCAGCCGCCACCGCTCTGCCTTCAAGTCCTTCGGATACACGATCACTTGGCCATGTATCCCCTCTATCCGAGCAGGCGGAGCGCCTACTTGTTTCGCGGGATGGCGACCACGGACACGGCGGACATAGCCACCACGCGGCGCCCGTTGTTCAACTCAATGAGACGGAGGTATACATGACCCACGGGACGACGCCACCTTCATATTATTGGCATGATATCATGGAGCCCCCACAAGACGGGGAGCGGTACCCGGGGTTGATGGGATTGCATGCGTTATCCATGTCGTTAGCTTTCTTTGGCGCTCTACCAATTGGTGTGTACGACCGACTATTTTCTTGCGCGTGCTCGTCGTAATCTGCCCTCGCAAGGTATCGCCCTTCGGTCCGTCAAGCACGCATGGCACGGCGTGACTGTCATAGTATTCTACGGCCTCGTCGCGGTGGGATTGTCGTCGAGTGCACTGTACCGCAAGTTGACGCCAGACCTGTCCGTACTATTCGGCATCCTTAATTTGTCGGGATCGACTGACGGTGATGTCATGGCAGGTACGAAGGGAGCAAACACGGTTCTCAGGGATACTTCTTCCTCTTTTGCGCCGTCTCCCTGTCCGCCCTCGACCTCCTCTCGCTCGTCGTCCGTCTTGTGACTTATGTCCGCTCGATCGTGCGCGGCGAGGATCGGTTTGCCATCAAGGCCTTCTGGAATGTCGTCGTCCTCGATCGTGACCAGGAACTTTCGGGCGCGGATGCGGAGTACACCAACCTTGTTGCCGACGATCCCGAAGAGCTGCAGGAAGCGGAGTTGAAGGCCAAGGATGTCGACGAGGAGTCCACGGACGCGGAGCCCCTCCACGTTCGAAGGGCCAGGATAGTCGAGCCTATTCAGACCTCTTTCGACAGCCATGAACCGACGGCACAATGGGCCGAGAGTGTGCATCGCCATGCTCGCCGTCCTTCCTACCCGCGGTCGGCCGGTTCCGAGCGTACCCTTTTCGGTCCCCACTCGCCGCGGCGTTCTAACGACTCTTTGGACGAAACAGGTCATGTCTATCCCTGGCAGGGCAAGGACAAGCGGGCCGTGCTGCGCTTCGTTGGGCGTGCCGCATTCGCCGTTGCGGAGCGTGCACTTGTCTTCGCAGGATTCATGCAGGTCATCACTGGCATCGTCATCTACACTGGAGGATGCCGCGGCAATTGGGGCAACGGGTGCCTGGCACACCTTATCAGTAAGTGTCGACTTCCGCTCGCAGTAGCTCCATCGTACTCATTGTGTGCACACTAGAGGGCGGCATTTTCTGGTGCTACGGCTTAGTGACTTTCGCACGCTTCCTTGGTGCTTTCTCCGACATTGGTTGGGCATGGAACCGTGCGCCCAAACACCATGGGCGGTATCCTACCGCAGAGTTTGTGGAATCGCTCGTCGTCTTCCTCTATGGAATTACCAACACCTGGATGGAGCGCTTCGGGGCCCACAAAGGCGACCCATACACGACCAAGCAGATGCAGCACATCTCCATCGCTGTCATGTTCTGGTTCGCTGGTCTGGTGGGCATGGGCATAGAGTCCAAGCGCATCCGGCGTTGGCTGGCAGCCGGTGCGACCGCCGCCATACCCGCCGAGCGTCGTTCGCAAGAGGCCGTTGCGGAGCCCCCGCAGTACATCGCGAGCTTCAACCCCTTCCCTGCCCTGTGTATCGGTATCACCGGTGCCGCCATGAGCGCACATTTCCAGACATACATCTTCCAGGTCCAGATTCACATGCTCTGGGGTTACTTGCTCTGCGGGTTCGCCGTCCTGCGCTGCCTGACGTACTTCTTCCTCTGGCTTGGACCCCCTCGCTCCATCTTGCCCTCGCGCCCTCCCACGGAAGCGCTCGCGTCGTTCCTGCTCGCTTGCGGAGGCCTCGAGTTCATGTTCTCGACGGAAGAAGTCACGATCGCCGCCATGCGCCAGGGCCATGACGATGTCATGATGTTCCTGAACGTCGGCGTTGCAATCACCTGCCTCGCCTTCTGTTGGACGCTCCTCGTGGTCGCCTTCAAGGGCTGGCTCAAAAGCCCGACGCAAGGAACGATGAACTTCCACAGCTCGGCATAAACCCTCTGCGGTCAGCTTGTGTCTCGTCGGTGTCGGCTCCCACGTCGTCTGCATCTGCATTGACTCATCGTATCTATTGCAATCCGCATCGTACTTGCACAGCCACGCTATTTCTATACATCCAGGTGAACCCGATACCTTAATGCGCACTCTTGACCCTCTCGTCTGGAACTGCATGTGGGGAAGCAACACCAATTATTCTCCGGAAACCCCACTTTCCCTCTCCCTGCCTCGAGGGGAGAGGTTTATCTACGGCATCATTATGCTCGGGCGATACCAGCGTCGCGCCTGTACTACATATTACTCCGCACACGCCTCCGCCGCCTCCACTCCTATCTTGTCCGCCATGTAGCCTTTGCCATCGAGCTATTCTCCTTCTGCCATCGCCCGTGTATATTTGTGTAGGGCGTTGAGGGATCGGCTTCTGCACCGCCTGTTGTAGTCGCAGCTATCATACTATCAGTTACGACAACCTACGTACCTCTCCTCGACGATGTTTAGCTTAATGAAAATAGTATGTTGTCCGCAGTCGTAGTCGCATCCATGATGGATCAATGGAAGTGTGTGAGAGTGTGCGGGTGAGTCAATATTGAAGAATGTTTGACTCGGTTTTTCATGACGGGTCGGTGTTAATCCGATCAGAGTGACGTACAAAGCTTATGTGGTTTCACGATGTCGCCACTTCGCGTCAGAAGAGGGCAAAGGCGCCTGCTATTATGAGCTCTTTACATATAAGTAACTGGATTTTTGTTGCGTGCCTGCGTGGAGCCTCGGACGTTGTACCTTCGATCGACGTGCGATCTCTTGTACTCGTACTACGCTTTATAGGCTGGCGGGTTCACTCTGTATTGGGCCTTCATAGGATTTTGGGATAGATGTCTAGCGAACGGCCACTCTATATCGTCTTTGGTTACGGGTCCCTCATTTTCAAGGTGAATACGGACTATCAAGCGTTCGCCCTTGTATGCTGTTCTCATGCACGATGAGCTAGCCTCCTCCGCACGTCATCAAAGAAAGTAGGCTTCATGATTGTTCATTATGATCGTTATATTTGATGCGGATACATACAGGCCCGGGTTATCTGAAGGGATATGTACGCCGCTTCGCACAGAAGTCGCATGATCATCGAGGAACACCGGAGGTCCGCGTAACTGCCCTGCACTCGTCTGCACGTGGATCTGATCGGCGGACACCATTTCTCATTCGCAGAACCCCGGCAGAGTCGTGACTCTGATCCACAAGGAAGATTGGGACAAATTCTCTGGCTCCGTACGTTCGATTCGCGGCTTCGTGCATTACTTGTGGTTCATCCGGTCACGTCTGCAGGATGCATTTCCGGACGACGACGTGGTTTGGGGTTTGTTCACCAGCTCTCAGGGTTGTGACAAAGCATAAGTATATGATACTGAGGAGTATGCTAGGTATCGCATATACCATAGATCCGGCGTACGAGGCTGAAGTGAGAGATTATTTAGGTACGTCAATGGATCGGATCCAAACTAATTGCAAGGACACTGAACAACCGCCCTTCAGACTATCGGGAGAAGGTTGGCCTGTAGCCATTGCAAGGGGCTGTTGTGAGCTGATTGAGCACAAGGACGGCTACACCTTAGAAGAGGTTGACATTTATGGAATCGTAGACGGCCACGAACAAGTCATTCTCCCTAAGGCTAGTTTCTCTTTGTGGCATCACGCTAAATATCGCTCACACCCATCATGCAGGCACTCGTATGTGTCCCTTCCTCTACAGCATGCTCACATCGCTCAGATTAAGCTCGCCAGTGCTATGTTGGCCGGCCAGACAACCCTTCATTCCGTGAGTATGATCATGACGCATCTTGGATACTCGGAAGTGCAGTTGGCTAATAAGAAACTTACAGTGGGTTCAGAGCCGATCGACAAGCTCTCCGAACGCATATGGCACTCTGTAGGTCCCTCAGGACCCAATAAGGTGCGGTTCCTATGTGCAAGTGCCCAGTCTGCGATAGAATGCTTAGTGTGGACATCGTCAATAGGAATACCTTTATAAATTGGCCGAGTCGGTTAGACATCTGGCGCCCGAGTCGCATGACTCTCACCTGTTCGCCTTAGAGGTAAGTTCGATTGACGAAATACCCTAAGTGTCTGAGGGCTCAAGGTTTGGCTAACTCTAGACGAGATGCCGCGAATTGGATCAGAAAGCAAGAGGGGGAAGTACTAGTGCTGTTGACTTGTAGGCTTTATAGGCCACTTATTTGAGTATTTCATATGCTAGTCGTGCTGTAGACATGATAGACAAAAACACTAGCATGCGGCGTCGAGACATTGAATGCCAATATCGAAGACATTGTCGTCTCAGCCACAGGATTGATGGGCGCTTAGATCTAGCTGCTGTTGATTGAGGTATTAAACAGTGCACTCGCGGTCATCGTGGTCATACTTATGCGCGTTGCCTCGCACTCGCACGTCTTGTTTCTGGAGCATCTCAACTCTCTCTCGGCTCGTCATTGTACACACAACTGAGGTCTGCCTATTGTGCCTTGTCCACAAGCTTGAAACGCTTCTTCGGGGGACGACTGCGGCACCGACAATGCTACCGGCATTAGAGCCGTCCGTACAGGACCATCTGCGTCTGGAAGCCTTCGAGGTATCTGCTACAGACATCAGGCTAGGGGACGTTGCCAATTCACGCTTTTATAACTCAGGGGAAATTTGACGTGAAAGAATTTGTGGGTGGCATATCCGAGAAGCTCATCGCGCAGTCCAAAGCGGACCCCGGGCGTACGTGCCTCGCGACGTGCATATATGCCTGCGAATAACCTATTGGCCGAACAGCGTTTGATCCCAAGCCTTTCATCCGGACATTTGAAGCTGCTGTAGATAAGCTTATTGCGGTCCGGAAGGATGTGCAGGCGAAGACAGAGCAGATGGAGAAGAGCGTGCGGATCGCAGAGCGAGACTATTCGAAGAAGATGGCGGAGCTCAACCGAGGATTCGAGGTGTGCTCCTTCCTTCCTCTCTTTCCCAACACGCGATGTAAACCCTTTCCAATGCAAGGCAGTCGGCCAATCCTTCTCTGGAATGGAGACGAAGATGAACGAGGTCGGACGGACGGCCATCCGTATAGGAGAACAAATGGAGTCAGTGCATCAGCAACGACAGCGCGCACAAGCGGCGTACGACCTCATAGACTTCTACAACCAGTTTGCGAAGGATGACACTTCACGGCTGGATGCCATGAAGAAGGAGGGGAAGGATGGGAGGCGGAAGGTTGCGGTTCTCCTTCGGCGGCTTGCTACCGTCGCGAAGGAGGTCGATTTGCCCCATTCCGAGAAGGTGCATCCATACCATGGCTCTGCCTGTCTGTCCCCGACTGATGATCGCTACAGACCCGCGAGAATATTGACCGCTACTGCGAGAAATTTGAGAAGGACATACTGCACCTATTCGACCGCGCATATAGGAGGGGGGATCCTAAGATGATGCATGTATGCGCTTCCCATGTCATTCATCGAATTCGGACTTATAAGATCCATAGCATTGTGCACAAACGTTGCTTGATTTCAATGGCGGAACGTCGTGCGTACAAGTATATGTCAATCAGCACGACTTCTTCATCAACCGGGTGCGAGCGGATCCCAACATTGACTCTCAGCTGTGCGTGAGGCAAGTTCGTCGTATTCAATACATTGCTTATCGAGGTCGCGTAGATGGGTCGCAATAGCTGATCCAGACGCTCCACCGCCAACGTCTGAGCGTGGCCTGCAAGAATTATTCCAAGAGATCCGCACTACCGTTGGGCAGGAAGCTCAGATCGTTCAAGCAGTGTTCCCGAACCCTGCATACGTCATGCAAGTCTTCCTTCAGCGAGTTTTTGCTCAATCGGTATGTCTCTACATGTATCTACAACTTCGTTTGGCTCAATCGCGGTTAGGTACAACAACATTTGGAGCAACTCATCGTGCGGACAGATCGGATGCCTGAATTGGCATTCCTTCGAATATTGCAGCTCGTGCACCAGTCCACTTCCGTCCTTGTCGAGGATATGAAGGCGTATGAACTCCCGTCCGTTATCCCTAAGTCTCCAGTTGACGCAAGCGAATTCCAACGGACAATCAAGGGGATGCCTGCGACTAACGCTTCGAACACTGCAACTGCTGCGACAATCAGCACGATGCTCGAGACGGCTATGGAGGAGCTTTTCGTCCCGTACACGGAGGGTCAGCGGTACCTCGAGAAAGAGAGCCGAAGTTTGAGTGAGTTGTATACTGGGTACCTCGCCAGATTCACTCGCTACCACGTACGCCGAGTCTTTCTCCTGAACTCCAGGAACCCCCTAACTCGATCGCAGGAGAGAGTAGATACCAAGGGCAAATCATCCGTGTTTGGTCGCATGGTGGACCAGCTAAGCGCTGCAGCTGCTACGACGTCTCCCTCGGGGACGTCCACAACATCAGCTCAAGCCGCGGCGGCCCTTATGCGCATTGGTGGTCTTAGTGCTTCCACCGACAAGACCCAGAGGGACTCCACGGAGGACCCCATTCGGGAGGAGGATGGTCTACTAAGCGTCGATGTTGCGGAGAAGATGTTGAAGTGGCATGCTGAAGCCATTGGTCGCTGTGTGGAGCTGAGTCCCACGAATGACGTGTGAGCAACCGTTTCTCGATCCACAGTATTATGACGCTTACTGCTTGTCGCAGCCCAAAGCATACATTCGCCCTGTTGCGGGTGCTCGCTGCGGCCATTGGCAGCTCATATATCGAGGTTGCGGTCGAGACGTGAGTGTTCTATGTCCTTTCCTCCCATATCGCCGTTAACCCGCTTGATACAGGGTACTAGCCCGCCTTGAGACGGCCGACTCGAAAGTGGAACCTAGCTTGCAGCCGCTGACGGTGCTCCGTGAAGTGGACCTGATTTGCCACCTGTGGCAACGCTACGTGACTATGGCATTACTCCCACTCGCCAGCAGCTCCGTCACCACACGCCGGGAGATGGTCATCTTCAACAATCAGGCCGTCAGCAGGATTGAGGGTGGTGCGAATGCAGTCACCCAGAAGCTTACGGACGGTATGTTATTCTCTTGGAACTAGTAATCCACGCGACAACGCTGACCGTCCCACCACAGCCATCGTGAACTGGCTCTCAACACAATTGGCCAAGCAGAAGCGGACCGACTTCAAGCCGAAGAACGACGATATCTCATTTGCTCGTGTCAACACCGAGCCTTGCTTGGCCTGCTGCGATATGCTCGAGAAGGTGCGGGATGCAGCCAAGGCTAACCTCAGTGGCAAGAACCTCGAGGTCTTCCTCACAGAGGTTGGCGTAGCCTTCCATGGGTTCGTAACATGTCCTCAGTGACCTCATATCTTGACTGATGGCAATCTCCAGTCTACTCCTCGACCACCTCAAGAAGTTCCCCGTCAGCGCAACAGGTGGTCTCATGCTCGCGAAGGATCTGAAGTCGTACCAGGACGTCATTGATAGCTTCTCCATCCCCTCCTTACATGAACGCTTTGAGTTCATCCGCCAGCTGGGCAACGTGTTCCTCGTCAAACCTGACATCCTGAAGTCATACATAACTGAAGGCTACCTCGGACGTATCGACGCTAACCTCCTCCGGCCTTACCTAGCGCAGCGCGCAGACTGGGGTCAGGCGGAGAAGGGCTTCAACGATCCCACCGACGGTCCGGCGGACGGCAAGGTGATGCGGGACCGGTTCGGTATGGGCAGGCTGAGCATGATTATGAAGGATCTCGAACCGCTTAGGGAGCAAATCGCCATACCCAGCATGCCCATGACAGGCATCAGCCAGTTCACGGGCAATATTACTTCGTCATTCGCCAATGCACGGTCGTCGAGGTTTAGCAATAGCGGGACGTCCTAAAACACGCCTTTTGGTGGACCAGTGCTTTGGAACCTAACTTATACATTCCCGTTGTGCTGTATTCAACAAGTCATTGTATATAGATGTAATAGTAGGATACCCTATGCGGATGGACCTTACTCGCCCTTGAACACCGGTACCCGCTTCTCCTTGAACGCTTGCAGAGCTTCTGTGCGGTCCTTCGAGTGAAGCAGAGGCTCGTATGATGCACGCTCGAAGTCGAGACCTGATGCTAAGTGAGTGACCGCCAATACTGTTTGTGGAAAGACATACCAGACTCGAAACCAAGATCCGGAACACGGGAAATCGCCTGCTTCGCCGCGCGGAGAGCCAACGGAGCTACACAGAGATCCCATGAGACGGCATGATATAAGAGTAGGAGCGAACGCGCATACCGCTCGAGCTAATCTCTCCAGCTAGTTGCAATGCCCTGTCATATCCTGTAGTTTCAGGAGAAGAGATGTAGTCCACCACGCCTGAGCCAAATGTATATATGCTCAGTTGCACGGAAGGAGGATGAGTAGATGAGGTGAACGCGACGCGTACCTAGCTCATGCGCCTGCTGAGCAGTCAAGACCCTCGCGGTGAAGATGAGGTCCTTCGCCTTCGCCGTCCCCAGGAGACGCGTAAGCCGCTGTGTCCCGCCCGCCCCGGGGATGATGCCCAGCTTCGTCTCCGGCAACCCTATCTTCGTGACAGCGTGGCCTTACCCCTCACTTCCCTCAGCACCCTGCTCGACCACGCACGGACAGGCACTCACCGGCGACGCGTAAGTCGCACGCCAGCGCCATCTCGAGCCCGCCCCCGAGCGCGGGGCCGTCGATCGCCGCGACGGTCGGCACGGGCAGGTTCTCGAGCGTGCCGAGGGCGCGGCGGAGGTCGATGAGGAACTTGTCGACTTGCGCCTTGGACATGGTCGCGCGCTCGATGAGGTCCGCGCCCGCGCAGAACGAGCCGATGGTAGACGAGCGCACGATGAGCACGCGTGCGCTGTATCAGAGAGGGGGCATATGCGGGGGGGGGAGGGACGCGCGTGAGTCTGGGTAAAGACGTGCAAGGAGGGAAGGCGGACGCACCTCTTGTCGAACTGCACCGTGTCCAGGCACTCCTGCAACTCCTGCGCTCCGTCGTGTTAGCCAGACACGGCCACTCTCTCAGAAAGAGTTAGCAGACCTTGAGCAGCCTCAGGGAGATCGCGTTCTTGGACTTCGGACGGTTGAGCAGTAAAGAGACGATTCCAGGACGGTCATGGTTGGGTTCAAGGTACGCCTCGGCCGAGTTCGCGCCTGCGGGGAGGGTCGTCTGGAGGAACCGTCGTCCGGCGTGCGCGCATCTTGCGCTCCGCAGGGCACTGAGACCAGAGACACGAGAAGCAACGAGGATCATCGTGAATACTGAGCAGAGAAGTGCAGCGGACGTCTCAGCCCGCTCCACAACGCGACTACATATATGCGCCCCGCCTCCCCGGACGAGGGGAACTCGTGACGCGGGGGGAGCGAAGCGACCACGGACCTTATATCCGCGTTCAATCCGTTATCGGACACACACTAGAGCGCGAGGGGCAGTCGCACCGGTAAGCTGTTCATTGCAATGACTCTGCACGAGGACATAGACGACAGGGTACATGGAACTAGTTATCAGTGTACACCGTACAGGTACGTTCAAAAAGGTGGTGCACGCTACGAGTAAGTAATACAGACACACAAATGCAATGCGGAGCCCGTACTGCGCCCAAAACAAGATTTAGTGAGATTGAACGCCATGGAGATCGAAGTTTAGTGGGAGGGGGATGCGCGAGAAGGAGGTAGAAGACGGCTCAACAGGACGGCCGCCCTGAAGCACAAGAAGGACGCTACCAAGAAAGCGGGGGCCGTGGTACAGTGGATTACAGACAAGCGTGCGAAGGCCGAAGGTATAAGGCGTGAAACAGAACGCGCTCGTCTGATAGATAATTGATCGTTCGTGATCGGAAGCAGCGAGAGGGGTATATCTGCGAAAAGTCGACGTCAGCTTCCATCACGCCCTTGCGGATCCACACGGCCGCCGAACTCACCGAACGTACACCCATATTTGCTACGCATCAATATGGTACCGTTCAAGCAGCCTCGCCGTAGTACTGCTGCTGCACAGGCGGCGCGGCAGTCATCCGCGGCGAGTTGCTCGGGTTGGCGTACGGGTGGGTGGCAGGCACCGGCGCGAGGTTCGACGGGTCGTAGTACGGCTGCTGGTGCTGAGTCGCAGCGTAGCCGTATCCGCCCTCGTAGCCTCCATATTGCGTCGGGTTGTACGCCATTCCAGGAGGGTATTCCACCCCGGCGTTGGGCGCCATGCCCGGGGGATAGTCTACTCCAGCGTTGCCGAAGCTCAGGCCCATGTCCGAGGGCTGGGCGTACTCCTCCATGGTCGGCAGGCCGAAGTGCGTCGCGCGGTCGGGGTAGGCGTCGACGGCCGCGTGGGTGGCAAGCGGCTCGGTGTTCACGTCCATTTCCCGCGCGCCGCCATGGCCCGCGTAGCTCATCTCCGGCTCGGAGCCGTGGGCACCGTCGTTGAAGCTCGCCATGCTGCTGTTATTCGGGGCCTCATACTTCTCGAAGTAGGTCATGTCCTCCTCGTCCTGGAGGCGTGCCGCGCGACGCTTCGCGTATATGATGGCCGCTATGATCCCACCAACAACGACTACACCTACGACGGAGAACGTGCCCGCGACGGCACCCTTGTTATCGAAGAAGCTGCAGGGATGAAAGATGAACAAGGGAACTCTCGCACGGATCTCCGGGAAGTGGACGTGATGGATTGATAGTTGCTCACCCTTTCGAAGATGCTGATGTGCCGCTCAATGCAGCATCTGTGGCGGTCGGCGAGGCCGACGTCGACCAGGTGAAGGACGTTGGGGAGGTGTCGGTCGGAAGCGCATGGGTCGTAGCGGCCGCAACAAACGTGACGGTGCTCGTATGGCTAACCGAGGAAACGCTGGTAGACGAGGAAGAAGAGGACCTACATGCGCGCGGTCGGGACTCAGCCTGTGTTCGCGTCCATACAAACAATGTCACTCACGATGAGGCCGAGGTAGTAGACGAGGCGGATGAAGACGAAGACGAAACGCTGGTCGAAGAGGAGGAAGAGGAAGAGGAGACCGACGACGAAGAGCTAGAAGACGACGATGTCGACGAAGTGGCAGGGAGAGGAGCTGTCGAGGAGGACTTGCTGTGCACGGAAGACGAGGTGGACAAGGAGTGGGTGCTCGACGACGTCGTGCTCGTGGGCGAGGCCGTGGTCACCTCAGACGAGCTTGATGAGGTTGTAGGGACGACAGAAGTCGACGTGGTCGTCGGCGCTGCAGAGGTTGGGGTCGAAGAGCCTCCACCGTCAAGTACAGGGAGGCCAAGACCGTCCGCCGACGGCTCCGCGTTCACGAGAAGGAGCGACTGGGATGAAAAGAGCGCGATGCAAAAGAGCGTCAGGACGCGTGCTGCGGACGCCGAGCAGCAACGCATCTTGTCAGTTGGTGTTGGAGGGCGGGGGAGGGGGCGTCACGACCGCAGCGAGGAGCGCGAGCCGGAGAGCAGCGAGAAGGATGAGGACAGAAAGCAAGTGTGGGCGGACGGCGTCGATGCCATTCCCAAAGCAGGACTTGGACTAGCGCGCGGCGTTCGGCCCCCTCCGTCCGACTTCTGCCGCCTCAGGGCCAGGCCCGCGGTTGCGGTGACTAGTCCCCGTTGCCATATGTACCACAGAAACATCTGCACTCGTTCGCACTCTTCCAAGCTTCCCAGAAGCACGTAATTGATTGATGTCGGACGCAATCAAACAAGAATACGAAAGTTCGCTCGCCCGTGAAAACCACACCGGTATGTACCCAACCAAGACACTCCGCAGAATACAATCGACTTCGCCCGTCCCGAGCGTTTTGTGCAGCGCACAAGACTACCCCTCGAGCAGCCCGTTCTGCCGCAAGAACTCGTACGACTCGGCCTTCGTCCCCCTGCTCTCGATCTGGACGCAGCACTGCTGCAGCCTCCCCTCCTTGACGTCCCGCTTGAACTGCCCCACGTCCATCCCATCGTTCCTGTCTTGCAGCTCGACGAGGAGCCGCCGCTTATCCTGTAGCAGACCGTCGATCTGGTCCGAATCGAATCAACAACAGATGCGCTCACGTCTTTGCTGAGCTTGTGCCAGACGGGGTCCACCGACGCGTATGAGAGCGAGTGCAGCCCCACGTAGTACCAGCCGGCGTTCTGCTCGAGCTGATTACTTCGGCCGTGTGACTCCGGATGTGGGAACGAGGAATACTCACTTCGACGGCAGGGTAAAAGAACAGGTGGCAGTCGCCTGCGGTCTTCGCCCACGCCTTGACGTTGCAGACCATGTCCCCGTCGCCCCAGCCGATCAGGTACGTCCCCGTCAATCCCTCCAGGATGACCGGTCGGTATATGAAGACGAGGTTGGTGTCGACGGCGTGCATACGGGTATCGTAGCCAGTCATGAGTTCCATGCTGTGTGTAGCGCGTTCGAGCCCAGCAGGTGGATCAAAGATACATCACGTACTGTTGAAGGTCGTCTTCCTGAGCTGAAGGTCAGTATTTTCGACAGGGGGAGCAAGAGGGGACCCACAATAGACTGATCGAGCACTAGATGCACAGCTAGGTCGTCGTACGGGATAGGGCCGTGCCAAACCTCCGAGGTAGCGGGACGCTTGGAGAACTCGAGGTACCATGGTACCTGCTTCTTTCGAGGTCCCGGGTCGGGCTGTCCCTTGGATGCTTCTAGGGCACGCACTCCCGAGTTGTCCACCGCAGGTTGCTGGGACGCAGCTGCTGAAGAGGGCGACCGCTTCATCTTGGTTGACTCCGGCTTGCTAGTAGGTGAAGTTCGTGTTGTTCTGATTGCCATGCTCGAAGCTGAGCGTTGCGGCCGAACAGTGGATTCCTCGTCGGACTCGACGGGAGTACCGCGCTTAGGATGCATCGGCACGGGGGCCGATACGGTGGTTGGCTGTCCGTTCGCCTTGGACCTGTCGCGGTTTGCATTGTTGGTATTTGCGCCGGTCCGAACGTTGGCCTGAATAGGGCAGATCGTTAGCCACCGCACTGTGGACACTAGTACGGGGCGATGGGCGCGAACCTGTTCGCGGTCATGCACGAGGTCCTCGATGACCTTGAGAGAATGGTCGAGCCTCTTCACTGCGGCGTCTCTGGAGGCTATGGCGGCGGCGAGGTCTGGTCTTCTCGCTTCCAGCTCGCGCTGCAGCTCCGTCTTCTCGAGGTCCAACCGCCGGATCTCCAACTCGCGAGCGAGATTATCTGCCTCGAGCTCCTCTACCTTGGACTGCAATTTCCTGACTTTGTCGTCGGCAGCTTGAGTAGCCTGGCGTGCGCTGTCTTGAATGCGGCGAACGGCCGCCATGAGCGAGGAGAGCTGTCGACCACAAGCACGAAAGCGTCGATGGCGGGAGGCGAATCATATGAAATGGAGGAGCGCACCTCTGTCTGTAAGCTCCATAGATCGGCCATGGTGGCAGGCGGGGTGGGCAGTGGCTCAGCAAGAGTCATGATAATGGCTGGCAAGGTTAGACGAGGAACGATCGGAAGGGTAGGACACCAAAACGGGTGGCGTGGCTGAGGGTGCCAGTGGTGATTGACAATGGAGGTGGCATTGGCCGCAAGGAATATCGTGCATGGACCGGCATGGACAGTTCTGCAGCCCGTGGTGGTGGGCTTCTTGACCCAAGTAGGCAAGCGGGCGATGCATTAATTGGGCTAGTCGCTTTGTCTTTCTCATCCCTTTGAAGTCGTGGTGCCTCTGCTGGCGTTCACACCGGTGGTCATAGAGAAGACTGTTGCGATAATATCAGTATGCATTAAGAAGGGATCAGCTATCCGATGGGAGACAGAGGGTGAGAAGCTGGGACAAGCCTGACATTCCGAGCGAGGCCAGAGACGCCAGACGCCAGACGCCAGACGCCGCCGATCGTGCAGCTCACGTGGCCGCGACAACGTTCGCAGGTGCCTATCGCGTCGCGTTATCTCCTTCCTGGAGCTCTGTCCTACGTCTACCATCGCGCATCCCGCAGCTGCAGCACAGACACTCAGGAAACGCTACTTGCAACTACGCCATGTCCGCGCAGAGGCTGCTCGTCGACGTCCACACCCACGTCTACCTCCCGCGATACGCCGCCTTCCTCCGCACTCGCTCCTCCGTCCCGCGCATCTTCACCCGCCCCTCCCCCGAGTCCGGCAAGCCAGAGGAACGCCTCCTCATCCTCGACGACGAGCCCAGCACCGGACGCCCCATCGGCGCACAGGTGAGAGCCTCCCGCACCACACCGTGATCGCCCCCACCGACTAAGTCTTTCGACGGCATAGTACTGGGAGCGCGATGAGAAGCTCAAGTTCATGGACCGACACGCGATCGACGTCTCCGTTGTAAGGTGAGTCCGGCTGCAGCACACGCCCTTCGCGAAGCACGGGCCCGTCTGACTCCCTCCCCCGCAGTTCCGCGAATCCCTGGCTAGACTTCCTTCCGGCCAGCACCGCGCACACGCTCGCGACCGAGCTCAACACCGATCTCGAGACGTACTGCTCCGCCGGGCCCTCCCTCTCCGACACCCTCAAGCGCCTCTACGGCTTCGGGCTGCTGCCCCTCGTCCCAGGCGCGTCGACCGCCGCGCTCGTGTCGACCGTCGAGCAGATCGCCGCGCTCCCGCACCTCAAGGGCGTCATCATGGGCACGCGCGGGCTCGGCAACGGCCTCGACGACGCAGCCCTCGAGCCCGTGTGGGCCGCGCTCGAGGCCGCCCGCCTCGTCGTCTTCCTCCACCCGCACTACGGCGTCGACAAGCACGCCTGGGGCGACAAGGAGAACGGGCACGTCCTGCCCCTCGCGCTCGGCTTCCCGTTCGAGACCACGATCGTACGCCCTCCGCGCCTCATTCCGTGAACAGCGCCCCCACTCACCCGCTCACCCGTTCACCGGGCATGCCGCAGGCGACCACGCGGCTCGTCCTCGCCGGCGTCTTCGACCGCTACCCCGGCCTGCGCGTCCTCCTCGCCCACTCGGGCGGCGCGCTGCCCCAGCTGTCGTCCCGCCTCGCGTCCTGCGTCGCACACGACCCGCTCGTCGCCGCCCGCCTGCAGCACGACGCGCGCTACTACCTCGGCAAGCTGTACTTCGACGCCGTCGCGTACGGCGCGGAGGAGCTCGGCTTCGTCAGCGATGCCATCGGGCGCGCGGACAAGTACGCGTCCGCGGGGGCCTCTGCCGCAGCATCCAGCGCGAAGGGGACCGATGGCACGGCGCAGAAGAGGCTGGGGGCGCAGAGGATGCTGTTCGGGACGGACCACCCGTTCTTCCCCCCGCTTGGCGAGAGCGAGAAGTGGAAGAGCGTGGTCGAGAACCTTGAGGCGATCGACGGAGTGTACGGATGGGACGAAGCGGACAAGGATGCTGTAAGGGGCGGCAACGCGATCGCACTCTTCAACTTGGGATCATGAAGGGTCTCTATGTGCTTAGTACAGCTACACAATGCATATCGGGGTGATCTACAGACGTCTGTTACACCTGCTTCGCATCCTCACAACCTCGCAGTAAACTTAGTTCTTGGGCTTCTGGATCTTCAAGCTGAAGTCGATGTGCTGCACGGACTGGTGCACGGCGCTCGTGCTAAAGATGTCGATCTCTACAGCCAGCAGCCGTCAGCGTGCCCCCAGTTTAGCTCGAGGGTGCAGAGTGAGCCGTACGCACCATTGATCGCGCGCTCGTGCAGGTTGGCCTCCGTGATGTTCCCGCTGCTCTCGAACAAAAATTTGCGCTTCCCGGCCCACTTCTCCCGCAGCCGCCGCGCGACGCCGACGAGCTCCGCGCCCTCGATGTTGTCGAGCATGACGATGTCCGCGCCCGCGTCGATCGCCTCGTCCGCCTCTGCCTCGGAGCCGACCTCGACCTCGAGGAGCAGGCTGAACCCGCCGACCTTGCGCGCCTGCTTGATGGCGTTCGTGATCGAGCCTGGCCGTGCCGCGTGCAGCGTCGCGAGAATCATCGGGCGGGGCGTCGCAGGACGGATTCGCACCAGCAAAGCAGCGCGCAGCGTGACGGGGAGCGAGGGAAGCAGCACGATGAGCACGACACGCGAACGGCCAGGGACGAACGCGCAAGCGCACCAGACGACCAGATGTGGTTGTCCTTCAGCATGATCATGCTCGACAGGTCGTGCCTGTGCGGGTCGATCCCGCCCACGAGCATCCCGTACTTCTCCACGAGCCTGAACCCGGGCGTCGTCTTGCGCGTGCCCGCGATGACGCCCTTGTACCCGACGCCCCGCGCGAGGTCCTTGATCTTCTTCGATCTGCGCGCCCGCCCGAGATATGTGAGCTCCCCGTGATCGTGAAATGCCTGGGGGATGCTGCATGAATAGAGAGAGGTACGCACTGGGTAGCGATGCCGGAGCAGCGCGCGAGCATGTTGAGCGCGACGCGCTCGCCCAGCAGGAGGTGCCGCGCCTTGCCCCTGACGGTCGCGACGTGCTTCACCGGCTCGAACGTCTCGCCCTCCTTCATGTGCCATTCCACCCTGTGAATTCACAGCGCGCGCGCCAGTTAGTCAGTTTCAGTCTGTCCATCTGTCCGGGCTCCGGTATGTCAGATGGTACATGATGCAATGGCTGAGACCAGCAGCGACATTGCAGTGGGCGGAGACCACGGGCGCAGGTCGTGGGCGGATAGCATGTAGAGCGGGGTACTCACTCGCAGCCTAGTTGTGCAAACACCTCGGTGAAAAAGGGCGCGCCCGCGAGGACGGCAGTCTGTTTGCCTTTCCCGAGAAGGAAGGCCTCACGATGGGCTTCTCCGACTACGAAGCCTCCGTAGTCGAACGATGGGGTGTCTTCCTGCAACCATGTCGTGATCTGTGTCTTCCAGCTTGGCGGAAGCAGGTGTTCGTAGTGATCGAGCTCATCCTGCGAGGTGGACATGGTCGTCGAGTGTCGAAGCCTCCCAGACCGAGATCGGGGGAGACGTCTTTGCTTTGTGAGAATGCCGGCCCGATGCTCCGGGCTCAATGATTGCATGAGCCGAGAACTTTAACTTCTACGCTCTGGAAGATGCGAATACTCAAGAGGACCTTCACCTTGACTTTTGGGGACAGAGGCGAAGCTCAACGCATCGAGTTAGATTCATAGAGTGTGTCCTAGGCTAAGGGGCGTTCGATGTCAATCGAGAACCCGGCCAAGAAACGAGGAGTCAGATCAACAGGCCTGCCCCTCTAGATCTACGAGACAGTGTCCGGTCACATGTATATTGCAGTCCCAACACGAATAGCCAGAGAGTAAACTCGCGACAAGCACCAAAACAAAACGACTGAACCACGTCCACGCCTTGTAGTACGCGGGCCGAGAGTGTGCGGCCTTTTCAAGCCAGGATGGCGCCGAGGATGGCAAGAGCACCAGTAAGGCCGGCCCCCATGGGGTTGATCGATGAGGCGGCGTTGCTCTTGGTGGGCGAGGTAGAGGTGTCGGACGTAGTGGGGTTCAGCGCGTCCGACCCGGACGCGTCAGTGGTCGTCGACGGCGGAACAACCCTGCGTGCGAACGTCACGTAAACGACCGTCACTCTGGCAAAATTCTAGCTCGAGATTCACTCACAAAGTGCTGGAGGAGCCCGAGGTTGCGGTCACCGCGGTCGAGAACGTGCTCGATGTGGATGCGACGATGTCAAACTGGGGAGACTGGGCCAAGATGGTGGTGAGGTGCTCGGTGTCCGCGACGAGGTTCACGCGGAAGCCCTTGCCCGCCTTCCAGCCGCCGCTGGGAGGGTTCACGGTGATCTTGCCTTCGGACCCAACAACGAGAGCATCGAGCACCTGGGTAGTGGGCGGCTGCTGGACCTACAGATTGAAGGGTGAGACATGCCGCAGGCTTTTACCCGCAGAACGCAGAGAACATACCTGGTTGTCGAGAACGATGGTGAAGTTGGCCGGATCGGTGGAAACCGACTGCCAGGCGACGACGTTGGGGCCGCTGGTGGTCCAACCGGTGCTCGCGTCAGGCTCGGTGACGGTGTACGCCAGAGCAGAGGCGGCGAAAGCGAGGAGGGTGAGGGCGGAACGCATGTCTGGGATTGGGGGCGGGTCGGAGAGTGCGTGCAGGAGGCTTGGGGGAACTAAAGAGCGACGGTTGTTCAAAAGAACGTGGGGGATGCGCGACAGAAGTGCGGCGACGGGTAGATATGCGATCGTGACGGGAAGACGTCGAAGTCGAAGTGAAGCCAGAACCTGGCATCCGGGCATGCACAGGCATGCACCCCGGCCGCGGCCGCCAGCGCCGCCACTCCTTATCCGGCCGTCAGTCCAGCCCGCTCCGTCAAAATGCACACAGCCACCAGGGCAACCAAAACAGCCCTTCCTCGCACTCCACAACCCTCGGTGCGGTCCCGCGGCTGGTCGCTAAGTTCGTGGACGTTACCTTGTCCCGTCTTTTCGCATGCAAGTCAGCAGTATGTACAGAGAGCAAGGACAATCGACGCCTAATAGGTACACAAGCATTGAACGCCTGTTGGCGAGTAACAACTTGCTTCGGCCTAAAATGACCGGTCGCGAGATCCTTCTGTCAAATTTCGACAGCGGCGACCGTGTCCGCGAGGTTCGAGAGCCCGATAACGGGATGGGAGCAACGTTGAAGCAGACACAGCGCGGTCCGCCCGCAGTGCTCGACCTACCGACCACGACATGGATTAGACAATCCCTGCTTCTACCTTGGACAGCATGCTCTCCGCGTCCGTCCATAAATCAGTTTGGCCCCATATACCAATGATCACTGTAACAATCAACCAAAATGACCTCTCATCGATCGCTGGCGGCTCCTCGGGCGACTCCTCCGCCACCGGACGCTTACGTCGTTCGACCATGAGCTCCAGACATCCTCGCGCAAGATTTCGGAGGAGGCTCGTTTCATCGCCTGATATCCAGTCGTCCACGCGAGACAGGAGGGCAAAGATCCACCGCGCATGAGCTTCAGTGATGTCGGTATAAGGCAGGTGTCCTTCCTCGATGCGCGTATGGATCCAATGGCCGAAGTACATCAGGAGATGCATGGCATATCGCTGCCAACGTATCAGAGACCTATCAAGGAGGCACGGAATGCGAGAAGTGGCGTACGTGGTCTATATGTTGCAGCAGGACGGGTGTTGGCTCGCGAGGTGTGCAAATGAGGGGTATCTCCCCATCCTCGACACTGGCACTCGTTTTGATCGCAGGATCTGACGTTGCAGAGGGATGCTGAAGAGGCTCGTCGATACCTACTTGACCAGTCATCCCCACGGACGATGGGAGAGTCGTTGTCGATGGAACTAAGACTTCCGGCATTGGGTCGGCCAGACAGGTTTCGCCCATGTCATATGGAAGAGGCGTATCTTCCTGCGCCTCCTGCAAGCTCATTGGCTGTCTCTTCTGATTGCGCTGCTGCCACCGCGATGGTTTTGGCTGCCTTGGCTTTTTGGGAGGGTTCCACTCACTCTCCGGCCGCCCCGCGAGGAACGCCCACCACAGGTCGCGCTCCTTCTTGTCCGGCATGAGCTTCGCGCTAGAATCAGGGATGTGAATGTGGATAGTGGGTTGGACGGAATTCTGCAGGCACCGACGAGCGGGATCAGTGCTCCGTGCACAGACATGCGGGGGAACGGCGAGAGCAGGCGGATCGTGGGGCACAAACCTGAGATGGACTACGCACCTTACGGAAGTTCTTGAACCGCCGCAGGAACGTCTCGCGCCATTCCTCGGAGGGCAGCACGTCCCCCTTGCTCGGCTCGCCGCCCGACCCTGTACCTGTGCCCGGTGTCGCCGCCGCGTCGGGCGTTGGGGCGTCCGGCAGTTCGTACGGATTTGCGACACGCGTGACGTGAGGGAGCAGCCGCGCGTCCCGGCTGTACCGCGCAGAATATAGCGTTAGCAAACCCGTCCGCGCACCATCGCGGTCCTCCCGAACGGCCGCGACATGTGGAGAGTACGCACCGCACAGTGAACAGATACTGGAATCCATCCATGGGCACGCCATCGAAGGTGTCCGGGAGGTTCGCGACCGGGAGCACCTGGCGCCCCAGCATGGGCTCCTCTTCATCTGAGGAGTCCTCCAGGTCGTCCGCCTTGCGTTTCATGGCACCGATGGGGAGCGACATGGCGTGCGCAATGACAGCTGCTATGCAGGGTGTCGTGTCGTGGAGAGTTAGATGGGCAGGAAACGGCGAAGAACTCAGGCTCGGTGAGGTGGTGGCCGGTGCGGACAGAGTGCGGCGCGAAGACACAACGATGAACGCGCGAGCAGAAGGTAATGGGCGCTTACATGTACATGGCTCTCTGCACCAGAGATGGGCGAGGGACTGATGACACCGGGGGTCAAGCGTGAGAGAGTCTAGGGTTTCCCTACCGATTGCATGTCATAACTTCAGGCATTGTAGAATTCACTAGAGCCAGAACTCTGGAAACTGAAATAGAGAGAAAGCCTGAGCCATTAGAAGAAGTCACCGCTGCCGACTTTCGGGGTCCTGGGGTCAAGCACATCTCTGCTCTGCACCTCATGACTTGCTCATCATTAGCACTTCCCTTCTTGCTGTCAAACCCTGGTCCTTGGCTTTGCAACACCTAAATCCTACTCAAAGACGAGACCGTAACCGTTTCCGGGTGGCGGGCCTCCACAGGAAGTGCAAGGATGGACGGCGACGACGAGGATATGGACTTGGAGACTGCCCAGGCCCAAATAGACATGTCTATGGCGTTCGTGAATGATCTCGTCTCGGGATGGATGAAGAACTCCAACGCAAAACTGCCAACATCTACATCACGAGTCGATGAAGAGAAGGAGCTAGAGGAGTACATGCGTAGACCTCCCCGGTTCGTACATTTGCATCTGACGTGAACTCAACCAGTGGTCGCCCGACCTCTGATTTGGCGACATCGCAGGTTAGGCGTCGGCGCCCCCGTGCCAGGATCTTCAGATATACGGAGTCGCGAGACCGCCAAACTCCGGAACAAGCTGGTCACGAATGGGAAGAAACGGGCCAGGGAGGATGAGGAAGCGTCTTCGACTCCTGGTCCAAGCGCGATGGTCATCTCGGATGACGAAGAGGAGAGTAGAGCCCGGGCAATCACTAAAAAGGCGCGTATCGACCCCTTTGCGCCCAAGCAGAAGGAGAAAAAGAAAGGCAAGGCAGACCAGCTTGCTGCCCAATCCACGACTTCGCCCTCAAAGACAGCCAGTCTTCCATCCAAACCCAGGACCGTAGAGCCTGCGACGCCCGTTCCTCTAGCTACGTCTCCGCCTACTAAGACAGCCGTGTCCCCGCCGAAGGCGAATCCCGCAGAGCACGCGAACAAGTACTCCGACATCGAGGAGATTCCCGAACCCACCGGCGTTGTGGCCGCGGCTCTCTCGAAGTCAGCAAAACGCAAAAAGAGAAAGAAGGACAAGAGCGCAAGCACAGCAGGCGGAGAACCTGATACGTCTCCAAAGGCCAGTGCGGGCCCTTCACACACCCCTTCGCAATCTAAGGACACGACTGCACCCGCATCACCACGAGGTCCTGCAATACCGACAGGTGAGAAGCGAGAAGTCATCGTAATTAAGGATACTCCGCCCCCGGATGCCCCGCCCTCTTCTTTTCTTGCATCTGCGTTGGCCAAGGCGAAGTCGTTCCTTAGTGAGTCTGCCTTGGCCCCTTGTTCGGTCATGGATTTCCCGCATTCCACCGTCTATCGTATACGCGGCTGATGGCGAGAACCTGCAGAAGCCGTGTCTGGTGATGGTTCGCTCGCAGCTACTCCGCTTGCGAGCTTGCAGACTTCCCCAACCCGACCCCAGCCCCCCAAGCCAGTCCCACAGCCGTCTCCGCAACAGCTGGATCCGTTTGGGCACCCGTTGCTGAACCTCAGTGGGCCTCCGCCCGACGTCGGGGATGAAGAGGCCGGGGCGTCGAAGAAGAAACGGAAGAAGAGGAAGAAAAAGAGGAAACATGCGATGACGGACGCGGTTGCACACAAGGAGGTGATCGATGTGGATGCAGACGATGGCGAGGAGGACGATTCCTAGCTTTGGGCACCTGCTATATCCGTGTTAGACGATCTTTCGGCACGAAGGGATCGAAACGTCCGTCTTGGATAGATACGCTCCCATGGATGCTTTGCTAGATTTTGCTTTGATGTTGCGATCGTCGTATACTATGTTGGATATCGTCTTGCCCCATGTAGCCCTAGTCGCACGCTCTTCATCGCAGTTTTTTTTCCAAGTCTTTGATATCCGCGTGATACGCACAACGTGAAAAAAAAACACTATAACATTCGTCCACATAGCGAAGGGTATCGTACAACAACATCTGAGCATACAAACAACACCATGTCATAACTTAGCGCATATCGTCGTCACAGAGTTGTTGTTTCATCGTCTCATGCCCAGCCGGTCACCTATGCCACCAACGGTTCTTGCCCGCAACAGCATCATATTTGAGAGCCAAGGCTTCGTCTCTCCGCTGTCGCTTTCTCCTGCGCCGTTCCCTCCTACGCTCTTTGGCAGCGCGTTCCTTCAACTCCCTCCCCTTCTCCCGTAGATGGTGGTTTCCAGTCAGGATGCCGGCTAGGTATGTACCGTGGCCGTGATGGTGGGGCTTGACACGGTGGTGGAAGTGCAAGCACGGACCATGATCACGCTCGCCATAGTAAGCATTCGGCCTCTCGCGATGGTCGCGGCGGTCGCGGTGTCTGTCGTCGCGGCGACTATGTGAGCGATGGTGTCGGTCATCGCGGTGGTCGTGACGTCTGTGCGAGCGTGAGCGAGTGCTCCGTCTGGGGAAGATCCAGAAGACGCTGCCGCCCTTGGCGCGGCCGCGGAACTGCTCAGGATGCTCTTTCTTGTATCTGCGAATCGCGGCGGCCTCGCGCATCTCGCGGATGCCGGCGCGGCGGGTGGACTCGCTGCCGAAGAGCGTCCCACGCATCTTGACAACCCAGCCATGGATGGTCGAGGCCTTGCGCTGGTAGCGACGGTGGGCTCGCTCGGTCTCCTATAGCGTGCGTGCGCGATCGAGGTCAGGACGGGAATGATCGAGTACGTAGAGCGCGCCGAGCGAGGAAAGGAACACGCACCGAGTCCCATTCGACGGGTCCAACTCCTAGCATCTCTGGGTGATGGGAATGCGCTCGTGAAGGAGCACTCATGGTGGAATGCCCTCCTTTTATAGACAGCCTCCAAAGGCCACGCGGCGGCGGATCGTCGAGGTAGAGACACACTGACGAGTCTGGTAAAGGTTGCTCAACCTGGCAAGTTCGTTTCGGGGCGCGCGCGTCTCGCGGCACGTGAGCTGGGAATACACACAATGAACACGCTCGTGCCCCGACATGCCCTTCGCGCGAGGTGGGCAGTGTCTTTGCCTGCTTCCCTCGCGTCTGCATGCTCATTGTGTATCAATCACTTCCCTGTGTGCCACATTCACGCATCTCAGGTGCGTTATCGGGTCCCAGATGGAGCTATGGTCAGTTAACTATCGTTATGACAATTGATTGTAGCATCCATATCGTTTTCCTGTAGTACGTGTGTGGGCTTGACATGACGTCGAATGGGAAGGACGCCTGTTTGGCCCTGAGGTGGCGGCTTCAAGAAACGGCAGCAGGGAGTAGGACCCCCTGTTGCACGCGAAAAGACCATGGATATTATCTTTTCCGGAGCAAGCCCGACCCTACATGATGCCGCTTGGGCAGCTCCAAGTTGCGACGTCCCGCTCTTGGAACAGTGGCAACACACACAGGGCAGAGACAGAGCGTTTGCTCCTCTCAAGGTGATTTTAACGCCACGTGGTTTGACAGATGTCCCGGTTTGGCACCAACCGACGCGCCTGGACCGTTCTCGCGCGCAATGGTAACTGTCTAGGTCGACCGATGCGCTGACGGATTCCTGAATCTCGACTGCCTCCCCTGCGGGTTGCCCGCTTCCCGGATAGACTGACCCTGTATTCTCCGAGCGATGCCCGCGCTGAACGCCTCTCATAAAGACCCCACGAAGAAGATGGGAGGCAACCAACAACCCCTCTCCTCTGGCCGAGAACTTGGCTTGAAGCGTCTGCTCCTGAACTTGTACCTCAGTTCTCGCTCATCACTATCTGATTACGGCTTCCATACACCATCATGGAAAAACAGTTCGCAGCTCTAAACTTTGATACATCGCCCGAGCCCCTTGTCTGTCCATTCGCGGGCGATTTCCAATCCAGCACTCGCCGTTCTTCTGGCGAGGATTCTCTTACGGAGACCGAGAATTCCCAAACCCCCCTGCAATCCTCGTCAACACACACGGACTATGATACGAACCGACAATGCCCCGTGTTCACGCAGGAAGTTGACCCTCTCCTCATCAAGACGTCGCTTGAGGACCGCATCGCATATCTCACGGACTTCCTCGGCTTCACCTCGCGAGACGCCGATCTTATAAGCAAGATAGCGCCCTCCGTGCACGATGTCATCCCCTCCATGGTTGATGGCATGTATGCCAAGCTATTTGAGTTCGACATCACGAAGAAGGTTTTCATGACCCGTAACCAGGTGCGCGCGCATCCCTTCCAGCGCTGGCTGCGAAACGTTCCGCTGAACCGGCGTGTGACAGGGCTTTGACGGGCCCTTGCCCCAGACGCTGGAGGAGTTGACGTTGGACAGCGCGCAGATTGTGTTCCGGAAGGCGAGTGCTTCGCGGCGTTGACACCCCGCCATACTCGGAGACAGAGCTGACCCCTGTGGCAGGTGTTCATGAAGGCGTGGGCGCGGCGCGTCCTAACGGCCGACTACAGCAACGGTAAAACGTGGGCGTACATGGACAAGGTTGGCATTATGCATACGGGTGCTTCGCCGTTCAAGCACCAGCGGACGATGGGCATCGCCCCCCTCAATGTTCCCTGTAAGTCCCGCACGCTTCTTTGACTGGATTGTGGGGTGGAGTCTGACCATTAGCGATGCGTCAGATCGAGACATCGCTCTCATGCTCGGCTGGATTCAGTCGATATTGCATTCGGCCATCCTGCAGATACCGGAAAGTGTCTGCTCTGCTACCGAGAAGGTTGAGGCCGTCGTGGCTATCAACAAGGTAGGGAATCTCGACGACTGCTTGCGCGACGAGTTCGTGTGTTTTGCTAATTTCTGATGGAAGGTGCTCTGGATACAAAATGACCTGTTCTCTCGTCACTACATCGGCGATTAACTTCCGTAATGTATACCGATCACGGCTTCGTCATAATGCTCGGGGGAGAATCATGCATGCGAGCCGTTAGTGCAGCGTGGGATCTGACATAGTTAGGTCTAAGTTGACGATACGATGCATTGCCGGAAGAAGAACATTCACTGTAGCACATTTAGTATAATCCGTGGCTGTAGCGTGTGTCATGCATAATACCACCATATATTTATCATCAGCATCTTCGAAGTGTAGGCGATCAGTACCATTGTATCTTGATCGGCCTTTACGGCAGACGTGCGTAGGAACGATTTGCGTCATGTTAAGCAGCGTAGTAGCTGTAACCCGGCGCAAAGCCACCCGGAAGGTTCGGTAGCGCGGTTGCCCGATATGGTAAGTACGTTCGAGAATTCATCGCCTTCCGATACAGCCTCTTCCCCACTATGACCTCGAGGGCTCGCTTCATGCACTATCCACCTGAATGCGATGCCCTGATTTAGCAAAGACAGGAGGGATTGAGGACGGCAGAATACGCCTTCCGCGATGTGGGGAGAACGCGTCCATGCTCTGACTCGGCAGTGGAGAGATACAGCACAACATGAGGCAAGCCCGCAACGTCTCGGTACCGCAACGAATTCCAAAAGCTATAGCTCCAAGACAAACTAGATTGTGCATGTACGCGACAATGTCTGAAAACCGTACGACATATCCCCGGTGTTCCGAAGGTCCGCGGCCAAGTAATCGCGTGCAACAAGGTACCAGTCTCAGGAGCTCAGCCAGATTACTCGAGAAGGGTCGTAACGTTACACGAGACGAAACAAGCATCTAGATACACGGAGATTGCACTGAGCTGTCTCCCCATACTAGTGTTTGCGGGGAGATCTATGGATCTGAGATATCTTTGAACTAAGAAGACTGGCAGCCATCTGACAGAAAGCGATGAAGACAGAATGTGTCCCACAATCGGAGGGCGTGAAGATTCAATATGGCCTTCTTCTCAGACTCGAGCTGACAGCCGTTCCGATCATTTCTGGCACCCGAACTAGTGGGGTTACTAGGGCATGTCGCCGGCGAAGCGCATGGAGCCTGTATCGCCAGCGAGTCAACGTGGCGGGCAAGAGCGAATTGCTCGATGTTGTGCGAGAAAGTGTCAATGTATGACCGGCGACGAGTAGCCTACGATGCGGCATGTTGGCACAGCACGCTACAGCTTCAGAGGATGAGTAGCTTGCGGAGGGTGAGGATGCTGGGTGAATGGCAAAACAATGACGTCTCAGGCCTTCGAATGCGAGGCTACACGTGGGGGCGCTAGTTTCGGTCGCGCACGTGGGCGTCTATCGGCAACCTGCGAGAACCGCCGGTGGCCGACTTGCTCATTTGGCTGTGCATCTCACCGCCTCGCTTTCACATACTGCAATGACGCGAAGCCAGTGTATCCGGCCTGCTCGTTCACCGCGAGCGACTCCAGGGTATGCACCCGGCGGGATGCGAGCGATGACCGCCGGAGGCGGCATACAAAACCCAGCAGCCTCCGATGGTCTGCTGCCCAGTCAACCACGGCAATTCACCGTCGGCAGCAGCTGCCCAACGCAAAAGGTAAAACCCAACAATGGTTTGGAAAAATATCAACGCCGTCATCGAAGGCAAGCTCTATCTGGGCACGTAAGTTCTTCGATGCACTGCTCGGGCTGACAGCTTCTCTCTAATGGAAACATCTTTTTATCTCCTTCGGGATCTCTAGGATTGACGCCGCCATCTCCCCTAGAACGCTGGCGGACAGACGCATAACACACATCGTCTCTGTCGGATCAGAACCTATCCCTGCGGACAATCCTGCGTCTGGCATCCGCCATCTCCGCATCCGCGTCGAAGACGTTGACTATGCCGACTTGCTCATCCACCTCCCGAGCGCGTGCCGGTTCATCCACGACGGTATCAACTCGGGCGGGGTAGTGCTCGTGCACTGTGTGCAGGGCCTCTCGCGCAGTGCCACCGTTGTCGCCGCATACTGTAGGCTCTGCATTGCCTCCCTCGCCATTCGCAGACTAACTAACTGCGCATCCGTCATGCAGTGATGTACTCTCGGCGTGTTGAAGCCAGCGAGGCTATGGAAATTGTTCGCCGAGGTAATTTACGCTCTTTCCCCTTCCTTGCGTGGAGGCCTTGTGGCTAACCCTCCTTCCAGCGCGCGAGCAAATTTGGATCATCCCTGGCTTCCAGGTGCGTCTAGTGCCTTCATTGTTTCAGAGGACACACCTCTAACATGTATACAACAGGAACAACTCGTCCTGTTTGGTCTTTGCCAGTATAATCCTACACCCAACGATGGCATCTACGTTAGGTGGCGCCAGAAGATCGACCGGTACCTGCAGTCCCAAGGACAAGCTCGGCGCTGAAGCGTCCCTCGATGCGTCCGTATCCGTTAGAGAACTTGGACTACCGGCCAGTGGCTCGGACAGACAGAATGTCGCGTTTCACTATAGATCACCGATTGCTCCCCATGCACTCCTCTACCTTTACCGCTAGCTCTCCGTCTTCTGTTGTAGTATCACCAAGCCGCCGTCATAAGTCTCCCGTCTCCCGTCTAGCATCAACTGTACTTTAACTTGCTGTAATCGTCTCCTTGCTTTCCCATGTGCTCTGATCCATCTTGATGGAAAATTGCACCCCTCCTTACTGCGATGCCAAAGACACATTCTCAGAGGCCCCATAGGAATATTGGAGCACTTGATCTTGACCGATTGCCTTCCCCGGAGGACACCACGCGAATGCTTCTCACGTGTGCGGGAAGCGCGGTGACGTTACTGACAGGCACTGCGCGCTTGTGGCTGACGGGTTCGCGCAGTTCGCCTCCGCCACTTTCGGGCGTGCTGGTCTCAGGCTGTTGTCGACATCCCCACTCTCTTTCTTAGGACTCAGACAACTCCTCCTTTTCTCCCATTCCTATTGTCATGCCAGTCACCACTACATCTGCGGCGGTACATATCACTCCAGGTGCGTGGTATGCCTGGAGCTTGATGTTCTGTCGGAGGCGTCATTAATCTCTCGCCTTAGTCGTCCTCAAGACCTTTGTCAGGCATACCAAGCACAAGACCCTCAAGGCAAAACATGGGGATAAATCTCCGAGGGCACTGGATGACATCTACTATGACGAGTAGGCCACAATTGGCCCGGTCTCCCTAGGGAATGATTGACCGACCCTGTCTGCAGGGCGTTTCACATCGTCAAGGCCTTCATAGAACTTGGCACGAAGAACACAGCCGAGTCTCTTCAGAGATTGTAAGGGTCGTCGGCTGCACCACCTCGACACTTGCTAATGCCACGCCTAACCAGCACGAACACGCATGTACCAGCGCCTTTTTGGGTCGCAGTCGTTCCCGTCAGGATACCACTAGCATCATCTAACAGGGCGGCGGATGCGCTCATTGAATGGTTTGGCTCGGAAGATTTGAAACGCATTGTTGGCGGTGAACGGTGGTGGCAAGTCCGTGGGCTCGACTGGCTCGACGCCGAGTGGATCACGGAGAAGGACTTCCTCAAGGACATTCCCGTCCCCGACGACGTAAATCGGACTGAAGAAGAGAACACTATCAAGCGAATGGAACAGCTTGACCGAGTCATGGTGGGTGCTCCTCGATGTGCTACCCGCAAAGGGCTCGCTGACCGTGTCGAAAATTCCAAGCTGTACGTTCACGGAGGTGAGTAGCCACACCTACTCTACCAATGTTACAGCACTCTCACAGCAAGCAGGTGCTTTTTACTGGGGATCAATCAGTACGCCGGGGAGTCATATATTGTCGAGATGTCTTCGCTCACTGTAGTACAGACACCCATAGATATCAGGTGATTCGCTACGGTAGGTCATTCGTGACATCATTGATGGGAAGGCAATATAAATTGACACAGCCACCCTACATAGCCAAAAAAATCAAAGGGCGCGCTTTTGCTGTGAACTATCGGTAAGTCCCGACCGCGTTATTCTTGAAGCCGATCCGAGCTGACAAAACGTAGCAAAGCACCGCAATATCCCTGGCCGTGCCCGCTTCAAGATGTCTTAGCAGCTTGTACGTTGCTGTAGTCTCAGCTGATCGTGAAGGGACACAGAATTCATTATCTTGTTTTAGACTTCTACCTGACCAGACCTCCCTCAGGAGCGGCGCACAAAGCAGTCCAGCCTTCGAAACTAGTTTTCGCTGGCGATTCGGCGGGGGCTGCATTATGTCTCTCGGCGCTCACCGTGCTTCGAGATCTAGGCCTTCCGCAACCTGCGGGGGCGGTTCTGATCAGCCCCTGGGTTGACCTTACGCATAGTTTCCCCAGCGTCATGACTAACACTGCAACGGTCGGTGATCCCACACATCCCCGCGTGCGTCGTCAGCACTCACTTTCAAGCCCTCAGGATATCATCCCGCCACACGGTTTCATTCATAAGCCGTCGACTCTCTGGCCCGTCCACCCGAAACCCGAAGGAGGCTATACACGCGTGGTACCCACCAAGACGAAGCCCCCTCCCCAACCTGGCCATGCTAGCAAGCTCAAACCAGATACGTCTGAAGCCAAGAGTCAGGTCAACGAACGCTTGCTGCAAAGTACCGAACGTGGCGGCTCTGTCCCGCACGCGTCGGAGCTTGAGGACAACCCGTCGGAAGTCCTAGCGCAGAAGGACATGCAAGCCGAGAATGGGGACGAAGTCTCGAAGAACGGCAGTGCATCACTAGCGGACGGAAGCCCTTCCAACGGGGATCAACCAAAGCATGTGGAAGACGGTACGGATGCGGGCAGCGCTAGTTCCGATATTGCTCTCGAGTTCTACGAGCCGAAGCCACCTAAAGTGCTGATGGAGGATCCCAACGCTACCCCATGGGAACTCCGCACCCAAATACAATTGTACGCGACTACAGAGTACGTCTTTGTTCCGCGTCGTCCGGGAAGGGCCGTCCAAAACCTAGCTGATATTAGCGCACAGACAGCTCTCACATCCGCTCGTCTCCCCGATCATGCAGTCCTCGCTAGGGAACTTGTGCCCGCTTTACATAATAGCCGGGGATGGTGAACGCCTGAGGGACGAGATCATCTACCTTGCGCACAAAGCAGCTCACCCGAAGGATTACCCGGTTAGACAAGGCGTCTTGCAAGAGGGACGGCGACAGAAGGAGAATGCCGACAAGTTTCAAACGCCGACCAAGGTGAGTGCCCGAGTTTACGTTCAACGCAGCCCACTCACTCCAAAGCGCTCTCAGGTCCATCTCCAGGTTTTCGACGGTCAGGCTGCTCTCTCCTATCTCTAGTCTCAGTAGCTGTCACTAATCAGATATGAGCCTCGCAGATCTGTGCCATGTCTTGACTGTGTTCACATTCACTACCCCTGTAAGCATTTCAGCCGGTCGTTACTCACGCCGATATATTGACTGCTTCATGTTGTAGGGGAAATATGCATACCGGTCGATCGCTCAGTTCGTCAAGCATGTCATCGACAATCCCGGAGGGCAGCTTCAGCACTATGCCTTCCCGGAAGTGAGCAAGGACCACACATCGGATCGAGAACGCGCCACCGAAGAGCCTGAGGATCGGTCGCACCTTGAACCTCGTAGTGAGATCTCATCACCGAGCTCTGGGCAAACGGGCGTGAACCTCTACGAGTCCAACGTCGCCACTACCAAAGAGGAAGTCGAATATGGAAAGGCAGAGAAAACATCGGGGCAAGGATCACCAGGTTCCGGGGGTAGCAAAGAGGTGCGGCTCATTGGTCGACTCCAGATTTGCCGCTCACTCGTTCTGAGGCAGGATGATCCCGTCCTCTTCATCAGGGAGCGCGTCAACCCTCTGGGTCATGTACGCCCAATGGAGCCCGCAGAGGAGGTGCCAGCTCTTCGTCTGAAACCAAGCGAAATTGGTATCATCAAGGAGAAGCCCGTTCGAATGTGGCTTGAAGGACAAGACGAGTGGGACAGGCGCTATAAGAGCCAAGCGGAGGCGGTGATCCGCAAACGGAAACATTACCAGGCGAAGTGGGAGAAGCTGTTGGAGCACGCCAAACAGGAGGGTCTCTTCGGCGAGAAGGATTCACTACGGTCCACAACCTCCGCAGTGTCCACTGGGGGAACCATCGAGACCGACAGACGATGGGGTATGCCCTTCATGAATCTCCTCTCTTCGAGAGACCGAGTGATTGACAGCTTGATCAGGTCCTCTGGATTTGGAGGGCGAACGGCCGCCTCCTAGTGCGATTGCGGGCCGAAACGATACCGTGAGTCGACTCGCAACGTAAATTTGTATTCATCTGACGCAGCACAGCGCGAGGCCGTTGCGCTTCTCAAGAAAGCCATCTACCATAGCGCACCTGTAACTCATCATCAGGTGCCCAAGCAGAAGGTTTCGGGCATGATACGCGCAGCCTTTGACCCTCACGACATGGCCATCAAGCCGCCACCACAATCGGTTGCGGAGCAACAGGTCCATTCGCGTCTCGTGCCAATGCATGGCCTCAGGATGTGGCAGACGCTTGTGGAGTACGTGTAACGCGCATCCTATTGTCGGTTATGTAGGTTTCGCTGATCGTCTGGCGGGATAGGTTGTTCATGCGCAAGAGTAGGCAAAAAGTTGCCAATGGCGGGAAGCATGCCAAGGCTACCTTGCGCTCTGCGAAGGACAGCGTTCCCACCGTTACCGACAATGCTTTAGATCAGTCCTAGTCCGCCGAGACGTCATTCCATTCTCTGTTCGTCGTCCCTCCGTACAGTGTTCCGGGACTAGCATTTAGATTGGTCCATGGTGTGCTTCAGGGCCTTTCGTATGATCATAGACAGTATATTTCTTGCCATCTAGATATATGCCTTGCAGCCGTACGGACGACGCATCGTCACTTGTTTACATATCACAACATTTAGAGATCCCAGTCGCCGATATAGTACTCCACATTAGTTTACAACAAATCGCCATGACGCGCAGTAGATCGCATAGCGGATCACCTTGGTGGACGCCTTAATAACTTCAAGAGCCCTATGACGCGTCTACAGGTTAAGTCACACGGACAGATTTTGTCAGTGACAATTCAACTATAAATGATGCTACCCCATCCTTAGTTGAAGTGGGGGAAAACGCGTGGACCATGAGTAGTATAGCTCGTTACTCTGGATCGCTCTCCCTCAGCTTGGTCGCGTCTAAATTCGCAAGGGAGATAACTCGAGTTGAGAAAGCCGTCTCGTATGGATCATCGGTGGCCAGTGAGTGTAGTCAGGGAGGTATCCTCGGCCTGAAATTATGCCAAAGTGAGCTCCGTATGAGACGATGCTGCATTAGAAGAGTGATCTCTCACTTCTTGTGTAAGTATCTTGAACGCAGTGTTTCTCCCGCGCGAAACGAACAAACAAGAGACTGTAAGCGAGGTTGCGCGACCATGGCCGATTCCACCAATGATCAACATATTAACAGCGGTGGTAACATTGTCCCGGATCAATACCCCGGATACAACTGAGAATTTGGGACGCAAGGACGGAGCCAAATATAATGTGAGGATCCACAAGATTAGTGGTACCGGTATTGACGACATCCAGGCGCGCATTCTGGAACGTAGAACATATGGCTAAGGACTGCTTCACAACGTCGGCAAGAAGCTTGTGTTCGCTGGAGGATGTTATATAGGCAGACTGATGTGAGACATCCTGTACTGAGTGCAGCATGGTCTAAGTACTCGATCTTGCGTCAGAGCTGCTCTAAAGCTGCTTAATGGAGCATGTAAGATAGCTTCACATCGCTCTGAGGCTCGAGATGAACTTTACAGCGGATGTGGGCTGTAAATGCAGCTCACGATATATTATTAACAATTGTCTCGGCGTATGAACTACTGGCTTCATAACACCGGTTACACGGGCTCGTTGTGAAAATGGAGTAGATGACCAAAAGCATCTCGAAGCTCAGAGTAGAAGAGTACTTACCATTCCAAGAGACTGGGAAGGTTCGTGACGTGGCGATCTCCGCTGTCTGACACGATATATGTTTCTTTATGATGTCCAGACCTCCCATATCGGGAGCATCGTGCCCCATGTTTGGTAGTTCCGTTAGCAGGGGAAGTCAGCGTGAGAAATGCTGCGTCAGCATGCATGCAGCCTTTGTGCATTAAAAGCCTCGCACCTTTTGGTTGGCGCGTCGTCTATCTCGACCCTCTTCCGTAGCCCGCTCGAATACCCCATGTAAGTTGCCCCGGACGCGTCCAACCATGCATACAAGGCTAACGTATAGCGTTGGAAGTTCCTTGATTGCTCGTCGAAAAGATGCGTGAAGTCATCTCCGTTCACGTTGGTCAGGCTGGTGTCCAGATCGGTAACGCTTGCTGTGAGTTGTCATTCTAGTACTGTCCCTCGTTGCCATGTCATCGCGGACGATTCGTCTGATCGACGCGTCTTCCGGTTGCTGTGGCAATTTGGGGATTCATGTATGCGGAGGTGTTGATCAGTGAATCTGTTACCTTGCAGGGGAACTCTATACGGTCGAGCACGGTCTCGGCGTGAGTCGTGTCCTCTACTGACCTCCTGAACTTCCCGACTGATGGCCTACAGCCTGACGGTCGCCTTCTGGATGGCTCTCCGTCTGCCCACGATGATGGCTTCAGCACCTTCTTCTCGGAGACCTCTTCCGGCAAGCACGTGCCTCGGTCACTCTACGTTGACCTCGAGCCCAACGTCATCGACGAGGTTCGGAACGGGACTTACAGGAGTCTCTTCCACCCCGAGACTCTCGTAACGGGCAAGGAGGATGCTGCCAGCAACTGTGAGTGACAAAATTTGTTCGCTTCTATCACCATACCCTAAGCCTCGTGTCCATAGACGCGCGCGGTCACTACACCATCGGCAAGGAGCAGATTGACCTCGTCATGGACAAGGTTCGCAGACTGGCGGACAACTGCAATGGTCTCCAGGGCTTCTTTGTCTTCCACTCGTTCGGTGGCGGAACTGGCTCCGGCTTCGGTGCTCTCGTCCTTGAGCGCCTTTCCACTGACTATGGCAAGAAGTCTAAGCTCGAGTTCAGTGTGTACCCCGCCCCGACGATGGCCAACTCCGTTGTTGAGCCTTACAACGCTGTTCTGACGACCCACACTACCCTTGAGCACTCCGACTGTTCCTTCATGGTTGACAACGAGGCTATTTACGACATCTGCAAGAAGCGTCTCAACATCACCTCCCCGGGCTTCACCAACCTCAACCGTCTCATCGCTCAGGTCGTCTCTTCCATCACTGCTTCCCTTCGTTTCGATGGTTCCCTCAACGTCGACCTGAACGAGTTCCAGACCAACCTGGTTCCGTACGTATACGTGGCTCGCTTGGAGTGGCCGGTGCCGAGTTGTTGACATCTTCCCACAGCTTCCCTCGCATCCACTTCCCTCTGGCCACCTTTGCGCCGATCATCTCCGCAGAGAAGGCTCACCACGAGCAGAACTCGGTCATTGACATGACCTTCTCTTGCTTCGAGGCTGGCAACCAGATGGTCAAGTGCGATCCCCGTGAGGGCAAGTACAGTAAGTATCACACCGCATTCCTCGTCGTGGTAGATATTAAACTGCCATCTAGTGGCCTGTGCGCTCCTGTACCGCGGTGATGTCGTCCCCAAGGACACGAACGCGGCCGTCAGTCTTATCAAGACAAAGCGGACGATTCAGTTCGTTGACTGGTGCCCGACTGGCTTCAAGCTGGGTATCTGCAATGAGCCCCCCGCGCACATTCCCGGCGGGGACCTCGCGAAGGTTACCCGCAGCCTATGCATGCTCTCCAACACGACTGCCATCTCGTCCGCTTGGAGCCGTTTGGACCACAAGTTTGACCTCTTGTACTCCAAGCGTGCCTTCGTTCACTGGTACGTCGGTGAGGGTATGGAAGAGGGCGAGTTCTCCGAGGCCCGTGAGGATCTCGCTGCCCTCGAGAAGGACTACGAGGAGGTCGGCATTGACTCCGCCGAGACTGAGGAGACTGGCGAGTATTAGACGTAGTAGTCATGTTGACCTGTTCGCTTTTGCATTGCTTTCCATGGTCATTTGGTAGCTCGTTTTCCTGGTCCTCCTCGTCACGAATTTACGCATGATACGCATTCATATCGATATCCCCTGTTCTCCCCACAAGTGGAGCATACGCAATCATACCATCCTTATATTCGTTTGTAATTCCTGGAACTTGTTGCACCGTTAGAAAATGGAGACTTTTCTGTGCACGGGATCAGTGCGTGGGATAGCCGAGAACGGTCGAACAGGGTCCGTTCGTGGGTTGATTGGGGCACGCGTCTTAAGGCGCCGGCGACCCCCGTTGAAGGCGATAATAGGCCACGACGCGACTTGTTGTCGTGCCCCTCCTTCTTCCGAACTCCCATCTCCCTACATCGTCTCTGTCAACATGCGTGAAGTCATCTCCCTGCACGTCGGTCAGGCCGGTGTCCAGATCGGTAATGCATGCTGTGAGTCGCGTCCACGTCCTATCTCGCAATTTCCGACTGACTCCAGGGCGTAGGGGAACTTTACACGCTCGAGCACGGACTAAACGTACGCGCCTTTCCCTTGCCTTATTCTGCGGAGACATTTGACAGGCTTACGTCTACCGTCCGAACAGCCCGATGGCCGCCCTGCTGAGGACTCCAAGACTAGCAGTGACGGCGGTTTCTCGACCTTCTTCTCCGAGACTGGCTCGGGCAAGTACGTCCCCCGCTCGCTTTACATCGACCTCGAGCCTGGCGCCATCGACGATGTGAAGGCTGGCCCCTACCGGTCTCTCTTCCATCCTGAGACTATGATTTCTGGGAAGGAGGATGCGGCCAACAATTGTGAGTTTCTGTTGAAAATCATTGTGTGCCTGATGATGACCAGGCGCGTCCCCGTGTAGATGCTCGTGGTCACTATACCGTCGGAAAGGAGTTGATTGACCCCGTCATGGACAAAATCCGTCGTCTGGCGGACAACTGCACGGGTCTACAGGGCTTCTTCGTCTTCCACTCGTTCGGCGGCGGTACCGGTTCTGGCTTCGGTGCTCTCCTCATGGAGCGTCTCGCCAACGACTACGGCAAGAAGTCCAAGCTCGAATTCTGTGTGTACCCCGCCCCGCAGCTGTCGAGCTCCATCGTCGAGCCCTACAACTCCGTTCTGACGACCCACACGACACTTGAACACTCTGACTGCTCGTTCATGGTCAGTGACTCTTTCGGCTCCGTCCTTGCGCGTCTAATCGTCTGCTTTGTAAACCATCAATAGGTCGACAACGAGGCCATCTTCGATATTTGCAAGAACAAGCTCAACGTTTCTCAGCCTAGCTTCACGAACCTGAACCGCCTGATTGCACAGGTCGTTTCTTCGATCACCGCGTCGCTTCGGTTCGATGGCTCGTTGAACGTCGACTTGAACGAGTTCCAGACGAACCTTGTCCCCTTCCCTCGTATCCACTTCCCCGTTGCATCGTTCGCTCCCCTTCTCTCCGCAGACAAGGCGCACCATGAGCAGAACTCTGTTTCGGAAATGACCTTCTCGTGCTTCGAGCCCGGCAACCAGATGGTCAAGTGTGATCCCCGTGAGGGCAAGTACATGGCCTGTTGCTTGCTCTACCGCGGCGATGTCGTCCCCAAGGATACCTCCGCTGCGGTCGCCAGCATCAAGACCAAGAAGACGATCCAGTTCGTCGACTGGTGCTTGACTGGCTTCAAGGTTTGTAATCTCTAGGTGCCCATAAGTGATAGTGGCTGATAGTACTCTTTATCGCAGCTTGGTATCTGCAACGAGCCCGCTGCTTGCGTCCCCGGTGGTGACCTCGCTAAGACCACCCGTAGCTTGTGCATGCTCTCGAAGTAAGAACACAACCCGTTGGCATGTCTCCGCCGTCTTACTCCGCCTTCTCCCCTTTAGCACGACTGCCATTTCTGCTGCCTGGTCTCGCCTTGGTACGTTAACACGTTTGCAGGCCAAATGAGCTGTATTAACATTGTGCTTGCTCCCAGACTACAAGTTCGATCTCCTGTACTCCAAGCGTGCCTTCGTTCACTGGTATGTTGGTGAGGGTATGGAGGAGGTATGTCAATTGTCTTGTTCCGACCAAGTGTGACTGCTAAGTCTCTGATTAGGGTGAGTTCTCCGAGGCGCGTGAGGACCTTGCGGCCCTCGAACGTGACTACCAGGAGGTTGGCACCGACTCCGGCGATGCTGAGGAGGAGGCGGGCGAGTACTAAGGGTTCTGAAAATGTTTGATTCGCTTCGCTTTCCACTTCGCAAACTATAGCCTACCTATGAGTCTGTCTAAGTTTGGCTACAATACCGTCCTGTTTACAGCGCTTTACCTCGTTTACTCTGTGTCATGACCCGTTGTCAATGAAAGGTTTTACGTGTATCGCGATGGGTTAGCAGCTGGCTCATAGTACTTACGCCCATGAGACTTCATGTCGTAAATGCCGCCAGCAGCACCGAACAAACGAAATGAATCGCGAGCAATTCTAGGAGATAAGGGTGGTTCTGATGAAACGAAACCGATTTGGATGACGTACGACTGTTGGACGCAGAGCTCGAGGCGCTTACAGAACTTACTCAGGTTGAACTCTAACCTCATAGCGGACCAACTGGTAGTCCCATCTGCCTATGCCTGGTAGGCGTCAAGCTTAGTTGCGGTGAGATAGAGGAGTTAGTTAGCACGATTCTAGACACAGGGAGTCGCTCATCTAGTTTCAGCCCGAGACTCATCGTGTGGTCGGTGAAGCCTCTGTGGCTTGTCTGGTATGGTGATGGCGACTATGACTAGGGTCCCGACACACGGAAACTACCATGGGTACGTACAGCCTTGCGTTCCACTGAGCATCCGTGACATGAGCCTGAAAAGGTACTACAACAAGCGACCGGCCACAAACGACCCGAGACTTGGACTCGTTCCTCGAGGTCTGTTTGTCGGGGCGCGTGTCCTCGACGTTGGCTGTAACGAAGGACTAGTGACCTGTGAGATAGGTGAGCGACATGACGATGCCAGTACGATCGCTGTTGACATTGGCTCCGTTGAAGCGCAGAACCTCCACGCCAAACGTGTCATCGGTGTGGATATTGACGACACGCTTGTCAGCGCTGCGTGGAAACACCGGCGATCCGTCTGGAGCCAACAAGGACCCACGCATCGAGAAGACACGCAGGAAGATGTCAGGGAGTCGAGCACATCTGATAGTAGAAAACGACGGCGAATATCTAACTCGGATACAGAAGCAGCCTTGTCCAGTCAAGGAGGACTGGCAAACTACTTCCCCGTTTCATTCGAGCATATGTTCGGTCCCTTGCCAATACCTGCATCGGGGGCGAACAAGGATGTCGCCGACATCTTTCCGCACAACGTCACCTTCCGCACCGCCGACTGGGTGAAGGAAGGAATCCCAGAAGATGCGGAAGGTTACGATGTCATCGTTGCGTGGGTATTGGACATGGTCATGGACGGGGAGAAATGTTCCTGACTGACTCCCTGGTGGCCAGATTCTCCATCTCTAAATGGATCCATCTCAATGGCGGGGATGAGGGCTTGCGGACTTTCTTCCGTCGTGTCCATGAAGTACTAAACCCAGGGGGTACCTTCGTCCTTGAGCCGCAAGAATGGGATACGTACGGAAAAGCGAAGCGCATGGATTCAGTACGTGACGTCGTTATGCCTCACGGATACAAGCCGCTCATCCCTGTATTCAGCGGCTCAAAGAGAATGCCAGACACTTACTGTTGCGACCAGATGACTTCGGGCGTGTGCTGCAGGAGATTGGCTTTGGACCAGCAGAGCACCTGGGGGAGGCAGGGGAAGGGGGTGGGTTGAACGATATAGCACAAATTTCCCCATACTAACTTCTATCTAATTGCAGGATTCCGACGCCCAATAGACATCTATCGGAAGATGCAGTGATGTAGATAATACGAAGTCCTATAGATCTCGTATCCGGTCGGATCGCAGCTTCAATCATCCTGATGGATGTCGTGTCGCAAGTCTTGTCGGGTCTTGTCGATAATTTAGTCTATGTTGATAACGACTTGCACACCATTCTCGGTAGGCTTCATCGAGACGCTGCAGCAATTAAATCGTTAGACCTCTCCTGGAGCGACACGAGTATTTATAGCGCTCACCTAGCAAGATTAGGGACAAGCCAATCTGGCTTGACTGCCTCCATCTGTTCGCGGCTGTGAGAAGTGATCAAACCGAGTGTCTTACAGCCTGCAGCTTGTCCACTACGAACGCCTGCGGGAGCGTCCTCGACCACGAGACAGCGGGTAGGGTCTACACCAGCGCGCTTGGCCCCAAGCAAGTAGGGGTCAGGTCTATGAGTACGATTGTTAAGTCGATTTGGAACATTGATTATAGACGAGCTCAAGTACTCAGGTTTGCCCTTCTCCACGTCCTCGGAGACGACGAAGGCGTCTGGGATTGGAACGCCGACTGCTTTCAAGGCCGAGGATGCATACACTATAGTCGCGGAGGTGCAGATGGCCCACTTGGGTTTCGGTAGCTTGTGGTAGGGACCTATCTAACTCCAAAATATTAGCCAGCTCATGAAACCTACATCAACGGACCTATACCTCGGCCATGATTTCGCGGACGCCAGGGAGGGCAACAATGCCATGCCGTCCGTTCTTCTTAGACTCCGCGACAATGGCTTCCTCGAAGCGCCTAGCTTCACGCTTTTGAATTAATCAGCTGATGTGTCGCATTATGAAACAACAACACATACTTCTTGCTCATCTGGATCGGTGACGCCGCAATGTATCCTCAAGTTCTCGACGGTACGGACGCCATGAGATGCTGTGGACGGCGTTAAGGCTAGTCGACGGTACAAAAGTCGATGCCACTTACAACTCAAGACCTGGGTCACGTCAAGACCAGGATACTTCTCCGCAAAGAGCTCCCACGCGCCGACGACACCATCGGTCGAATCGACCAAGGTACCGTCCATGTCAAAGAGGCTGAGATTAGATATGAGTCACGACTTGAGGTAGTTTGAGCAAATCCTCACATCGCATCGAACTCCAATGTCACCGTAGGCATGATGATGGATGTGGTAGATTGTAGAGCGGCGACTCTGAACGCGGCGACTCCAGTCGAGTCAGCGAACTCACCGGTCGGAGGAGGCTTCAGCACTTATTTGCATAATTCCGTGGACATCCCGATTTTTCCGGGGCGTCTGTTCTCTGATCTCAAGTACCGGCCGCCGGGCCGGATTGATAGTGCTTTGTTTGGTCCAGAAGCCGTTGCCAAACACCGCCTCCTGATTGGGACATAGCTCAACTCATATCCAGGCAACACCCCGTCTGGGTGGTGTTTTCGAGCTCACTTTCTGAAGTATCATCCTGCCTTACGGCCCACGCTCTCTGTCATGCCGCCGAGACGGCGACAACAGTTCACTCAGGAGAGCATTGACCAACAGTTACAGCAGATACACCTGCTAGACCAAGCGTCCTCTTCCGAGAATCTCGAGCAGCTAGGCCCCATTATCAAGCAAATACACGCAAACAGGCAGCAAGAAGCATATCTCCGAACTCTCCAATCCTTGATCGAGTCCAAGGATTCCGAAATTGAGTCTATATGCGGCGACAACTACCAGGAGTTCATCAGCTCGGTCTCTACACTATTTTCCATCAAGTCATACACCACCAACCTCCGCGAGAAGATCACTACCCTTGACCAAAGCGTTTCACAGGTTGGAAAGAGCTTGGTGGAGAAGAAGAAGGCGCTTTTGCAGACGAAGAAGACTGCCGCGAACCTGGACGAGGCTATCGACGGTCTACAAGCATGCTTACGCATTCTAGACGTCGTCAATCGAGTAGGAGAGATGGTTAAGGAGGGGAAGTACTGGAGTGCATTGAGGGTCCGTACTTCCCATGCTCCGTTTGTCCCATTCCTGTCCATAGTGTTGAATACATCTCGTTGCAGTCTCTTGAAGACATTGAGAGCATGCCCCCAACATCACTGTCCACAACGCCGTTGTTCCAGCATTTACTTTCTTCATTACCATCCTTGCGTGGCCAGATCAAGGATGCCGTTACCGCGTCCATGAAGCAATGGTTGCTGGACATCCGAAACGTCAGCGCACAAATCGGATCCCTCGCCCTCGAAGCTATGGAGTCGCGCACGCGTCGATGGCGGAGTCGTCGGGAGAAGGATCCAATGCTCAAATCTGCTCGCGTCGGAAGTGCCGTCGAGACTATCACTTACGAAAAGACTGAATGTATGCGGTTAATTTCGTCCTGGCCATCCATTTCAGTTGACCTCCGATGTTCTAGACAATGTCTTGGATAACGATCAGCTACAGGTCGACTTCAAGCCTCTGTACGAATGCATACACATTTACAGCGCCCTCGACTCACTTGACGAGATCCGACGATCCTACCAAGCTGATCGGAAGGTCCGTTCTTCCTTTCCCCTACACCAATTCATCAGTTGACGTGCCAAGATAGGCTCAATCCGATCTCATCATCCCTGAACCGTTACCCCTGTCCTCACTGCCTTCAATTACAGAAGAGATTGTCGGATACTTCATCATCGAAACCCATGTCCTCAACACGACTGGCAGCTTCCGCTCAGAGCGCGAAGTAGAGGACCTGTGGGATGCTCTCATTAGCCGGCTGAGCAAGGCTGTTGAGGATGTGCTGAAAAACGAGACCGACCCAGACACGTACCTCAAAGTCAAAGAGGCCCTCCTAAAATTCGTCATGACACTGGAAGTATGTGTGCCTCCACCCAGAATCGTATCGGCTTCGTTGACCTGGCCTGCAGTCGTATTCGTACTCTACCGGCAGCATTCATCAACTCATCTTGCGCCTGTTTGAGAAATATGTGTCCATCCTTGAAGTCAAGTTTGGGAGGCGCTTCGAAAGTGTGAGTCCTCTTCTCACATTGTAGCCCTATTCCGTTGACGCCTACGCTAGATCGTGGCTCAAGACGACTTCCAACCAATGTATGTTGAAAAGGACAGTGAGAAAGATAGCGTCATGGACACGGTATGGCTTATACGAGAACAACGTGATCAACTCCGGAAGTAAGTGTCCAATCGCATCAGTACTCGTTATAATGGGAACTCATGAGCCGCAGGAGCAACGCACCTCTTAACCTTCCCTGGTCTCAAGGCTTCTACCTCTGTTGCCAAGATGTATGCGCCGATCCGTTTGTACACTGCACAAGACTGACGTACTCCGGTAGATCCGGAGCTTCGTGCAAAACTTTTACCAATTCATCGAGGGCGTTGCCCAACATCATCGCAATATTGACGACCTCCTGAGCAAAGTCAGTTCGCCCATCTTGCACGATGCCAACGTCCCCTCGCTGATATAATCTAACAGTCGTTGAACACCATCCTCATCACATACATCAGTCAGTCAATAGCTAAACGTGCTCAGAGCACGGCGAACGTCTCGCAGATTGCCCAGATAATCACCAATTTGGAGCACTTCGAGATCTCTTGTGCAGAGTTAGAGAGATCACTGACGAACATCCGGTCAGTATTATCGGGCAACGATGTGCTGCGACCTCTGAGAATCCTTCCCAGTTCATCGCAACGTGGCGGCACCATTCGCGTAAAGGCAGCCAGCTCGTTCATAGAGACGCGCACGAAGGCCATAGCTCGCATAACCGAGGCCATGAGTTCCAAGTTGGATGATTTCTTCGGCTTGTCCGAGTACGACTGGACCCCTGCAACTCGCGAAGACGCGCCGAGCATGTACCTCTACGAGCTTGTCAATTGGCTAACAACAGTCGTCGACTCGCTCGCCCTCAAGGACACCTACAAAGAAGACGCGTATCGTGGAGCCGTCGGTTACATCGCAACTTGCTTCATGGTGTGTACCCTTGTCCCGCTTCCCTACCCGACTCCGCATCGTCCGGCTTCCCTGGGCCCCCTCTACGGTCGCCGTGTCAACATCTCGGAAACTGATTGCTTATTATGTATGCGTGTCCCCCAGGAATTCCTCACGGGCCGGGACATCCCCAAGATGAACGAGAACGCGATCGCCAACCTCCTTCTGGACATTGACTTCCTCGACGAGGAGCTCAAGCGCAACGGCCACTCCCACAGCGCCGCTTTCACCGAATTGCGCTCAGTACGTACAGCTCACATTGTTTCCGTTCCCACCGTGATTGCCCCGATGAGTCGCTGACAAGATCGTCGTCGCCCGCCGGTCATATTGCGCGCTCTAGATGACGTCCGTGGTCATGTCGGACGCCGTCAGTGCGTACCTCGTCGCATCGATCCGACAGACGTCATACTCTGCGGTGAAACCGAAGCGCTTGGCGGCCCTGCTCGACAAGTTGGCCAGGCATGGCTTTGAGTGCCGCGATGCCCCTTCGCGCGAGAGAGGCGAGAAGCGCAGGAAAGAGGCCGAGGCTGTTAGTCGACTTTTCCCAGGGGAGAATCGCTGATCAAGTGCTGTATACATGTACAATATTCCAGACCCAGTGTCTCGCAACGTATACTTATTCGCTGTGCACGCATACCCGTTTCAATCGTTAATTATACCAGTGTATATGCTTTCTCTAGTCGGAACAGCATTTTGGAGGCCACCGAGGGGCACATCGACGTACAGCTGTGCGTACGATAAGAGAAAAATGAACTCCGAGTTACGTTATATGGCACAGAAGAAAAAGCGGGGATCAAAACCGAAAACGGGAGAGGATACTGTGGAAGACAGCTCAGCAAGAGGAAACGAGGTAACCAGTGCAACCCTCTTCGATATCGTAAGGATCATAAGACATGAACGTTCGGCAACGTTGAAGAGGAACCCACGCGCGACGACGCCGCTTACACCCGTCGCTTGATGTTGGCGCTGAGCCACTCGAGACCCTCGTACAGGCCATCTCCGCTCGTCGCACACGCCGCCTGTCAAGCAACGTGTGAGCCTCAGATGTGTGGTGGGGCACGCGACAAGTATACGTACCTGAATGAACCACGTCCGCTGCCGGAGACCGTGGAGGCCAAGCTTGTCCGTAATCTCCGCCGCGTTCATGGCGTTGGGCAGATCCTGCTTGTTGGCGAAAACGAGCAGTAGGGCATCACGGAGCTCATCCTCGTTGAGCATCCGCTGGAGCTCCTCACGGGCCTCCGAGATACGTTCCCGATCGTTGGAGTCGACGACGAAGATGATACCTTGAGTGTTCTGGAAGTCTACAGGGAGGGTCAAGGATGAGAATACGAGGGCCCGGAAGACACATCAGATGACGCAGACGTACAATGCCTCCAGAGGGGACGGATCTTGTCCTGTCCTCCGACATCCCACACGGTGAATGAAATGTTCTTATACTCGACAGTCTCAACATTGAAACCTGTTTCGCCAGCCATGAATGTCAGGACAAGGATAGTGTGATAGGCAGCCCAGGTCCACTGACCAATTGTAGGGATAGTGGTAACAATCTCGCCCAACTTGAGCTTGTACAGGATGGTGGTCTTACCAGCGGCGTCCAGACCAACCTAGAGAGATGTTCAATACTCCGCGTACAGCGCATGAAGGCGACGCGACGCGACTGACCATCAATATACCTTAGCATTGGTACGAACGAAAGACTTGATTAGCTACACGTCGCGCTGGCATCGATGGACGATACGTACGCATCTCCTTCTTGCCGAAGAGGCCGGAAAGAAGCCGGGAGACGGAGAGACCCATTGTTGCGGTACGAGGAGGAAAGGCAGGAAAGAAACGTAGGGACGATGTGTGGGGGCGAGACGAGAGAGCAGGAGCGACTGGCACAAGTTTGGTTGGCGGGAGGTTGCGTGTGAGGTCCCGGCCTATTTGAAGCTCCGCAACGTGGCGCTGCTCGTCCTCCATCGGACAGCGCCGACGCATCCTCTGACACTCCGCCCTCCCCACACGACCCCGAGCGACGTGGTTTTCCAACTGCGGTCGGTCGTGACTCACACGACACGTCCTTAGATGCGATGCTGCAGCACAGAGACGCAAAGTGACGTGCAAAGGCGAGGCAGCTCAGCATGGACAGGACACGGGCGCTTCAAAGGCAGTCTCCTTGATTGACATGCGTTGATACCGCATGCAGCAATCCTCTCCTCTTACAGTACACGCGTCCACGATATATATATTCGCTAGACACGCTAGATGAAGGTACCTACGCTTTGGAGACAGCATATTCGCTGAAGGTGATCTGTGGTCTTGCTTCATTCGATTGATCTACTTACGAGCTGTGGCGAGCTGCGCCTGATTAGGCTCCTTGATCTGCTTCGGACATCTTCCTCCAGAGGCCGCCCTGTTAACGTCAGGATTTCACATCGCGGCCATGGTATCAGAAGACGTATCCACGTAGAGCGTCGGATGCGACTTGGGTAAGATCATCTTTTTGCCACGATGGCTGTCGTTGTGGGCCTACTCGGGAGGCGGCCGTGCTTCAGGCGGCCGCGCATTCAGATCGAGCTTCGTGTGCGAGAAGTGCTGCAGCAATCGAATGCGGAAGTGTCATTGTGCGCGAACTGCCAGCAGGGAGTCCGCGCGAGCATCACTATCAACGCTCGGCATCGTAGGGAAGTACATGCTGGCCAATGCAGATTTTGGGGCTGGCGTTGAACACAAGATGAACGAATGGCCGGTGAAATGCCTGTTCGGACGCCTAACGCACTTGACACCAGCAGGAACGAAGGTTGTAGGCTTAGAAGAGTTAGGGTACGGAGACAAGGTCTTGGAATTCGAGCGCATGTCTGTTTCGAAAGCGTTTCTACTTGCGAATGGCCAGGTCTATAACATTAAGTCAACTTTCTCCCCGCTTGCTCAGTAGCTTTTTGCATACCTCGTTGTAGGCTACTCCTGCATGTTCGTCCACCTCTCGATGCCATGTGCCAAGATGTCTATGGTGCTGATCGACTTTCCCTCCCGGCTAGGAGGTAGCACGGCAAGACGAGCGGCGCGACGAGCGGCGCGACGCTTGAGGTCGTACTTCGCGTAGACGATGCGCGCCACAACCAGGGTTAGCATGCCTTAGTTGCCTAGCACAACGGCGAGCGCACAGAGGGTCGTCGCAATGTATAGCACGCCATAGGCCTGGAGGACGCGCAGCCACCATCGCCGCTGCCCCGCTGAACGCCCAAGAATCGCAGGCGGGAGGCGGCCAGTGGGCAACCTGCGTGAAAGTGAACGCATTTCAACACCCTAAATTCGTTGTCCGACGCGGCCAAACAGTCCGAAGGGAACAAGCAGGAGACTTTAACTTATCTTACGAACGGCGGTTGTATGGTGTAGTCGAAGTAACATCCGCCGAGGCTGTCCTAGGAGAACATTGTACTGCAGTGCTTTATGCGCTTGCCATGACATGTGTACAATATGGATGCACACACACGAGCAGCGAACGCCATACAGGGGTCGGCCAACCCGCATCAAATACTATTCAAGCCTGAGTTGAGGGGTTTTTATTATATGCCAGCCGATGGCTTGCTCCAACGGAAGCAATAGGAAACCTGTGCACGGAAGCTAGTCCGAGCTATCAACAGGTCAATGTACTGAGTACTAGCCCGACCGTAAAGTATGTTTGAGGGCCTCCTTTATTTGCTGGCTGAGCCACTTAGCCCAACCTAGTCATCTCGGTCTGCTTCAGTCATCTTGACCCAGAGACCACCCTAGAAACGCGTGTCGAGTTCAGAGAACAGACTGGTGTGTTGGACATGAGAGCGGAGCACATACCTGCACGTAGAGCGTCAGGTGTACCTTGGGGGAAATCTTCTCCTTGCCACGATGTCCTTCGTCGTTGGCCCATTCGGGAGGCGGCCGTGCTTCAGGCGGCTGCGCATCCAGATCGAGCTCCATGTGCGAGAAGTGCTGCAGCAGACGAATGAGGAAGAACGATATTTCGTTGTACGCGAACTGTTGGCAAGGAGGGGCGTGAGCACCACCGCAAACACTGCTCGACCTCACGAATCATTCGCAGGACGTACCTGCTGGCCCAAGCAGATACGAGGTCCGGCGTTGAACGGAAGGAAGATGAATGGGTTGCCGGTGAAGTACTTGTTCAGACGTTCGTCCAAGAAGCGTTCAGGATCGAAGTACGCCGCTGTTGGTGCCCAAGCTTTAGTAGCAGGTATCCCTTCGACTAATAAGAGATGGGAATACCATCTGGACCCCAGTAGTCCTTCCTGCGATGCATCATGAAGACAGAGTATGCAAGGCTAAGTGGATGTCAAAGGGGAAGCGCAAGAGAACTCTCATCGGCGTGCGCACTTGATGTCAGCAGGGACGAAGATCGGAGGCTGAGACGGGTCGGGGTTTGGTACGGTCGTATCATGTGTAGGAACGCTTCATCAACCATGTCAGTCGCAAAAAATTCCTAGCAAGTTTTCGCTCTACACACCGGACGTTGAATGGTCTTGAGAGTGTCATTCATATTGTAAGCCACTAGCATAATGACAACACAGAGAATACGCACACTATAGGATATAGCCGTAGCGTTTCTGTGTATCATTCTTTAACAACATAATATATCGGCAGGTAGCGCACTACTCACCATTAATGACGGCTCTCAGATACTTCATGTTCCGGATATCATCAAAGCCTGGCATCTGCTTTGGACCGATCTTCTCCATGATCTCTGCTCGGAGCTTATTGAAGGCTTCGGGATACAAACACAAGAGATACACCGCGAGCGTTAAGGTAGCCGCAGTCTACGACAGGCGTCGAGGATTAGATGGGCGTCGATATTCAACAACTTGGAGCTTACCGTATCGCGACCTGCGATCATGATGTTCAGCGTCTCGTCGTGGAGGATGGTAGGATCTGCATCACGCCGTGTCAGTCACAAGTTACAACTCTGTCTCGTATTCGCGGGCGGTCCCGTCACCTTCTGTTTTCTTGACCAGATGATCCAACAGTGTCTCTTCGTCCTCCGTCACCTTTTCATCCTTGCCGATAGCACTTCGCTTCTTCCTCAACGCTTCCTCTATGATGGGCTGAACGTACGCAGATACGACCTCCATGTGTTTTCTCGTAGTGTCCTTGAACATCTCTGCGAATATCCAACTCCAGCCGATGCGTAGGCGCACTGCAAGAGCCTCCTGTACCCCTGTGAAAGCTTGAGAGAATGTGGTAGATGCGCTTGACGCTGTTTGCGCGATTTGCGGAGAACGACGGTCGTTGTATGCGTAGGGTAAGTCGTTCATCAAGCTGTGAACGCAGTTGCCAAACAAGAACTCTGTGGCACTGTCGAGAGTGAAACGAGAGACGAGCTCTTGGAAATCGAGGGCGCGACCATCTCGGAAGCGTTCCTTCATCTTTCGGATGGCAAGGTCTGTGTGATTGTACTACCTTTAGCAGTTCCTCCATAACACCACAAGGGGCGAGTATACCTGCATGCCGATCGAACATATCGAAATGCGAGATCCTATCCTTGGTGAAGTAGGGACGGGTCATCGTACGGTGGAACCTGACAACACAAATTGCAAGTCCTGCTCAATCGCGCTACTCGACCAAAACATCCAACGTTAAGGCTCACTTCCACAAATCGCCTGCCGGAAACTAGGTGAGCGGCCGGCTGACAACATCATGCACATATGGGATACATACCGTCGGCGTTGAAGACACCTTCACCGAGAACGTCGTTCATCGTTTCGCCAAATCGATCTCCTTTGACGAATTCCTCAAATTGTGTAGCAAGCATAGCCTGTAATAATATCAGCATCTGACTTGAGACCCTCGGATACTATGGGTATACCTTGATGATATTCGCATCCGTAGTCACATACATCAGCTCCCCGAACAGAGTCACCGAATGGATGCCGCCAAGTTCCTCGCACTTCTCCCAGAAGCCATCGCCTGACAACGATGAAGTGCACCGTGAGTAACATAGTCGGAGAAAGGATGTCGTCGACACGCATACCGATGTAGCCGTTCTTCCATCTCTCGATGCCGTACTGGAGGAGGTCGATATTGCCAATCGACTTCCCTTCCCAACTGGGCGGTAATACGGCACCGAGACGGGCCGCACGCCGCTGTAGATCATATTTCGAATAGACGACGCGTACGGCAACCAGGAGCGTGATGCTGAGCACAGCAGAAATTGCCAGCCAAACGGCTGGGATGTGGATGATGCCTTGAGCCTGCCCCACTCGTAGTACGATCACGACAGCGGTGACCGGCGCCAATCGCGCCACCAAAAATCGCAGAGCGTAAGGAAGTCCAGGGGGAATCCTGGACGAGGGGGAGCGCATATCGATGCACTAGGGTCGGCAAGAAATTCTGCCGGTCTAGGTAGTCTGGAGGAGGAGACTATCTACTAGCGAATCAATCAGCGTACTTATAGTATATCACCGACACTGGGACATACGGGCAGTGTCGGAACAACTTTGTACTGCGGTTCCCTCAGCGCTTGCTATACTAGCGACCGCACCCGACCAAGAAGATACTTACACAATGATCACAGCAAACAAGCTACAAATCGGGATAGCATGCGACAGGGGAACATCACGCACGCATACACCCGCAGCTTGAATTCGGTGATATCGAGGAGCATGCGCCAGCAATATTGTACATGAGTTTCGGGTTGACTTCTGACCAGTACGCGCAACCGAAGCAAACTATCAATGAAATTCTTTCAAGGCCTAGACTTACGACCGCCGAGTAGGCTACGTGGGCAAAATAAGGGTGATAGCCTATGGACAGCTGTAACGCGGCAGAGTAGAATGAGACAATAATCCGAGGTAGGAAACATAATCGTACAGGAGATCAAAGTACCCCAAGTATGCAGTGTCACCGTCTGAGCGGTATCGGAAGATATTCTTCGCAGTCTGAGTCTTCATTCCACACGCTCGCACTCACGCAGTTCGCTCCGCTTCAGTCATCTTCACCCAAAGGCCGCCCTTCAATAGCAGATTAAGAGAGGAAGAGAAGCTGACTGTCAGGTGAGTGACGTACATGGACATAGAGCGTTAGGTGCATCCTAGGCACGATCTTCTCCGCGCCGCGCTGGCCCTCGGCCCCTGCCCATTCCGGCGGCGGGCGCGCATCCGGAGGCTGAGCGTTGAGGTCAAGCTCCATGTGGGAGAAGTTTTGCAGAAGGCGGATGAGGAAGAACGACATCTCGTTGTATGCGAACTGCCGCACATACAATGGATGAGATATCTAGATTCCATCGGATCATATACTCATACCTGTTGACCGAGACAGATACGCGGTCCGGCGTTGAAAGGCAGGAAGATGAATGGGTTACCAGTGAAGTACTTGTTCAGACGTTCGTCGAGGAATCGGTCGGGATCGAAGTACAAGGCTGGTCACGCGACAAATCATTGCCATGCTGCACGAGGGACTGTACAGGCAGACTTACCGTCCGGGCCCCAATAGTCTTTGCGGCGATGCATCAAAAAGACCGAATACGCAACACTGTCACCAGAATGAGTTGAGTGCACAAAAACGCCGGAGGCTTTGCAAAACTCACCCGACTTTGGCAGGAACAAAGATCGGTGGCTTGGTAGGGTCTGGATTTGGAATAGTTGTGTCACGAGTAGCAACGCTTCAAGCAACTCAATTACATTGCAAGTGGCGGACGCTGGATAACTCACCGGATATTGAACGGTCTTAGCAGGAACATGACGCATCAGGCCTCGTCGCTGATAATGAGACCGAATACTACGCACACAATGGGGTACAATCGCAGCGTTTCTTGCAGGAGCTTCAGCAATCATAGGCTAAGGAACCTCAACAGGCGCGGCTTACCGTTGATCACAGCCCGCAGGTATTTCATAGTCCTGATGTCATCGAAATTTGGCATTTGAGTAGGCCCTATCTTCTCGAGGATCTCAGCGCGGAGGCGTTTGAACACCTCAGGGTACAGGCACAACAGATAAATCGCGAATGTCAACGTCGCTGCCGTCTGCCACAAGAAAGAGATTAAATCCAGACATAACATCAATGCATCGATCTTAATACCGTATCCCTTCCGGCAATCATGATATTCAATGTCTCGTCGTGGAGCACATTGAAGTCTGACCATATGAGACATCAGAACAGACCTAGATTACAGAGCAAGAGACTAGACTCGCCATCTGTGTACTTGACCAAGTGATCCAGCAACGTCTCGTTTTCATCTGCTTCGGCTTGCCCCTTGCCATTTGAGTTGCGATTCTTACGGATGGCGTCCTCTAGGATAGGCTGCAAATACTCATCGACGACCTTCATGTGCTCTTTCGATGCGTCGGTCCAAAGCTCCTTCAATCTCCAAGTCCAGCCTATGCGTGACCGCATCGCAATGACTTCCTGGGCAGCAGCAAACGCTGCTGAAAATCTATCCGCCGCACTCTGCGACCGCACGATCCCGAGGGCAAGGGGATCGTTGTAGGCGTACGGCAGGTCCGACTTCAGACTGTCGACGCAGCTGCCGAAGAGAAATTCCGTAGCGCTGTCCATCGTGAAGCGCGAGATGAGGTCCTGAAAGTCGATGGCATGCCCGCCGCGGAAGCGTTCCTTCATTTTCTTCAGCGCAAGATCTACATCGGGCTCGTCAACGGCCGCCAGAGGATGTGGGAAGCTGCCATACCTGCATGACGGTCGAACATTTCAAAATGCGAGATCCTATCGCGGCTGAAGTAGGGCCGAGTCATGGAGCGATGGAACTTCCAAAGCTCGCCTACAAGGTAAGTCTGCATATTGATCTCTCGCCCAGACCGTATAGCTAAGTCGACTCACCATCCGCATTGAACACCCCAACGCCGAGCACAGAGTTCATGGTATCCCTGAACATGTCGCCTGCCCGAAAGCTCAGCTCGGCCTTGCAATACAACAATCTGCTTTGATGTACCTTTCTCAAAGCTTTGAAAGTCCGTCGCGAGCACCGTCTTATGACCATCAATGGGTACGCTGCAGTGTCCATCCAACAAATTGGTACTCTACCTTCAATATGTGAGCATCCGTCGTGATATGGACAAGGTCCCATAGGACATTCATCGAGTGCAAACCGCCAAATTCGTCGATCCTATCCCAAAAGCCGTCTCCTGTGTATTCGTTATTAGAGCTCAAAGAGCGACTGTGATATGGAGCGCGCCGAAACGCTGACACATACCGGGGTAACCCTTACGGACCAACTCAAGGCCATACTTGAGTACGTCCAAGCTACCGAAGGACTTCCCTTTCCAGACCGGTGGCAACACGGCTCCCATGCGGGCGGCTCGCCGTTTGATGCTCCAGCTCCTGTATATGATACGGGCTGCGTACACAGCGGGGATACTGACCAACGCGGCCAGTACCACAAGAGTCGTCGGGATCTTCACATTGTTGTGAATGTAGAGGAAACGAGAGGCTGTGATGATGACTGCAACTGGAAGAGCGTTGATGGAGAGGGCTTGAAGGATGAGGGGCAACCCAGGCGGCAGCCTGGACACCAACGATTTGGGCATTGGTATAGAGCTAGCAACTCGCCAGACGTCCGGTTGTAAACGGATATGTGGCTTCTGGAATGCCTTGAGACGGACGGTACATAGGTTGTAAGGAGACGATACGCACCAATGTTGGTTGTCAATCGCTCAATCTCCTCGCCTGATCACGATCTCGAGCTTAGAGCCGTTGTGTGCGCACGGGGATGCACTATGGTACTGGGATAGGTGGTGAGCGAAAGGCACCATTGATACGAGCCCAATCTTCGGACACACACAAGTCGTTGCGTCCGGCGGGATCGGGATGGACATAGCCGTACCTTTTCTACCAGGGGCGACAGTGCGTCAGATGATCGACTGACCATTCAAAGTCTGTGGCTCCTCTTTGCACGGGGTTGTTGGCCACGGGGACGCTACTTAGATCCGAGTGGCACCGTTGCTACTCCGCCGACTCAATTGTTCACTCCAGTTTCGCGTTCATAGGCCATACGGGTTCCGAGGCACAAGCTCAAAATGTCCATTAGAATGGACACTGAGCGGGAATGCGACGAGTGGCTACCCAGTTCAGTTCGGCAGCTTCTATCTGTCATTCCAGGGAGTGTGGGAAGAAGAGATGATGTCAGATATCTCTCACCCTCTCGGGCGCCGTCCCTGGTCATCTCCATGACCATCGAGTATATGATGAGCAAATGTGGTAGCATTCGAGCTCCAATAACCCGTGAAGTACAACAGCTCGTGATACGCCTCATCCCGCGACGAGTGCAAGGAGACTATATACTTCTCTACGAACGGTGTGATAAACATCCGACACCGAGCCCTCCACTTCAACCCGACCGCGTGCAGTCTTTCTGACTGCTACAGAATCGCCAAGAGAGTCCAGACCGACGCCCGCCCCCTTCTTTGCGGCCGCGCCGCAGATCAGGACACCCTCTCCGACCAACTCAGCTTGCACGCCGATCGACGCTAGACGCGTCTTCAACGCAGTCAATTTGAGCTCGCCGATCATGGTCGATTGCGGCAGAGCCTGTGTCGGCCGTGAGCCGAGCATCCGCCCACGAAGTGGCTGGTGCGGGGCAGATGCCGGTTGGAAGTGAGTGATTGCTGCCGGCTCCAGTACTGGGATGGTTGACGATGCCAGGCTGGACACGCGACCAGAGACATAGGCAACTTCGTTATCCTCGAACTACGGCACATGCTCTGTCAGATGAACGAGAGCCTGAGGTTCATGCAGCTTACCCTGGACATCTTGAGGGAGGCCAGGAGCTCATCGCTCAGTGATATCGAGAAGCTATTCGTGTGTTGACCGATTTGGATAGTCTCGCCTTGGGGAGGAGCGTAAATCTCCTTGGTCATGGCTTTGATACTTGCACAGCTCTCAATCAAAGCATCTGTTGCAGCTTGTGGTGCATGCACCAGAATCTAGCGACAACGCATGGGGATTCCGCGGACGTTGGCAGGCGCATGTTACTCACCATCTTCCTAGGGTTGACCTGAGGGACAATTGTCTTCACCGCACGTCCGTCATTCAAACCCTCCAAGTCGACGAAGAACAATCGACATGCGAGTTGCACTTCCGCAACGGATGTCACGTATTTTGACGGCGGCTCTCGAGGCGTTTTCTGCGAGGCTGGTCAACATTGTCGTGAAGTCAAGTCATGAGTAGCCTTACCTTTGCCTCTTCTTCCTCCTTCCGCCGTTTTGCTTCCTTCGACTCCTCGCTCTCCGTACTCTCCTCGAACACCTTCCCCTTCCTCAGCCACATTCCGACATCGACTGTCTCGCCATACTCGTCCACCCTCCTTTTCTTCTCCACATACGGGAACATCCTGAACCGCTGCGTCTGCCCCTCCGCGCTCTTGAAGAACGACGTCGCCTTCGTGACGTTCCCTTTCAAGTAGATATCAAATGATATGCGCGTCACCGCCCCGTCCTCGGGCTCGTTTCCGCCTACGACCCAGTCCCCGTCCGCGCCGCCGCCTTCGGCGCGCTTCCGCTTTCGGCGGCCATTCGTGCGCCCAGTTCGCACAGGCTTGCCTTCTTCGGCGGTGTCCATGAAGTCTTCACCGAGCGTGCGCTCCACCTCGCTTTCTTCATCCGAGTCCGAGCCCGACTCGTCGGTATCGTCTTCAGACTCGCTCTCGGCCTCGTCTGCCTCAAGCATGCGCTGGGTGCGCGCGAGCGCAGCTTGTTGCGCTGCGGCCTTCTCCCGCGCCGCGCGCTCTTTCGCAAGGTACTCTTCCAGCTCCTCGCCCTGGAGTGGCACCTTGGAGTGCATCTGCATGTATCATTCGTGTACCACAGGCAATATTAAGACTCGTCTTGGCAAGGGCTATACGGAATGGCTGAACGAAGACGCATGCGTACCTCGAGGCGAAGGACCCCATCCATCATGATGTTGTTGCCAATCTTTCCTCGGTCCCACTTCGCTTCCTCGCGCTGAGAATCATTCCACTTGTCAAAAAGCAGCCGGCCCAGTGTGCCCGGCTCTCCTCGCCCAGTGAGAAGGACGACGTTATCAGGAATCTCCGCAAACTCTGCGAAGATCGCGCGCGAGGGACCATGAGAGAGCGTGGCCGGTACGGCAAGTATTAGCTTGGGGTCTTTCGACGAGTACGTCGACATGAGAGCTTGAGGGCTCAGGAAGAACTCGACGTGCCTGGCGGCATGACGCAAGTAAGCATAGACCATATGGAACAGTGTTCTACAATATGAGCGAACGTACTTGAAGCGCAAGGCGAAGGCCCCTAATGCTTCTTCGTCGTGATCATCGTCGCGTCTTCGTCGGTCACGCCTTCCGTTCTCGCCGTTCTCACCAACATCCTCCTTGCTGATCGTGCCGCCGAACCATTCCATCATACTGCGAACGAAGGTGAGCATCTCCTGACCCGTACGGGACAGCAGACAGATCGGGTATTTCAGCCGAGAGTAGTTCCAGTGCTGATCAAGCAAGACTAATAACTCGAGGACTCTGGTACTGGCATCGCATGGCAACAACAGAGAATTGCGTGACGATAGAGTTGCGGTGACACAATCTAAAGAGATAGCCGCAGTCAAGCATGGTCATCGTCAGCTGCACGGTCGTCTCCGGACTTGTTAGTGAACTTGCCTAGCAAAGCGGCGTCCCTGTCTTTGCGACGAGCTGTGGTCACGTTGGCGCGCTCCGCGTCGGTGATCAAGAGGTCCGGCCTTGCCAAGCTCTCGAAGACTCCACCACCAGCAGAAGCCTGCCGTATGAGAACAGTGCCGTCCAGATGTCGTTCCCGCATGTGATTCATATCGACGGCGTAGAGAATAGTACCAGCCGAGGGAGAACGAATCTTCCAGATGGTACCTCCAAGAGAGTGACCAGCGTTGAAGGGGATGATAGTCAAACCCTGGCACTTGCCTATGTCCCAGCTAAGCTTGAGCCTCGCGCATCGACAAAACCCGAACAACGGTCATACCTTGTAGGTGACATGGCTGAGAATACCTCAAGACATTCACAGACTCAAAGGCGTCGACAACTTCTTGAAGAGTAGCAACATTCTTGCGCCGCTTTCCTTCGGAGGAAGGTGGTGGAGAAGAGACATTCTCACCAAGTACAGGAGAGCCGGATGGTTCGCTGGAGGACTCTTGGGTCCCCTTAGCCTCCGTTGTATCTCCTACGTCTTGTTCGTCGCGAATGCCTTCAACGTCTTCGGTTACGGCAACCCTTGCCATAGCTTGTACAGGTAGCGTGGTATACGCAGGAGCAGTGAGACCCCAATGCGCATGTGCATAGGGATACAATCCACAGTGAGATAGATCACCATGAGATAGCAGCACGAGGTCTACGGAGGATGCACACCTGAACAACACAAACATATTCATGAAGCACGGTTCACATAGGGCGAGAAATACGTACTCCTTCAGAGAATCACAATATTTCTCCCATGGGGCTAATTCGCTCTCCTCTGTGCCATCTTGAGTGGTTTCTGGGCACCAGTCTGGAGATCCACAGTCAAGAAGTATGCGTACATCGTCGACCTGTAGCAAGTACGCCAATGGGACTGTGCGAGCAGAGCGAGCGGGACCCGAGAGGGGCGTGAACGTAATCATGGCAAGTATTGGTCACTTCACAGATCGTAGTAGACAGTCTCAGCACATTATCAGACAGTGTAGGTCCAGAAGTTAAGTCAGAGTCAAGCAACAGGCGGGCGCAGACTAAGCATGCAAGTGCTGCTGCCTTGACGCGAACGCGCTCTGCCTTCCTGCCCACGTGATCCGACCAGTATTTGGCTGTTAGGTTCTCTGAAAGTGCTTGCAGACAACCCTTCTCGGCCTCCTAGCCTCACGCTTCAGACCAGTCAACGTTACAGTGAACTACAAGGGAAATTCCACTAGCAATTACAGCACATCATCACGAAATCATAGCATACATTGTCTCCTGAACGTCCGCCTTCACCCTACCCACCGGGGACGCGCATGACGAAGTGCAAGCTGCCTAGGCCATTGAAGCAGTTCCAAGATGTGACTCCGTGCCGCCGGAAAGCCCAATGTGACTCTCATCGGATCGGACCAGTGGGTGGTCGAATCGAATCGTGCTTTGATCGGTGGTCGGTTCAGCCTCGTCTCCCATTATGAATCCGCGAAGGTTCAGAGCAAGCTTTGAGGCCTCAATGAAGTATTCTCGTCATTGAACCCTGTGATACAGAGAGACGGTCTCACCGATATTGAATCGACAGCTATAATCCACCTGCGTGTGTACATACATTCATCTTAGGTCTGTGGAGGCGCTGAATGCACTTACCCAAATCCTAGACTCTGGACGGCTCTGCCATTAAAGCATATCACGATGGACAGATTGAAAATCTTTATCACTGCAACGGGTCACATTCGATAGAGTTAGCGAGGAGGCTAGGTAATTGTTGGTTGTGCAAGTGACGTGGAGACTGACAGAACATCCTGTATGCAAGAGCAGCAATTGGTTTACTCCCGTAGACCATGCAAGGTACCACTGCAGCGCTCACATGGAAAAGTGGGCGACGCCATCCCTGACGAGCAGGAATAGAAGTGGACTGAATCTTTGCACTTCAGACCACCTCGTCAACGGATTGCGCCTAGCTTTGGAGAGGTCGAGCTTGAATGCTTCACTAGTGACTAACTTGCGAATCATCAAAGCAAAATAAGAGACTGAAGGTATCCATAGTAGCGTGGAGGTCATGAGCAACAACGGGTGTTCTCCAGAAGTAGGGACTCACCGGATACAACACAGAAGACAACCCTTTGACATTGACGTAATCAGATGGGCAGCTTGCGGGCAGTACCAGACACCACTCACCAAGCTGGTAGAGTGTCTGCCAGCGAAATGTGGGCAAAACTGAAACAACCCGGGATGAGAAGATCGGATGGGCGTGGCATAGCTCGTATCTTGCGTGCCTCAGTAATACCCGTTGCGAGTGCCGTCTGCATACAAATTATACATAGATGCCTCTTTTCTTTTCTGGCTAAAGAAGCATACCGTGATCTCTACTACGCGATCGTGAGTATATCGGTACGCGTTTGATCATGACTCGACTCACCAGCGAAACAGGTCATGACGACAGCTGCGACTAACACCGGTCAAGCAAATGTGCGAAAATGAGTTACAAGCGATTTCTGCTGATGGTACACACTCGCCTTTCACGCTCCTGCCGTATGTGCTCCATAGTCGAAGCATAAACAGCGCCTCGCTTAGGAGCATGATGATTGCAGTTGATCCACTGCGGCCAAACATCGCAACAGGTATAGAAGAGAACGAGGCATATACGGTCATTAACTCACAACGCCTCGAAATAAGCCCAGCCTCTGCATCTAGTTCGTGTTCATCAGTTTTCTAACATCATGTTCTGACAGAACGACTGACAACTGTCACGATGACAAGTCGCATCAGCATGCGTAAATTGAGACTCGGGAGAAGCCTGACATACCGCGAACGGAGTGGTGGTGCTAGAATTGACTGTAAAAGTTCAGTGAAGCGTCCACTTCCCAGTTTCAGAAGCTCGTACCAGCAAAGAATAATCTGGATCTCGTAATTCAAACCACTTATGTACTATCATCCGGAGGGAACTCACAAGATTGCAAACAGGCCATAGTATCTGACGACAAGATAGAGGATTTTCGTGCCTGTCCAACGAGCTCTGCGGCAAGACAGTGTCAGACCGACGCGTTATGCTATGACCCATCGTTGTTCTGTCTACCCAACTTACCGCCAGACAAATTCGACCTGTAGAGATTCCACCAAAGCCCATCAGGAATCAAGACACGGCAAACACGACGGGAGAGCGGGGTCTGACGGACCTCTTGAGAAAACGTAAGACATATGTCATACATGAGCAGGGTTACAGCGGCCACTTCGCAGCATTATGACTAGCAGGTCTAACTACCAGTGAGGCAACTAAGAACTCACTAGTGGAGGAGTTAGCCATGATAGTGTCTCGCATGGTCTGAATAAATAGCTGCTCAGCTCCAGGGATGGACATGCCTGCAGGCAGTAGCGACTGTGCCGACATGGTTGGAATTACTGTTTCTGCTGTTCCATTGCTGCTTTTATGTGCTGGATGTTGATTGTGTGGAAGACTGATTTGCTCGGCATTTGTATGCACGTCGGGAGCATGTCGCGACGATGTCGAAACTTTTCGTCGAGCTCGGAGAGAAGATTCCACTACATGCCGCAGCCTCTCCAGGTCGTGCGGTGGCGTGACAATTTTCAGATATCGTAGCTTGGAGATAGTTTGAGGATCTCCCGAAGACTCTTTCGATTGTGACGGGCGTATGTGGCTATGCAAACCACTGTCGGGATCACGGTTTGCAAGGGCTCAATGATAGCAGAACACACAAAGAACGGGATTAGAATCATAACGTCCACACCTGAATAGCGATCTAATACCACCTTGGTCTTCCCTTGTTACCGACGCGGGTCAATCGGCTACGATTCGACGAGTAGCGTACGCTGGAAGTGCGAGACAGTAGTTCTGGAGCTGTTTTGGTTGTTCAGCTGCCACGGACTTACACCTTGACAGATAGGATCAGTATATTAACAGCAAAAGCTAAGCAGGCATTGCCTCGACATAACTTCTACGATGCGGGGCATAAGGTCGCGCGGCGGTGACGTGAGCCTAGTATTTGGGTAGCCTACCAGAGTACTCGCCGGAAAGAAACGTCTTGAGAGGTCATATCCTTGGAGTATTGGAATGTGTAGGCAAGCAACATTGAATCTACTGCATGTGAGATAAATACAGTGGTTGGTCAGAAGAAGACCCTGAGCGAAGGTCGACGTCAGACATACTGGTAACCATGAAATACGCTATACCGCAATAAATCACGCGTACCTACTATACATACTGCCGCGGTTGCGCGAACGCCATGAAGAAGCCGTGAGGGTTATGAATCACTCCAAGTCGCAGTGCACTCACCACACAGAACGTCATCCAAGCCGCAAGCGTCGATCATCCTTTGCTTGAAGCTCTTAGGACAACATAGTATATCTATACCTGGCAAGGCACAGGAGCACAGAGCGAAGTGAGGTCCGAGATACCCGTCGTTCCGCATCCAAGGTTAGCTACTTAGCTGCATGGTGTCGAGAGCCTGTAAGCACCTCTGAACAACATCACAGCAGCGCCACCCTGGATCGGCGTGTGAACATGTCGCGCCACCGTATCACGACCCCAACGTCGTCCCTCGAGCAGGAGTAAAAGCATTGTACATCTCGTGAGGACTTCAACACTGACGCCATGGTTCATCTACGTTATGTGATTTATGCAGCCTTGCCCGAGTCTTCCTTCAGGCTTACGATTCTGTTCAGCACAAGGTAATCTCCATCCTTGCGACCAGCGTCGATCCCATCCTCGAGACACGCCAGCTTCGCCTCCTTGTCCACCGCAAAGTACGCCACGCGCAAGCCCTGGAACCTGATCACCTCCTTTCCGACAAGCTGCTCGCTCGTCGCCTTGGGCGTGTCGTCATGCTCGTGCGTCGGCGCGCCCTCGACGACGGGGCCCGTGGCACTCGCGCTCTTCTTCAGTGCCTCGTCCGTGCGCTTCTTCCCCTCCGCCTTCGCGTCCGCGTACGCCTTCTTTGCGAGATTCCAGAAGCCGACCTCGACCATCGCGCCCCTGACGACCTCGAGCGAGTCCGGGTTGATGTCCGCCCGGAAGTCGGGCACCGCCGCGGACGGGTTCTCGCTCTTGAACAGCTGGTGGAAGATGCGTGTCTCGTCGACGACAACGGGGCTGCCCGACGGCCGGTGCTCTGCAACCCACTGGATGAATGCCTTGGGCTTCTTGGGTGCGCCCTCGTTCTCTGCGCGGACGACGATCTCGACGACTTGACCGGTGGCGGGATCAGTTTTGTGGGAGACATGGGTGACGGGCCACGGGGCCTGGAAGAGACCAACTGTCTTCCCCGGAGCGAGACGAAAGTAGTCCTTGGAGTCTTCCAAACGGAAGTCGTCTGCGTCGATGTAGATTGTACGCGTGAGGGGAACCCTCGAAACACCCAGCTCCGGGACCTTCGGGTGAAGCGGCTTCTCGAGCCACAACAGGAAGTCCTCGGGAAGGTTCTCGATGGTAACTTTCAGCGGACGCAGTACCATGAGCAGGCGAGAGACACTGCCTTCGAGATATTGCCTGATTGCCTGCTCGAAGCGGACGGTCTGGATATTTGAGGGTGCTGTGGAGACACCCAGTCCGCTAACGAATGAGAGGATGGCACCGGGCGGGATACCACGACGACGAAGGGCGATGAGGGTGTACAGGCGGGGGTCATCCCAGTCACGAACGTGGCCCTCTTTGACAAGTGCGAGGATCTTCCGTTTTGACATGATTGTCCCAGTAAGGTTGAGCCGACCATACTCGGACTGACGGGGCTTGTAGACCTCAAGAGCATCACATAGCCACTCATATGACTCGCGGGAGGCGATGAACTCCGTTGTGCATAGGGAGTGGCTGAGGAAATAATGTATCATCAATACCTCTCTGATAGGACACGAGTAAGAGGCACCAACGTGATGTTCTCGAAGCTATCGCACAGACAGTGCGTAAAGTCATATGTTGGATAGATCTTCCACTTGTCGTGTGTTCTATGATGAGGGGTGAGGAGAACACGATAGGCCACCAAGTCCCACATCATCGTGTTTCCGGACTCGAGATCCTGCTTCATTCTCAAGATCGCCTGGCCGGGCTGGTATTCGCCGTTCTTCATTTTCTCGAACTCTGCTAGAGACTCCGCGACGGGTCTCGTCCGGTGTGCGCAAGCTCTCCGAGGACCACGATCCTCTCCACCTCTGTTCGCGAAAATCTCCTCCGCTATGACGACGTTGATATAACCAACTTGACACGAAAGGCGCAATACTCACCTGTGCAGTGGCAGACATATCCTTTGTCTCGGCGGATCAATTCTACGGCAAGCTCGTAGAGCTTGTCGAAGTAGTCGCTTGAATACGTGATCTTCCAAGGCTCATACCCAAGCCATCGAACAGTCTCCAGAATACTCTCAAAGAACCTTCCCTCCTCTGCTTCCGGATTGGTATCGTCATATCGGAGATAACAGTGGCCACCGTGATGTGCGGCGTACCCGAAGTTCACGAAGATCGCCTTTGAATGGCCGATGTGCAGGAAGCCGTTTGGCTCCGGAGGGAATCGAGTGTGGACAATGCCCTTCGTGGCAGACAGGTGCTGCTCGCGTAGATGGGGGTGGATTTGGGGGTTTTCGCCAACCTTGTGCAGGTGGCCAAGGAAGCCTTCCTCGAAGACTGAACGAGCCGATGGCGCAGAGGGACCTGGCTCGGATGTGACAGCAGGGGTGCCCTTGGTAGGCTCTTTCTTCGCTTCCTGCGGATGGTGTGCTCAGTGCATATTTTGGAAGGAAAGACATGGATATGTACCTTCGCGGCCGGCTTCCCGCTTTGCTTCGCCCCGAATTTCTCTGTGAACGCCTTCTCCACGGCGTTCTTCAGTTCAAGCGCATTCGCCCAGCGAAGGTCTGTATTCTTCAGACCGCCGATAGCGGCACCCAAATTGTTCCATCCTGTGTATGCACTGGACGAGATGTACTCGGTTACACGGGCCGCGAGTTGCTCAGCGGTAATGCTGAAACCTGATGAAACGGATATTCAGCACTGTATGTACGACATAGATGCTACTACTGGGTGTACTTACCGACACCGGTGCTCTTGTTGAAATCCGCCGCGTCGACAGGAAGGGGGTGTGCATCGAGGTACTTAGCCGCCTCTATCGCATGGAAAAGGTTACATCTCGAGCTCGCGCGAGAGCCAGAGAGATCGCGCTCACCCGCGACTTGGTCGGTCGTCTTCAAGCGACCATCCAAGATGCCAGCAACAGCGTAGCTCCGCTCCCCATCCCCAAGCTTGGCTCCTTGCACAGCGAGCGCCGCAAGCAATACAGCCTGCTTCTCGTCCAAGTCCTTGTTGACGAGATCATGCGACTCGATGATGCCCTTGAGCGTGCTCGCGCTCTTCGCGCTCTTGGCTGCCTCCGCCGCCTTGGACTGCGTTAGTCCGATCTTCTTGAAGAGCTCGATGAGCTCCGCCGTCTCAGGCGCGTCCGCCTTGGGAGCCATAGACGAGGTCGGTGGTGTGTTGATCGCGGTAAACGGCCTCCTCGCGCGAATAGAGGAACAGTAGAGCAGCCAGATAAGGGTGGTGGTGGTGGTAGTTGTGTGCAAAGAGTAGATATACCGCGCGCAGATGCGTCGAGCCTGACTCGGTCTGTTGCGCGGACTTGGGTCACATCGATCTACTCGATCTCACAGGTTGCTCCGGATCTTGGGCTCAATACACGGGCGCTCCGATGCACACTCCACCTCTCGGTCACCCACACTACTAGAGTAAATGATATGTAGGTATCCGTGCAGTATGCTGTTTCCCGTTACTGCCCACGTCTCAAGCTTTTACGAGCGCAAGGTCGAGAGGATATATTAAAACAATAAGGCGAAGGGTAGACATGTGGTTACAGCATTCTTTGATTCTTCGTTTACGCTTACAGATAACTTCACAAACATCGCGTTCCTTGTACTGCCCGATGCTATATTCACGCTTCAGCCACGCCCATCTTGACCCAACACCCACCCTGAACAGGTCCAACGCGGTCAATGTCAGTCAACGCGAAATTGAAGGATCCACCTACGTTAGCGTAGAGGGTGAAGTGGGACTTGGGGGCGATCTGCTCTTTGGCCTTGCGGCCCTCACCTTCCGTCGCCCACTCCGGAGGCGGGCGCGAGTCCTGAGGCTGGGCGGTAAGGTCGAGTTCCATGGACGAGAAGTTCTGGAGCAGGCGAATCATAAAGAACGACATCTCGTTGTAGGCGAACTGTGACGTGAAGAGGAAGTCAGTGTCTCTTACTACAATCGGGGAGCGTGGGCGGTAAGTGACTGACCTGTTGCCCCAAACAGATTCGAGGTCCGGCATTGAACGGAAGGAAGATGAAGGGGTTTGGCACTAGGTACTTTCCAACACGCTCATCGAGGAAACGGTCAGGATCAAATTCTTGCGCTGGGAGCGGACATTAGGTCAGAGGTTGAGCGGAGGAATGCGATGATGAATGGTGCCGTACCAGTTGGACCCCAGTAGACTGGGTCACGGTGCATGTTGAAGATAGAATACGAGATGCTGGGACGCAATATGACTGAATATGACTATTACTTTCGGGCTGAGCTCAAACCTACGCGGTCTTAGGAGGGATGTAGATGGGCTTGCCCGTGGGGTCGGGGTTCGGCAAGGTGCCTTCTTTGATAGAGAACCTGTTTGATAGGTCAGAGAATGGACGGGTGTCAGACAGTTGAATGGAGACACCCGCCTGATATCGAACGGCCTGTAGGGCGCGCGAGAGGTAAGCGGGGACCTGATTGACATCCGTGAGGACTTACACAGAAGGGTAGAGCCGGAGCGTCTCTGGAGAAGACCGTATGAGATCATCCGATCATCTTGGTACATTCAACACACACTGACCGTTCAAGAAGGCACGGAGGTACTTCATGTTGCGAACATCGTCGTAGGTGGGGCGTCGTTGGTAACCAACATGCTCAACAATCTCTTCGCGAAGACGCTTGAGAACGTGTGGGTGCTGACACAACAAGTAGACGCCAAATGTAAGGGCGGCGGCGGTCTTGTCGCAGAGCACATCAGCAGCCGGATGTCACTGGAGGTATGGAAGAGGACGCACCGTATCACGGCCTGCGAGCAGGATGTTGAGAGTCTCATCGTGTAGGATCTTGTAGTCTGTCGAATAACATATTGTTGAGTGATAGCGTTACGCGTAGATAGTTAATTGCTCGGCGTACCAGACGTCTGCTTCACCAAGTTATCGAGGAGCGTCTCATCGTCTTGACTCTCTTTATCATCGAGACTGGCCCCGGCCTTCTCGCGCTCTTCCTTCTTGCGAATGGCCTCCTGAAGGAGCGGCTCAAGGAAGGCGTCGACGATAGCCATGTGCTCATCAGTCCTCGACTTGAAGAGTTCCTTCAGCGGCCAAAGCCAACCAACACGGGGACGTTCAGATACGATGCGTTGCGCCATCGCAAATGCATGCGGGAACTTCTCCTTGATGGACTTGGGCTCGTCGACGATGTTGTAGGGGGACATGCCTTTAGGGTACGGCATGGGAGAGTGCAGGCTGTGTACGCAATTACCAAAGAGGAATTCGGTAGCAGAGTCGAGGGTGAACCGCGCGATCAGCTCCTGGAAGTCGAAGGCTATGTTTGCTTGGACGCGCTCCCTGATCTTGCCGAGGGCAACGTCTACGAGGCTCTCAGTTCGGCGGGGGGCGGGAAGGCATAGCAACTGAGTACCACGTACCAGCGTGACGGTCGAACAAGTCGAAATCACTGATCCGCTCCCGGCTGAAGAACGGTCGGGACATGGAGCGATGGAACTTCCACATGTCGCCTAAACAGCATAGTGGGTCACGGCCCTACACAGAGAGGGAGGGGGTACATACCATCAGCATTGAACACCCCAGTGCCGAACAACGAGTCTGTGAAGTCGTGGAACATTTCGCCTGCATAAAAGTGTCATCAAATGGGAAGAGCCGAGCATGAGAGAGGTATAACTACCTTTCTCATAGTTGTTGAAGTCCGTGGCTAGGACAGTCTACAGACTCGCTTAACCACATAAGATGTGCTCTGCAGACGCGCGCGTACCTTCACAATGTTGGGGTCCTTGGTCGAGTACTGCATGTCCCAGAACAGGCTAAACCGTAGAATAGGCCCGCACTCTCCGAAGCCAACATCGAACATATCAGCTGCAGGAGGATACATTGTCATTGACGTCGAAATTGTAGTCAGCTAGCTGTTACGCCGACGCGAACCGCGAAACCACTCACAAGGATAGCCGTTCTCGAAGGCGTCCAAGATACGGGTCAATAGATCTAAGTTCCCGATCCAGTGGCCAACCATCTCTGGGGGCATCACCGCTCCCAGGCGCTCGGCCCCACGCCGGAAGGAGCTGTACTTCCACCATACGCGTGCGGTGAGCGCGAGAGGGCCACTGAGGATCTCAGCCAAAATCCAGGCCCAGGTGGGCAGGACAACGTCTTGGGAAGTAGCTACACGCGCGAGGGCGTACACCGCAAACGGCGGCGCGGAAACGACAAGCAGAAGCTTGAAGAGGAAGGGCACCCCAGGCGGGAGCGACGGCTTGCGGCTCATGGGGAACCGAGGTGTGGCGGTGGCGAGGGCGTACGGTTGATCCTCTGCAGATCGCGGCACTAGGTTCGAGTTGGTGAGGGACAGCCTGCAGCTAGGGAGGATAGCTGGTCAGGATATCGCTTGCCTTGAATCTAACGGGACGCTCATATAAGCACTCCGCTTCGCCGTGATGGACTAGAAATCATATGCATCTCTTCCTCCTCTCATGACCCACTAGGGCGCCACCACTGGTGGGATTGAGCGCGTGGGGTTTAAAATGACTGCGGGGAATTGCAACCGACGCACCCAGCGGCAGGAACGTGCAAATTTAGCCGGCAGACTGGCCACTTTCTCCACCCGTTGCATGGTCACCTGGCACACTTCCAAGTTTCCTCGATCATTAACTTCAAGAAGGTGTCGGGTGCAATGATGAAACCTGGAAGGCGCAGCTTAGACAATGGAGAGATCACAAGTGTATGTCATGGTTGGTGGGCGACACGTCCGAACTCGGACTGATCAGCGTGGGCAAGTCGAAAGCTCGAAGGTGCCACTTGAAGGAGATCGTGACGCACGTACTTACTTGAGCGCTTGAGCGTCTACCACGGGAAGATGTCGGCATGTTCGCAACACAGCACTTCATGAGCGTGTGCAGAGACATGATGCTGAGGATGAATTATGACAGGCAGCGTTGATCCCAGGAATGCGTCACGCAGTCCTATGTAACAGTGAAGCAGAAGCAAAAGTCGGATGAGTCTCCGCTAATCTGCGGGTATGCAGGTATAGTAACGACACACCTAGTGTGTCTACATAAGAGTCCAGGACCTCTCAGACCGACCAAAGAAGAACGTAATAACGAACTGAAACAGGAATCTCTGTCCTAACAGCATTATAAAGCGGCGAGAGGTCATTGTAAATGAATCAAGAATGCAACAAGAATACTGAACAGGCCGACAGTCGCGATTCCACTCGCCGTCCTACCCGTGCCCGAGTTGGTGGTGTGTGTCGGTGAACTCGCCCCTGTACTGCTGCTATGGGCACCGTTGTTGCTCGTCGCGTTCGCGCTGTTCGCGGGATTATTACCGACAAAGATGACAGCGAGACCAGGGCCCGGGACCTGGATGGTGCACCCGCCGGCGCAAGCGATAGTCTTGTCCGGGACGCTGCCTGCGAACGTCGCTGGCACCGGGTTCCCGTCGCCCACGCCTGCCCAGGTCTGTCCGCCCCAAGCAATGTTCGTTCTCTCGGCGACAGAGGGCGCGGCGAGGGTGCGGATGGTGATGCTGCTGTTGGTTGCGGGGATGAATGACGGGTCGATGGCGTAGTCGGACGTCGTGCCCGAGGCGTTCTTATAGTTGATGACGACGAGGCTGCGGACGGTGCTGTCGGCGCCGTCGTAGATGGCGTAAGCGGCGTGGACCTGCGTGGCGTCGTACATTCCGTTCTTGACGTTCAGGTCCACGACGCGACTGCCGCTAGACGACTCAAGGGCCTCGTAGACGGGCAGCATGCCGTAGTAGGGTGCGTTTGTAGTCCACGCGCCGGCATTTCCAGCAGGGCCAGCCGGCGGATCGAACAGGTTGTAGGTGACGCCGCGCTCGCGGGTGTGAAGGTATGCGCCGGCATAGCCTACGGCGGCCATCTGCAGGGCGTAATCTGTGGTCCACAGCGAGACACCGAAGACGTTCGAGATGCCGTCGGTGCCACCGCATGATATGCTGTTGAACTCGTCCATCAGAACCGGCTTATTTGCCTGTTTGGCGATCTGGATGCCATCCTGCTGCCACTGTGCCAGACCTACGGTATTAGAGTGGACGAGGTACCACTCGATACCGAAGTGCGGGTGGCCTGAGCATGTGTCCTGAGGGTAGTGTTGAAGGGTGATGTATTTGAGTTGTTGCTTGTATTGATCGAACCAACCGGACTGGAGGACGCTTGCAAGGTTCTGCATGGGACGATCGTAAATTAGAATGTAGTTAATTTGCGTCATTGGAGCGTCAATTACCCAGGCGCAACAGATGGTGGGGCCGGCGATTTTGTCCTCATCAAGGACATCGCCTTGTGGCGTCGCCTTCAGACTATTGAAGACGACCGAGTAATCCTAGAGAAAAGAAGCCGATTATCAGTGCCTCTCAAATCCCAATGACACCTGCACATACGCCTATATAGTCCTGCGTCGTGTAGTTCGAAAGATAGGGCCGTTGGCCATGCCCGGTGTACAAGTCCGGCTCCTAAGTGCAATAACAAGTTCAGCACTCTGCAGCGAAGCCGATTGCCGAATTTAGTACGCACATTGCCCAACAAATATGCATCAAGCTCGTCACCAAGCGCCTTGGACGCATCTCCGGCCACCAGCGGAATATTAGTGCTGTTTGGTACTCGCAAGCTGAGACCTAGCGGGTGTAAATCAAATTAGCTAGTCTTCTACCGCGCTAAAACGATTCTGGGCCCTCGTGGACAAATACACTTCAGCAACGAACAGCTAAGGCTGTATACCTACCTATGAGATACTGTGCACCGCCGACCTGGGAGCTCACCCCCTTCATTACATCGAATAGCTGGGGTCCGTAGTTGACTGGCTGGTCGTTCGAGTTCGCGTTGGGATCCGTGAATTCAACGATGTCTGGTTGACTCGGCACGTAGGTGGAGCTGTCCATGGAATTGCCGCCCAGACGCAGGCGCACGGGCTTCCCTGAGGCGTGTTTCTGTAGAGTCGAGAGGTACGAGATGAAAGGCGCCGGGATCTGGTCGGTGGTGTTGCCCATGTAGTAGTTAATGAACGACAGTTCGAGCGAGATGCCCAAGAAGTTCGAGTAGACGACGTTCGCAGTGGCGGATGGAGGGGTGGCGGGCGGGGTGATCGCCACAGCAGCAAAGGTGCTGTCGACGGCAGCAAGGAGGCATAGCGTACGAAATAGTGAGGTGGCCCAAGGACTAGTCCGCCGCGCCGAAGACATGATGGGCGTAAGGGCGTAGGGAATGGAACGAGGAACGAAAAGAGCGGCGGCGTGTGAGAGCGCGAGAATAAGGTTGGGGAAGGAAGCTATCGCGAAGGGGCGGGGCCAAGCTATATCCACCTGTTGACCGCCCTTGTTGGGCGACCTGGACTTGAAACGGAGACGTCATGCCCGCTTCCAGACAGCGCCGGGGAGTTGTGACCGTAGGGCTGGGTCGCGAGGAGACGCTTTCAGTCCAAGGCGATAGCATGTCGTCTACAGCGCGGTGATCAGCAACGCTCAATAGATCAACAAGCGCGTCGGATCGAGTTCGGACCGTTGCTCCAGTGGGCTATAGGTGATGATGATGCAAGTCGCACCCCACGCGGTGCACGCACGGCAGAGCGATGGATTGGTTCCCTTGCATATGAGGATGCGAATACGCGGCCCCTGTTGTGAAACTTTGACTAGTCAGGGCGACAGGGAACCAGCATAACAGCCGTCAATGTCCGCTGGGGCGAACCTTCCGTCCAGATGCGAGGTCAAGTGCGAGCTTGTGATGTAGAGGGCCTAACCCCTCCACGACAAGCGAATTCGGAGTCGGATATCCTTCTTGGTAGGTCGTCAAATCTATGTGCGATCACAGTGTAAAATGTTGGGCAAGAAGGGATGATGAACTTACTTTTTCTCGACTCGGGCAGTGCATGCCGCTAGGCACTACTTGTGTGCATACAATCAGGGCAGGAGATGTGCCTAAGTACCGCAGCGTCGATGATACTATCGAAGCGGCCAAAAAGCGCCGTCAAAGCCGCACGGCCGGTCCCATGTGGGGTCAACCGGTCACAGCCGGGTACATTTCGGGTATTTCGATCACTGCAAGTAAGTAATTGTACAAGTCCGAGGGTGTAGGTCAGATCTACATGCACGTCTCCAATCCATCCGCTAGATACCTAGTGTCCAGGCGTAGCCTACACAGACTTACTACACGAAGGACCTGCCAAACGACAAGCCCAAGTTGCGCAGCTCCTTTCCGTGAGCTTCAGCACTGGCGCCCGCTTGTCCATCGCCCGCAGGCATAGCTCCAGGCATCCTCCCGACGGCACCGGAGGCAGCGTCCCAGATACGCGCCAGGCCAAGCGACCGTTCATCAACCTGAGCCATGCGACTGGCGTTGGGCTGAGGGGCAGAAGTCCGCGCTCCGGCTGAGACCGCAGAGGCGAGACTCAATTGAGAAAACTTCTTATCCTTGTCCTGGTCGAGTTGGTCGCGAAGGGACTTGACTTGTCCCTTCAGCACGTCACGGAAATCAGGCTTCTCATCGCCTTCATAACCGGCCAGCACGACGAGAGACGACACACTGCAAATTGTACGAGTAGATGATGAGCGGGTGTGAAACGAGCGAGCAATGGAAGAAGACGCACAATGCCTCTTTCAGGTAGGCGAAACTGAAGCCGTCGGTCTCTGCAGCAATTTCTTTGACGAGGTTGTCCGGGAATGAGATCTTTCTGTTGCCCTTCAGCTTGTCTTGCCAATATTGGATGTACAGGGTGCGTTCCTCTTCGTCGGGATCGGCGAACTCGCTGAATGTACAACACGGAAGCAACTGGTGAGAACGAAGCGACGCCTCCGCAAGAGACGGGCGGGGAGCGTACTATTTTCTGTCAAAACGACTCGGACGGCTGTTCAAAGCAGGGTCCAACCGGTCGAAATGGTTGGTAGTACCGATGAGCAGCAGGCCGTCGTTGCTTTGAAGACCGTCCAACTGGTTGAGGAAGAAAGATCGGTTCGAGTCGTTGATGAGGGAATCAAGGTCTTCCAGGATCAAGACGCAAGGAGCCATCTGTCTTGCTTTCTCAAAGACGGCCTGCATGGAGCCCTCCTCGCCCATCCAAGATTTGAAGGATTTCACGTAGAGCGGGACGTAGCCCTTTGCATCGCATTCCTTCATGATCGTTTTCAAGCTAATTGTCTTCCCGTTCCCTGTAGAGTGGTCAAAGCCCAGACGAAGCGGTTTGATAGCATGTCACGTACCTGGCGGACCCCAGAAGATCAAGCCGCGCTTACAAAGGAAGTATGCTCAATCGCAGGGAAGACATTCGGTCTCCGGAGTGACATCACTTACCTTCCACGGAATGGCGAGGGACTTGTATAGATCCTCGGAGTCGAAGAAGCCGTACACGTCCTTCTGCAGAGCTGTCTTGAATTTCTCCTTGAGAATGACGTCCGCCCAGTTGGCCGTCTGGAGATCTAGCCACATGTCATGGTCCTTCCGCCAGAAACCCTGGTTGAAGACGAGGACTTCTTGATGCAACTGTGCGGCCCAGCCGCCTGCCGCCAGAACAAGGGCGCGCGCAGGTTCCTCGGGCCCTTCGTGAAGAACATATTGTTGGGTTTGAGAACCCATGCCATACGGAAACTGCAATAATACATCAGCATGAGTTCCTTGGAGCTTTGTGGGACCTACTCTGACGACATAGAGAAGGTACTCGTATTTCTGCAGAGATAGCTCAGCTGACACCACCACAAAGATTCGCCAGGACACGTACGTCCCAAGCGACACGGAAGGATCCGAAGAAGATCTGGTTCACTAGGACTCCAGGTATCTGGGACAAACGTCTGGCGACAGGAACGAAGTACACGGACGAAATGAGTTCGGATGGTGCCAATGGTTGGACGAGAGCACCCGGGAAGCTGAGGATGCTATTGCCGTAGTCGCTCACGGGCACGATCGTGTGGTTAGGGTACAACTTGCGAAGTTGTCGAGTTCTGCAAAAATGTTAGGTAGGAACTATCGACATGAGCCGTTGCTTATCACGAACCCAAATGTTGTGGGCTCGCTGAACTTGTTGGACGCTGCATGGAACAATGTGTGGGTGAACGTGTTTGTTGTCGGTGGAGAATTACCCACCCTGGTCAACCCACGGATCATGGAAGCGGTCAGCAGTACCAACGGAGGGCTGCAGGGGGGTCTCCTCCTCGAAAGTGACCTTGATGAACGCTTCCTCGATCTCCTTGGGGCTCATGGGTGTGGTCATGTTGACTGGGTGCAGACAGGGGGAATTGGGGTGATTGTGGGACAGGTGTGCGTGTCCCGAGTGTATTTGAACAACCGCGGGCTGTACTTGTGGCCGCAGCACGACGTGACTACAGCGTCTCTGCCAGGCAGCTGCAGAGTGTCTTGATAGAAGCGCTCGAGAGAAGGCGGCATGACACGTGAGGTGGCTGATTGTCCTGCAAGTGGCGAGCGCGAGCGCACAAACTTCCACTTCACCGTCAACCATGTCCTCCTCCTCCCGGACGTCTACCGTGCTGACTGTGGGGGCAGTGACGGTTCTCAGCGGTCTTGTCGCCTATGCCGTCTATTTCGACTACAAGCGGCGAAATGACAGCGACTTCCGCAAGAAGCTGCGTACGTGGTCCATGATGCCGTTCTGACGCGTTCCTTTGTGCTCACTCGCGCCACAGGGAAAGAGAAGAAGAAAGTCACCAAACAGACGCAACAAGCTCAGGCCGCTTCCGAGGCTGCCTCAGAGGTCAGCCCGGCAGCAATCAAGCAGGCCCTCGCGAAAATCCGGGAGGAGGAAATCCCGGCTACTCCGGACGAGAAGGAGGGATACTTCATGATGCAGGTCCAAATTGGCGATCAACTCGTCCAGAAGGGTAAGCAGTGAATATGACCGACGACGCAACTTTACTAATACGAAGTCGTCAGGTCCGTCCTTTTACCTTCCCGCTGCCTGCGCATTCTTCCGGGCACTCCGTGTCTACCCTTCTCCTGTGGAGTTCATTATGATGGTCCAGTCGACTCTTCCTGCACCCATCTTCAAGGTACGTTGCATCGAATTTGTTGAATTTGCGTCGTATTGACCCGAGGATCAGATCTTCATGGAGTTGGTGAACGCCGATGTGAGTATGCCTACCTCGGAGACCCAGTCGGCGCAGCGTGAGGAGCCAGCAGAGGAGGTGGAGACGAGTCCGACGCGCTCAGGTCCCCCGTCAGAGACGTCCTCCCAAGAGTGGGACAGACTCACGGACCCCGGGAGCCAGGCGGCGCCATGAGAGCCGTACTGCCCGACTCAGTACTGATAGCACAACACCTAATGATGACGCTCCACGCTACGCCCCACCTTTTGCCTTGCCTGTGCTTTGCCGTCGACCCGATTCTAATATACTGTAATTTTCTCCTCTCTATGTTCTCTCTGGTTAGGTCGCATCTCGTGTCGAAGGTACGCCGCCAGTTCGGAGAACGCAAGTATTTGAGCTGAGTGCGCCTGGGCGACCTAAACGATAGGTTATTACGATCACTTCCCGCCCAAGGGCATGAATGTCTCTATACACGCCGGCGAAGCCCAAGGCAACCAGGCTGCCAAGAAGATCCTCATTGCCTCGAAGGACTTCGAGGCCGGTGACATCATTTATACGGTACGCCTATTGTGGCATCCGCCTTGCCATGTTCTCTCACTTATCGCTACCGTAGGAAATTCCTCTTGTCGTCGCTCTAGACGCTGACCTGGAAGGCAAGGGCACCCACTGCTCGTACTGCTTCCGCCCCATCGAGGAAGGTCAGGCCGTTGCCTCCGAGTCCGACAAGATCGGCGCCGTCTTCTGCTCGAAGGATTGCCAAAGCAAGGCCAACATATCCTGGCACAACATGCTCTTTGGCCGCGATTCCGTCCTCCCGCCCGAGCTCGACCCCGGCCATGGCACGGACATCGACGACGGGCGCGAGACCGCGCAGACCGCGTACGTCGCGTGGCTCCAGGAGAAGAAGGCGAAGCGGGCGAACATCCTCGGCGCGCGCTTCGTCGCGAAGCAGATCGCGCTCGAGACATCGAAGCTCATCAAGGACAAGAGCAGCCCGCTCCAGGCGGAGCTCGAGCAGATCGCGGGTGGCGGCGACCTGTATAGCGTCTCGGACCACATGGAGCGCCTGCGCTTCATCGAGGGGCATGTCACGGACGAGGAGATCAAGCATCTCAAGGCTGTCCTTGGTGCGGCGTTGCCTGGTCTGGAGCAGTCGGTCACCGAGGAGCGTATGGCGGTTCTTGTCGGCAAGATGGCGTACAACGCGATCGGTGTGTGCCCTGATGGTGGCAGGGACGACAAGGTGAGCTCGTCATTGGCCCATGATGTTTTGTGGGTCTCACAATATGAGCAGCCCGTCTCCGAAGAGCGTCCGGAGGACCAAGAGAGGACACGCACGCCCTTTGGCACTCAGCGCCAGGTCGGCAGCGGTCTCTACCTCGTCTCATCCTACGTAGGTCCCCTCCAATGGCTACGATCGTTGTTCCCGCCTCATCTCACGCGACACAACAGCTCGCCCACTCCTGCGATCCGTCCACCCGTCCATCCTTCACCGTCGGCTCGACGCAGCTCCAGCTCATCGCGAACCGCCCTATCAAGAAGGGCGACGAGCTCACTATCGCGTACGTCGACGTCGGCCAGCACCCAGGCGAGTCCACCGAGCAGGCGCGCCGCCGACGCCGGGTCGAGCTCGCGCGTGGCTGGAAGTTCAAGTGCGAGTGCGAGCGGTGCGTGTCCGAGGTCGTGGAGGACCTCGAGAAGGAGGACGCCGAGCTCGGGATCGCGAAGGACGAGGCGAAGGTGGAGCAGGTCATGCGCCACGAGACCCTCCCTGGGGCTGCCATGGGCCCCGACTAGATGGAGGGCATGATCGGATGGATAGAGCTGGCTTCGTCCGACTCTCCTCCGGTCTTCGTTGTGCTGTCCCGAAGGACGATTGCTGGCACTCGCTCGCCCACACGGTTCACAGCGAGTAACCAAAAACTGCATTAGATCATAGTAGTCTACCTAATAATCTTCAGCACGCCACTTCTCGTTACGCATGCGTCCGACTGACAAACGTCCAGAAAGTCGACGTAAACGCGGGGGGCCGTACGGGGGCACCTGATAATTGCAAACAAATAACGCTGCTCATCGTCGTCAACGGGGGCCACAAGCGCAGTCATGAGCTCGAACACGATCTGGCCATCGCGAGCGAGGTGGGGACAAGGCAGCAAGTACGCGTAAGTAGAAATACATATATGTACAGAGCGGGTTTGGACAGCAGTATTACAGAGCGTCGTGGATAGTGGCAATGCACGGAGGACAGTTGGCGGTTCGAATCCATTGGGCAGAGACTCTGGTGGGAGGTGGACTGGGACGAGGAGAGAGATGCGTAGCGCTACGAGACTGCTAGTGCAAGATACAAACAACTATCGATGCAGTGGAGGCGATTACAACAATACTAAGATAGATACCGTGTCGCCATCGTCGTTTCGATCTTCGCGGCCGCTCGCCGTCCTCTCAAGCCAGGCTTCTCCACATGCCTGTCGACGTGCCGCGGTCAGCTGGCCAAAGCTCAAACGGCGCGAAGAAACGGAATGAGCTCACCAGCTGCTGGCAGTTCGTTCCGCGCCTTCAATATCTTCAACGCTCGTTGGCGGGCCTTGCCCCCGGTCTCGGGGTCGCTGTCGACGTCATCGTCGTACTCGTCATCCCCCGCGAAATCGAGCGCGCCAGGGTCGACCGGTCGGACGCGATCGCGCTCCGCGTATGAAGCTCGTCGAAGCGACGATGACGTCGAGGAATTGCGTAGAGCGGGCACGAGCAACCCCGGGCGATCTGACAGCGACGTCTTCGGTTCATACGCGGGTATGCCGAATATCTGTCTGTGGTGGTTGAGCCCGATGGGAATCGGCAGCGACTGAGCGATGGGATGGTCGTCGTTGCGATCTGGCCACTTGTTGTCTATCGACTCGGTCAGAAACTGAACAACTTATCGAAACGGATCACCCACCATCACCCTCGTCCTCGTCAGTGACGTCGCTATCCGCGATACCATTGAACCGCCGCCCGAGCGCGGGGTCGAAGTCGTCGAGGACATAGCTGCCCTCCTCCTCGATCGCCTCCGGGGCAGCCTCCCCCGCCTTGAGCTCCCGTCGACTGAAGAACACCTGCCACGCCTTGCTGTTCTTCTTCCAAGCGCTGCGGTGACTGGGCGTGCTCGCGGCGACGAGCTTCAGGATCTCCTCTTCTCGAGGGTCGTGCGGCTCGTCTGGAATGACCCGCCCCGGGGCGACGTTGATAGGACTCTCGACGACCTCCGAACGGGGTTTTTCCCCAACCAGAGACTCCCGCAGCGCTCTACTCCTCTCCGCCGATTCAGCGCTCGGTGGGGTCGTATGCCGCACGGGTGGTGGACGCATCGCGGAGGGATGGGGCAACGACGCAGGTCGGAGAGACTGCAGCTGCGGGGGCAAGCCAGAATTGCTGGACGAGCGGCTGTGCGATGGCCGTGGTGGTGTCCGCACACGTTGGGTGCTAGCTGGCGACGGCGGCGGGTTCTTGGCCTGCTCCACGGGCACTGAGTCTCGGCTGCCTGCCGGCTGCTCCGACTCGTTGTCCATGTCAAAGATAGGGTCTGTGTGGTAGACTACATTAGAACCCAAAGCGGTGCGAGAGAGCAACAATAATACGCACCTTCAACAGTCTCTGAGGGAGTAGGCTGCTCGGAGGCAATCTCGCCTTCTTCCTTGCTGATGATAGCGACCTCAGGCTGAACGTCGAACGTGACTTTCCTCTTCCCCTTGCTGTCTTTGTTATCCTCCGGTATCGCTCCTGCCTTGGCCTTATCCTTGGGCGATGCCGATCGGTTCGCAGGAGGGGCTGGATTCTTGATAGCGCTTTTGTGAACGCGCGTGGAGCGTCCAGCAGCCGTGGTTGTCGCGGCGCCATCAGCAGGCACGTGAGATGAAGTGGACGGCGTTGGTGGCGAAGCAGCTGGTGGGGGCACGGCCTCTGCCTCAGCAAGGGTCTGCAACCTCTGCTGCTCCATCTGTGCCTCAATGTTCATGGTATAGCGATAGCTGGTCGCCATGTCCTTCGACTCATCCATCTCGCGACGGTAGGCTTCCCGGATGCTAGTCTCTGCGTCAATGGATAGAGCTGCCGTACGCGAGGATGCCGTCGACGTGGAATGAACGCGAGTCGTACTTGACCTCGCTGGCGAGGGGGGCGAACGCCCGGCGCGACGGACAGGAGACGCGATCCCGTTCCCGTTACCGTTCACTTCGCGCTGGGCGCCAGGGTACTGCATTCCCGAGGTCTTCAATGACGCCGACAGCGCAGAAGACACAGCCTGACGATGAGTTGGGGAGCTCCTATTGGACTGGGTCGGGGTGGGGACGAAGCTGCTGATCCGAACGGAGGTGGAGGTTTCGGGCGCGGGATTGCTCGCCGCTCGTACATGGCCAGAGACACTCGAACGACGACGTATAGGAGAGACCGCCGACCCCGCCTGCTGCTGGAGCACCAAGTTCTCCCTGAACCGACCCCATATGAGGTCGACTTCTCGCTTGAGTGCCGCCTCGGCTCTGAGAACCTCGGCCACTTTCCGCTCGGTCACCTGCGCGATGTATTCTTCCGCCTCGTCCCTGAGCTTCTGCGACTGCTCACTTGCCAATGCGGACAGGTGAGAGAAGACGACATTCGACGGGGTGAATGGGGGTGGGAGGAATAGCGCTGGCAGTTCGGGAAGGTGTTTCTTCCCTTGTTCGGACGGACCTCGCGCGTTCTCAACCTTGGGTGCTTCGCCCTCCGAAGTTGCAGAAGCGGCAGACGGGGGTGTTCCGCCGGGAAGGATGAGTCGGAATAGCTTGGAGTACATTGGAGATGATTCTGCTTGCGTGACCTCATTGCCGATCTGGACATAGTACGATGTCAATAGTGTTACGACGATGGACGCGGCGCCAGTAGCTGCGCTACAGATGGGGCCGCGCGAGATACTGGGCCATTGGAATGGCGAGGGCTGCGCCACAGGCGAAAGCAAGCCAGGGGGAAGAAGGAATATGCTACTCACCAGGCTTTCCTGGTAAACCTCGATCCAACCGTTAGAGCTCTTGCACAACTCCTTCTCCACCCAATCGTCCGTCGGGAGCACCGGGCCTTCGTCGGTACTCAGATCCGGAGTAACCCGTTGGGAGACACGGTAGGTGAGAAGGCCGCACACGAGACATGTCACGGTGATGAAGCGGGTGAGCTCTGCGGTGGGAGAGCCAGACAAAGGAACGGCTCTGCTGCGACTCCTGAGGGTGACCTCTGGGTGCGCCTAGCCACAAAGAAAATCAGCCGTCATCGCGCGTGTAATTTGTGGTGCAAAACTCACGACACGGATACCCTCTTCACCAACGTAGATTGATTTGAAGCCTGCCTCGGCGGGTGGCGGGGTATCCTTGTTCGGCTGGGGACGGATGCGGATGTTCAAACATTTACAGGCGTGGTGTTCTGGTGGTGGTTGGCCTCCATTGGCGGCCATAGCAAGCCTACTGCTGCGGTGGTATGTGCAGTCGTAGGCGAGGGTGTGAGGAATGCGGGGGTGACGAGAAAGGGCAAGAGGGAGAAGCAAGGCAGAGACGGCGGCAGTTGACGCAAAGAAGGATGGCAGCCCGGCTCAGACGCAGCCTCAGCCTCAGCCTCAGCTCAGTCTCGGAGTCACTCCCGGAACGCCTTTTTTCCACGATCGGGTTTCGGTCCGATTCCCCGTCGGGATCTCGTCCTCGACCACGTTCAGCGCCATTTTTGGCCCACGCTCCCCGTCCTCCTACCAACCGGAGAGGTCATCTGAGAGCATGCGACACAAAACACATGCGGCCACCTGTCCGCATCCCCCGCCACATGCGCCGCCGGCCTCATCAACTGTCCACACCGTGCGTTGTCGGCGGTAACAAAGTGTGCATTCCCCCGAGCGCTCTATCCAATCTATCATCACTCTCCGTAACTCAAGCTCGCGCATGCCTAATCCGCGACCGAATCTCTCAAAACACCGCTGATTGCAACGTGCTCCGGCCGCGATAGCAGCCACGCTCGCCCTCGACCCCAGACTTCCCCAGACGGCGTCTCCTCAGCCGATGCGTCATCGGTTCTTCTTCGATTCCTTGACATCCTTCTTCTTGACCTCCTTCCCCTTGCCTTCTACGGCAGCCACCACATCATTCTCCAGCACCTGTCCGTATTCGTTGACCCGGTTGGGGTCAATACGGTAAATCCACCGCTGCAAAGGGGGCGACCAGGATTAGCTCACGGCGCGCCTCGCGAGAACACGCAAGTCTCCGCGTCCACGACGCACCTGGTAAAGGAAAACCAGAAATACAACATCGTCGCGGAAACACGCCAGACGATGAAGAAACGGCATCTTGATGCAGAAGCTGCGCAGGCATCTCAGCATTTCGGGGGACAGATATTTCCGTAGGAACACGCACGCGAATAGATCGTCTACCACCTGGGAGGCAAAAGCTTCTTTCAATTACACGCATCGAAACACACCCGAAGTGACCTACTGTAGAGAGTGTCTTGTACACCATTGCCTTCATAGGCATGTGCGCTACGCTCTTCAGCTTGTAGTTGATGATCAGCTGCGGGATGAGCTGAGCCTGTAATCAGATAATGTTAGCTACGTGCATGTGCAACGCATCGGGGAAGACGTGGGAAGACGTACGAAGCCGAACATGTAGACGAATGACGTCAACGTCGAGATGACGAAGGAATACCACCCCCTATGTGTCTCGTAAAGCAGGGAGTACACCGTATATGCGGCAAGACACGGTATCGTGAAGTAAGACACGATACGGAACGCGAGCTTGTCGTACCTGCTTCCGCATCAGCACGACATCCTCAACCAAGAGAATGAATGGTTTCCTTACTCCTGAGTCTTCTTCTCATCTTCGCTCAACACATGTTTGTCTAGCGATAAGACAAGATCAGCGCGAGTAAGACAGCAAGGCGCTTTGACGAGTCTTTCCACGGACCTTTGATAATGAGCTGATAGGGCAACCGGGATCCTGGCGGGGAAGGACCAATACTGATATCGACCGCCTTAGTGATCTAGCATAACAGACCTCCTTAGTATATTCCCACACCAGCCTCGGGAATGGACGCACCTTCCATGCTTCAATGAGAACACCAATACCAGAGCCCATGAGGATCATCCAACTCGTTTGCTCGTTATTGTCGATGAGGTAGAGCAGGATGATTAGCTGCACGACGACATTCGTAACAATCTGTTCAGGTACGGCGAGTCAGTAACATCTTCGAGGGAGATACAGGTAGCTACGAACAGTCCTATTGGGCACATATCAATTCCTGTGTGGATGGGAGATGAGAGTGAGGGAACCCACCTAACGGAGACACCGACAAGCTCCTGCTTCTGTCTCCAATGCGATACGTCCGAGCTGAAAGCAAGGAACTCGAACCTACCCGAAATGATGTCAGCACTTCAAGAATCACCTGGCAATGAAACACGCATTCCACGTACACGACATGCAGCACGCTCACAAGCGCAGTCAATCCCAAGAAATACGGGTTCGTCTCCACGAGCATCCGCTTGACCTCATCCAGCTCCGCCATAGACGTCGACCCCTGCTGTTTTGCGGCCTCTGCGAAGCTCTGGGTAAGCGCGGCAAAGATGGTGAACTTCCACATCGACATGGGCTGAAACTCGATCTGCAGCGGGAGCGTCGGGGTCGTCGAGTTGATCTCGACGTATTGTGAGCGGAGGTGCCAGAACTCATTGGGGAAGATGATAGGGTCGTAGTAGGGTCGTCCAGCATCATCGCGCTCTTGCCTGATATGAATGTCTGCACGAGAGTATAGGCATGAGGTCCAGGCGGCTCGATACCACGAAGAGACGCTTACATCGCGCCGCAGCAGGCTGGATCTGGCTCAACTGGATGATAGGGTTGTCCGAGACAAGTGCGAGCGTAAGGGTCTAAGACACCTCGGAAGTCAGGTGCTTGTAGCCATCTCGCCCGAGGATATGACATACGGGGTGCCAGTGAGAGACAATGGTTTCGCTTTCCTGTAATGGTCATGAGTGGGGCAGACAATCCAGAGGGTCTCGTGGACTGACCTCCTCGATCTCCGTAGTATCGTCAGCAGAGCCGCTCAACAGATTCTTCTCCTTCCGGGCCTTGATCTTCGGTAGGTACTTGGTCAGGACTACGAGTTATTGCGGCCCGTAAGTCAATGCAGTAACTGGTCATCCGTTGTAGTAAGTACTCACGCGTCCGGACATGGTGAACAGCGCGAGGGTCGAACTTCGCGTCCGAGGGGTCGGGACTGGCTCCATCGCGTACAAGAAAAACGTCCGCCCAGAGTGATCCATTGTTTTGCACGGTCTACCATACACACAACCTCGTCTCGATGAAACGCGCCGACTAAGTGCATGGCGTCACGTACCTCAGGAAGGCTCACGTTGAACTCTGCGACTCGCTTCTCGTTCCAGTCTCCCAACGTGACATTGTTCCAGACCAAGCTCGGCAGGTCGGCGTCTCTGTCCTTCCTGTGCCCTGACGTCCATTTGTTCGAAAAGACGTCACCCGTCGGCGAGGTTGAGAGATGGACGTGCACAGCCAGTGGCAGTCCGAGCGGCCATCCTGGGACGGCGTGCGTCGGGATACCACTCACTGCGCCCTCTGGCCCGGGGACATTGGCCTGCGGCGCGTTGGCTACGTTCGCGCCTTGCGGCTGCTGCTGTTGCTGAGTCTTGTTACCGCCGAAAAACCTGCTCGCTAAAAATGCGCAGACGTCCCGAGAACGTTGACGGCGTTAGCACAGACGCACGGACAGACAGCGAAGGCTGATCCACGCCGACACTGCTGCGTAAGATGATGGTGTACGTACCGACTTGCATCACCGCGTAAATCAGCAGCATTTGCTACAAGCGTCCCACCGCAGCCACGACCGGTACAACGTCAGTCAGCGACATGTTACAGCTGTTTGGTTTGCTTCGGTCTGGATGTGCAGCGGCCACACATGCACACACGAGTCCGGGGTGCCCGCGCACACCAGCTGAATCAGTCACAGTGCTCACCTGTGCAATGGCAAAGAACTTCTTGAACGGGGACTCCTCTTCCCCTCCGGCAGCCCCGGCGTTCGCTGGCGCAGCCTGCGCAGGCGCATTTTGCGTCGACATTGCCTTTACAACACAGCCTGAGCAGTTTCAGGGGTCAAGATGGTCAGCAATGTACAGTGTTTGATATCGAGAGAGCGTACTGCCTGTGATGCACGATGCGGTGGTGGAGGCAGTGGTCGAAAGCTTGTCACCGTAGCGCTGTATGGCGCTCCAAGGCACGACTCGACGCGTCGACGTCGCGCGCACGAGCGTCTGATTGCTCCTCCGTTTCGCTACATATCTCGGCGCTAAAATAGAGCACATATATTGTTCGGGTATCTCGGACCGGAGAGTGGCTTTGCTGAGGGCGGCGCTCTGCTCCTGTGCAACTTGCATCCGGACATGTACAATCGGTCGCCCATTGAGTTCGCCCGTGGTGTTGCGACTTTCCGACATGAGCATCAGTGTTTAGTCATCTGTATTGGTCGTGAGCGGTCGTCGTAGTGTGTACGTACACGGCGACGGACGAAATGTCAAAGTACGGTCCGACAGCGAGGCAAACGTGCTAGGTTCTAGCGGCAATGAATTCCAATATAACGTTCCAGGCTCATTTCCAGGGTGCCATGGAACCATCGCAAGGGAAAGGAATCAGAGCTTGGATACCCGAGTCTCTGATACGACCGAATAGTACAACCTAGGGAAATGGCAGTGCACCGGCTTCCCAGAAGAACCCCGCGTCTCAATGGCCACTTCTTCCTTCGTGAGCCCAATGAGCTTACCCACGGTGGGGACTTTGCCTAGACAGCGACATGAGCGTAAAGCCGCCGTAAATACGACACGCGACATACCATTATCAGTGGGCGTAACCGCAATTGTCTCCCCCAGCTTGACCTTCAGTCTGGCCGCCTCAACTTCGTCAAAGCCAACAACGTTGAGGTCCGCAGATTCCGATGAAGTGATCAGTTCCGCAGCCCGCTCGCCAGAGACGTTATCCAGGACACCCTTATGCGCAGCATCTTCTTTGGCAATGTATACCGACATCCGTGAGATCCACTGTAGGGAAACGTCAATCGGATGCAGGGAACCTGCGATCAGCGGACGCGGCTTACTGCGAGGGTCGCAGGAAACTGAGATTCATCAAACAGTTCTTTCTTGAGGTAACTTAACGGCCTGAACGCCAACATCCATTCCCAGACGTAATGAACGGATATGTCTGCAAGACTTGGTGTCTCGGTGTCCATGAGCCATTCGCGACCGTCTGAGAGCTGTTCTTCAACGAGCGCCTACATCCTCTATGTCAGTTCCCGGTGGTATGTGAAGACGACAACCTGTCGACGAGGTCGTGACCGAACGCACCAAATGAGATGATAGCGCACTAGCTGCCGCAGGCTGGCCTGCCAGGATCGCCTGAGGATCCACCTTCTTCCCAAACCACTGCGTGGAAGCAAATTTCAGTCAGGATCTCCTTCCACTGTCCTACGGAGACGGTACATACCTTGCTCCGATCGTCCAAGAAGTCGGGCTTGAACTTATGATAGGGCAGCATTTGAGTTGCAATGGCACCGAGCGTGCGATCCCCGTAACTCATTGCAAAGGCCTTGATCATCCCAGTATCTGCGGTACCTCCTCCCTTGCGTTTCGGGAAGATTGTACCAAACCCCTGTTCAGGAGTGAAATTGCGTTCCAGCACGTTGGCAATGAGGCTGCTATCGCAATAGACGTCTCCCCCGATTGCCAGAACGGGTATGCGGCGATACTTCACGCCTAGTCGGTCCGCGAGGTCGGGGCGTGGCAATGTCATGGGGATCTGTGCAGCCGGCGAAGGTGATCAACGTCAAGTTGACCTGAACGTGCTCCTAGCTCTCGAGGAAGCTGACCTCGACTCTGTAGTGAGGTATCCTCTTGATAGCGAGGATGTGCTTGACCTTTCTGGCCACGGGCGAAGCATCGTAACTGTCGAACAAGTTCAACTGCCATAATACCATGTAGCTTAGTCACTTCCACCTACTGATACAGAATGACTGGGAGCTGAGTGGCAGATGGCATGTTGACGGCGATGTTCTAAGAGATACCAATCTCACGCTCGAGCGGCGGCGCTGCAACAGTGCAAGTACTGGACGTAGGTCAGAACCTTCAGAGTGATGAACGCGCCCAAGCAGCTGCAGCTGTCTATTCGTGTACGTTGAACATGATTATAGGCACCGGCAGTCGGCGGTCTGTCGCGCTGTCTCACGACGGCTTGACACGCATCCGTCTGGCTAGATCGATCGGGCAGCTGCTCGCGCCACTGCACGGCTGGGCAAAAACATTGAGCCTACTCTAGTAATGGATTCCCTATGATCACGGAATAGTCACTCGACACAGCTGTGTACGGTGAGCAAGAGACTCTGCATGCAAGGCCGTAATATCGTGCGCTGTGTTTCTCTCGGCGACCTGTAGATGAGCAACACGAGGCTCTACGGACGTGCGTGCATCACAATACGCTGGATGTATGTATTGTTCCCAGACGTGGCACATTACGCCGACTCCCCGGTCACCCCGGAAAGTGGTTGGACAACCCCGTTGCTGCAATGATGATCTCCGCAGCCGGTCATCTAGCCAATCACAACGTGACTTGCGCTATTGAAAAGTGGACGGCAGAGCCTGCATCGTGTTCCAGACTGTAGGATTCAGTGGAACATGATTCTAAGGCAGAAGCAATGTGCATGGCTGGGCAGAAAGTGATGTACTTGTTGGTTTCGGGATGGCAATGAGGACGGGATTGACATCCAAGCCAAATATAGACAAGCATCGCCTCGCCGTTGGGTGGCAGGAGTCCGCAGGCAAGGAAGGGCGGTGAAGGCGCTCGGAAAACGGTGCTACTAAAGCACTCCGACCAGCGTTCTCCGCAACTTTCACGACCCACTAGGCAGGCCCTCCGACGACCACCTACGACTTCGGACGCCTTCGCCCCAGAATTCTCCAGCTCTCAAGATGGCCCAGGACCAGAGGCCGCCCCTCCCGTCTCTCTCTTCCCAGACCTCCTTCGCGGAGTCGCTCAATGACCCGTTTTCCGACCGCCAGCGCGCGATCAACTTTGCCGAGCCTCAACTTCCCAATCCGAGCCTCACATCTCTCCCCAATGAATTTGGGAAGCTCGGCGAGTACGATGAGGAGGAGTCCGAGAAGCTCCCTTTGACCTCTGGAGATACGGGCTACCCGTAAGTGTGTCTTCCCAGTCGAGACCACGACCACAGCTCAGGCGCAACGCGCAGACCTTTCGACCCTAACTCGTATGGCGATCCATATGGCGGCAGTCGCCCCATTTCAGTTGCTTCGTCCTCGTCTGCGGGTGTCGAGTCGCAATGGAGGCGCCGTCAGACGATCAAGCGCGGTGTTACCCGCAAAGTCAAGCTAACGAAGGGTAACTTCATCACCGAATACCCCGTGCCCTCTCCCGTGTTCAGCGCCATCGAGCCCAAATGGCAGCAGAGTAACACGACGGAATTCTCGTAAGTCGCGTTCCTCTACGCGTTGGCGTTGGTACTAAGTAGGATTGCACACATAGCCACATGCGGTACACCGCTGCTACGTGCGATCCCGATGACTTCAACATGGCCAATGGGTACAGCTTACGGACGAAGATGTACAACCGTCAAACCGAGCTTCTGATCGCGGTCACCTCCTACAACGAAGACAAGACCTTGTATGCGCGGACACTCCATGGTGTCATGCTGAACATCCGCGACATCTGCAAGACCAAGCAGTCTAAGTACTGGCGCCGCACTGCTGAGGAGGGCGTTCCTGGGTGGCAGAAGATCACTGTTGCCCTCATCGTGGATGGTCTGGAACCAATGGACAAGACTGTCTTGGACATCCTCGCGACAGTCGGTGTCTACCAGGATGGTGTCATGAAGAAGCAAGTAGATGGCAAGGACACGGTCGCCCACATCTTCGAGGTATGACAATGATCTGCGCCCGTCTGTTCAGGGCTGACAGTGTCTCGCAGTACACGACCCAGCTTTCCGTCGACGCAACACCTCAGCTCGTGGTGCCCCATGGTGAAGACCCCAACAACCTGGTGCCTGTCCAGATTATCCTGGTCATCAAGGCGAAGAATCAGAAAAAGATTAACTCTCACCGATGGTTGTTCAACGCCATCGGCCACATGCTGGAAGTGCGTGGTTGACTCTTCTCCGAGGCACGTAGGTCAGATCTGACTGTTCCTAGCCGGAAATATGCGTCCTTATCGATGCAGGTACCAAGCCGGCACGCAAGTCCATCTACTACCTCTGGGAGGCCTTTTACAACGACCCGCACCTCGGCGGATGCTGTGGTGAGATCCACGCCATGATTGAGGGTGGTCGCAAGCTCCTCAATCCCCTTGTCGCTGCGCAAAACTTCGAGTACAAGATGTCAAACATCCTCGGTTCGTCGCAGGCTTCTTGACGTGTCTTTCTCACGCTGACTTCACCTCCACTCCAGACAAGCCGCTCGAGAGTAGCTTCGGATACGTGTCCGTGCTGCCCGGTGCGTTCTCAGCGTATCGCTACCGCGCCATCCTTGGTCGCCCGCTCGAGCAGTATTTCCACGGAGATCACTCGCTCGCGGACCGTTTGGGTCCCAAGGGTATCTACGGCATGAACATCTTCACGAAGAACATGTTCTTGGCCGAAGATCGTATTCTCTGTTTCGAGCTCGTCGCTAAGGCGAACGACCGCTGGACATTGACATACGTCAAGCCGAGTAAGGCTGAGACCGATGTGCCCGAGTCCGCTGCTGAGCTTATTGGCCAACGTCGTCGTTGGCTGAACGGTTCGTTCGCGGCGTCAGTGGTACGTCATGAAGAGATGATGGTCGTACGGCGTGTCTGACTTATAACATCCACAGTACGCCGTCATCAACTTTTTCAACCTCTACCGCTCGGGTCATGGCATCATTCGAATGTTCTTCTTCCATATCCAAGCATTGGTGCGCTGTTCGTGATTCCCAGCGCGATATCGGGGTTGACGAGTTGAATAGTACAACGTCTTCACATTGATATTCTCGTGGTTCGCTCTCGCAAACATTTGGCTCACATTCAGCATCATCATCGACCTTCTACCGGGTCAGGGAATCAACATTTTTGTCACGGAAACTGCTGTAAGTCCTTGAGTACACAAGGTTGGCTGTAACCTGTTGATGACCTGTATACAGACTTACTATGTGAATTTCGCGCTCAAAATGATATACCTCGCTTTCCTGGCACTCCAATTCATCCTTGCGTTGGGTAACAGACCAAAGGGAGAACGCATGACCTACAATATCACTTTCTGGGTGTACGGTGTCTTGTCGTTGTATCTCTTGGTCTGCTCGTTCTGGTTGACTATAGTCGCCTTCAAGGTGTGTTCCCTTTGTTTTTCCTTCTTGATCAAGATGCTCACGTTTGTGACGTCGCAGACCATCCCCAAGCAGCTGGCAGGCCTCTCCACCGCAAAGCTGGTCGCGAAGTTCTTCGAACCTCCACTTGGAGCTTTGATTGCTGCTCTACTTTCGACATTCGGTATCTGGCTGATAGCGTGTCTGCTCTACGTAAGCACTGTCGTTGTTGTCCACCCCCGCTGCAGTACTGACGAGGTGCTCAGCGTGACCCTTGGCATTTGTTATCCTCAATGCCCCAGTACCTCTTGTTAGCGCCCAGCTTCACCAATATCCTCAACGTGTACGCGTTCTGCAACTTGCACGATGTCTCTTGGGGCACCAAGGGCTCGGACAAGGCCGAGGCGCTCCCGTCTGTCTCGTCCAAGAAGACGAAGGACGCCGACGTCGTCGTCGAAGACACGGCCCGCAACAAGGAGGACCTCGACGCGACGTTCAAGGAGACTGTCACCCGTGCGCTCACCAAGGTCGAGACCAAGGAGGTAGTTGAGAAGCCAACGATGGACGACGAGAACAAGACGTTCCGTACCCGCCTCGTCGGTTTCTGGATGCTGTCAAACGCTGCGCTCGCCGTCGCCATCGAGAGCCTGGACGGCATCAGCACGGGCAGCGAGCAGGTGGACCAGGCGAAGCTCCAGCACAAGCAGAACACCTACTTCGCCTTCATCCTCTACTCCACCTTTGGTCTGTCGCTCGTCAAGTTCTGCGGAGTGGGTATTCCTAGTTACGCTCGCACGCATATACAAGGTCATCTGACGCTCTTTCACTCCACAGTGCCTCTACTACTGGTTCAGGAGGAACCTCTTCCGCTGCTGCCGCAGGAACTAAGCCGCAGATCTCATTTTCGTCTGACGTTCGTGGCTCGCTGTCGTAGACGGACTTGAAAGTTGCTGTCTTTGCTGGGTCGTTCTCCTAGTTGTCGTTGTCTCATCCGTAACCCCCATCCCATACCTGGAATCGCCGTGGACACTTTCTCGTGCTGTAGGCCCGTCCGACGTAGTTTCTCTCGCCACTCCCTCATACAACAAACCGTCATATGATAATGCCCGACCCCTTACGCTTTCGTTTAACGTTTCCTCGGTCGTAGTGTACATTTCCCAGGGACGTTCGCTCCGACTCGCGCGGCTGGATAGGTCGATTCCATAATAGATCTTCGTTGACTTATCCATCGCAGGCCAAAAACTACATTCTAGAGATCGGATGCAAGATCGATTTTGTGTCGCCTTCCAGTATTATGGCCTAGTTTTTCAACGTGCTTCCGGGTCGGAGAAGCCACAAGCGCACCGACAAAAGGACTCGTACGCAGGGGGAATGGAGAGCAGGCGATTGCTCGTCAACGCGAGAGGTCATGTATTCTCCCATGAATGAGTCGAGGGACCACGCCCCGGTAGAGACCTGTATCGAGAGTACAAATGCGCTTGGCACTATCAATCGAGCCGTGGATGTCGAGATCGAGAGTCGAGGACACAGCAACACAAAACAATAGTACGAGGAACGAGGACGAGGACAGGGACAAGAGGACGGGATGACAAGACAGATAGGGGAAGGAGACGTCATGATATGGTCGTACAGAATAATAAAGATCAAGTCTGCGGCAGGCTTAGCCCCCCAGATAAGCAACTCCATGACACCTCAGCAACCGACGGCCAGGGGGCGAGTTCAGAACGGGTTCTCGTCCTCGGCCATCTTGCCCTCTGATGAGGGTTCGGTGGAGTTCTGAGGCGAGCTCTCTTCCGAGTCCGACTCGGAGCTGGCGTCTGCCTGCTGAGAGAAGAGAGAAGGCATTGGCTTCGCGACACCCCTATTCGTTGCGCGAGATTCGAGTTGATGTTCGAGCGCGCAGTCAGCGATCTCTTCGGAACTGAGAGCGACCGACAAGGAACTTACTTTGTGAAGTGCTTCTTCTTGGTCTGGTTCAGCTTCTGGCTGCAAGGCGTCATCATGTTGTCCGTCGGCGAGACGTAGGTAGGGTTGCTGAGCCGAGAAGTCAATCGTGGCTCATCAAGCGAGATGCCATGAGGAAGCACATACTGTGTCTTTGCGAACTTCTTCGCGAGCAATGCCTTTGCGCCCATACCAGGCAGCTGGTTGTACTGTCCGTTGGTGGCGTTACCAAGGGGTGCCTGTGGGACGACAACGTGGGCCGCTTGCGCAGGGTTGTGCATGGGCTGGATGGGGGTGCCAGTGGGGGACTCGGTGGGGCTGGAAGTGGCAGACATTGTGGTAGAGTTTGCGTGATATGAAGGTGCTTGTAGAGAGGATGGGAGTGTAGGGCTGCTGGGAGGATATGGGAGTGATAGTGAGGGAAGAGTGGCTGGTGGCTGACGAGTTGGAACTTGAACTTGAACTTGCCACCGTTGCTTTGCCACGCGCGTACCCCAAAATAAACATCACGTGCTACGCGCCACGCGTTTCTGCCATGGCACCACGTGGTCGTGTCCCCCTCGGCGCTTGTTTGCTCGCGAGAGGATGGTCGACGTCGACTTTAAATGTTTGTGACTCCTCACAAGAACAGTGACCCGAAGTGACCTGGCACCCTCATATGACAAGGTCAGATTTTCTCACAGCCGCTACAGACGAGTGAGCATTCTTTTGACACCGTGAAATACCGCACTTACAGCTACGGGCGAAACAAATTTCACATGCCAACTGGACGTCATACCTAGGTACAGCTCACTGGCCGGCTATCCCGTCACTGCATGGAGCTGCGATGGGAACGCCGGACCTGCGCACGCCGGGTTCAATCACGCAGTCATGGCCTACCCCGTAATTATACATAGCGTCTGCTGCGAGCAGGCACAGTATCAGCCAAGAGCAGGCCAGAACTTGATGCCGTTTCACCCAACCAGTTGAAAGCGTCGCGACAGGAGTCCCCTAGAGGCATGATCTGCATACAAACAACTTATATCGTGCATATCGTATTGATGTTTTCTGGCCACCGTGACATAAATGGCAGCGCCGGACCCGACGCTAGGGAGACTTTCTCCACTCCCTAGCGACTTTGAATGTGTTCATTGACTAGAAGCGTTCTATGTAGCCCGACGTTACTAGGGACACCTCGGGTTTTGAATTTTATCCCTGATGAGGTGGCCTTGCTTATGCTTGTCATAGGTACGTCGTTCTCAAGTCATACAATCTCCCATCAGCACGTCGCTGCTCCCAGAATGCTCCTGCCCATGCATGCAGCAGCAGCATAAGCACCTCCCCTAGCCCAATATGGACGTACAAAGAGAGGATAGCGCTGTGGCCAAATATCCAGAAGAGCTCTCAACGCGGCACTCGGGCCTACAGCGTCTGTCCGGCATGCAATCGAGCGACAAGCACGGATCACCTGCTGGGAAGGCCGCACCTGCGTCTGTTGCGCAAGGAAACGAGGCAGGCAGGGTGTCGTGAGGGTGCGCAGGATGCCATTCCGGCACAGTGTGTGGCTTCTGACTTGTCTCGTTTCAAGGGATTTATTGAACCTTACTCCGCGAGCGTCGAGCACGGTCAATGAAGCGAGGAGCTCAAATTTGGCCACGATGCCGCCCTTGGATTCAGCACTACGCTCTGGCCACACTCGGCCACACTCTGTAAGCTAGAGTGGCCGGCGGAAGCAAGGTACAGGTCGAACGTTTGAACTCTGAGGCTCATAGCCCGGACGTTGCCTAACCAGAACCTCCAGCTCGCGTTTCATCCCGGGCTGCAGATGGCTGAGTGTCTCGTTTGAAGAGCATTTTCGGGACCAATAACATTACCTCTGCTTCTATGACACACCTCTTCAAGGTATGAACCTCTCACCACACTTCTCCGGCGACATATGCTCGCCGATGGCACGACATCGCCCTACCACCTACACGACCTCGGTAAACAAACCTTGCTGCCTCGTTCCCTCCTTGTCTTATCTATGACATATGTGGCGGGCGAAGCGCGCTGTCAATATGTGGGCGGAGATGAGTCTATTCAAACGCCTCCGCGGACATCGCACCTCGTCCGATACTACAGTAGTCGTATTGCGATTATCGACAGTAATGACGAGAAGACGGACCAGCGATGGACCGGACGTCCTCAACACACTGCCTCCGCACACATGCGGTCCTCAGAGCTTACGGAATACAGTCGACACCCTCCTAACCCATACCCCTGGTAACCCATAAACTCTAAAAACCCATAGGATTTTGGCTTTCCCAAGTCGGGATAGGGGGAATTCGACCCCATAACCCATAGGTCCCCAGTACCCCATAACCCATAGCCTTCTAGGGCTCAAAACCCATACGGTAATAGTGGTCACATTGAGATTTCGCTCATCAATAACCCACAAAGTACTTGATACATGCTTCCTTGTGTCCTCCCAGCATCCATCCATGCTTCAACCACATTGTGGGTAGCTTAGTGTGTTCGAAATCCCATAGCGCTCCCTCGAAGGGTCAGTAGACGCCTGTTCAGCGCTCGCTAACTGGGACTTATCAGGGCGCTTGAAAGGCGCTAAAGTTCCGGTAGCCCATAACCCCTCAAAACCCATATATTTGGGCCTGTCCCGAGGGCTATGGGTTAAGAGGGTGTCGACTGTAGCAAGATGGCGTACCAACCTCATGCAGAGACATCCGCCAGCCACATCCAGCTATCCAATCTCGGCCTCAGAGTGGGGCATCAGCCACCGTGCACAATCCGCTCTCAGCACGACGCCACCCCCGTATCACTTCTAAGGTTCGCGCCCGCAAGCCGTCAGGAGCACATGCTCCCACCCCGTCCTCAATCGACCAACCCAGTACACGCGCATCTCCAGGATACAGCAACCCAGCAGCCCGAACGGTGCGGTTCAGGCAGCCCGCCGTGCTGCGCGTGCCTCGCGCTCGACTGCTCCAGAGCCCATTGGAGGCCCGAGGCGCGCCCTCCCCGCCCTGATCGTCGGTGCATGTGCACCCTTCAAGCTTCAAGGGGCGCGGAGATGCCCGACAATTAGCTATAGAATTTAGAGGCTACCCGTGCACCGGGGCCTCCTCTTCAGGCCACACAGTCGCATGACTCGCATCCCAACGTATCCGACACGGTACCGATTTGGGTCTGGGAACCGCGCAAGGCAAGGTACGAACCGCGCGGCCTCAGCGGGCGGGGCCTCCAACTGTTCGGGGATGCTTCGCAATTGTAGCGGTACTTACGGAGCCGCAATTCGGGTGCCTGGGAAAGCGTGGGCAGACGGCTCGAGCGCAACAACGTTTGGACTCGTGTGTTCTGGCAAGCAAAGCTTCTTCGAGCCGTCGGGAGTCTTGGGGATCCACCTGCGCTTTGCCTCCGCGCGCGTGTTGCAATTCCTGCTGATTCCGAGGCATCTCCAGCTTTGCAGCGTCATAGCGATTGCATACAGCCTGTCTACGCCCACCACCGCTTGGTCCGCACCGGATCGTCGACGCCTGGGTGGTTCTTCGCGCCCACAGAGTGACCGTCATTCGTTACCAAACCGCCGTCTATGCAAGTACATATATCTGCTAATGGCCATCATCGCACGCACGGTCGAGGCATGACGCGCACGAAGCTCTATGGGCGGCGCAGGACGCGCCAAGCCCCTCAAGACATCAATACATATCGTTTGTGGGCGACCAGGACACCCACCCCCGTTCCTGGCTCGCGAGGCGAGTCGGACCGGTCCTCGGTCTCGTTGCGTCGATCTCTCTGATCTCTCTCAGGCTTGGGGGTTGCTGCCAATGGCGGACGGCCAGTTGACCAACAGGCGCGGAATGGATGGGCCCGTCGGGGAGAGCGCGGCCGACGATCGAGAATATCGCGCCTGATCTCGAGTTTCGATGCACCCGGGAGACTCAGCGAAGGGGTTCTCCATGGGCCTACGAAATTTGCTAGCTACACAGGTGTCTTCTGACGCCGAGGGAGCAGGAGTTGCAGTAGCCGTGTGCTTAGAGGTGGTAAGAACGCGGGAAAACCGGAGGAAGAACCAAAGAGCACGCTCCGCCTTTAGGAGGGTGTCCGATCGCCCTCAGCTTACTGAGCTGTAGCCATGCCCAATGCGAGAACTTGAGACACGATCGCACATATTGAAGAAGATGGTTGGAAGAACCGACCTGATGGCGCGTGCGAGGAGCGCATACGGGACCTGTTTCCAGGGTGAAGCTTTGAACAAGTAGGCCTGCACAGTAGGATCTCGCGGAGACGCATATGCACACGAGACACGCCTCCATCTCGTCAGACATATGTCATTGTCGCCAGGACTTGAGTTGATTCACCCGCCGCGACCAGGGCACATCCGTGATGGCCATACGTACCACTGTGTACTTAGGTTCGTAGTGGTCGCAAAGTTGCCATGGAGCGGGTATACGAGCGCGCGCAGTACATAGGTACACATACGTTGCTTGCACGGTCGAAGATTGGCGGCTGATGGATGCAGATCATTGCAATTTGGGGGAGATGCAACTGGTTGATGCGGGGCCCCGGCGTACGGGGGCTTTCCAGATGATGGAAGAGGAACATTGCGGACTCCATCCCATGATTATGGTGTCCGGCATCGAGGCAGGCAGAGACGGGGCCGGGAAGGGGTCGAGCCTACTAACTGAGGTAAGACTGGATGGTGGCGGGTGTTGGCTTTGTGGACGCCGCAGGGAAGTTCGGATGGAAGACGATGCTGGGTATTGGTGTACTACAAGGGGTATAGCGGGTGTATCGAGCTCGTAAAGCACAGGTGGCAGCGGACATAATGGGAACTTGAAGGCGGATTCAGGAAAGAGGAACCGGACAAGCGTGATGGTAAGCGGACATATGGGGAAGAGGATGCGATCGATGGTGCGTAGATTGGACAGCGAATTCAAGCAACGAACATGGGCATGGTCAGTAGGAGGTGAGTGTTCTAGACCGAGCATCGGGGCGGCGGTACGTGTAGTTGTGTCGTGTGCAATGCCCAGCTTGTGGTGAGCGCGGAGCGAGAGGCAAAGGGCGTTAAACAGAAGGAGGAATGGACATCACAACATCACCGGACCACCCAGGTGAACAGAGGGAAGACGTACGGAAACGTAAAGCATAAAAGCGAGCGCTGGCGGACAACGGAGCCGGGATTGAGGCGAGTGACAGGAGGAAGGAGTCAAGGGGCCGGGACGTGTGGGCGAGGAGAGGCCGAAGCGCAGGTGCAGGAGGCAAAGCAGTGGCCAGAGGAGGCGAATGGCACAGGCCTCTCGCCCTCGCTTTGGGCACGGCTCCGGGGCGGTGGGGGGCCAAGCAATAGCCGGAACGCGACGTGCGAGTTTGTTGAAAGGGAGGCAAGAGCGTCGAGGAAATAGGAGGGAGAGGGCTGGATGGTGGGGGAGAACGGAGACGGAGGAGAGATCATGGTCGAGTGGCAACCATGGCTTGCCCCTGCCAATAATATGAATAAAGCCCTCGCCTATTTCCGGCGCGCCCTTCGGTTAAGAGTATTCGCTCCCTCCCTGCCCTCGCTTTCTTTAAATCACTCCCCCCTCCTCTCCCCGCCCTCCGCCACCGCTCCCCCATCATGACCGGCGAACTTCTCACACAACGAAAGATCGCCGTCCTCGGCTCTCGCTCAGTCGGTGAGTCCTCCCCTGTCAACGCGACCCCCCGTCCCGCTCATCCCTCGCATCTCTTCATCCCTCTCGTGCCCGCCACCCCTCAGGCAAGTCTTCTCTCGTCATCCAGTTCATTGAGAACCACTTCGTCGAGTCCTACTACCCCACCATCGAGGGTGTCTTCACCAAGACCATCAACTACAAGGGGGTCGACTACAACTGTGACATCATCGACACTGCCGGTCAGGTACGTCTCCTTCCCCGCCCTCTTCCGACCGCCTCCTCAGCACTCATGCCATTCCACCCGCGCAGGACGAGTACACGATCCTCAACTCCAAACATGCCATCGGCATCCACGGCTATGTCCTCGTGTACTCTGTAACAAATCACAAGTCGTTCGACATGATCCAAGTCGTCTACGACAAGATCATCAACTTCTGTGGCAAGAACTCTATCCCATGTGTAATCGTAGGATCCAAAATCGACTTGCAGAACAACAGGTAAGTGTCGCAGCTGTTTCCCCCCCTCCCCTGTTTCGCAATCTTCTTTTCTCCCTGGTGGCTTTGTCTGTTGGCCGCACTCGACCTCGTCGCCCACACCCCTACCTTTCCTCACAGACCATCTAGACAGGTGCAGAAGAAAGAGGGCGAGAAACTCGCCGAGGATCTTGCCGCTGCGCATATAGAAACCAGTGCGAAGGAGAATATCAACGTCGGTACGTGTGCCTTTCATGCGCTGCCTTCCCGACCGCGTGCGTTGCGCTCCGATGCGCGCGGCTTCAGCTGAGTTCTCACAATCCTCCCTTGCAGCCAAGGTGTTTGAGCTTTGCCTCGCCGAAATCGAGAAACGGCAGCCAAATAACAAGGCGGAGCCCGAAACTAGCAGATGCCACATCATGTGAAGCACCTCGCTCTCGAAACCGCCATCCTCGGACTCGCATCCTCATAGAGCGCATCTCTTGCATACACTCTCATAATGGTCCGTATCTCGGGTTTCACCTTACTACCGTTGCATCCCCCGTCCTTCCCACATATGGCGGACTGTCCCCTTTCGACCATCCATTCCTTCCCTACCGCTTCACATTTCGCCCGCCAAGCTAGGCTCCGCTTCTTGCGCCTTCCGTTCGCCCGGTGCCGCGCTCTAAGTTCCGTCCCCTCACGACTAAGGCTGACACATCGCTATCTTGGGCAGCAGTATTCCTTCTTGTATATCCGGACTCTGATTGACATTTTCCCGTCTCCCATCGGCCTCGTTCGGGCCTCGCTCTCGCCCCTGCTCTCGCCTCCCCCTCCGCCACCCCTTTCCCATCGCGTCCCAACCCTCAATCATGGTCCCCATCCCCATCGGTCGTCAGCTCCTCTGTTAGTATGTGCAGTTTGTATGATCCCGTGTCGCTGTTGTCTGTCTACTCTAGGCCCCTTCCCGGGGATGCATCGCATATACGCTATGTACAGCTCTTCCCTGCGGTTCGTAATTCCCACAAATACTTATAGCTTACCTTCGCGTCATCTTTTCCGGCTGCACCCCTGAAGCTCACCAAACCACTCGGCGTCACAAACGCACCCGCGAGGCACTACAGAGCAGGCCCGCCTCAATCAAGCGTTTCCGCCGAGCACTGCCATGATGTCGACCCTTCACGCGTTGTGACGATGTTTGCATGTATAGTGAGTGATACGGTGCGTGTTTCGACGCTCGCTCGCGCTTGCTGACACGGCCAGTCGCCCCGGTGCGCGTCAGTCTGCGCGCGTACGAGCCCGGACGGGTGGGCCGATCGAACATGTCCAAGTACTGCGGATTGTCAGGCTCCGCAGTGGGACCGTGGTCACGTATGCATTGACCGTGGCTCTGACAAGCGCGCGCGCATTTGGTGACCTCTTGCGTTCTGGCGGCTGCCTGCTACTAAAGTGCATGCAATGTAGAGCTACGCCACTTGTATGGTAGTCGTGAGTCGTATCATTTGCGCTGACTCCGATCTGTCACGGTTAGATTCTTGTTTGAGGCTCGCTCGAGCGTGGCGCGGGGTCGTATCCTGTCCGGTAATTGCACATTGAATATCATTCTCGCAGCCTCTCCCGGGACCTCTATCATGCATTCCACGTTTCTTCACCAACGGCGCGTTAACGTCTCCATTCGTTGCCTCCATTACTAGTCTGGCTTCGGCTCAACCAAACGTTGGGTGGGCCCTGCCTCTACGCCTGAATCAACCTTACACGCCCATGTACCCATCGCTCCAGCACGCCCAACGTCCCGGATCATCATCCACACAGACCCCATACAGCAATTCCCATCCCAATTCCACCCGCCCCGACACACACACACACACAAGCGCCGTCCCGTCATACGCCCCCACAAGCGCCCCGCGCCTCCTCACGCGGTGCCATCCCCGAGGAAACGCGCCTGGACGGCGCGCCCCCCGAGGCCCTTGACGGCGACGGTCTGCGGATCGCCGGGCACGAGGTCGATCGCCTGGTCCGCCCACTCCGCGTCCGCGTCGCCGGCGACGTCGAGGATGATGCCCTTGATCGGCCGCTTGGTCGACAGCGTCACGCTCGCACCGTCCGCGCCGACCGCGATGCGCAGGTCGAGCTCCTCGCGGGGCGGGAAGTGGATGTACTTGAACGGCTCAGGCCTGGGAGACAGGGCGTGAGACGGACGGGGCGCAGTGCAGCGGGAGCCGTGGTTTGCCATAATCGAGTGACGCATCATATGACAGCGAAGAAGGGCACGTCAGGCGGAGAGGCCAGGCGGGAAGGAGTCAGTCAGTAAATTTGCTTTCGGGGAGACCGTACGTAGCGCCGCAGAACGCGGTGGGGGACGCGAACGCACCAATTGGAGTATCGTCCGAGAACGCTTCCGTCCGCGTCGAGCAAGCGCGCGGAGACGATGATCGTTTTGGGCACTTCGCTCGCCTTCGTGCGCGTGGGCTGCCCTGGGAGGGTGCCCTTCCAGAGCTCTGTCGCCGCGTTGGGGGCGAGGTCGACGTCCTGCGTGAAGCGCTCGCGCCAGTCCGGGAAATCGAGGTCGAACGCGGTGACTTCCAGCGTCGCCTTCTTCGCGTCGAGGGTCGAGTTCGTGCCCCAGATTTCCAGGACGGTGTCGATGGTGAAGAAGGCCGCGGAGAGGTCGTCTGCGAACTTCTTGTGCTCCTTGCGCGTCATGCCGACCGTGTATGGCCGCAGCTCGCGCTTGATGGCGAAGTACGCAGGCTTGGGGCGGAGGAAGTAGTCCACGATGGCCCACGAAGTCACCGGCCAGCAGTCGTTGATCTGTCATGGTTCCCCGAGACCAGGTGGGGAAGAGTGTGGTCGTCAGCGTTTGTACTTGTGATCATGCCTGTCTTGCGAGACGATTCCTCGGGAGAAGCGTCGCTCACCTGCCATACAAGCGCGCCTGCGGTGTATTCTTTGCCTTTGCCCTTCCAGTTGCGACGCCACAGGCGATACGCGGAAGCCAAGGTCTCGGCCTGCATGATCTGGGTGTAGTACACGTAACTACAGTTGTACCCTTGCCCTGTCAGAAGGCCGCCAATCAGACATCAGACTCGGACAACTGACCTCTCGATGTCGAAAGCATGTTTGAAGTTCTCCATGAGATACAGCTACGACAAGCGAGGTTAGGCAGGTCAAGTGGACAGTCCATCTCTCACGGAAGAATGGTCGGCGTACCTCAATCCTGCGCTCGAAGCCATCGGCCTTGTTGTGATTACAATTTGTCCTGGACGTTCTCGATGTCAGTACGTAACTTCTGGAATCACCTGCTCCAGAAGCGCATGCCTTGATTGAGGGTAGCGTTCCGCCTTGTCACCGCCCAGCCAGTAATCAACGGTGCGAATGTTCGGGTAACCCTGCCTGAAAGCATCCGATGTGGTCAGGATGAGAACCCGTTCGAAACTACCGCGCGCTCACATGCCAAATTCCGAAACAAAGCGTCCCGCAAGGATGTCCCAATTGTGCCACGGCTCTTGAGATCCGTGCCAGACGTTCCCTATGACATTGCTCAATGTCACGTTTATATGCGCGTAGCCATGCATGCTCACATTGATGCAAATCGCCGTAGTTTTTGTCGGTCGTGGCCTTTCCGAAGCCACTGTACGGAGAACTGCGGTGGTAGTGGATGTCACTCAGCCGCTCAACGACTGACGGCAGGAGCCTTTCGTAGATGTAGCGTGCAGGGAAATTGGTGTTCCGGAAGTCGGATTTCTCATCGGAATAATCGAGCTCCAGCTTGAGAGACTCCGCGATTTGATAATCTAAATGGGCCATCGATCAATGTTACGCCTAGCTTCTATGTCACCGAATAGAACAAGCACACCTTCGTTGTTGCCAGCTGGAGAATATCAGACGATGGTGAGCAGTTTACTGATCATCTCGAGACGTCCCACTCACTGAAGATCACGATCGAAGGGTGGTGCCTGAGTCTCTTCACGTTCTGTTCGGCCTCTACTTCTACCGACTTGGTGAACGAATCATATGCAGGGTACTGTGCGAGTTGAGCACACGACGAAAGCCACGAGGGAACGTTGTCGATTTACCTGCCCACAGCCGAACATGAAGTCCTGCCACACAAGGATCCCGAGCTCTGGGAGAGTATTCAGTACATCTCTTCTGCCCATGCCCATGCACACATGACGGACCATCGCAAATATCGTAGAAGGCGTCCGGCTCATAGATACCACCACCCCAGACCCGGACCATGTTCTGGTTTCCGTCCACGAGGAGTTGCAGCCATTGCCGATACTTCTCAGCAGTCAACCTTTACATTAACGCGCGATCACATGGTTGTCAGTAGAGGAGCGAACGCTTTCGTGTTTGTCCATACCTGGTCAAGAAGGAATCCGCGGGGATCCAGTTCGAACCTATGCAGCCAATATGAGCGAGTTATGCAACGGACAGGAGGTAGATTGAGTACACACCCCCGCAGAAGATCCTGATTTTGTTTATCTCGAACAGGAATGACCGTCCTTCCTGGCCCTCCAGCTCGTCCTGTACGACGACAGCTCGACGGAAGGCGAATTTCTGAGATTTCGAGTCCAGCAAATGTCCGTCCTAATGGCAGAAAATTGCTTTCAGGATTGCACAAGTACGTCGGGTTTTTGCTGTACAAACCTTGTCGGTGATTTTGAGATCAACCGTGTATATAGGCTGCTTGCCATATCCCACTGGGTACCAAAGCTCGAAGGTACCGGCAGAAAGTTTAAAGTGCGCCTCGGCACGCTGACTTTGGATGGCAATGGCGTTCTGTCCAATCACCAGCTTGCCATCGGGATCGTTCACAGAGACACTCGCGATGCTGTGGTCATTAGTCGAGAGCTCGAACGCGATATCGACAGTTGCGCCAAGCTGCTCATTCACTCTGGGGCGAACGTCAAGGTCCGCAATGCGTGTAGTGTAGGTCTCGAGTCTGATGGGCTTCCAGGGGCCAACAGTCATGAGCACCGGACCTGCAGAGAGCCGAGGTCAGACTAGACGAGAAGAAAAGCCGTCGCGTTGGGTGGACTAACCCCAGTCCCAGCCATAGCTGCGAACAATGATGTCAGCGTCATCGCCATAAAACTATAAAGGATGCGTACTTGTATCCCGCCTTGCGTACGTGCAGACGACTCGAATCTCCGTTCCAGAGGTTCAGCTTTCCGTGTTCCTGCTCGAGCTCTCGGCCCTACTCTGCCGAGTGAGCACTCTAATTATCGGCGCCGCGGTATATGCACGTTACCTTGCGGAATGCACTTGCAAACGTCAGGAGCAGGGTGTTCTCGCCAGCCTTGAGATATTGCTTGGCAGGAACCCGATGTCCGATGAACTGGTTCTCGGTCCTACGTCTAGTTAGACGGAAGGGTTCTGTGATTCATGATACAGGTTGTGACTGACTCCAATATTTTATGGCCATTCTGACGTTGACCAAGGTGAGTCGTCGGTGATAATGATTCTACAGCAGTTGTGACTCACCAACTCGGCGACCGCAAAGGTATCCAGACCGTCAAAGACGAGATCCACGTTTTCTGCCGCTGCCTCTTCGTCGCTCACATCGAACGTAGTCTTGAATGCCCACTCGACTTCACCGATCCCTTCACGTCCGCAAGACCATTAGAATACGCTCAGGCTACTCGTATGCCGTGGAGTGTCTCACATTGCACGTCCCATTCATGGAGCCCGACGAACTACACACCAATCTCAGCACGTCAATCGTAAATTGTCTCAGAGCAGGACTCACCGGGTCTGGGATCCTCTTATACCCCAACAGCTCAACATGCACTGTCGTCGGGAAGCTCTTCACCGGCAGCCACTCGCCCTCCTTCAGGACTTGGCTTTTGCCCAACTGCGTGAACGTCCATCCATCGTGCAAATCCCTAGCCGTCGCCATCGTGGATGGTCAGTGTGAGCGCGTCGTCCGTGAACAAGATACGCGAGGGCCCGTCCTGAGAGCAGGCTACTGACTGTATTTATTCTTGGGTAATGCGTCGGACGTCCGCAGGCTACTTAGGAAATGCCGAGTAAGTCAGCTGGCCCTGGATGAACAGAGTAAAGAGCAGCCGAGGTTTCGCCGACTGCGACCGATCGTCCTGTAGATTGCGATTGGACCTCGTTCCGGACTTGGCGGGCCTGTCTGTCCGAACCGTCCGCTAAGCCGGTTCCTTTCGTCGTGTTGGACATGTCCGGCTATGGTCATTCAGCGTAGCTTGAGGTATACGACACCTTGTCTGTGACAGAGAGACCCAGGAGACTACATCAAATTGGTGCTAGATAATACAGTATACCTGGATAGATAGGGATACGTGACGGTATCGTAGCGCGGAAATGCAAGTCGTGGCGCGCGTGAACTCATGAAATGTAACGGAAGCCCTCGGGCCTTCCTTCCTCCTCTTCCTTCTTCGCGAACTTGCGGTTTTCCCGCTCGAGGTGCAACTTGAAGATGTAGCACATCACGATGCATAGGCCGTTTGTCGCTATGCAGATCGCGTACGAGTGCCTGTACGTAGGGCCCCAGTTCTTCGGCCACACGTACCTGTTCGCGGAAAGCAAGGAGGAATGGGTGAGCGGCTGGGCACTTGTGACTGGAGGTTGTACTTACGATCCGGCAATATTGCCGAGCTGCGAGAACGCGTTGATAAAGGCGAGCGCGACGGCCCGCTTCGAAGGAGGACGAGCGATAGTGTTGCTGATCCATGCCAGGAAGATAATGAAGCCGGCATACGATTGCGCCATAAGGAACCTGTAGGATCACATGTGAGTACTCGCGGCAGAACTGGGCACCAATGACAACGTGGAGACGCACAGAGAGACGTAACGGGCCGCGAGCTTCATGGTCGAGATAGCAATCACGAAGCCGACGATACCCAAGGACAGAGGGATCGCGATATGCCAGAACCGTTCACGAGAACGGTCCGAGTGTCTGCTCATGGCGAATGCGACGATCGTGGCGAACACCCAAGGTGGTGCGCAGAGCAGGAGCGTAATCGTGGAGTTGTAGCCCATGGTGGCGCTGAGCGTCGGGAAGAACGCGTTGAACGAGAGGGAGACGACCAAACTGGTGAGAGCGAGCGCGAGCCACCAAACCTTCCAGTCGGTGAGGGCCATGCTGAGGCCGTCAAACTTTCCGCCGGACTCGGCGGACGCTTCATCGCCGACACCGACGTCCTCTTCCATACGCTTTTGGGCAAGGCGGACTTCTTGGGGGCTTAGCCATGTGTGCGAAGTGGCGGGGAAGTCAGGAAGAATGAAGATGGCAACGATTGCAAAGAACATCGTAAGGGCACCCTCGATGAAGAAGAGCCACCTATACGAGATCGTCTGTGAGTACGTGAGCGTCCCATACAATTTGAAGAGACTCACCTCCAGGCGGAGTGTCCGAGCTTCCCCTCCATTCCATCAAGAATACCAGAGGCAATCAGAGAGCCGAAAGCATTGCTGATCAAGCTACCGCAAGACAGCACCGCAGTGCGGAGACCGAGCTCAGATCGCTTGTACCACTTCGATAGCAGGAACAGAGCTCCGGGGAAGAATGCAGCCTCCACAAATCCAAGGAAGAATCGCGTGAGAAGAGCGCCAACGAAGCTGTGTGTCGTCAGAGCCCCGTCATGCACTCTCGCGGATGTACGATACGCACTTCGTCGTGATACCAGTCAAAGTCGAGATCATGCCCCAGATGACCATGCAAATGGGGAGGTATAATGAGGGTTTCCCAATGTAGTTGAGGAACATGTTCCTGAGTACAGCGGTTCAGTCAACAAATTCCCTGACTTTTCCTATGAATGCTCACGATGGTATCTGCATGAGGATGTATCCGACATAGAGGATACTCAGCAAGGTGCTGAATTCGGTCCCCTTGAGATGGAGGTCATCCTCGAGACCACGCAATCTCGCTGCTCTGTATGTTACGTATATTCCATCAGCCCAGCCTGTGGCATGTGAAGGCATACCATGAAGTAGACTCACGATGCATTGTTACGATCAATCTGAAGTGAAGACAGGCCATTTAGCTCAAGTACTCTTCCGGTCGGGCAGCTAGACGCCGAAATGCACGGCAAGCAAGCCTAGGATAGTAACTCACGTAGTTGAGGATGTAGATTACGATCAAGATAGACATGCGCGCATCGAGCTTGAGAAGGAGCTTTTTCTCGAGCTTCTTCCGAGCCTCTGTCCCGCCAAATTCCTCGTCGCCCGTAAGCTGCTGCTCGTCCGCCTCAACATCGCCCACCCGGCTGTCATGTTCCTTTTCGAGCGAACGCGTCGGCGGCATGTCGTATCCAAGTTCCGGCGCAGCGGGTCGTGAGGAAGGGGGAGTGGGCACAGGGGACGGTGAGGGCTCAGGAACTCCGGGAGCAAGGAGAACAAGAGGACGCCATCACGTACGGGGAGGAGCTTATAACTGTTGAACCTGGCGCTTCGCGAAAAGAGACTTGAGAGATATGTCAACATGGGCGGACGGCCCACGGGGTAAATGGAATGAAGAGATGGCACCCCAGAGCGTTACGCGGCGGAGAAATTGTCGGACCTGGGGTGCGGGGCAGCGGGGGAGGGGAGAGCTCTCATAGGCGCCAGCTCGGATCTTCCGACTGTTTTCCTAGGCTCCGTAACGCCCTCGCGCTAGGTAGTCAGATTCGTATGCCGTTGATCAGAGTCTTATTCCAATGGAAGGATAAGTAAGGGGAAGTGAAAGCCCAATGGGCGGAGACGGTATGTGGTCAACCGGTCCGGAGGCAGGGGTAGGCACGCCCGGGCGATCCTGATCAATCGGGAAAACTGTGGAGGAAGAGTACATAGTGAGTTCACATGCGGTGTCGTTCCAACCTATCAAACGCTATCATCGGCCACGAATTTCTTGCTGCAACGGGCTTTGCAAGCACCTGAGTAGCACACGAATGCCGATGCCCGATGAACGGTCTGTTTAAGATCTACCGTTGAACCTGTATCCCCCGTAGAAGACGAGAAGAAACCTCGAGCATCGATAGACATGGCCACAGCGACGCTCTCGCCGCCCTCGGTGACCCCGCCGACATACCACCGGATCGTCTCGCCGACTTTGACCATCCCCTCGGACCCGCTCAAGCCGATCCCGGTCGGGCTCCTCGCGTGCCAGCGTACGTGCCCAGCTAGCCCACGCGTTGCAATCCAATCAGCCCTGTCGATCGAAGTGGCTGATTCGTTCTACAGGCGACCCCCTCCTACGCGAGCTCACAACGACCGCCGTGAGCTGCCGCGAGTCCCCAGCGGCGGCCCCACCTTCCAACGGACGGGAGAACAAGAAGAAGAAGAAGGCTGCCCCCGCGCCGACGGCACCGCTGCTCGAGATCATACTGCATGATACCATTATCTTTCCCGAGGGCGGGGGACAGCCCTCCGACGTCGGGATCCTGACGAGCTCTGATGGGGAGCTGTGGGACGTCATCGAGGCGCAGCGGCATGGCGGCCATGCCGTCCACTACGTCCGCTTGAAGCCTGAACAGAAGGTCGAGCATGCTCTGCAGATATTCGCCCCTGGCGCCCTGGTCGGTGTCGCTTTGGGGGAAGAGGGCTACAAACGTAGGCTAGATCACGTACGTATGTCTCGTTCTTGGTCCCATGCACAAGTGTACAATGGATGTGCAAGCTTTGATGTCCCAATAGGCATGCATGCACACGTCTCAACATCTGCTCTCCGCCGTGCTTGAGAACAAGCTTAACCTCCCCACGCTCGCGTGGTCGCTCACTGCATGGCCGACCCCGTCATACGTCGAGCTCCCACGAGGCATGAGCCCGGAAGAGATCGCTTCTGCGCAGGAAGAATGCAACAGGCTCGTATTTGAGGGCCTGAGTGTCCACGTCGAGGTCGAGGAGCTGCACGATGACAACAAGCAATACGACACGCCAAGCGTCGGCATCCCAGACGACTACACCGGCGGCGTGAAGCGAACAGTCGTGATTGACGGCGTCGACCGAAACCCGTGCGTCCCACAAGTCGTCCATGATTCTCATTGCAAACGTCATCTTACTATATTGCATTCATATAGATGCTGTGGGACGCACGCCCCGACGATCCACAACCTCCAGCTCTTCATCCTCCCCCAGATCGAGACCCTCGCGCGGTCCTCCACCTCCTCCGCCCGGGTCTACTTCCTCGCCGGGCCGCGGCTCATCGCGCACCTCACCTCGTCGCACACCCTCCTCGCGAGCACGGCGGCGATCATGAGCTGCGGCGCGCCGCAGGTGCCCGAGCGTGTGCAGCAGATCGTCGACGAGCGCAGGAAGGCGACCAAGCGCGTCGAGGACCTCGAGGCGGAGCTCGCCGCGTCCGTCGCGGAACGCCTCCTCTCCTCCGTGGCCCGTAAGGCTGAGGGCGAGAACGAAGGTGGCTCGTTGGTGCTGCACGAGCACAGGACGGACGACTCCGTGAACGCGCTTGCGTTCTTGTCGGCCATCACGCAAGCGTTTGCGAACAAGATCGGGGAAAGGGAGAAGAGCGGGGAGAAGGCACCGCGATTCTTGCTTGTGCTATCTTCGTCGCCGTCTGCGCAGACGAGTGCGAGCACTACCGTCGTGCTTATCTTCGGGTCGGATGACAAGAAGGCGAAGGAGGTCGGGGACGAGCTGAAGGGTAAGCTGAACGTCAAGGGTGGCGGCAAGGGCACGCGGTGGAGTGGGAAGTTTACCGGGGTGTGGAAGGACGGTCGGGAGGGCGCGGTGGTGGCAAGCATTATCGACTCCGTGAGGATGTGATGAGGCGGATGATGGAGATAGGCATTGAATAATTACTGTTGTGCTATGCGCTATAGATCATAACCCGAACGAACATCAGGAAAATACACATGTCTATACTACAACAAACCAAAGTGCATGCACGAAGGGATGATTATGTGATGCGAATCCAGAATATGCGGCCTATTACTTCGGCGCAGTGGACCTATGCCGGGGAGCTTGGATGCTTCCGGAGCTCTCTCCTCTGTCGCTATACACCGCCGCATCTTCACTACCTAGTCAGATGCGATGGCGGCATTCCACAGTGAAGGGTCGCTCACCGTCGGTCTCCGGCAACTCTCCGCTCATGGTCAGACCCTCCACCTCCGAGAGGCTGTCGGACGCGCCGTCGCTCAGTCCCCAATTCTCATCCTCCATCCTGACATTTGCCGCCTCTTCTTCCCACAGATCATCTTCGTCAGCATCCATCTCTGCCTCGGCACCCACAGAGATGCTATCCTCGATGTCCATGTCGTCAAAGACAGAGTCAGTCTCCATGAAGCCGTCCGAGTCGAAGAACCCGTCATCCTCATCATCTTCCTCGTCGTCGCCCGGAACGTAGTCGCCGTCAGAGGACTCGTTGTCCGAGTCTGACGGAGGCTTGAGGCTGGAGAAGATGCGCCTGCACGACGGGCAGCTGCCGTGCTGAGGACGGGCTGAGCACTCCGAGAAACTCGGAAGATGTCTTGCAGCTGCGACTCACCCTTCCGCGGATCCATTCCACCAAACTACGGATCAACTCCGTTCAGCAACCACGCATGGCAGCGCAGGGAATTAACACGGCGCTTACCAAGCTTTGCAGAAGATGTGTCCGCAACCGACCAGCTTGGTGACCCCAGCCAGGTCGTCGGAGTCAGGGGCGGGGTCCCCTCCGAGCTCTTCCCGCGTCTTGCCATCCAGGATTGAATCAAAGGGGTTGAGGCATATGGGACATGGGTCGTCAGTGGGTATCTGCTCCTTTGTAAGGGAAGGTAATCGAGAAATGGCGAGCTGTATGCGCTCTTGGACGGTGAGATGGGCCTCGGCAATGTCCATGGCTCTTGTACGCTCGGGCGTTCCAAGGGATGTCGTAAGCAACAGAGTATGTTGTGAAGCAGAGTATAGACTGTAGCACCGCTCAAAAGTGCGTCATGAACTCATGGAGGACAGTCGAGCAAGGGAAGTTGGGCGACGGAGCGGGTTGAAGCCGGAAGAGAGGCCGTCCGGCGAAGAGGAGCGGGGTCCGGCGCTTGGCCGGGAACCGAGACACAACGCGTAAACAACGTTCGCGTTTGTCACGTGCGCGTGCTTGGCAACAGCAGCGCGTCCGTCGGACCGCAAGGAACTCGACCAAGCTTCTCTGCGACTCCCACTATGTATGTACCACCAGCGGCTCCGTTCGGATACCCGTCAGTGTTGGCCAGTGCATGCCCGCCAGTCTTCTGATAGCATTGAGCCAAGCACAGAACCTTGATGGTCATGCCGTCTCTGGCCCTACCGGGACGGCAGCTCCACGTCAACTCTGCCCTTGTGACCTCTAGAAGCGCGGCACTAACGTCGTCCATGAGCCGTCTGTGGCATCCAACAGCCTCCGCCACTATATATTCTGCCATGCCGTGGTTCTTGTCCTCGTCCGCTATCCTACGACCCGGAGGTCTTCCCTCAGGCTTGTCCCCACGATGACGTCCTCGAAAACCTCCTCCCCAGCTGATATCGAGAAGAGACAATCCGAGGCAGGCGTACAGATTGCAGACCTGGACGACTCCGATGCCGACTTTGGCGGGCAAGAAGCCCGACAGAGGCTCGAGCGAAAGCTGCTGAGGAAGATTGACCTGAGGATGTCTATCATGATCGTCATCTACATCCTCAATTATGTGCGTTCGCTGTATCAGTTCCAAGCACTTCTCAATTGATTGTTCCTCTAGGTTGACCGTAATAATGCCGGGTGCGCTTCCTGCTGTACTATATGCAAGCTCTGCTGATTGGGGCAACAGTGCAGCGAGGATGCGGGGATTCGAGACAGACCTGCACCTGCAAGGCCAGGAATTTGCGACTCTACTGTCCATTCTCTATGTTGGCTATATTCTCATGCAGATACCCTCGTAAGAACCCCGTTTGTGACTGTGGAATCGGGCAGCCAAGAACTTGATGTTTGACAGGAATATGCTGCTGAATCATATAGGAAAGCCTTCGCTATACCTACCAGCGTGCATGATCGTATGGGGCACGATCTCCATCCTCACGGGTAGGCTCTTCCTGCCGTTGAGCTTTTTCTCCCTTGCTTACCAACTTCGCTCGGCTTCCAGGCATTACGAACAAGTGAGCCCAACCGTAGATATCTTTGCCCCCTTCTTCTGACAGTCCGACAAATCTCCTCCTTATCGCCCCTCTGCTCATCCCCCAGTTTCGTCGGCGCGCTCCTCACCCGCTTCTTTCTCGGCTTCGTCGAAGCCGCCTTCTTCCCCGGAGCCCTCTTCCTGCTTAGCAAGTGGTACAAGCGCAGCGAGCTCGGCACGCGCACGGCGCTCCTCTACTGCGGCAACATCATCTCCAATGCATTCGGCGCCCTCATCGCGTCCGGGATCCTCGACAACATGAACGGGGATCTCGGGCGCGCCGCGTGGCGTTGGCTGTTCTACATTGAGGGCGCACTGACGATCTTCGTCGCTATATGCGCGATGTTCATCCTCCCGGACTTCCCCACCACAACGCGGTGGCTGACTGATGAGGAAAGGAGGCTCGCAATGAAGCGAATGCAGGAAGATGCCGGGGTTGGAGACGAAGGTGAGACGGAGGTGGGGGGCCATGGCGCTGGGCTATGGCTGGCCATCAAGGACTGGAAGGTGTGGTGGATGGCGTTTGCGATGACCAGCCAAGTCGTTGCATTGAGTTTCAACGCGTACTTCCCGACCTTGAGCGCGACCATGGGCTTCAATCCGACAGTCACACTGCTGCTATGCGCGCCGCCGTTCGTGTTCACTGCGATTATGGCATTCGCGGTCTCCAGGTAGGTCGCCTGTCCTTTGAGAGTGGTGTCGAGCAGGATGCTGACCACGAGTGGCAGACATTCCGACAAGACTGGCGAGAGGTTCTATCATATCACCGTGCCCATCTTCGGTGGTATCGTCGGCTTTGTGATTGCTATCTGCACGATGGACACCGCGGCGAGATACGTTTCCCTGTACGTAAGCCGACTTCAATACTGCGTACCCAGTGACTCAGGCCAGGTTTCCCCATGTAGTTTCCTGATGGCTCAATCCTACGCCGGTTTCGTCGTACTCTATACCTGGGTCAGTAACTCCTTTCCTCGTCCACCTTCGAAGCGTGCAGTGGCCGTCGCTCTCGTAAACGCGTTCTCGCAGCTGGGGAACGTGGCCGGCTCGTAAGTGCTTCTGTTCTGCTGTGACTTCTCTGGTTGAACTGTAAGCCAGGTACGTCTGGCCAAGCGCATGGGGTCCCACCTACCGCAACTCATACGCTATATGCATCTCGACGGCGGGCTGCACGATTGTCATGTGCTATATCTTCAAACTACACCTTGCCTACCTGAACAGGGCACTAGACGGGGATGAAGCCGAGAAGGGTGTCAAGAAGGCAGGCTTCCGCTACCTACTTTGAACGCTGTTACGTGCCGGTATGTTTGTACGATAAGTGCTATGAAAGTTTACCTGCATGGGTCCATCCTGTTGCCCCCAACATCGTCCGGCCCCTCGATGAGCCACTAAACTTTTGTTTCCAGAAGGCGGCATGGTTTAGACTCGACCCCTGGTCGTCATTCGAGCCTTCGAGGTTCGCCGCGATGCCGCTGACCTGTCAGAGATGCGTACTGGCGTTACATCTGGCCCTCGTCCGCGGACTTCTTCTATGCCTTGACTCTGTGATCACAAGAACTGCAAGGTTCCACCAACTCACTATAAAGGATGGCCCCCATGCTCGTCTCTTTATTGTGTATCCTCCACAGCTCCTCGTCGTTGTCGCAGGGTCCCTATGCTCGACAAATCTAGCCACACGATGTCGTCCTCAAAGTCAGCATCCTTGATTGATGTCACCGTGACATCCGTTGTAGGTCACGATCTAACGTCTGAAGACGGAGGCACCGAATATGGTGGGCATGAAGCGCGTCGAAGGCTAGAACGCAGGCTTGTGCGCAAGATCGACTTGCGCATGTCGATCCTAGTGATCCTGTTTATCCTGAACATTGTACGTCCACTCGCAGCTCATCTGAATCGGTCTCTCTAACTTCGTAATGTCTAGATGGATCGTACCAATATAGCGTAAGTTCTCGTGAAGCGAAGGCACAACTGAACCTTGACGTATCATCATCCACAGAGCGGCACGACAGCGCGGGTTGGAGACAGATCTAGGCTTGCAAGGTCAAGAATACGCTACTCTTCTGTCAATCCTATATGTCGGTTTCATGATCATGCAAGTTCCGTCGTAAGTGTTCTCCGCCACATAGCGTTCCCAGCCGTTGAACCCGTCATGTCCTCAGTAATATGTTCCTCAATCGTCTTGGCAAGCCTTCGATATATCTACCGACGGCTATGGCCCTCTGGGGCGTGATCAACATCTTAACAGGTCGGTACTCACCTCTCACTACCAGTTCGTCTGATCTAACACAACGTCACAGGGATCACCAAAGAGTAGAGCCCTTCGCTCTCCTCGAATTGCGCAATCTTTTGATTTTTTTCCGGTACAGCTTCGTCGGCGCTCTCCTCGCTCGTTTCTTCCTCGGCTTCGTTGAAGCTGCCTTCTTCCCAGGGACCCTCTTCCTGCTCAGCAAGTGGTACAAGCGCGGCGAACTCGGCGGGCGCATTGCACTCATGTTCTACGGGATCTTCATATCCAACGCCTTTGGCGCACTCGTGGCCTCAGGCATCCTCGATGGGATGGACGGCAAGCTCGGACAAGCCGCGTGGCGGTGGCTTTTCTACATCGATGGCTCGCTTACCATCCTCGTGGCCCTCTGCGCCATGTTCATCCTCCCCGACTTCCCATCCACCACGACCTGGCTAAGCGAGGAGGAGCGTAGCCTGGCTATGAGGCGTATGGAAGAGGACGCAGGCGTAGGAGACGAAGACGAGACCGAGGAGGGCGGACATTTGGCCGGGCTGCAACAGGCCTTGCGGGACTGGAAGGTATGGTGGCTGGCGCTGCTGATCACTAACTACAACATCTCTCTGAGCTGCATGGCGTACTTCCCCACGCTGAGTGCTACAATGGGATTCAAGCCGACCGTCACATTGCTCCTCTGCACGCCGCCGTTTGTGATTACTCTGATCGTGGCATTCGCGGTCTCCAGGTACGCCAACTGTCCTCTCATAGTGCGTCGAGCAGGATATTGACCATGAGTGGCAGACATTCCGACAAGACTGGCGAGAGATTCCATCATATCACCGTGCCCATCTTCGGCGGTATCGTCGGATCTGTGATAGCTATCTGCACGATGAACACCGCGGCGAGATACGTTTCCCTGTGAGTGAACTAAAGCGTTTAGGCACACACTCACCAACCAGCCCGGACTGCACTGTATAGCTTCCTGATGGCTCAATCCTGTGCGGGTTACGCCGTTCTCTTCACCTGGGTCAGCAACTCCTTTCCTCGGCCGCCATCCAAACGAGCGGTAGCGTTAGCGCTCGTGAACGCATTCTCACAGCTGGGTGGCATAGCTGGCTCGTAAGTGCTTCTGTACTGCTGTCAATTCGCTGACTGACATGTAAATCAGGTACGTTTGGCCTAGCGCATGGGGGCCAACGTACCGCAAGTCTTACGCAATATGCATCTCGACGGCGGGCTGCATGATTGTCATGTGCTACGTGTTCAAGCTGCATCTCGCCCGCCTGAACAGGGAACTAGACGGAGAGGAAGCCGAGAAGGGTGTCAAGGAGAGGGGCTTCCGCTATCTACTTTGAGCGATGTCACAATGCCGGTATGTATGTATGACGACGAATGCAATGGAAGGCCCGCTGCATAGGACCAACCTGGGGCTTGCAAAACACCACTCACCTTCCCTTTGATGAGATGCTAGACTTTGTTCCAAGAAGGCTACATCGCTTACACTTGGTTCTATCCGTCATTCGAGCCTTTGACATTCATCTGGCTGCTACAGATAACATCCGCGCCTTAGACGCGTACCAGCATCACATCGGAGCTTGCAGAACGTCGGGGCGTCTGCAAGCTTCTTCTATGTATCGCGTAAGGCCGCAAGGTTCAGCCAATCCGCTTATAAAGGACGGCCTTCAGGCTTCCTCCCCTGCCAGTGTTCCTTCGCCACGGCTTCGCAGTGGTGTCGCGGCTCACCATTTTCGTCTCGACACGCCATGGCGTCCTCCAAGGTGGCTGCGCTAATTGATGTCATTGATTGCGACGTAGATCATGAGCTGAACGCAGAAGACGGAGATGCCGAGTTCGGTGGACACGAGGCACGGCAAAGGCTAGAACGCCAGCTTGTGCGTAAGATCGACTTGCGCATGTCGGTTCTCATAGTCATCTATACTTTGAACTATGTACGTGTCCTTGCAGCCCATTTGCATTGGGATCTCTGACTTTGTGACGCCCAGATGGATCGTAACAATATCGGGTAAGCTTCAGTGACGCACAGAAGCGAAGACGCATGTGAACCTGAATGCATCATCGTACACAGTGCGGCACGACTGCGGGGATTGGAGGCTGATCTGGGATTGAAAGGCCAAGAATATGCGACTCTCCTGTCCATTCTCTATGTTGGGTATATGATAATGCAAGTGCCCTCGTGAGTGATCCCCTACCGCAGAATGCTCCCCGTGACTGAACATGTCGTATTTTTCAGCAATATGGTTCTCAATCGTCTTGGAAAGCCTTCGTTATACCTGCCGACGTGCATGGTCATCTGGGGCGTGATCTCCATTTTGACAGGTCAGTGCTACCCTCTCACTACGAGTTCGTCTGATCTCACACAACGTCGCAGGAATCACCACAGAGTAGAACCTATCCTTTAACTCGAGTTGCTCCATCTTCATGACTATCTTTGCCTCGTAGCTTCATCGGCGCGCTCCTCGCCCGTTTCTTCTTAGGCTTCGTCGAAGCAGCCTTTACACCCGGGGCCCTCTTTCTTCTCAGCAAGTGGTACAAGCGCAACGAACTCGGCACACGCATAGCACTGCTGTACTGCGGGTTATTCTTATCGAACGCCTTTGGCGGGCTCTTGGCCTCAGGCATCCTCGATGGGATGGACGGCAAGCTCGGGCAGGCCGCCTGGCGGTGGCTTTTCTACATCGAGGGCTCGCTCACCGTCTTCGTAGCCCTCTGCGCCATGTTCATCCTCCCCAACTTCCCATCCACTACGCGCTGGTTGAGCGAAGAGGAGCGCCGCCTAGCGATGACGCGCATGGAAGAGGACGTGGGCGTAGGGGACGAAGGTGAGACCGAGGAGGGCACACGCGCCGGTGGATTGCGGCTAGCCCTGGGGGACTGGAAGGTATGGTGGATGGTCCTGGCGACGACAAGCTTCAACGTCGCCTTGAGCTTCAATGCTTACTTCCCCACGCTGAGTGCTACGATGGGCTTCAATTTGACCGTCACGTTGCTCCTCTGTGCCCCACCGTTCATGTTGGGTGTGATCATAACATTCGCCATCTCCAGGTACGCCAACGGTCCTCTCAATGGTATCTGAGTATGACGCTGACCGCAAGCAATTGCAGACATTCTGATATAACTGGCGAGAGGTTCTATCATATCTCGCTGCCCATATTGGGCAGCGTAGCTGGCTTTGTGATCGCTCTGTCCACAATGAACACTGCCGCAAGATACGTCTCCCTGTGAGTAATCTAAAGGGATACCACATATACTCTGTCCTCAGCCTAAGGTGCACCGTATAGTTTCCTGATGGCTCAGTCATACGCTGGCTTCGTGGTTCTCTATACATGGGTCAGCAGCTCCTTTCCTCGGCCGCCATCAAAACGAGCGGTAGTGTTCGCGGTCGTGAACGCATTCTCGCAGCTAGGGAACATCGCTGGCTCGTGAGTGCCTTCGTTCCCTGCTTTTGATTCGTAACCTGAACTGTGAGCTAGGTATGTCTGGCCAAGCGCATGGGGCCCCACATACCGCAAGTCTTACGCTATATGCATCTCGACTGCGGGCTGCACGATTGCAATGTGCTACATCTTCAAGCTGCATCTCGCCCACCTGAACAGGGAACTTGAAAGGGAGGAAGCTAAGAAGGGTGTGAAAGAAAAGGGCTTCCGCTATCTCCTTTGAGCAGGTAAGTATAGTAGTACAACATCAACGTGGCTGATATCAATGTCCGTCTGGGCCCGAAGCGTGTCAGATATTCGTCGGCCTCTTGCAGGTGTTCCACATCATCCAGGGAGTGCTACACCCCCTGATTTCAGTGGATCCCAGTCGTTCTCCGAGAATCTGACATACGTCTCGATACTGTGGATAACGCCTTCGCCATAGACACGTTTCAGCCTCATATCTGGGCGCCTGCAGGCTACTTCTTTGCCTCAACCTTGTGATCACAAGAACCGCAAGGTTCAACCCATTCTCATATAAATATAAAGGATGGGCTCCAGGTTCCCAGCTCTGCTCTGCTTTTGCCACTGCCCATCAGTTGTATCGCGGGTCCCCATCTTCCATCGAAGAGGCGCATGATGGCACCCTCGAAGGCGGAATCCTTGATTGATGTCACCGAAATATTTGTTGAGCTGACCTCCGCAGAAGACGAAGACGCCGGATTTGGTGGATGTGAGGCACGGCAGAAGCTAGAGCGCAAGCTCCTACGCAAGATCGACTCGCGCATGTCTATTCTGATAGTCATATATATGCTGAACTACGTACGTTTGCTCGCAGCCCGACACCTTTGGTATACCTGACAGTGCAATGCCCAGATGGATCGTAACAATATCGGGTAGGCTCCCGTGAAGGAAAGACATACTTGAAGCAGAAGCTCAATGTTTGGACGTGCACAGCGCAGCACGGCTACGGGGACTAGAGACGGACCTGGGTTTGCAAGGCCAAGAGTTTGCGACCCTCTTGTCCATACTATATGCCGGTTACATGATCATGCAAGTACCCTCGTGAGTCGTCTATTCCACGGAATGGCTCGCGGATTGAATGTGTTATATTTGTAGGAATATGTTTCTCAACCATATCGGCAAGCCATCCATATACCTGCCCACCAGCATGGTGATTTGGGGCATTATCTCCATCCTGACAGGTTCGTCCTTTCTTTCCCCGCCACCGTTCCAATCTAACATGACATCAAAGGAATCACTAAAGAGTAGGGATCTATTTATATGCATTAATCCTATCTTTAAGCTTCTCACCTCTCTTCCCTGTAGCTTCGTCAGCGCACTCCTCGCTCGCTTTTTCCTAGGCTTCGTCGAAGCAGTGTTCTTTCCTGGCGCCCTATTTCTCCTCAGTAAATGGTACAAGCGCAATGAGCTGGGCACGCGCATCGCTCTGCTGTATTGCGGCAACATCACGTCGAACGCATTCGGCGCGCTCATGGCTTCAGGTATTCTCGACAGCATGGACGGCAAGCTCGGACAGGCCGCGTGGCGGTGGCTTTTCTACATCGAGGGCTCGCTTACCATCTTCGTGGCCCTCTGCGCCATGTTCATCCTCCCCGACTTCCCATCTACTACGCGCTGGTTAAGCGAGGGGGAGCGCCGCCTAGCGATGAGGCGCATGGAAGAGGACGCGGGCGTAGGAGACGAAGGCGAGACCGAGGAGGGCGGGCACTTGATCGGGCTGCGACTGGCCCTGCGGGACTGGAAGGTATGGTGGATGGCCCTGGTGATGACAAGCTTCAACGTCACTTTGAGCTTCACTACATACTTCCCCACGCTGAGTGCTACGATGGGCTTCAATCCGACCGTCACGTTGCTCCTCTGCGCCCCACCATTCATCTTGACTGGGATCATAACATTCGCCCTCTGCAGGTACGCCAATAGTCCTCTCAATGGCAGCGATTCGGGACTGACATGAGCTGGACTAGGAATTCGGATGCGATAGGCGAGAGGTTCTGCCATGCTACAATACCGCTCCTCTTCGGGATCGTCGGCTTTGTTATCGCTGTGTGCACGATGAACACTGCTGCACGCTACGTCTCGTTGTCAGAACTCACTTACTCAGAGACAGCCAGACATATGCACGCTGACGATCAGGGCTCGGTGCAGATTCCTCATGGCGCAGTCGTACGCTGGCTATGTCGTTGTCACCACTTGGATCAGCAACTCGTTCCCCCGCCCCCCGTCCAAGCGTGCGGTAGCGCTGGCTTTCATCAACGCCTTCTCATCTTTCGGGAATGTGGCTGGATCGTGCGTCCCCCTCTCTTGCTGTTTGAGCGGTGCTCTTAGCTCAGATGTCTTCAGGTACGTGTGGCCAAGCACATGGGGGCCGACCTATCGCAAATCATGCGGGATTTGCATAACGACGGCAGGCTGCGTGGTTGTGATGTGCTACATCTTCAAGCTGTACCTCGAACGCCTGAACCGGGAGTTGGCCGAGGATGAGAGGCGGAAGGGTGCAGAGGATAGAGGATTCCGCTATCTGACGTGATGCGCACATGTAGAAAAGAGGTTATGCCAGTGAGAGAAATCCTACTGGAGTAGATGCCATAGTTAGACGTTGCGGAGCTGACAGAGCTTGAGGCGAAGATGTGCTGCACTGTCACTGTAATCGAACGTTCCGGCAATGCCGAAGTGCTCGTTGACTGGAGGTTAAGAATTTGATTCATGTACTGCGAGTGTCCATCAAGCTGTTGGTTCGTACGACGGGACAAATAGTATATGTGATAAGGACGAGGACGTGTTGGGCTTATAGCTCAGTGGTAGAGCATACGATTGCAGATCGTGCGGTCCCGTGTTCGAACCACGGTGGGCCCTCATTTTGTTTTCGAGTCCTCGCTCACGAACTCGGATGGACAGGCGCCCGATCCGTCAATGGTTTCACATCACGCAAGCCGGAAGAAAGGTGTAAGGAAGCGTAACGGAAGAGCTAGGATGCAATGACAAATCTGGGAGCAGGTGATTAACTTTACGTCTAAATGAGTGGTCATTCGTGCATGAAAGCGTCAGGATCATTTCCGCGGAAGGCTCGAACAAAGAATGAGCAGACGCAAAGTCGGACTGCGGATAGCAAGTGATATGACATAGCAATGCCGCCAGCCAAAGAGCAACTTGAGGTAGGAGTGAACACGAGTGTCGGGAAGGAAACGAGGGCCAGACACGAGATGGGTTATCAGTCGTTCTCATGGGAGATTGGAGGGAGAAGAAGGGGGTACGTGGAGGATGAGGGCAAAGATAGGGATCGCACGTTGGAGGGAGGACATGCACGTGTATTTCGATCGATACTTGAGCAAGACGCCAGGAAGACAGGTGTGAGAGGCGGATCGACAGCATTGGCGACCCGTCTGGACTGGGCGGATGGTGTGCACAGTATACAAAAGGATGAGATGGGCGCAAGACTGGCGGTTGGAACCCCAGTCAGAACCTCAACGACCGAGGACTGCAGCGGAACGGACGACGTCGATGGCCGTCGAGTGGCTGAACCAAGTCTGCTCACGCTATGCGCGCTCGGCGCTGCGCTCCCTCAGGCTCCTCCGTCTCCAACAACCTTCTCTTCCCTCTCCTCCTTACTCATCTCCCTTCCTCGTTCTCGCTCTCCAAGCTGTCCTCGAGGCCGCCCTCCTTGGCGTCGGCCTCACGCCCATGAACTCTCTATCCTACCTCTCTCGCCAGTTCGATGTCTTGGCTTCGACCCGCACGCCACCGAGCACTCCCGCCTCAGAGTCTCCATCGTTCTCGCTCGACGGTGAACGTCAAACACGGCTCAAACGCTCTGGATCGACGAAGTCCTTTTTGGTACCACAGCCGCCGTCGTCCTCGTCCGGGTGGATATTGAAACGGTCGCACTCGTCTCCCGCCGAGGTGAACCCAAACACCTTCTCTCCGCCGTCTGCTTCTCTCCTCGCGCCTGCTATATCGCGCAAGAAGCCCTCGCGACCGCCATCTCGGCGGCCTTCCGTCTCTTTGACAGAGAGTACCATCCGTCCTAAGGCCAGCGCGGCGTCCCCGGCGTTCCGTCACTTTGTCTTCGTGCGCATCATCCTTCAGCTCTGGCACGCTCTAGTGGCTGCCGTGCGCTCTCTCACGAGGCTACAGAACCCTGCGCCCACAACAGGCGCAGTCGATGACGTCGCGGTAGAAGATAATTCTGATGAGGAGGAAAAGGACACCGAGGACGAGAGTAGAGACGAGAAGCCCCCAGCCATTCCCTCTGTATTACTAGATTCCACACCGCACCCTCCGTACCAGCCTGCAATCCCATCCCCACTATCCCAGCCGCCGCCTCCGTACACAAAGCTCCCGCCAGAGAAGGAGCTGCACCCCTCGCCGATATCCACACCTCCTGCTGTCTTGGATTCGAAAGCCACAGCAGCATCCCTGACGCCGCCGCCAGCTACCCGCTCGCGCTCAGTAACACCGACACCGCCAGCGAAGAAGGCAGCTTTGCTCATGCCAAAGACACTTGTCCTTGACTTAGATGAGACTCTGATTCATTCCACTTGCCGACCAATACCTTCCGCGGGCGGATCAGGGTTGTTAGGATTCGGCGGCAGGAATAAGGGCGTAGGGTATACAGTGGAGGTTGTGTTGGGTGGTCGCAGTACACTCTACCATGTGTACAAGCGGCCGTTCGTCGATTACTTTCTCCGCAAGGTGAGTTTGCTGTCAATATGATATTGGTTCAGTGCCGTGACAACCGACTGCGTCATAGGTATCGCAATGGTACACGCTCGTTATCTTTACCGCCTCAATGCGCGAGTACGCGGACCCCGTAATCGACTGGCTAGATGCTGGTCGTGGTATCTTCAGTCGTCGATATTTCCGAGAGGTGCGTCACGGTACATTGGCTTCAGCTTTCGACTTACGCTCACTTGGCGCCGGCTTGTCCTACGCAGGAATGTACACAACTCTCGAACGGATCATACACCAAGGACTTGTCGAAGATCGAGCAGGACCTTTCGAGAGTCTGCCTCATAGACAACTCGCCTGTGTGTTACAGCATTAATGAAGGTACGATCCCTCGCAGTCGTGCTCGAGGGGTCATAGCAGTAGTCTGATGCCACTTATCGCACAGCGAACGGGATTCCAATAGAAGGTTGGACTCACGATCCTCACGATGAAGCTCTCCTCGACCTCCTTCCTGTGCTCGACTCCCTCCGCTTCACGAGCGACGTCCGGCGAGTTCTCGGGATTCGCGGTTTCTCATGACCCGCGTCTCCGCTCACGCAGGCCTTCCGCGCATCTCCCGCAATGGGACTTGCACGCGCGCCCTGCGCGAGCCGCGCGTCTCTGCATCCCCAACTTTCGTCCCACTCCCCCTTCCGATGTCGCGCTCGTCCTCCGGGTTTCAGTTGAGCCATTCGTTCGTTCGTTCGTCTCAATCGTCACGTCTTGCCACTCTTCCATCGTTGAAAGGAACTATCGCATCTGCTTATTATTCCTCAACTTACTGTCGATCTTGCATCTCCCCTTCCCCCGCATCCTTTCCTCTTCCCAACTTGGTCCCCATTCCCCCTCATCCCATCGCCTCTCGTACCCCCTTCCCCCAGCCCCCCCTTCGCGACGTCCGTTTGTCTTTCATCAATCCACACCATCGCATACCACGGAGGTTCTGCTGTCCGAACACTCTCGATAACGCATGCATCAATCATGTTTCCACGCATCGAAGCTATATACTAGCACGCTAATGCTCACGCACGCGGCCCGCCGCCGTTGTATATATGTACGTACATAGCGGTCTGGTCGAGTCGACAGCCACCCGAAGACACCATCATCTGCATACCATCGCCACAACGAAGTTACCGGCTGCCTGGAAGCCTGCGTGTTATGACAGGTGCTGGCGTCGATCTTTCGTCCTTGCCGCGCGCGTACCGTCCTTCCAAGCACACTGCGACGGAACGAGCCGGGACTAGTGTTGGCGTGATGACCGGGACGGCGTGACGCGCAGATGCAAGGCAAGATGTGAGATTCTAAATTCCATTCGTGATATATACTATCGATCATACTGCGGGAGACAAGGTACAATGCGCGAGGTCGCTTCGTCGTGGGGGTAGACGTGAGGAGAGAGAGAGCACTAATAGAACACGGCGGCAACCGAATGCCAAGAAGAGGCCCAGGAGCGATAATGTACTAACACAGACGTCGTTAATGATTAGGTGAAGACATGAAAGACACAGAGCAGATCAGGAACGCAGGCGTTAGCGCAAGCGCAAACGAGGGTGGTAGCGTGCGACACGAATGTCTGCCTGGGCCAGTAGGCCGGTCCGGGGTAAATGAATGCGGGGGAGGGTTGCATCGTAACGACTACATCGCCAATGCGGCCTGTAGCTCCTTGAGCTGCGCCTCCTCGTCGTCCTCGATTGCTTGTGGCGCTAACGCAAAGGTACGAGGTGAGTATGATTTCACGCGAAGAGAGATTATTAGTATGCCGTACCTTCTTGCACCCGACTGGCCCCTGCTGGGTGGTGCAATGGTACGTGATCCTGCATGAGCTTGGCATCGAGCTCTTCCTGCTCCAGCTCCGCGAGCTCTTGCTTGAGCTCGTCCTGTATACAATAAGTCCAAGACAAACGGGAGAGAATACGATACGGTCAGCCATGATCCGACGTCTCGCTTAGCGCACGAAACAGATGTGGAAAATGACGTACCTCGTCGAACTCGACGCCGGTATATGTGCTCGTCGAGATCGCCTCCGAGACCTCGTTCGCGAGCTGCGTCTGCTCCTGGATCTCCGACATCGTCTGGTCCACCTTGTCGATCGACCTGCACAACATGGAGACGTATGTCAATTATCGCACGGGATATACTGGGGGAACATATGGTATGAAAGGAGGGGAAGGGGACCACTCACAGCTTCCCATGGATATCCTTGAGCGCACCGGCGGCCTTCTTCATCGCGGCCATGTTCTCGGCGTTGAAGCTGGCGGACTCGAGCGTGTTGACCTGCATCTCGAGCTGGAAGCGCGTGTTCTGCAATCGTTCGAGCTCCTGCTCGGTCACCTTCTTCCGCCGGAGCGCCGCCGTCGCCGCTGTTCCACGCAAAGGGCAGCATATCAGCTCACATCTTCGAGTAAAAGCAGAGGAGGAACTCGGAGGTCAAGCGTATCCGTAGTGAAGACTCAAGTGGAACCCTGGGACAACCAAGGACAGACAGAGACAGGCGAGACGCAAACGACGACACCCACCAGCCTTGTTCGAGACCGCGTTCTGCTTCGCCTTCTTCATCTCCTCGTCGATCTTCTTCTGCAGGTAGTCCTCCTTCTTCTCAATCATCTGCAGCTGCTGTCGCAGGGTCACTATCGCGTCGCGCGACGACTGCTTCGGGTCGCGCCGGCCCCCAAAGTAGCTCATGATGCCGGCCATCATTCTCGTTCGAGGAATGCCAAGGTACAGTAAGAGACGTCTAAGACAGCTTATGAATTGAGTGAGTTGATATGGGGTAGGTGCAAGGGCGAGAAAGACAACCAGGAGAGATCACAGTGGCAAGGCTGAATGACTGTAGAAGCGCCGGGAACAGTACGCTGCGTCCACAGCCAGCAGGCGCCTCCATCGCTGAGGTCACTCGATTCGCCCGATAAGGAAGGTCTCTACGTTCGAGCGACTTCCCGCCTCGCCCGGAACGGTCGTCTTGCCCTGCGGCTCTTCCCCTCGCGCAGCTCATACGCCTCAAATCTGTTCTATGCCTGCATAGAGTCTGACTGGCGTTGCATTCAATGCGCAGCAGGCAGACATGATGCGTAATGCTTTTGGAGAGTCATCTCTGTTCGACTGCGGCTGGACTACGACCTACAGAACTAAACTACAGCGCAGTACGACTACCATGTGGAACCCATGAAACCCATTGTTCCGAGACCGAAAGAGAGTGGTAACGGTAACAGGACGAGGATATCAGTCACACAAGGGTATATAGAGGCGCTCTCTGCATTTCATGCCAGCCCCAGGCCGGAGACATAACAGATACCCGTGAAAGCGTAAGCTATTAGAAGAAGCAAGTCTATCGTGCCCTCTACAAAATAATAAGTTAGTCGTCTTTTTGGTGGTCGTCATCATCGCTAGATATGTTGGTGAGTGAGAGGTCACAGCGTATTAAGAAGACCGACTAACCCTTCGTCGTCGCTCCGCGCATCCTCGGCGCCCTGGCCTGACACCACTCTGTACGCCACGGAACAGATGATCCGGAACCAAACCAACTGAATGACCTGTAGCACTCATGGGCGTGAGCAAAACCTAGGTCAGAACAGAGACGGAGCGCGCTGACCTGCAGTGCCACCAACATCCCCAAGAATGCGTAGTAGATCTCCGTCGTGAGGTAGTGACCGCGCGAGGGGTCCCAGATGCGCGGGATGACGTACCACGCCTCCCACGTGGCCTTGATAACCAGGAGGAAGAAGCCGTGTCGGGTAACGAACCATGATACCAGAAACGCGACGAAGGCCATGTCGCACCACAGGGACATGCCCAAGTACCGGAACATCTTCGCCAGCTGTCCGTGACATATGAGTATCCGTGCATCGAACCGACGCAGTACTGATAGCCGTGCATCCTCGGTGCAAGACTTGTACTCACCGGCAGAAACATGTCGCACAAGTCCATAAGGAGCATGACGAGGCACCCGACACGGGTATAGTTGTAGAAGTAGCTCGCGACCTGGAGCGTGACGGTGATCACGTGGTGGGCCATCATCTGCCAGTGGTCCTTTCGGCGTGCTTCAGCATTGAGGATGAGCACCTGGTGCATGTAGCATGCCGTTTGAAGGAGGTAGTAGAACTTGACGGGGCCGGCGAGCGGTATATGGGGGTAGTTGGTCCACACATTGATCGGGTTCAGGAGCGAAGTGGGCAAGTGCCGATGCACATACTGCAAATGGCAAGATGCATGTCGCGAGTCAATTAGCCACCGTCCAGACTTAGACACACAGTTCCACATGCGGAAGGCGATGACGCGGAACGTGGGAGGGGAGATAAGATAGACCAAGCGCGACTCACCAATCCGAAGAAGAAATTGAAGGTGTAGTATATCACGGACCAGCCCTGCTCGGCGAAGCGGATGATGCTCCTGTTCATCTTCCTCCTCTCCACGGGAGTGACGATGTACTCTGCGGCATGTCCGTTCCCATTCACGGCACCGTTTGCCTTGCCATTCCCGTTTGCCTTGCCGTTCCCGCTGGGCTGGCCGTTCCCATTGGCAAGGGCGAGTTTCTTGCGCTTCGCGTGTCGCAGATCCCGAGCAAGCTTCCACCGGGCGAATGATTCGAATACGTAGATGCGCGTCACGTCTCGTAGGATGGCCATGAGGGCGATGGCGGTGATGATGACGCACCCGTCGAGAAGCCCGGTGCCATAGTAGTTTGCGTGCGGGAACGAGTCTGGGTTGGCAGGGCGGGCAGTGGGGTAGGAGAGCGTAAAGAAGGGGACGAGCAGGGGGGAAAGCCAGGCGGGGGCGGCCTCGGTATTCATGACGGTCGGTGTGGTTAGTGTCACGTCAGCAGGTCATGAAACGTTAGTCGGGGGCGCGTTATCTGGTGTACGTGGTGTATAAGTTTTGTGAGAGACGGCGGCCGGTGCGCACGCGAAAGTGAATTCGGCACGGAGGGATGGGGGAGTGGTGGCCGTCACGAACAAGCCCGGGGCAGCTGGGCTGTGGAGGATGGCTGGGCGGGCGCAGGCGGTGGTCGGCTGGGTTTCTGCGCTGGCCAGTCGGAAAACAAATCGTCCCCAGAGGCGCGAACGTGCGCTGGCGTCTGCCCATGTCCCCCGGCGCTAAAGGCGGCTATACCGGGCGGCAACGACTTTTGGGGGAGAGTACTGTGGGAACAGCAGCCTCGAGCTCAGCGCACGCGCCGTACCCAACGCCTTCTGCCACACCGCGCGTGTTCGTCTGCGTCCCGTCCTGCCTCGCCTCGGCCCTGCGCCGCTCTCCTCCTCCAGCCATGTCCTCCACCCAGCCAAACACCACCCTCTACCTCAAAAATCTCAACGACAAGGTCAAGAAGGACGAGCTCCGCGCCCAGCTCTTCGCCCTCTTCACCACCTATGGCAGGATCCTCGACGTCGTCGCCCTCAAGGGGCCCAAAATGAAGGGGCAGGCGTTCGTCGTCTTCACCGACCTCGCCGGCGCGACCGCCGCCCTGCGCGGCTGCGAAGGTATGGTCTTCTACGATAAGCCAATGGTGCGCCGTCCGTCTCAACGCTGCTTGCACGTCGACCCCTTTGATCCCAACACCCCCTCCTCTTTCCCCTCGCGCGCGGCCACCGCTACAGCACATTGAGTACGCCAAGACGAAGTCGTACGCGACGCTCCGGAGAGAGGACCCCGACTTCGTGCCCCCGACCTCGATCTATGTCAAGAACGCGCCCAACGGCAAGCTCGCGAACGGCGGTGCGGGAGAGAAGAGGACACGCGACGATCGGATGGACGAGGATGCCCGTGAGGTCAAGAGGGAGCGGACGGACAAGGACGACGAAGACGACGACGACGAGGAGATGGAGATCGAGGATGACGACGAGGGTCCCAGGCAGGGGGGCTCCACGAACGGTGCGCGGTGGGCTAACCTAGATCGCGCTCACACGAAGGCTCACGTCAGTGCGATGCAGGCCAGATACCGGCGGCGACTCAGCAGCAATCGGCGCGGCTGATGTGCCTCAACCTGCCACAAGAGGTTACGGACGACGTATTGTCGGTCCTATTTCAACAGTACGTATTGAAGCTTCGCCAACGCCCCATGCCGTTGACGGTCCGGATCTCGCAGGTACCAAGGCTTCCACTCGGTGCAGGTCGTTCCTTCTCCAACACCAAACGCGGCAGGGCAGAGAGTCAAGATGGCGTACGTGATGTTCGACTCACCAGATCTCGCGTCCGTCGCAAAAGAAGCCTTGGATGGCTTCACACTCAAGAAGGGATGGGTGATGTCTGTTTCGTATATCTAGCTGTGTATCGCATATCGTGTAATTTGTATCTCAGCATCCTTTCCCTCAGATAACCCGTAGGAAATCGCGCGCCACCTTGTCGGTCGTATGCACGAGGTACTCCCGCAAGACGCCAGCGCGCGATGTCCCGTGCTAACGAACACGTCTCTCACGCCTGCACAGACTGGAGTTTGCAAGTTCGAGTTGATACAGACTTCTACATTTCTTCCATTCCATATCGTACATCTGATACTCCTAGAGCTCACGCAGAGAGCGCCTTGTCGATCGCCTCACCAATCGGATGAGCGGAGGCAGGGTTCTGCCCAGTGATCAAGTTCCCATCAACAACGACGTGAGCCTACGAATGGAAGCGCGGTCGTGAGTATCCAGATGGTCTCTGGAGTAGGAGCATGCACTTACGCCCCATGGCTCCACCGCCTTCTCGAACGTGCCACCCAGCTCCTTGATGCGCGTCTCGACCAAGAAGGGGATGTCCTGCCATCCCCGTTGGATCAGGCTCCCCCTCTCCCCACGCAATTCAAACATGGACGTCAGCACTCACCTTGACCTTGCCAACCTGCTCCTCCTCCACGTCCGTGAACGACGTCGCGCGACGGCCCTTGAAGATGCTCTCCCCGCTCGCGTCCTTCGCGCCCACGAGCGCCGCGGGCCCGTGGCACACCGCGCTCGTGACCTTGCCCGCCTGGAAGAACTCGCTCGCGAGCTTCACGTTCACCGGGTCCGTCGCGAGGTCGAGCACGGGCCCGTGGCCGCCCACGTAGAACACGGCGTCGTAGTCCGCGACGCGGACGTCGGACAGCTTCTTCGCGCTCGCGAACTTGGCCTGCACGGTCGGGTCGTCGAGGAACTTCTGGTCGTCCTTGAAGTTTGCGACGCTGTACTCGTCGACGGGCGGGTTGGGCCCCGCGGGGGCGGCGAAGTCAATGTCGTACTTTTGCGAGAGGACTGTGGGAGCAGGGGTAGGGTCAATTGAGCGCTGCGGCCTGTGGGGCGGACGATCGGTTGGACGTACTGTAGTATGGGTGCGCCGCCTCGGGGAGGTACCAGCCCTGCATGACAGGTGAGTATATGCGTACCGATCGCACACCGTGCGCTGTGAGTATACGCGTACCGTCGGCTCGCCGGTCAAGGTCTTGTTTGCGGAGGTGTAGACGAAAAGGATACGCTTGGGCATGTCTGTACGATTGCTGGTGTGCTTGGATACAGGCGGGTTGACAGATGAGAAGATGTGCAGAGATGACGAACGAGGCTCACTGCTGTGTGCTTATATACGGAGTCGCGAAGTGGTGGCAACTGTGGTACTGAAGAGAAGATTCGGCGACCGAGTTCTCCGAGGCCTGTCCACAACTGGGCGCTAATCCCGGCAGTATCTTTCTGTCCGGCTGCCTATGACGAAATCGTTGGCCTTCAGCCGGCCCCCGCGGGCCCAAGTTCCTACACGCAACCTGTAGCACTTTCTCGTCCCTTCCGACCGCACGGAACACTCTAACCACCGGCGACACATATCGTAGAGCAAACCCTCGCAATGGACGTTTGCACGCTGATTCGAGAGAATAAAATTGGACGTAGTTGAGACCTCGCAATTTCGTGGTAGTGCAGCATGTATCGGGATTCGGAACCAAGATGACGATGCGTTCCAGTTTCACAGGCAGTCCCGACCGGAGTTCCGGTCGCTCTGCTGACAGAATGCGCACATGAGCGTTTGGCTTACTGGAAAGGGCAGTTTGTCAGCGCTAACCCTACGGTCGTGGCGTAAGTGCGTCTGTCCTTGTATGCGATCGGGAAGACCAACAGGTCGCTGGTCAATTTCTCTTGCATGAGCGTGCTTAACCAATCCATCGGCCACGTAGCAAGCCTGCGACGACATGCTGATGACACTCTCCGATGGAGCTCACGTGAGTGGACCAACGAATATTCCTACGTGCATCATTCAAATCAGGAGAAGGACCCACCGCACCGTGACGGTGAGACGTAGATGGCAGATTAACCTGCAACCACCAAAGTGGCTAACCAAAAAAAAAGTCCACACAACTGCAAATGACAGCGGTGCAGACAGACTATCTCTCACGATAAGCATACGAGCACCCAGTATCTCGGTTGATGGCCGTAGGATCAGTTGCCTTTTTGCTCGAGGCCCCTCCCCAGACACGAGTGGAGCTCATCGAAGGGAGCGTGTAGAGTCTGTATATAGAACACTGCAGCTACGAGGAAAGTGTGTCAGGTTACCGCCGCCATCGACGGTGCCGTGGGGAGGCACCGGCAACTCGTGCAAGCCTGATGGTTGTTGGTCTGAGGCGTACAAACGACTCACTGGGAGGTACCACAACTTTGTGGATGGTGTTCATCGCTGGCCTGAGATCGAGAGAAACGGCAAGTTGTCTTGCGCGAAGGAGTAGTACGTCTTGTTCTACCGCACAGATTGCCGTTCGCTGGGATTCTGTCGGGGCATTCTGCCGTATTTGTTCAAGGGGAGTACTCATTTCAGTGTTTGCGACGTGTTCTTGCAGCGACACGGAGAGACATCGGGGCACCCAGGGGACAGATACGCCGAGTCAAGGTGGTCGGGGTAAGGGGTTCGTAAGACGTGGTAAAGGTAGTCGTCCGGAATCACCTATCATGGAACCTGGTCGCATTCACGGAATTGATAGTCCCTTGAGCCGGGGCATACTCCATAGAGAAAACACGACAAGAGAGGGTAGACACCTTCCACTGGATCCTCCACTACACGAGGTCAGACCAACTGCGACTACCCGGCGTGGTAGGATCTTGATGAGCGTGAGCTCTATTGTACGCTTTCAGGGATACGCATTAACCCCGACAAGAGTGAAGACATAGCGCCTGACCGCCGGAGAAAACCAGCAAGCGCAAGAAATATGCGCCTCATAATATCCTATTACAGCCGAAAGACTGCGTCACCGCAGCAATTCGTAGAGGGGCGTGTCCTTGACTAATTACTTCAGGTGCCGTGATACCTGCCAGAGCTAGGAACCCATCTCTGTGGTTTCCGCTCCGAAAGTTAGACTTCATGAATGGTTCCCTAGAGCGGCTCAAACCCCATTCCACGCCGGGACACGCCTCATTGGTGTAACTTCATTTTGCTGCGGTGAGTGCCGTTGCTTCAGCAGCTGGCACGACGCTAGCGGGCTCTGGTATGGTTTCACAGCTTTGCCGCATTCGTCCTATGTAGTCGTGCGTCAATTCAAGGAGAGGTGCGGACGTGTGGTGTGCCGATCAAACATGGAGCGACGAGTTTCATCGTCACTGTGTTCGACTTCCAAGGCACTGCGCACCGGGCTTGTCCGTTGTCCGTCTTCGCGCCAAATGCGCGGGGAGCCTTAGATTAGATTAGATAATACGCACATAGATCCATGCTGAGATCGGGTATGCCTGATCGAAAGCTATGGGCGGCTATCTGCCTCTCTTCCCGTCTGAGCCTTCACCGTCCGTCCCCATTCGTGGCGACCACAAACCTTGTGCTATCCGCTCTCCTGATCTGCCTGCGATGTCTGCTTTCTTTGGCCTGTGAGATAGCATCTCGTGGAGGTGGCATGGAGCGCTGATGACAAGCCGATCATGCTAGTGGCAAGACGCGCACCTTCAAGCCCCGGAAGGATGTACCGGAGGGGACGAAGCAGTACCAGCTGCGCAAGTACGCGGAGGCGACGCTGGTGGGTGCCATACGTCAAGAGTGCTCCGTGCTGTGACACTCTTCTGACGAAGACGGTATCACTGTAGGGCTCGGGGAACCTCCGCCTCGCAGTGCGTCTGCCTGAAGGGGAGGACTTGAACGAATGGCTCGCGGTACACGGTACGTCACTTCCCTGAGCCCCCCCTTGGCTCTCGGGACCGTAACCTGCTCTTACACTCCCAATCGCGCGCCTTTCTGCTGCGCTCTGCAGCGGTGGACTTCTTCAACCATCTGAATATGCTCTACGGCACGGTAACCGAGTTCTGCACGCCACAGGAGGTGAGCAAATCCCGCAGTTTCTCTCGTGCACAAAGAATCATCGGGAGATGTCTCTCTGGATGCCGCTCATATCCTTTCCGCCGTTTTAGTGCCCGATCATGTCTGCGGGACCAAGGTGAGCCATCGCTCGGCCGCAGTTCTGCCCGGGCGGGGCAACGTCTCTCCGCTACCGACAATACGGTTGACATTGGGATTCGAACGGCACAGGTACGAGTACCTGTGGGAGGATGGCGTCCGGTACAAGAAGGCGACGAAGCTCCCGGCGCCAGAGTATGTCGACGCCTTGATGAACTGGGCGCAGGGGCTGCTCGACAATGAGGAGCTGTTCCCAAGCGAGATGGGTACGTCCTTCCTTTTCTGCCCCACCTTGGCACCGGGTCGCACTGCACACGTGGACGAGCACGCATGCCGGGGCGTGTGCGGACGCGAGGCCCGAGCTACACGCCATGGTCCTTGAATTGCGCTGATCGGGTGGCACCACGCTCCGGTCTGTCATCATAACAGGGAAACCGTTCCCCAAGAACTTCCGGGACACCATAGGACGACTGTTCCGGAGACTGTTCCGAGTGTACGCACACCTCTACAGCAACCATTTCGATCACATATGCGCACTTGGAATCGAAGGTGAGCCTGTTGCGTTTAGCGCGTTCTCGCTGTCAGACGAGGGCTGATGTGACGGCTTGGCAGCACATCTGAACACGAGCTACCGACACTTCTTCTTATTCGTCAACGAGGTACGTACTGGGGGGGGGGGGCTTTGAGAGAGGATAGCAACCGCTGACGATGGAGCAGTTCGATCTGGTGGACAAACGGGAGCTTGCGCCTCTGGACGAACTGAACGAGGCTATTCTGGCGGAGGACAAGGGCCGGTAGGACGTGTTGGAAAGTGGGCGATAGGGGTCGTTTGCCGTTTAGTGACATGAATGTACAGTAGAGCGCGCGATATTGCAGATACCCAGCGTTGATACGAACGTGCGCCCAACGTCGGGGAATGTGTCTGAGAGCGTGACGTCATGTCTGAAATGGGGATAGACGTCGTCCGTTGGATGGCCACTGGCTGATGCGTAAGTACTATGTACATGGAACAGAATGCGCTTCGCAGCTGGGCGCGCAGACGTGGACACGGAATGGATCCGGGGTTATCGAAAGCTTGCCCACAACAGTAGCCGCGGCTTGAGGGGAAGCGGGCCGGCGGTGGAATGGATTGCATCTCAGCACGGGTCCCTGCTCTCTCCGCGCACTGGGCTTGGATTGGAACCGCAGTCTGGCCAAAGCCTGAAAGCGTCCCCAGCCGATCGCCCTGTACTACTTACTACCTTCCTCCAATCCATATCCCTCCCCACGGACTCCATCTCCACATCAACGTCCAACGTCCTATATTAGCCGCCAAAGTCTATCCGACTCTCGCCTTCCCCCGCTCCTTCCAACTTTCCCCTCTCCCCTCGCTTTTGCCTGTGCCTGTCAACTTACCATGGACAACTCTGAATGGGACTCCGTCCTCCAGTACATCTCTGATCCGTCCGACTTCGCCTCCCCCCACTCAGAGCGACCCGTCTCTGAGCTCACTGGCCTTCCGCTAGACCCTCTCCAGCACACCACACCAACACAGGTCCTCAGCCCTCCTGTTCGTTCTTGCCCTCCACTCACTCATCGTACCCTCCAGCTTACAGCCGCTGCTTTGTAGGATTCCGACAAGACTCCCCTCTCTCCCTCTCATCCTGACGACATTCCTCCAGACCACCTCCCCGGCAACACCATCGTCTCCGTTTCGACCACCTTCCACCCTGGCGCCGCTCTCCTCCCCATCCCCCCAGATCTCATCCTACTCTCCGCAGACGGCGTCTTCTTTTACGTGCATACAACCCAGGTCCTCGCTGTCTCCACAAACCGTTTCAACGATCTCGTTCCACCAAAGGCCAGCAAGGCCAAGTTCCGCGATGACCTGGGGCCAGTCGTACCACTCCCCGATTCCGCGACCGTGCTCAACATTGTCTTGCACGTCGTCTACGACATCTCATGCGCGCACTACCATCCAAGCGTCGACACGCTCACCGCCGCGGTCGACGCGATGGCCGATTACGGTCTCCCTCCCAGACGTCACATCGCGCCCTCTACGCCCCTGTACTCCCTCATCCTCGGCCAAGCACCCGTGCAGCCCATCGTGATCTACGCGCTTGCCGCGAAGCACGACCTGTACGATCTCGCGGTCCCAGTCTCGAGCCATCTTCTGTCCTTCTCCCTCCACACCCTCACGGACGAGATCGCAACGCGAATCGGACCCGTGTACATGAAGCGCTTGTTCTTCCTGCACCTCGGACGGCTCGACGCGCTCAAGCGGCTGCTCCTCCCCCCACCCCATCCACACCCCCCGACGGCCAACTGCGACTTCACGGAGCAGAAGAAGCTGACGAGAGCATGGGCCCTCGCGTCCGCTTATCTCGCGTGGGACGCGCGTCCAGGTACGCATTTCGTTCTGGGCTTCGCGTGCCGTTATCGTGCTGATTCTCCCGGGGCACGCAGACCTGTCGACAAGCGCAATGGAGAGCGCGTTATGCCCGCTGGCTGACCACCTCTCCTGCGATGTGTGCAAGAAGAGCCTCCAGGATCGCGTCAAGCAGTTGATCATCCAGTGGTCCGTGGTGAAGGTTCGTCCGACGCGCGCGCACCTAATCGCACTTAGCTAACCAGTACTCCAGAGGTCGATATGACGTGACGAAACCGCGCACCGCGCTTCCGCGCCACTGGGGTGTTTGCTTGCCGGCCCCAGCACCTCTCTCGTGCCGTTGGAGGCTCGGACCCAACTGTTCGAACGGCAATAACACTTCGCCGCGTCTTCGAATTCCTGACTTCTTGCGGCTGCAAAACAGCCGAATCCCTTACCCGGTGGGAGCGGACGTGGACGCCCCCGATCCCCTCCCCCGCACTCTTACGTCCGGAAACGCACGTTGCCTTCCTCTCCTCTGTTTCTCCCTTCTCTCGTCCTGCGCCGCGCTTCCGTGGTTTCGCGAAGATAACCCTGTGTGACAAGCCCCAAAATTGCAGGAGGCCCTCCTCCCTAACTTATCCGTTCAATTCGCTGCACTGTCACGTACGCCCCCGGCCCCCTCCCCGATTGCCCTGAACGCCAGCCGCTGTCTACCGTCTTCTCTCTCTCTTACAGTACGCTCGTCTTTTGCATGCCATGCCGTCTTGGTCACGGTGCCCCAGCGTCAGAAACCAGCTCCGGTCAATCCATTGTATCATACGCATGTGACCCGGTACTTGTACTCGTCTCTCCTATCCTCAGCTCGTCCCCGCCATCGTGTCGTTGTCGACATAAACCCGCAGTAATCTTCCGTCGTTCTCGTCGTATGTCGTCGTTCCGTTCCCGTTCCGCAGCACTCTCGACTCGACCGTACGCATCTCTCCCTTCTCGTTCCACTCCACCACCGATCCGTTACGATACCAGCTGTATACTGCGCCTCATAAACGTCTGGCCGTGACAGCAGAATCGTTGACCCGTCGTTCTTGTTCTTCTATCCCCACTCCCGGGCCTTCTCTCGTGTATACCAACAGACACCGGCGGTGGTTATTATGATATCCCCCTCTCGAGCTCCCTCCCTCTCCATGCCCGCTCGCCATCGGTTCTTCCCATCAGCCCTTCTATGCACGACTGTTCCTGCAGTACCCTGTGACCGGCTTCCTCACTTCCATTGTCAGATGCGTGGTCAGTCGCTCACGTTGTACGTACGTACGACCGTCGTCGCGCGGCGCGCATACATCCGCCTCGGTCTTCTGGGTTGCCGTTAGGGGAGAGATTCGAGCACGCATACACGCATCCATCGCACGTTTCTCTCACTACTGTACCCCCCTATATGCATATGCGTCGTACGCCTCAAGTCAGGTGGCGCGGAAGAGGAAGTCGGGTGCTGAATCGGCGACAATCGAACACGGGAGAGTGCCAGTAAGTACTGGCACCTATCCGTGGAGAACCGTGCGGCCCCCTGATCTCATTTCTGCCGCGGAGACTCTCAAGACGCCCCGCTGTGGTTATCTCACCCTTGGTGTGCCCGCGGAGCCTCCAGAAAGTTCAGCGGCGCGCGGAGTCGTGCTCCCCTTTCCCCACTTCGACTTGGGCGCCGGTGCGGGCAAGGTTGGTAGTATGTACGAGATCTGTGGGGTCCACCAGGCACGGGTACGGCATCGACACACGATCTGATGTGTATTATGCCTACGTACAGAGGGTGCGCGGGCCCCAGCTTCCGCCCCCGAAGCGATACGGGGGCCTGTGGCGCGCGCACGTAACTCGCGCATGTTTGTGGATAGACTCGACGGCAGCAGCGGCGGCGACAGCGCTCAAGGGACGGCGGCCGACGCCGCCGCCGCTGCGGCGACGTCCGCGGCACGCTTCGCACGCTTGACCTTGTGGATCTCCTCGCGCTTGCCGAAGTCCGAGTCGTGGAGCTCCTGTACGGTATCGGAGGATCAGCAAAGGCATCTTCGCAATTTTGGATTGCGCGATCGGGAGAGGTGCGGAAACCATCGTGCCACAGGTAGATATGTACGGGCAAGCGCGCCCGAGCCCGAGCTGAGGCGAGGGAAGGTTGGGGGAGCAAAGAAGGATTTGGGGTAGGATGCGAGGGTGGCGGAAAGGGCACGGTAAGGTGCCTCCGCACGCTCGGAGGAATGGAGGCGAAGAGAGAGCGAGAGGGTTGGGGAGTCGAGCGGAAGAGGGGACTGGACCGCCCAGTGAACAGAGAACGGAGAGACGCACCATGTTCGCGAGGCGCTTGGCGGTCGAGACCGCGTTGAGGTTTTCGAGAACCTTTGCTTCGGGGAGTGGCATTTCCGTAAGCTTGACACCTGATCGTAAGATAGGGTGCGTGGGGCGCGCCGCCAGCCATCATTAGCATACTACTGTGCTGACAAGTGAGAGACGGGGAGGCATCGGACTCATCGGAGGGAACGGGTATCGGACGACGACAGTTAGTGGGAGGATGGGGAAGAGATAGCAGTATGCCATCAAGACCAACACCGCGTGATGAGGAAGAGATCGTGGAGCTCTTGACGGAGGGTGAGAGATGCCGGGCAGCAGACTCACCGATTCGCTCCTCTACTTTGAGGATTCGCTCTTCGTCCCGTTCGGTGACGAAACTCACGGCGACACCGCCGCGGCCTGCGCGGGCAGTACGACCAACCCTGTGGGTGTATTCCTCTGGTTCGGACGGGATGTCCCAGTTGATGACAATCGCAACATCCTCTATATCGAGACCGCGTGCTCCGACGTCTGTAGATACGAGCACCGGCACTACGGAGGCGCGGAAGAGGGAGAGAGAAGAGAGGCGTTCTCGCTGCGTCAGACGGGAATGGAGGGCAGTCGTGCGGATGCGGAGGGTTTGGAGGAGGTGTGTGAGGTATGCTGCTGTGCGTGGGTGCGTGCAGAATATGATAGTAGGTGGAGGTTGCTCGGGGACCTCGTCATCGTTTGCCGATGACTTCTTCTGGGGCTTCCCTTTCTTGGAGGACTTAGACTGTGAGCCCTTCTGCTTGCGAGAGGGTTGCGTCGGTTCTGGCGGGGCACGGCGGAGGTGGAGGGTGGATTCGGGAGGATTGCATAGGAAGTAGTACAGGTAGGCTTCCCGAACATGGGAGGGCACCAAAATGAAGTGCTGCTTCAGAGTCTCGACTGTCTCTACCCTGTGATGCAAGGGTGAGCAAGCGATGTAACCTGGAGCGGGGTGATACGTACGGAGCGGTCATCCTGTGAACGAATGGCTTTTGCTTGCCGGGTCTCGGAGGCGCATCGGCGACGCGCTCGACAGCAGGAGTAAGCGTCGCCGTGAACAAGCATGTCTGACGTTCCATGGGTAACGTCTCAAACAGATATGACAATTCTGGGGCAAACGAGGGCGTAAGCAGCCTGTCCGCTTCGTCAAGTACCTAAGCGGATCATGAGTGCGCGCAATTCTCATGATATTGGAAGAAGCACATACCAAGAACTTGATGCGCGACAAGTCCCATTCCCCCGACGTGCTCTTGAGCAGGTCAACAATCCGGCCTGGGGTAGCGACGACGACATGCGGCCGGTTCCCCAGCTCGAGGGCCTGGGCCATCATATCAATACCTCCAACAACGACGGCGGTGCGCAGGTTCAGCGGTGCTCCAAGCACGGCAAACTGCTCCGATATCTGGAAAGCCAGTTCCCTGCATAGGGTCAGGAGCATGTCACAACGTGGGACCCGACGAACATACCGGGTTGGCGTCAGGATAAGAGCAAATATCCCATACGGGTCGAGCGACAGCTTCTGCAAGATTGGCAGTGCGAACGCGATGGTCTTTCCGGAACCGGTCTTCGCGTTTCCTATGCAATCTCTGCCTTGGATTTCAGGTCTGTCAGGACAGACTACATGATCTCAGCAACAAGCGACTTGCCTGCGAGGAGCGGGGGTATACATGCTGCTTGAATCTCGGTGGGTGACTTGATGTACATTTTCGCAAGAGCCGAGGTAAGCACGGAGGAAATACCCATGGTCTCAAAGCTTGAGGGTAATGGCTTCACGCGTAAGGGTGCTTGTAACGCTAGAGGGTTCGCAGCTTTCGGCTTCAAAGACATGCGCGAAGACGCGAAGTAGCTGTCTACATCGTCGTCTTCATCCTTGGCTGTGTATATTGGCGGGACCGCACGCTGCGAAACGTCGCTGTCTTCCCCTGGTCCCTCTCCGTCCTCTTCACTTCCACTCCTAGAGTCCTCTCTATCCTCCTCACTCCCACTCCTTGACTCCTCGTCGTCCTCGGATGATCCGACCGCTTCGTCTACCTCTCGTACTCCATTATTAGAAGCGTGTTCCTCGGCCTCCAGCTCCTCCCCGTCCGCATCGTCCAGTCTCAGCCGTTTTCTCCGGGGTCCCTCTTGCATTCGCATGAGATCGTCCGCGGTGAGCTTTCTACGCTTGAAGCCAGCCATATCTTCAAGAACCAAGTCAAGAACCAAGCGAGAGCAAGCAGCAAGAGAAGACCTCAATAAACAGGCGAACTTGAGGTGGTCATGAACGCGCGGGATTTGCCGCCTACCGATCACAGCATGAAAATCTTGAACTCCGGGCCGACGGGCCGCTCGGAGTTGTAGCACAAAGGCACGCAAGCCGAAGAGGAGCGACGTCAGGACGGCATTTTGATAACGGAGACTATGGCTACAGAGGTTTGGAAACGACAGTGATCATTTGTACAGAGTGCGATTATGAAGATGGAAGGGTATAGGGAGCGGTCCGACAGAGAGATATGAGCGAGAAGATATAAAAGCATAATGTCAATTGATCAAACTAATGGAGATGGTGAGGTTGAAGGAGGTGCGAGGTGGGGTATAGTGAGATGAGAAGAGACGATATCAGAGACACCAACAAAACGTAGTGTGCCTCAAGTGTTCGCGACATACCGGCTGTCGCGGTGGACCCATCCACGACCGGCGACAAGACAGGTGCTTTACTGGGGCTTCATGTCCGGAAAGACGGGGGCTTCGATCTCGAACTGGCCGTGGAAGTCACCGAAGGAGAAGTACATACTCGGATCCTCGGCCATGAGCGCGTCGACGCTCTGCTGCGACAGCGCGTCGCCATAGTACTGGAGCTGCTCCCAATTGACCGGCGCCTCTGCGTCTGACATAGGGGGCATGGATGACGAGCCCGCCTCGTCTTTGACGTGCTCGAACGAGAGCGACGTGGATCCGGTAGCGAGGGGGCCGGACGAGGCCAAGGGTGCCTGTGCAGGTGACGATAAAGTGTCGGGGAAGGCGAACTTTGGCACAGAGGGTAGAGTAATGTCACCGAAGGTGGAGGCCCTAGGAGTCTGTTGCGCGAGTCAGAATCTTGGATTGAGGAAAGGGTCGGAGGACGGAACATACCATGTCCTGATCTCTGAGGTTCTGCTGCGCGATGCTCGCCACGAACTTCCCAAGCATCTCATGATTGAGTTCGTGCGGAAGAGGTTGGATATTGGGGAGAACTGGCATCTGGTAGTCTGCGAGCATTGCCGGGACCGAGGGAGCACTGGGAGACGCAGGAACCGAGGACCCAGGAGTGGGTGGCATCCGCGTCGATGCAGGGGAGGAAGCGGGGGTGTAGGACAAAGCGGGTACAGGCTCAGGCTCGGCCTTGGCCTTGCGGCGGGACTTGGACTTACGAGGACGTGGGGGAGCCTTGGCGTCGCCCTTAATGCCCACGTACTTTTCGCGGATGAAACGAATCAAATCCTCGCCTTCAGGAACTGGCGCGTCGGGATCCGCCGCTGCTTTCCGACGCGAGGATTTGCGCTCAGGCGTGAACTTGTACTCGGGGTGCAGCAGTGCGTGCTCAATCTTAACGATCTCCGCTTTGTCATGCCATTCCCCCTTCTCTTCCATGGACAAGAGGTTCCAGCACTCCCCGGCGACGCGACTGATGTTCTGCTGGCGCTTCTCGACGTTCTTGGGGATTTGGCCCGACTTCAGAAGCCAAGAGCGGTAGAGCATGAAGGCGTTGGCCGGGCGACGAACCTTCTTGGTCTTGGTGTTAGGGGTTGCGGGGCGAGACGTCGAAGGGTCGAGAGGGGCGGGAGGGGGGCACTGAGAAGTAGAGGCGATGGGGGTCGTCCGTCCGCCGATGGCGTTGCAGACGTTGATGAGAGTCCTGATATGTTCCTCTGTGACGGTTGGAGGAAGCTGAGGAGTCAAGCGTGCCAGCTGGTAAGGAGAAGGGGCGCGGGAGGAGGGATTTGACGCGTTCAGGGACCAGTCGCTGGCCGTCGACCACTCGGAGTCCGAAGGAGGAACAGATACCGCACCAGGCGATGCGGAAGGGGGTGGAGGTACAAAGGGGGAAGCCGTGTTAAGACCTATTAGGGAAGGTGACGCGTGGGTTGAGCAAAGGAACGTGGAGGCTCGGCCACGAGGCATCACTTACGGTTGGGTTGCGGCTGCATCTTGGAAAGCAAGACTGGTTACACAAGTCAACAGGTAAGAATGAGGACTCGCTTGACACAGCAGCGCGATGAGAAAAGCGGGGGTTCTATGGTGCCGCTCATGGCCACAGCGAAAGCTTTATACGTCGGGGAGGATATCGCAGCCGCTAGCGGGTGGAAGTCAAAGGACGACGATGAGATCCCAATGAGGAAAGCACCCCTTCGAAAGATCAACATGCAAGTGCCCAAACCTTCACATCCCGGTCCACAAAGGCGGTCTCTGGTGCGCATGTCCGTAGGAGGCGGCACGTGACCATTGCCACCCCTGCCTAAGATCAACCTGCTGCAGACATAGCCCACGCGAGTCCCCAAATCCGCGCGGCTCGAAGGCTCGTCCCATAGACTCAGATAATGTAAGGGCGAACAATTCTCTGGAAAGTGACGGCTCCGAGTCTCATACCTAACTCGTTCAGACCGCAACGTCGGGGCGACTCTTCAAGTTCCAGCTTTGTCGCTTCCCGAGTTACGCGGGCAAACGTTACACGAAATGTTTGTGCTCCTTCGTTCGCAAGAGGTACCCTGGAAAAAGTCCAGCTCAGCACATCTGGCATGTTAACTGTGGTCACTGAGGATGAGCGACAAACTCCTTCAGCGATGGAACGACGACCAACACGACAGCGTCGTTCTTGTCGACGGAGATAACGTCGAGGGCACTCCCCAAGCAGCGATAATGGAAGCTACCATGAGGCAGCGGAATGATATGCGCCACTACATGCGGCAATGCCTCATGGCCACAACGAGGTGATGCTGGTGTACTGTCAATGATGCTCCTCGTGCAAGGAGCAAAGCAAAAGTGAATTACGCGGGCGTTTTCTGACAGAAGGACAGAAAGCTTGAATCCTAGCACATCGATCTTCTGGAGTGTCCCATGTGCTGAGATCACCCGCCACGTCGCCTCCTTCACCCGCCCCTCGACCCAGATAGGCGTCAGGAGGCGTGCGAAAGCCTCAACGACTGCTGAAGTATTCGACCAGGCTTGTGGACTGACATGACAGAAAAGCAGATAAAGACAATATAGGCGTACCATAGCAGTAAGATAGTCTAGATCTCTAACCAAACCAAGCTCCCAGCGGCCTTCTTCACGCGATTCATGACCGCAAGACCCTCCCGTTCTTCTCCTATCTCCTCTATGAGGATCACGTCTACTTTGGCACTGTCCAGAGAGAGCAGCCCGTCGAACAACCGCTGCGCAGACACGGCGGGTTCTGCGAGCGGCCCAAGCAGATGCCTAGTCCACCGGACGTCTGGAAGCGACTTGACAGACAACTTCTCCAAAAGCGGCGAGTCCGAGGGCGCGAGCACCCCAACTTCCAACGGTCTACCGAGCGCCTTCGCATCCGCCCGAAGCGTATCCAAGAGGCTAGATAGAGGAGTAAGGTGAGCGCCAGGAGGGGGTTGCGAGAGCGTGTGCAGCAGCGTCACGGGGACGCTTGGCGAGTAATGGCGATACTTCATCCCTGGGGTCGTCGGCGCATGCTCTAACGCCTCGTCGCGGTAGTCGCGCCGGTGGACGAGCACCTTCGGAAGCGGTTCGATGTCAGAGAGCTCCTCGCGTACGACGCGCTCTAGGTCTTCGACCGTCACACCTCCAGGTCGGAGCACGCGGAGGTTTCCGTCCTCTTGCAAACCGTCTACAACGGTGCTCTCCAGCCCCACTCCGCATGCCCCGCCGTCCAGGATGATGCCCAACTTTCCGTTGAGATCGTTGAATATATGTTCCGCGCGCGTGGGGCTCGGCTTCCCCGACGAATTCGCGCTCGGAGCGGCAACCGGCGCATCCGTGAGCGCGATGAGAGCTCGTGCGATGGGATGAGACGGCATGCGTACCGCGATCGTGGGTTGATTTGCGGTTATGATTGGGGGGACGATGGAGGAGTCATTAGGGAACAGAAGTGTGAGCGGGCCCGGCCAGAATCGCTTCATGAGCACCTCGTATGTTCGGGAGGGCACGTAACCCTTCGGAAGTATCTTGAGCAGCATCTCACGCGAGGAGACGTGCACAATGAGGGGGTTATCTGAGGGTCTCCCCTTGGTTGAGAAAATGCGTGCGACGGCGATGGGGTCGAGCGCGACCGCGCCTAGACCGTAAACAGTCTCGGTGGGGAACGCGACAGTTTGGAGGTTGCGGAGGTCCGCGGACGCGCGTTGCAACGCCTGCAATGTCTCTGGCGACGTGACCTCCAGCTTGTCGGCAATGAACGACACGGATGGGGTGTCGCATGTCAGGATTTGTGTTGTGAACTCCATGGCTGAGCGGGACTTTGGGAGACAATTCGTAACAGTCGTAGGCGTTCGTCGCGGTACAAGTTTACGCAGAAGGCTCTTGACGCTGTTCATGCACGAGTCCTCCAAGGTTTAACTACCAGGTTACGATGAGAGCATCGATAGCAGGATCGAGTCAGAAAAGCAGACCAGTCAAGATATGGGCGTAGACAGCCATCGTCGAAAGTTTCAAGTCATGTTCGCGCTGACCTCACACATCGATCGTCGGCGCCTACAAGCACCCATCCCGCTTCTGTCTCCAGCCACACATATGTGGAAGCAGTTTTCGTTACGTGCATGTCCACATACATTTTGTTCGGTGACCATACAGAAAAACATAGAACGCGAGAACGCATAATACTACAGAACGCCACAAAGCATAGCCGACAGGAGGTAAACATGACACGCCGGTTTACCTTCCACCCATCATCCTGATCCTATCCGGATGCATACCGCCAGGCCCAGAGGGGCCGTTGGGGTCGCCATTCGCAGGCGGGGGTCCCTGACCCGGGTTGTGCCCGTTCGGGGGTCCGCCGTTAGGAGGTCCATTGAAGTTACCTGGGGGCGGGCCACCCTGTCCTCCAGGAGGACCTGGAGGGAACGGCGGGCGGTTCTGTCCCGGGGGTCCACCACCTGGGATCGCACTCGGAGGGAACGGCGGCAACCCTAAAAACGATGAAGTTCAATACGGTGCGCTTCGTCATCGAGGGGACTCACACTTACCTGAGGGCGGGAACCCGCCCGGACCCATGCCTGGAGGACCCATGCCAGGAGGAGGCACCATGTTCGGAGGGAAAGGGGGCGCACCTGGAGGCCCCATCATACCGGGAGGAGGCATGCCTCCCGGACCAGGAGGCATTGGCGGGCGACCTGAACGCCATGAGGGACGCGGCAGAGGCGGAGATAGCGAGAAGGACGTACCACCGAATGGAGGGGGACCACCAAATCCAGGAGGCGGGGCGCCGTAGCCCATGGGGGGACCGCCAAATGGCGGCCCAGGAGGAGCTAGATGCTGAGGACCAAACCCAAACCCGCCGGGAGGAGGAGGATTGCCGCTCTCATATGCAGCTGTGATCTGGTCAATGATGCTCTGCGCCTTGTCGTGACCAAGTGCTAGATGTACGCTGTCAACCAGTGCAATAAGACATGTTGATATATGATACTCACAAGCGTAGTAGTCCCGAACGTTTGCGAGGTGATTCCGACCACTGTTGTGGGCTTTGCGCACTGCAACAAGGAGTCAGCTCCGTTCTTGACATACCTATCGAGACGCAGACATACCTGAAGCAGAGTCGTGGGTCAGGAAGACATCGCAATAGTCACAATAGTGTTTCTAGAGGAGCTACGTTAGCCACAATATGCGACTGGATCCCCTGGGATACATACTGGCATGGTGGCAGGAGCGGACCGTGTTGAGGGTCACAGGCAAGACCGGAAGTGCTTTCTGCTGCGACAAAGCCACCTCAGTTCCCGCGGAGTTCCAAATTGGATCACGTGATTTCTACCTGAAGGCGCGTTTGCACTGTACTGATGCTTGTGCTCTCCCGTTCGCTGCTTCGACATGGACGCCTCATCCAACGGAATCCAAGAGCCTTTTGACCTTATACGACTGTCTCTTAGCGAGCGTGTCTTTGTAAAATTGCGTGGAGACCGCGAACTGACGGGCGTCTTACATGTTTGTCCTGTGCACGGAAGCTATCCTCATGTGCCACTAAAAGCTCTCTCCAACAGGCATACGATGGACATATGAACCTGATTCTGAGTGACGTGGAGGAAACAATCATGATTGTAGACCACGTTGAAGGAGCACCGGAAGGGCATGCTACTGTAAATGTGAGCGACATCGTTTAGGCTCTTCTGAGCCCACCAGGTGACATACTATCCATAAGATTGCGAAGCGCAAAATGGAGATGCTTTTCGTCAGAGGAGACGGTGTCATACTGGTACGTGGTCATCCTTCGTAGCAGATCAAGATAGCTCATCAGATCACATCGAATACCAGGTCTCCCCGCCATCCCGGACATAGCCAAACGGACCGACTTCTGAGTATCGGAATATTCTGCAATGCGTGCGTGCCAATATACTTTTCGGCAGTAGTCACGCGCATCTTGTCGCCTCCTCGTCCGCTGTCGATTGCAACTGCTGTATTCAAACTGTATTTTGGGAACAACGCACTTCCCTCAATCATGCGACCTCCGTTCCCCCGCGATTACCCCAACTACGCTTTCATTAACGTAAGTGAGCCTAATGCACACTGAAATACCGCGTCATGATTTGGACCCCCATCATGCCTCCCGTACAACAGCTGACCGTGATGTATCGTCTCTAGAAGCCTGCATGGTGAGAGTAGGGGTAGCCGTGGATGATAGCGGCATGTGCTCTATAACCTCAGGTAAAGTAACTTCATCGTCGGACTCTGGTACAACCGCGCCCCTAGGCCAGGTTCCTTCTTGAATCCAACCTGCTAGTAAGATTTTGAGCTATTAGAACGTAGAAGCAAGCATGAGTGGCGTCGTAAACGGGAATTAGGTCGATCGCGGACGCACAACCAGTGCAAGAGGCAGTCGATGCTTGAGTCTGGCACCGGCAATCAAGCCGTCCCATACTCTGTTCACACCCGCGTCCCACACTCCATCGTCTTCCAGTGCGTCGGGTTGTGCGAGAAGGGCTTCTAATCTTTTACGCGAGGCATTCGGTTCCGTTGGGCAGGGTGGATTTGATCCGGGCGTCTGCCAAAGAGCTCTCCGAGCAATGAAATGCTCATTACCGGGAGGTGGCAGGGTAGCTGTGGCAAGACGGTTTTGGAAGGGAGACCTGGCTTCGCTCGCTAATTTACTCATGTCGGTCGGCGGTGGGTTCAAGTTGTCCGAATCGAATCGAGTACGGAATAACATATCTGATGGGGTGGGCAACTCAAGGCTTCGCCAGGGAGGTGTCTGGGAGACGGTTGCGCGTGCATTTGAGGCGATGTCGGGAGAGGAGGGTACGGTTATTACGATGGTGGCGGGCAGAAGAGAAGGGTCGTCTAGTAGATCGGCCTCACTTAGAGTTTGCATAGGGAGGAGCGTCAGAATCGCTTTGCCAGGATTGGCAACCACAAAGTCGACGTGCTGACGTAAGCTAGCTACCAGGCGCCTCCACGTGCAACACCACTGCAGCCTCTCGCCCGACGGTTCCAAACTTCCACCACTCTTCCCTCCTTCGCCGCCATCAGTCCCCTCGATGTACTCTAGACACTCTCCCGCGCAGTCTAACACATCTCTCTCAGACGACGAGGATGATTTCAACAATCAGTCCGCCTTCTTCCGGGACACGGACTCCGACTCCGCCACCATAACTCCTGCACAGTGGTGTTCACGTCGAGGATCGATCCCCTTGAAGACACCGCCGTCCCAGGCCTCTCGTTTGCCACCTGAGATCCTCATTCACATTCTTAAACATCTGCACTCGTCACGCGATCTCTATCATGCCGTGCTCGTCTGCCGAGCCTGGTGTGAGTGCTCAGTTGAGCTCCTCTGGTATCGGCCAAGCTTCTCCAAGCTGCACACGCTCGTCAAGATGATGCGCGTGTTGTCTAGGGACGACTCGACCTTCGTGTATGCGCAATTCATCCGCAGGCTTAACTTCCTCTGCATTGGTGCCGACCTCACCGACACCCTATTTTCCCGCCTCGCAGGATGCATCCGCTTGGAACGCCTTACCCTCATCAATTGCAACTCGTTGTCCGACGACGGTCTTACTCGCGTTCTTCCCCACTGTCCCAGCCTCGTGGCGCTCGATCTCACCGGAGTGTCCGAGGTGACGGACAAGTCCATTGTCGCCCTTGCGACCTCCGCAAAGCGCTTGCAGGGAATCAATCTAACTGGTTGCAGGAAGCTGACAGATGAGTCCGTCTTCGCCCTCGCCGCAAACTGTCCTCTCCTTCGCCGTGTCAAACTTGGCAATGTCGAACAGGTCACGGACCAGTCGGTATCCGCCCTCGCACGTTCATGCCCCCTCTTGCTCGAGATCGACCTCAATAACTGCAAGAACATCACCGACGTCGCTGTTCGGGACCTATGGACGTATTCGGTGCAGATGCGCGAGATGCGGTTGTCTCACTGCGTCGAACTCACAGACGCCGCCTTTCCAACGCCGCCCAGACGCGATATTCTACCACCTGGCTCGAATCCCTTCCCTAACCCCTTCGGCTCGGCTCCCCTTCCCGCGATCGAACTCCCCGCTCTGCGCGTTTCACAGCCGTTCGATCAGCTGCGAATGCTCGACCTCACGGCTTGCTCTCAGATCACGGACGACGCGATTGAGGGCATCGTGTCGGTGGCTCCGAAGATTCGTAATCTCGTGCTAGCCAAATGCTCTCAGCTCACAGATACTGCCGTGGAGAGCATCTGCAAGCTGGGCAAAGGATTGCACTATCTTCATCTCGGTCACGCACAAGCCATCACAGACCGGTCTATCAACAGCCTCGTGAGGTCCTGCACGCGATTGCGCTACATTGACCTTGCCAGTGAGTGTTTTTGTCGCTTCCCTATGTGATCTCACGTGGTTTACGCGTGTCTTCGACAAGACTGCTTGCAACTCACGGACATGTCTGTGTTCGAGCTGTCGACTTTACAGAAATTACGTCGCATCGGTCTCGTCCGTGTCAACAACCTCACTGACCAGGCGATACAAGCATTGGGAGAGCGGCATGCGACGCTGGAGCGCATTCATCTGTCGTACTGCGACCAGATCTCCGTCATGGCCATCCACTACCTGCTCCAAAAGCTTCCGAAGCTCACTCACCTCAGTCTTACGGGCATCCCAGCCTTTCGTCGAGCCGAGTTACAACAATTCTGTCGTCCGCCGCCTTCAGTAAGCCAATCGAACACTGCTCCTTCAACTGAACTGTAAACTTGACTAATATCGTACTTCAGGATTTCAACACTACACAGCGTGCGGCCTTCTGCGTGTACTCGGGAAAAGGGGTCGCGGAGCTACGGGAGTTCCTAGCTGAGCTTTTCAAGTCTATCACCAACGAGCTGGTCACGTCTAATGACACCGACTACGACGATGATTTCGAGGAGGACGAGGTCAATCACCACTCTTCTCGACGAGATCCTGACCCGGAGATCTTGGACGAGGATGATGACGATGACGATGCTGCGTCGGAGGAAATGGCACCGCCGCCGCAACGCAATGGTGACATGCACAACACTCCTCGGTTGCCCGAACGCACACCGATCCCTCCAGAGGATATCTCTAATCGAACATTCTACCCACCTGTTGGCCGGGAACTCATGATGACGCGGGAAACAAGGCGCAATCCCACACCTCGCGCTCAACCTCGTGCCCAACCTCCGAATACGCCAGCCTGGCTAAACACTGTCGCGGCACGCACACGCCGTGGATTCGGTCAACAGCCCATTGTCGAGCAGTCGACATCTCCGACACCGAGCGAAGCCGCGTCGAATCGGAGCGCGGGGACAAGCCACTCTACCGGCACGGCTTTCTTTCGCACGTACGCAGACCACCCTCCCACGTCAGCGCGGAATGGAGTCATGACCCCCGATCTCGTCTACGCTGAGATCGGCCATGGGCGCGGCTCCGGCCCAGGACCGAGCACGATCCTCGTCCAGGGCCATGGGAGGCGCGAGCCCATGGTAGAGCCCTCGCTTCCCAGCGCGACCTCGAGCCCGACGCGACATGCTATGGGCCTGCCTCCCCAGTCGAGCATTGGGATGGCCGCGACAGAAGTGTTCAGTGCTCCGCTACGCACCTTCCGTCTGCATGACCATGAAGCTCGCATGGAAGTTGTCCAGGACCGTGGCCCAATCCTCCACGACACGTCCAATTCCTACCACCGGCCTGACGGTACGGTCGGCTTCTCCGTCTTGCGCGAGGCGTCTCCTCCGTCGCCCACTACTCGTGAGTTGCAGGAGTCCGTGCACTCCGCTCTGGGCAGCCCACTGCTGGAAGGGGATGCGCGAGGAAGGAGCGTAAAGCGGACGTTGAGAAGCACGTTTGCTGCCGCGGAAACTTTCTTCACAGGGCGTGGTTCTGGTGGTAGCGCTCCAGATGGAGCGGGGATGGCGGGCGGTCGGGACGCGGATACACATGGACACTGAGACCCCCTCTTCAAGACCCTGTCCCATGTTCTGAGACAAGCCACCCTAATTGCCGGTGTCAGCTTCTGAGCGATCCATTTCTCCTGGTCCCTCTTACTAGGTAGCAATTGCTATTGCTGGTCTCGACCCCCGATACTATACGTACGTTCGCGTCCTCCGTGATATTTCCTCTCACGCTCCTGCTGCCTGGTCGCAGAAGACGATGTGGATTTTGTGTCTTCTAGTAGCCTTATAACTGTAGTCCTCCCTTCTTCCCATGTCAGTCCCCTCGTCTGCGAGCATCGACATTTCTGTTTGCGCACACCTGTATCATCATGTAGCCCGAGTTCGCGTTGTCTAGACTGCGATGTTGATAGTTGAATTGTCTCATGAGTCTGACTGCGATGTTGATAGTTGAATTGTCTCATGAGTCTGACTGCGATGTTGATAGTTGAATTGTCTCATGAGTCTCAAACAAGTCCTTTCTGCCGCGTACCAAGTTCTGTAGCATGGAATGAGTTTGCATAATACGACGTTTGCGGCTTTGCGCGCCTTGAGTGCATCTGCGCGCTTCATGTCTGAAGACATGCGGAAGTCTCAGCCACAGCGTGAGCTTGCCTACGACCACAACCCCTCACATCTGATTGCTCCTCCGTACGCCTCTCACCAACTGACTATGGTGAATATCAGGCCAGCCCGGGTAGGTAAGAACAGAGTCGTCGAAGGCGCATATATACTCACGAAAGGCAGGTAGATGACCTCATGGGTATGCAGGCGTGCAACCTGCACAACCTCCCTGAAAACTACACCCTGAAATACTGTACGTCCGCGTCCCGCCAGTCGTTGCCTATATCACTATGAAATTGACGAGATGACTTGAAAGACATGTACCACTCCCTAACATGGCCTCAACTATCCTATGTTGCGGAAGATGAGGGCAAGGTCGTGGGGTATATCTTGGCGAAGATGTGAGTTATCCCGTGGCGTCTTCGAGCGCATCTAGTTATATTTTGTTAGGGAAGAGGATGTACCGGAAGGCGACGAGCCCCATGGGCATGTCACCTCTATCTCCGTCTTGCGATCTTACCGCCGGCTGGGTCTTGCAAACAGGCTCATGATACAGTCTCGTGAGTGTCTGTCTCTCCTTCGTCACCCTGTCTTATCCTGGATAATATCCACACTTGAATCCACTGGTCAATAATTTTTGACGAATCGCTACAGAGGAGGCGATGGCGACGGTCTACAAGGCGGCATACGTCTCGCTACACGTCCGCAAGTCAAATCGGGCAGCGCTGGGTCTCTACCGCGACACCCTCGGCTTCACCGTGAAAGACATCGAAAAGGGTTACTGTACGTTTACCATTCATCATTGCTCATTGCTGCTTGAGTGTCGGCTGAGCTGTGGGAACGTCAGATGCCGATGGCGAAGATGCGTACGCCATGCGTCTCTCGCTCAAGCACCTTGCGAGGTAGTTACAGCATGTGGATGTACTTTTACAGCGCAGTGCTAGAGACGTATACAATACTAATATATCGGTCCTCCAGTATGCGCACCATGTGTCCGCCCTCTATGATGATACAGTTGTTATTCACTTCTTAGCAGCTTGTGCTTCAGCCTCTTCCTCGTCCTCGTCCTCATCCTCTTCTTCTTCCTCGTCGTCTTCTTCCTCCTCATCGTCGTCCTCATCTTCATCCTCATCGTCGTCGTCGTCGTCGTCGTCGTCGTCGTCTTCCTCCTCGTCTCCCTCCTTGTCCGCATTGGGTGCAGCGGCCTGGGGGGTCTCCGTCCTTTCGGCCATGACATGGGGCTTCTCCATGACGGGCACATGTTCATCATCCTCGTCCGATTCTTCCTCTTCGTCGGAATCGTCCTCGTCATCCTCGTCCTCCTCTGCCTCATTGGCGGGGGTTGGGAGAGTTGCTGCCGGAGCAGGCGCTGCAGCAGTCACTACAGTCGCAGCCACGCCGTCGGCGACGACCGTGGGATCAATAGCTGACGTAGAGGCGGTTTCAGCTTCTCGGGCAGCGACGGACTCGTGAACGGCAGCCTTGACAGCCGAGGGCTGCTGTAGAGGGGCTTGCGGCAGACGCTGCGCATCCTCAAGCTGGCGATGTACATGGACGGCTGAACGGATGAGGTTTGCCGTCGCGAGTCCAAGATCGTAGTACCCATCGTTGGTCTTGCTGTCGAACATGCCCGTGTGCGCCTGGATTTCGTCTGAGGCGAGCGAATTGCGGTTTGCTTGGAAATGGGTTGCAATAGGGGCATTTCGGTGAGGGAGGACGGCAAACGTTCGTGGTTCGGGGTATGCCGGGGGGCTCTCCGGTAAGTATGTGTAGAAACTGCATCACAGTGCATAGTAAGTTTTGTATATCTAGCGTACTTAGGTCAAGACGTCGTTCGTACTCACGTGTGGAAGAGTACACTCATTCGTGCCTCGATATCAAATACCCGGTCGAGCCGCCCTTCCAGCTCCTGCTTGTTCCAGAGGTTCCCGACGTACCTGAGATGGTCCGAAATCCAGGTGTAGCCGACGCCGATCTCTTCGCGCTTGTAGTACGCGGTACCCGCCGTCCCGGCGAGAACGGCCCCTCCAATGGCAACAGCTGCTGGAGCAGCCCACTTCTGCCAGAGAGACGTCACGGTCGTTGCGCCCTCTGTAGAATCTCCGGAGGCTGACTTGGGGGTGGTAGGAGTCTTGGGAGTTGTAGGCGACTTTGGGTCTTGGTCAACCTTTTCCTCCGAAGCTCGCGCGCCCGAGGGAACGTTCGTGTTGATGGTAGCGGCGGCAGCGGCAGCGGCAGCTCCCGACGGGGTCTTCGAGCGCCAGGTCCTGAAGCTGCTCAGGACATTGTTGGCTGTGCGGACGTAATGCGCGGCTTGGGTAGCGCTGTTTTTGAAGACGTGGGGATGGAGACCGAGGTACTAAGGGTAGCGCAGATGTCAAGGCGAGGTATAGCGAGGGCGACACGACAACTCACTGGTGTGTCATATGCTATACACGCAACGATCTTGGGCCATAAGGGGGCATCTCTGTCTGGGCGGGTGCGCACGAACTCGATGAGGGCGTCCGCTGCGAGCAGCCCACCCATACTACACAAGAAAGAATGCGAGGCTGAGACTATCTGGCATGGTGAGCAAAGAAGCGGAGACACACACCTGTGTCCGCATAGGACGACTTTTGCCTTGCCCGCTCCGCCGTTGGCAACCTCACGCTTCACAGTGAGGTCGGTAAGCCAGTCCGCGAAGCGAACAACTGCTGCGTTCTGTCATGTGGTGTGAGTATGGACGCATAGCACCGGAAACAATGCGTACCAGGTCGCCTCTGGTCTGCGGGGTGTGAACGGCTGTCAATCGACTATCATTTCTCAGCAGGGTAAGATGAATACCTCATAGGCAGGGAAGACGACGCTCTCGACGACAGTATTGTCAATACTCTCAGTGAGGATGTGTTGCAGGCGTTGTGGAAACTCTCCGAACGTCGTTTCCGCACCCTTGAAACTGCGGCAGACAAGGCCGTGTCAACGAGTGACTGCAGTTGTACAGATGCCATGCAGTAAGGAGCATACCCATGAATGAATATCAAAAGCACGAAATCAATGGGGTCAGCGGTCGGCTGAGCAGTGTTTTGGCTTGCGTTCTGTGCAGTTGCCTGAGTTTCAGCTGTGCTCGTCATGTTGGGGGGATGGCATAACAGTGTGCAGGAGAACACGAGGAGATCGTCTTTCGAGGGTGTGGCAGTGAGCCGAGAGCATGGTGATCGAGCGGCGATGCCACAGGCGGTACACGGCGGGAATTCCCTTTCCAGGAAGCGACGCGCTATCCGACTCACGTGCCTGGACCCTGAGGCGTCTGTGGGCGTACTCAATTTTCAGGTCGCTGGCTCGTTGCTACCCAGGACGACCTAGCAATGGAGAGCCACCGTGACAAGGCAGTGCGGGCGAGCCCCACTTGCCGCTGCAAGTGTCCTAAACCGTGCCGTAGGAGGCCGTGAGCGGAGCTTCAATTGAAGACGATGAGCACCTACATAGTACTTGGTCGCGTGCCGTTGCGCGCAAGAGAGAACTGGCTGTATTCAGTGTGCATGCTTCGCGCGGTGTACTTGTGCACGCTAATGACTGATGCTCTCGTTATGCAAGCTCGTGAGGTATGACTGAGCCTCATAGTCACCAAACTGCTACTGCTCGTGTGAGTGACAAGCACTAGTGACGTGGACTAATCCATCCTCCCAAATACCCGTAGTACATACAGTAGACTACAGATATAGGGGCTATCCATGGTAGAAGACGGATGAAAGGTACATCAAGCAGTATAGACATCCCGATTTGGCTTGTGAGACG